TTTTGTCGTATTTGTTATCTGAACCTTTTGGGATCGGTACAATGAACGGTTCCCATCTGGCGTGACATGTATCGGTAACTTTTACAACGGTTTATATGACGGACAAGGTCGTTATGTGTTTCCTGATAAGAGTTTTTTGGAAGGTGTTTGGAAGGAAGGTAGACTTGATGTTGGACGGTTTGTGGATTGTTTTGGACGGGGTTGGGTTGGTAGGGTTGGGAGGGGTGGTGGGTTGGTTTGTGAGATTGTTTAAACATTGATCTTTTTGTCGTATTTGTTATCTGAACCTTTTGGGATCGGTACAATGAACGGTTCCCATCTGGCGTGACATGTATCGGTAACTTTTACAACGGTTTATATGACGGACAAGGTCGTTATGTGTTTCCCGATAAGAGTTTTTTGGAAGGTGTTTGGAAGGAAGGTAGACTTGATGTTGGACGGTTTGTGGATTGTTTTGGACGGGGTTGGGTTGGTAGGGTTGGGAGGGGTGGTGGGTTGATTTGTGAGATTGTTTAAATGGAATCGTTATTTGATAAGGGTTTGTTGTTGGTTGTTGGATTTGTGGGGGAATATTCAACGTTTGGGGATTTTTGACATTTGGAGGTTTTTGTGGGTTTCCTGTCTGTTGGGGTTTTCCCAATCATAGTCTTGTTGCGCAGGGAGATTGTAGGCAACCACAGAATGCAAAAATCACAAGTAAACCCCTCATCCAAAACCCATCGATTTTAGGGATTTTTTTACATTTGCAGTTTATGTGGGTTTCCTAACTGTTGGGGGTTCATACGATGGGACAGAGGGGGTCGTTACATCATGTTTCCCAACCAAACAGCGTTATGTAAAAAGAACCCCATAAATACTTATAAAACTTGTGTAAAAACCCCCTTCATCCACACTTTACAAAACGGTAATCAAAACCACACCCCCCACAACAACAACAGCACCCACACACCTCTCCCACCCCGCCTTCTGCACCGGTAATCCCACAATCCCAAAATGATCACACAAGACCGCTGCAATGACTTGTGCGCATACAGATGTACCTAGGACTGTTACGGCGCCTAAACGAGGTGTAGCGATGGTGACGATGAGGACGTAGGCGGCGCCAAGGAATCCACCCAGCCAGGCCCAGTAGGGTACTGTCGTCACAATGTTGAGTGTCCATGGTGGGTCGAGACGGGATGTAGGTCCCATCGTCACATCGTATAAAAACAACAGTAGAAGAAGTATAAAGCCTTCGGAAAAAGAGAATAGGGCACTGTATGCGGGTGTGGAATAGTGCCCGAGTTGTGCGTTCATGGCGGCTTGGAGACCTAATGAGGTACCAGCAAGAATAGAAAACAAGAGTGTCCAATCTGGCTTCTTGGGTTGCGTTTTGGTTGTTGTTGTGGTGGTGGTGGTAGTGGGTTCATTTACTATCGGATCGGGTTTCGTACTGTCTCCCATCACCATGTCCTGCTGTTGATGCTCTTCATCACTTTTTGGCCGTTGATCGGATCGGAGTACCCTACGTACCCACTCGAGACCCCCCATCATAACAACCACACCAAAAATGGTCAATAAAACACCTACTACCCTCCCTACACTCGCCTCCCGTCTCTCTAATCCCAACCACGCAAAATGGTCTAATAGTAATGCAGTGGTCATTTGGGATGCAATGGCTGTACTGAGTAGGGATGCTGCGCCGAGACGGGGTGCGAGGTAGACGATTGTGACAACGTAGATGGTTCCCATGATACCCCCGAAATGTGCATAGAGAGGTGCATCTAAACTCATCACAATTAGCCACAATCCAAAAAAACATTCGAGTCATTCCGCAAAATGAGATATCATACCATGATATGCCCTCGAAATCTCCACCCCCCGCATCGTCGCCAAAAAATAAATCAAAAGCGGCAAACACCCACTCCCAAATGACCAACATGATGCAAAGAGTTTTGTTCGCGAAAGTGTACCCAGTGTGCCATTCATTCCGGCTTGGAGGGCTAACCCTCCTCCGCCTAGTATGCAGAGGATGAGAGTCCAATCGGCTGTTGGCATGTGTGCGTGGTGGGGGTCAGATGGTACATGCGGAAAAAGGAATTGCAAAAAAAGAGGAATGAGGATATTGAAATGCAAATTAGAAAACTATTACGAATGTTCGAGTTCTTTATTAACGTCATCTCATCCGTGGATCTATTGCTGACACATCCTCGTCTCCCAATGTCCAGTCCATTCGGACTCTCGACGTGTTTTTCGTTGTTGCGTTAGACTTTCGCTTCATCCTCCCCTCACGGCATTCCCTGCTCCCTGCATAGTTCATTTACGGGTATTATAGGAGGTTTGTAAGGGCGGCTGGGTAGCCATTCCCTGGGCATCCCAGCACACAAATGGACGTTTCCTACCGTAAACTCCTCTCTACAACAGTACGTACCCCGCCCACTCATCACGGTATCAAAATCTAAACTTGCAACGTTTTGCAACTAGAATGCAACCCCCTTATCCGACCTAACCCTTCACACGACATGCATTGTTTACGGTATCGTCACAGCTTTTAAACCCCCCCGCAAAACAAATGGAACCGGTACCCAACATTTCCCAATTATATCACATTCCGTACATGTCGTTAACAATACTTTAAGATTACATGTGTCATGTCCATATTGCCGATCCGACCTACCCAGAAGGCTTGAGTATCAACATCTTTCATTCTCTAGAAAACTTGCCAGAAGTCCAATACGGCAATGTCGTCGAATGCGCCATCAAGGTAAACCATATCCATCCCTTTGTCATTTTACATGATTGACAAATAACATGAATTTTTTGGGTAGGTCCAAATGTATAACTCAAAACTCCAAGGTCTATCCCTCAAAGGCCCCGACTTTTGCTTCCAAATCATTGAAAACGGTATCGCAGCCTTTTTACGAGAATGGGGGTCGAGTAGTACTGGAACGATGCCGCTTCCGTATACGAGACCTGTATTGGAGGTTGGGAGTTTAAAGGATGTTGATACGTTTTGTGATTTGTATGCTCAGGTATTGAGTTTTTTTGTGTTGTGTTCGTTTTAAGGGGTTTTGGTTGGTAATGATTTTTTTTTTAGGTGCTTCATATTAATGAACCCGACCATCCAGGTCAACCACTAGAACTAGTCGTTACTGATTACACAACCAATCCAAACATACAGTACGTTCGTATTCGTGTTTGTTTATTGGTTTTTCAAAAACTGATGAGATGCTAGTTTTCCAATAGAGATGATCCCATATACCCGTCTTACTCCCGACATGCTATTACTCGTCACACTCTGGTACGCACGCAATATTTCTTTTACGTTTTATAAGCTCATGGTTTTTTGTTTAGGGACCAAGAACCCATGGATCCACCGTTACAAAAGGATACATATATCCACCTCCGGAACCTCCGCATCGTGTCCCGTTATAATAAATTACAAGTCGTTGCACATGGTGATAAAATGCGAACTAGGACGAGTCATATAACGATCGTGAATGATGGAGACCAGATTGATCGGATGAGAGATCGGGAAAAGAAATGGAAGGCCTTGCAAGGGGATGTTTTGAATGTGGTTGGACCTTCACAAACCTACACCTCCATGCTCCAAAAGAAATATCGACGACCCCTATTCAACAGTTGGTCAAGACTCATCCACATACTCTGCGTGTCCAACTCATGGACCACCTTCCCTTGTATGTACGTCAATTTACAGTGTATGAAAGTAAATGGGTTGAGTTTTCGATGCTTGTTACCGATGGGACGGGGTTTATGCATGTTTTTGTTCATGGACCGAGGATTGTAAGTTGATCTTGCACTTTTTTTTTTTTTGGTTTTTGTGTTTTATTCATGCTTTTTTTTTGGTTTAGGATTTGTTGGGACCGGCGATGCGGTTGGATGGACTGACGGTTAATGGTGTTGTGGAGCGGTGTGGAGTTGGTCGAGAGGTTGTGTGTAGAGTTGTTTGGGATGAGGGGTGGAAGGTTGTTGGGTAACATCGTGCACATGTAGATGAGATAGTGCGTGTATGGCATGTTTGGGGCGGGTTTGACTCTGCGAAAAGTACCCACCGCTTCGTCTATCCCCGTAAAACATCATTCAATGGATCCAATGTATGAGCATTTGGAACACCGTGCATCATAGTATCTATTTCCCTTTTACATCCTGCTCAATCTCCCATACATGCGTTTTCAATTCCAAATGCGAGACATTGACTTCATCCTACACATTTATCAACAAAAAAAAATATTAATACCCCAATTGCCCAATAAACTGACATGACTATAAACTTACAATCAATTTCAACAGTTCATTCCGCAGCGCTTGCAGATCCCCTTTTGTCGCTGCTTTTTGCGTGAATCCATTCAAATCCTTTTCGAGTGTCGTGATTTTTTGGGTATGATCACGCAACTAACAGTCATTCAAATCCATAAGCCAAACAACCACAAGACATGATCGAAAGCGAGTCCAAACCTTTGCAGTCGATTTCGCCAAATCCTCTACATTGGATAATAATGCATTTGAACTCTGTTGGTATTCGTCTAGGAGGTACACGTAGGATGTGGCGCCCGCGAGTGTGATGCCCAGTAGGAATCCAATAATGCTATTTCCAAATCATGAGCATACATGCTAATACCCACACGCATGCAAGCAACAAAAAACAGGTGTACATTACCCCCCACGAAAGAATCCCCCACCCGACCGCTTTGGTACCTCTGGCGCAGGAGTCACGAATGCACTAGAAGGAGGCGAAACAATGGCGGCCTCGGTTGTGTTGAATCTGTACTGTGTGAGGCGGTTAGGCCGGAACCGCATACGACAGAGTGGGCGAAGCATCATGAAAAACGGGATGGGGTGCAACGCCGAGAACCAGCACGGTCGGGTTGTTCAAGTTGCTGGTTCGGATGGGTCATTTGTAGGCATGGTAACAGTGTCACGTGTCGAGGAATACTGATGACGTGAGCGTTTGTGAAGGTTCATCGTTCTGTAGGTATTTATAAAGGTTCTCATTTTTGGGCAAAGGTTTTGGTTGTGGGGTTGACCAAGTACCCAGGATTGATCATTTCGAGCTAAACATGTCACTTGAGAATGAACCAAAGAAACCTGTTTCGGGAGGAGCGGCTGCGGTATGGCATCTATGTTACATAGTGTGGTGGTGATTGAAAATGGCACTAAGACCCATTATTATCCGGATAATCCGGTTAATCATATCGCATAATCAGAACCCCCATCATTGCTCAAAGCGGTGAGGAGGCATGGATGCTAATGTTCTCCAAACTGCAGTGTGGCATGCTAATGTAGCTTTTTTTTTAAACTGCGGTGAGGCGCATGCCAAAGGTCTATAAAAAGGGGACCTTCTCCCTCTTCCCTCTTTCCTCTTTACCCATCCTCGACTCAAAGCATCCGCCCAACAAATCTCAGTCCACCATGAGAATACTGCTCTGGTGCCGAGGACCTCGACCGCCCGACAGCAACCGTGATCAGAACCAGCAGCAACCAATCGGATTCGATAACAAAGCTGCTATTATGCTGCCACACTTGTTGAGCTTGGTTGGTATGTACTGATTGCATTTTGTCATTCTGTCATCGGGTCATCTGGCTAACATGCAGCTTTTAGTCTCCAAGCCTTCGTTACTGAACATCCTCTGGCTTGTGACGCTGCCCAGTCGATTTGCTCCTGGATGCAAGAGTCTGGCTTCAATGCCATCAAGAGTTCCAGATCAAGGCCTAGTAGGGACCGCGTGTAGTGGTGGGCAATTATCCGGTTAAAACCAACCGTTACGTATTGCGTGTATAATTGCCTAGTAGTAGCTTAGCTTTTCCGAACCGGTTGTCGCCGGTTTATTCCCTGGTGTAGTAGCTAGTGCCAGTTTCTGTCACCTCTACACTATCAAATGACTATAATAACAATGATCGGTGATGGATATAAGGTCCCAGGCGAGGAACCCTCCCTCGAAACAACCGCCATGGGTCTCGGTGCCAAAGCTGTTCAAAGTTTTACACCTCTTGAACAAATCTGTCGCCATCTCTGCGGGTTTCATGTGTATGCGCATGATATGACTCGTCAGGTAAAATGTACACCCATCATTATTTATCCTAGAGTTCACAAAAACACTAAAAACAAAACTTGTAGGTTGAAGCTCACCATTACTGCTCGCATCTAAGTTCAGATATGCTTCAATGCGTAATATACGATAGCCCCGAAAAAGATGCAAGACTCATTGGCGTCGAGTACATTATCTCATCTAAACTCTACAATGATCTCCCCGAGTCTGAAAAAGTGTATTGGCATTCGCATACTTATGAAGTCAAGGGCGGGATTTTGACTTTACCTGTTTCGCGCTTCGTACCTGCTGCCGTGCATGAAGAAATTGAGAGGAAGGAATTGAGTAAGGTGGTGAATACCTATGGAAAGACATGGTAAATCTTTGTTTTGCGTTCTTACTTGCGCGTTTAATGTGGTTTGCATACGAGTCTTGATTGTGCTGTGTCTATGTTAGGCATTTATGGCAGATTGATCGAGGTGATATTTTACCATACGGTATGGTGTTATTTTTGAAAAATCGTTACCCGTAGGCTACATCCACCCTCCCAACTATTAGGTCCCCCTTCTCTCATGATGTCCTTTACGTCCGACAACCAAATCGATCCAAAATTACTCGAACAACGGGACAAACGGTGCGTACCCTTTTCCTCCACCATCTCCATACACAACTTTATTGAACACCCGTATCGAATTTTCTTAATAGCGAGGGAGTTCGTACTGAGGACCTCATAGAACGACGCAAGGATATCCCGATCGAGCCTCGCCCGCCGGGAGCGCAAGAGAAACTGTTGGAAGAGAAGATGGCATGGCAAGCAAAGATGGAGAAAATTCCGCTTTTGTGTTAGTGGGTTGATATGTTTGCACGCTTGTTGTGGGCGGTGTGTATTTCATTCTATTGGATTGCACAAATGCTCCATGCGGGGTGGTTCTATCTTGTTATATAGCACGGGTTTTGAAAGCTGCTAGCAAGGTTTACCCTACGGTAGTCATTCCATCTATATGCTATATTCTAGATTTTGTTCCATTGTCCTTCTCACCTGTGGTTATCCACCTGGCCAGCCATTGTCCACATCGTTCCTTCATGGTCTCTGTCACAGCATGTTTCACCCCATCCTCAACGACCACTTGAAACCTCTCAGGATCCATGACGGCACCCAGTTTGCCAATAAATTTCTCATTACAAGAAGCTGGAACCAACTTGTCGCTTCCACCATTCAAGAGTAATAAAGCCTTGTCCCGAAAAGCGTGTGCACGATGGATTGGGTCATGAGCATGGAGAGCCGACAAGAGTTGAGCGTTGATGTATTTCTCTGAAGCGGGAGGTAGAGGGATCTGTGGAGTACTTTTTTGGGAGCGGTGTGTCATGAGGGTAAGGTAATCTCCGCAACCAATAATGGAAACGCCCGTCTGCAAACGTGAGTCTGGCAAGAACGACTGCCACGTTAGCCAGGACACATTCATGCAACGCAAACGCCAAACAGGCACAAACCATTTGCCAAAGCCAACAGTGTTGCATGACCGCCCAAGCTCACACCACACATCCCCCAGGCTTCTACGTCCCTACCCAAGAATGCCGGGAGAACATCCATCAAGTAGGAAACGTCCCGTGCTGTTCCATACTGAATAGCCCACATATCAATAGCATGGTTATCATTGCCCTTTTGCCAGGACTCATTTGCAAGGGAATGTATGATTCTGTGACCATGATTTCTTTGGTCAAAGGTCACCATCAGCGTTGACGGGGGGAGGTAGGAGTAAATGTCTTGACAAATGGAGAGTGAAGCAGCGGCTGTATTCAGGCGGCCATGAGCAAAGAACACAACCTGAATAGGCGCTGGAGACGGAGGAAGGGTGCTAAGACCGAGAATGTGGAGTGGCAGACCGCCTACGGGCATAGTCGTAACGTCTTGGGACCGGCTGGCCATGATGTAGGGAGAGATGTGGTGGGTGAATTTCCAGAGGTCTGTGTGTCGTGGAGACGCGTCCCCCACCTTTCCCGCAGCTTTCGCCCGTTTGACCATTTCCAGCAAACCGAACATGAAAACATCATTACATGACGCATGAGCAATGCACAACGTATTCCACAACCAACCGATTGTGGAGAATCTCCCATTAAAGATAAATTGTATACAAGCTTATGGTATTTTAACTTGCATGTGTAGACATCTTGGCGGTTTACCTGCTCACCGTTACTCTTGTCCACAGAAAATAAGGTTATCGTCGGAACGGACCATGGCTCTTTATTACTGTACAGCATTGAAGAGGACCCAGTGTTTACCATAACACTGTCAGAATCTCGAGTGAGCTCATCTCGGAAGGGGATTGACCAATTGTGTCTTATTCCTGGGACGGGAGACGTGGCTGTCCTATCTGGTGTGTACCGTTTGTTCCCTCGTCACAAGAACCTCGTTAGAAGGCGTCTGAGCATGTGCACATACTGATGACAGGAATGATTGTTAGATGGCGCTGTTACGGTCTATGAGATTGCAACTCTAGCCGTACGGACACAGATACAAAAGGCAAAGGGAGTAACGCTCATAGCGGCACCTGTAGCGGCGCAATTTGGAGAGTCCGAATCCCCTACTTCTGCGAATTCGGAACTAGAGTCTCGATTCTGTTTTGCTACGAAACGCAAAGTATCGTTTATCAAGTATAATGGATCAGATGTTGTATTGGACAAGGTGGCTACTTTACCATGTCCAAAGAGAGGAAGCCATCAAACCAATGCAGGGCTATATTCTTGTAGGAAGTGACCTTATCGGATCGCCCGAGGACTATGCTTTGGCTTGGGCAACGTCTCTACATTGGGTTCGCGAGAAGTCTTTCCTGTGTCGATGTCACCACCGGTGCCGTGAAGGATCTGTATTCATTCCGGACGTCGTTAACTGCCGCGTTGGGATCATTTGCACCAGTCAAAACGAGTAGTGTTTTAGTCACGCCTTTTTCCGGGGATCGAGTACTTGCTACAAAAGACAGTATGTGCGATACCGACCAACTTGTCCTATCAACGGATACTGATAGAGATCTTTGGAAAAATGTAGATACAACCCTTGCTCTTGACCATAATGGCCAAGTATCGCAAGATCTTCGTGTCGAGTGGTCCAGTGGACCAGAGGCTGTTGGTATGTGATTACCGTAACGGTCTTGTGTCTGTGAAAAGTTACTCACCAGATACATGTCAGCTGTGTGGTCACCCTACTTAGTTGGTTTGTTTACGGGTCATTTGGAGGTTCGAAGGACGCAATCGAATACTCTGGTCCAAACCATTCCCCTTCCCAACGCCAATATGATGATTTTTGGCGCATCCATTTTGGTGGCGAGTCAAGCTTCGGTATGGCGCCTTCTTCCTTTGGACTTTGAAGACCAGGTAGTGTTTTTGCAAATGTGGGCCGTTCGAATCCATGGTACTGTATGGCTTACAACTGCTTTGCTGGTAGATTGAACAGTTGGTGACCGCCGGTCAGTTCGCTGAAGCTAAAAATCTCATTGAAGAGTTGGACTTTCCCACAGAGGAAGACAAGGTTCATAATACTCTTGCATGGATTGCTTTGATCATTTGAGCTTATTGAGATCTTATTTTCCAAAGACTGCGAACATCATTCGAGTTCGTGGCATGTACGCTCACCACATTTTCACTACCGAACACAAGTACCAGGAAGCTCTCTCCATACTGAAGGAGCTCCAGGCCTCCCCATTAGATGTCATCAACCTTTACCCCGACTTGTCACCGCCGGACCCAGATGGGGGCACACCCGAACCCGCCGCGCCTTCAGGTGAATGATTTTCATTGTTTGAAAGTTGGTAGCAGCCGTGATGCTAAAGTAGAACAAGACAAGAAGGCAATGTACCTCCTGATGAACTACCTAAGCGAACAACGTGCCGTCCTTGCAAAACTTCGACAGCAACAAGAATACCTCGCTGGCATGAAACAGGCAGAACCACCAGATTCGGCGCTCCAAGCTCAATATCCTGTTTTAGCCGACACACTGTACCTATCTGAAGTGGTGGATACCACACTACTGAAAGTGTATTTAAGTATCAATGAAGCCTTGGTAGGTTCCCTATTGAGGGTACCAAATGCATGCAACGTGGAGGAAAGTGAGCAGCTTTTGCTGGAGCGGCAGGTACGCTCATGGAATGTTGATTGTTTTATGATCCGACTTTTGACGGGATCGTCATGTAGAAATATGATGAATTAGTAGATCTCTATCGAGGGAAAGGACTACATCGCAATGCGCTCGATTTCCTTATGAGGTAAAATCGCCGGTGCGAGGGCTATAGGGTGAAATCTTTCTCATCTGAAAGCTTTAGGAAAGCATCTTCTCCAGAGTCTACTGCGGCCGAGGTTGAAAAGATGGTCACGTATTTGCATGGAATTAATTTTGAGGATAATCTGGACCTCATTTTGGAGTATGCTGCGTGGATTCTGAAGAGAGATTCAGAAGAAGGTATCAAGGTAAGGGTCTGCTGCTATGTCAACTTCAATAAACCGGTTCTGATTGATGCCTGTTCAGATTTTCACTGAACACTATGATGAGGTAGCTATCTTCCTTATACCCCTCCGTGAATGAGGAACTCAAGTATATTGAACCAGGTCAGCCCAAAAGCCCGAAAGGGCATCGTAAGCTTCTTGGAAACGATATCGGAAGACTTCGCCATCAGATATTTGGAATACCTTATCCACGATCTTCACGACCATGATGCTGAGCTGCACGACCAGCTGATTTCATGCTATCTTTCGAAATTGAAGCGAGACCTTTCCTCAAAGACTGGATATGATGGGCCAATGTTACCCAAGAGATCTGGGGCGGGTAAGCAATCTCTATGGCCCACACTGTTGCCTTATGAAAACAATTAATGTGGATGTCAATCAGATAACACCGAAGACGGGAGGTCGTTTTGGACGCTGCGCAGAAAGTTGGCGGCGTTTTTGGAGGAATCGCAAAATTACCACGCGGAACAGGCACTTGCTAGCTTCCCTACTGATGGTAAGTTGGACTCTATGAACAACCGGGAGCTGGAATATATCCTTATGCCGTCTTGGTTGCCCAGCCTTATATGAAGAACGTGCGATGGTTCTTAGTAGACTCAAGAGACATGAGGAAGCCTTGCGAATATATATTGAGAAAGTTCGAAATTATCACATGGCAAATGTGTACGTGAGTTAGAACAGCTTTGGCGAATGAACTGTAATGATTAACGCATTTTGGGGCATTAGCTACTGCGAAAAGCATTATGACCCGGATGACCCTGAATCTCAAGACGTATTCCTCATACTTTTGCAGCTGTACCTTAACATGGTACAAGCTGGTGACTATCCTTTAGCCGACGTTATGACATTCTTGGGAGTTTATGGAGCAAGTATGGATGCAACAAAGGTAGTATGCACATGTCCTTACGTCAGGTAGCGTTATGTTGAGTAACGCCCCCGAATTACCCTTTAGGCATTACCAATGCTCCCGGGAACGATCCAACTGAAGGCTCTGCTCGGATACTTTCAACGTTGCTTGCATGACATGCATCGTACGCGGAATATGAACGAAGTCGTAAAGAATTTACTTAAAGCAGAATGCCTACAAGTACGTGATTTCAAGCATAGTTTGGCTATCTGGAGCCCTGCCTTTCCAACCTGATCACTCAATCATGATTCTAGTTTCAAGAACGCCTAACGCATTACTCAACCAAGCGCATCCGTATCACTGATGATCGAATGTGCCCCATTTGTCTTAAACGCATCGCCAACAGCGTATTCACATGCTTCCCTAATGGTGTTGTCACTCATGCATACTGTGCAGTAAAGAAATAAAGGACAGTTGTTTGCCCCGTTACGTGTAAATCGACGGGCCAGTGGGGCATTTATTCCCACCATCGAATCTATTTGCATACTATGAACTAATCCGCTGGGGGTTTACCCATAGCGACCAACAAAATGTTTTTGAGCTTTGTTGGCTCGTCTTCGGGGTCTTTGCTACGTTTTCGGAGGTTGGGGGATAGCTTGAGACTGATAACAGCACCTCTGTCGTCTCCGACGAGTAAAACAGGTTCAAATGGATTGAACGCAATGTGGGTTAACTTGGCTTTCTTGACGACTTGCTGTTCACAAATCGGCTCGTATTTGTTCTCGTTCAGGTCGAAAACAAAAACCTTTATACGTTTCATTTGATTTTAAGGCTCAATCAGTATCGCTTATACCCAGAATATTATATGGACACAATAACATACCTTTCCATCTGTCGTTGCAGCTGCGAACACAGTCGACGAGTATGGTGCCCATGCAACATCTCCCACACTACTGTTGAGGTCAAAACTCATGATGGGCTTCTCTTCATCGTGATCCCAAAGTTTGACCGTCCAATCGGCACTCGCAGACAGGAAGATATTATGGTGGAAATGGTTGTACCGGACTGTGTATACAGACATTTGGTGGCCCTTCACAATCAGAACAGAGCACTAGAGTCAGCTACGCCAATTGGCAGCATTCACGGTGGTAAACATACCTCAAATGAAAGCAAGTATTGATTATTGTACTCTTTTGAACATTTGAAGATCCTTCCCTCTTCGGTTCCGACGACAAAGAGGTGATCCAATTTCTTGTGGAAGTCAAAACTGCTTCCGCCAGCCAAGTTGAAGAGCGGGTCATCTGTTGTTTCTGTGTGCAGTGGGTCGGTGGTGGGTTGTTGGGTTGCAGTCGGGGGCGAAGACAGTTCAAGGTGGAGCTTAATGACGTCCTGCATTTCGAACAATGTTAAGGAGATTTGCTCACAAAAGTATGAACAGAAAAAATATCGCATCTTTGGTGGGCGGATCCTTACAGTGTGCGCAAGTTCGGTCTTGAGTAATGTCCATTGCGTTACTCGACCGTCTGTCGAAATGGAAAAGAAGTTTGCGTTGCCGTCTAAATCGTCCTTTTGCCAGCATACCTACCAAAGAGAGTATGTAAGGGCTCGTCCGAGAGACTATAAACATTTTCATTGCATTCTTTACCTGCCACACAGGGTCGGTATGCTTCCCGCCTTTGGGAGATGATTTGAAGATTGGGCCATTGCCTTTCTCTTGCAAGCTATACACTGCGACGGATCCGTCGTAAAGACCCACAGCAATCATGGAAGGATGCTGAATAAAAAAGGAAACAGTTAGGCTAAAACCGTCAGCAAATATATTCAAAGCTCGTTCCGTTACCTGGGGATGGAAATCAAGGGACATGACTCCGGTATCGGTTACATACAGGAACTCGGGGTAGGACGGATTCTTCAGTGTGAATCCACCAATCATGCCTGGACCCTGTTTGGAAAACTCATACGATCCGTATCCGACTACAAAGAAATCCGAGAAACGAGAGTTCCAGCAGAGGGCTGTGACTTGTTTGCGTTTCTCCTTTTCGCAGACGAAACGCCAGAGAGGGAGGAGGGTGCCAGCTTTTTTTAAAGAAGAGAGTTCGATTGGTATATGAACAAAGAATGTGGTCAAATCACAGTTGGAAGGGACTTACTTTTGCTACCAGCTAACTCATCTGAGGCATCCTCCCAATACTTGTAATCCTGCGCAATATCGTCGAACGTATTTTGATTTGCCATGCGTTCGACAATGGTGAGAGATTTCCGAAGGTCCGCATTTTTGTAATAAACATCTTCGGTATGTGCTTCGGCTGGGAGAATATGTTTGTCTTCATCTTTTTGGCCTTTGGCTCCTCCACCCTGAGAAGCACATTTGTAAGGCGGCTTATAATGCAGTCAGTAATGGAAGAAGAAGAGTATACCTTTGCTTTGGCCTTTTCTTTTTGTTGCAGGTCCTCCAAATAGGCATCATAAATAGACCATTGGTTAACTGTATCGCTAAAGATGCGTTGAGGTGGAGGCTCAGTATTCGTTGATCGTTCCTTAAATGCAAGAAAGCATAAGGCTGTGACACTATTTTCATTTAAACGGCAACGTAATCCTACCCGATAGGGGTTGTTGATAGTCTGCGATGCACGCTCGCTGAAATTAAACTGGTTTCGAAGCGGGCCTTTGGACTTCTTTTCGTCCTCGGCTTTCTCTCCATCGGCGGATTGAAGTGGCTCTGTTGCAGTTTCGGTTGTCGGTTGTTCTTGGCCGACGGCCTCTTCTGGTTTGGGTTCAGGTGGTGCGGATGATTCGTCAACATTCCGGTAATTTAGATAACTGCAGCCAATCATCAAGCGTTAACTGCATTTCTTCAAGTACGCTTTTCCTATTTTGTAGATGCCTAGCATCACTCTACCCACCCATCAAACTCAAAATGTACCACAAGATGATCCACGTTGGGGCTGGCTTTGAACGCTTTTTCACGATGATTGAATCGCGCAATATTTTGAGGGGCGTTAGGGTTATTAGCGTTCAGTATTCGTGTAAACTCCTCATTGAGCTCTGTGTCGGTGAGTTGTAGTTGTCCCGGGGGTTTCAAAAGGACCTTTGGCTGCACGGTCACCCAACTTCAGCTGATATCCAGCTCAAGAGAGATGGTTCACATGATAATCATACCGGTAGCCAGTCATCTGCTCCGTTGGCGTCTCCTTCTGGTCCATTGGAGCGTAGGGAGTGCGTGGATGCTGTGCGGCCAACGAGGGGTGTCTCTGGGGCTAACTGCAACGCGAAGTAGAGTTTAGGAACCTACAGGACGCCAAGCGCTGGTTTGGGTATGGGTAATATACCTTTGCCCTGCGCACGGACTTCATTGTCGGTTTATAGATGCTCTTGTTCTGATACAAGAGCGGTCAACTTTGTGGTGATCGGATTAGGGCATATGCACGCTATTTGGCGGAGATCATCGACTTCGGACGCGCATCGGCTTAGCTAATCGTCTTTGAGTCAAGTACGAGATACGGGGTCGGATCATTTAGTCCGCAATAAGCGAGGTTCAAGAGTTCGTTTTTAGATTGTCAGTCAAAAGCACTCCCAGTTGATAGCGTACGAATATTGGTTGGAAATATATATCATGCTATGTACATTCAACAGGTATCGTCATGCCGCGCATAGCGATGGCCGGGTTGCGTTTTTACATGTGATGGTCCTATGCTACTTTGCAAGTCTAAAGATTCATCAGCCCCTGGCGTTCTCCAACTCTGAATCTTCATTCGAGTCGTCATTTGAGTCGTCTTGCGAGTTATCATCGTCGTCGGAACCTGCAGATTCCGACTCGCTTTCCGATTGTTCGGTCCTTTGTATGACCTCGATGAGAGGTTTTTCATCTTCATCTACCGTTGGCCGTCCGGTGATAATAATGTCTTTTTCGTTCGGGACTGATGTCTGTGGATGGGTGTCGAATACTCCAACTCCAAGATCCTACATGAAAATACAGTCAAGATCAAAAGGGTACAACCAATGGGTTGGCTATTTCGATAAGAAACATACCATTTGTATATACTGTCCATCATCGTCAACATTCTCAATATCGACTTGCTTCTGTTTTTCGCTGTCTTGCTGTATTGTTTGCAGCAGTTGACTGTTTGCAGCGTCAATTTGTGGAAGAAATGCTGCTACTTTTGAAAGCACTGCAGACATGCCTGGGTGAGCATTTGCTTGTCGTGTCGGGAGGATCACAAGCTCAGTTGTTACATACATGCGGATGGCACTGGTGGTTTGAAGGTTCGTGGACGCTCTGCGCTGGGGTTTGAGTCTATGAGAAAGGACTGTGGTACTGTTGAAACACATTTGCATGTTAGATCAGTTGGTTTTGGTGTGAGCTGTGGCAAAATACATACTGTGCGAGGGAGGTATGTCGGGTACATCGAGGAAATTGGAAGTATTTGCAGGGGAAGCCGAGGTTGGCGGGGGCTTTTTTGACATTTTGGAGGTGCGAAAAGTTAAGAACCTTACAGTGACCTGTGCCACTGGGTGGACATTCAAGTGTCCGACCAAGATCCAACGCGCATGTTCCTTTGAAGTCTTTATTGTTGACATGACTTGCCATGGTTTACAGCGAAAATAAGCCAAACATTGCTGATTGTTCTCTCTTGCTTTTGCTACCAACACGCTCGTATTGACGATGCTGGCCACAGGAACAGAGGCTCCACTACCCCGGAGCTTTCTGCCTGAATTTGCTGATCTATGTACCAAGATTCTCCACCCATCTCCGTCAAAGGTCCCAACAGCCGATACTCTTTTCACCGGCCAACGCCCGACTATCCGTCAAATTTCCCCATACCTTACGACGTTCTTCACATATACCCTCGATGACCGGATTCATACCAACTTCAGCTCCACTAGACCCGAAGCGTGGACAGGCAAACTACAAGAGCGGGTGGCGACTATCTTGTACAAACTAAGAGAAGACCGAAATTTTGACTCGGCAAATGCACTGGAGGGGTTATTAGAAAAAATTGGATTCTATTGTGGGAATTTCGATATAGACGATACGGAGAAGAATCGAGATACAATTGAACTTGCCAAAGGAAGCAGTGCTGAGATTATTCCATGGAAAGAAAAGCTGGCAGTCCTATGGCTCATTATGAGCCTGGGGAATGTTCAAAAAGGCTCTCCTAACTTGAGCAGGTCAGTGCAAAGGAATCTTCAAAACTCCAAGCGCGGAACACAATTGACAGTCTTGCATTTAGCTTTGCAAAAGATGTCCTGGCGTCGCGATATAACCACATTCTTCAATATGACTCATCAGCTACATCAGATCCCTGTAACGACAAGGCATTTTTGATGCCTAGTAGATACAATCTGCAACTCACCGATTCACCGGCCATGGAATCGCTATTGCGGAGTCATCACCCATACGATATTGTATACCCACCAGCAGTTTTTGAGAGTGGACTAAGACCTGCCGTTGACGAGATAGTTGTGGAACGTGATGTTTTGGAAGGTATGAGTATACGTGATATTCGCTCCCGGGAATAGGTCTTAGAAAAGGCGTAGGTAGCTCTTTATTCCTGAAAGGAGTTCGAAAGGGGGATTCTTACGATGATAACAAGACGCGGACTATATTTGGCGCCCTGACTCATCCGTCCAGTAAGTACCATAGCATACTCTGTGATGATCGACAGCTAGGTAGATATAACAGTAAATCACAGTTAATATGCCTAGGAATGTCTGGAATTTGGAGGTGCACATGGCGCTCCCACGATTGGGTACCCGTCCACAAGCTATCTCGGCCTTGTCGTCAGGCATGGAAGGGAGCGGAGAACAGGAAGCAGATCAACGAAGCGCGCAAGTTTCCCGCATATCCTATGACAGTGGATATGAAGACCACGATGACATCTGGACAAGTCTGCGCAGAGAAAACGAGACCTTAATAGTGAGTTTGGTATTGCGGGCAACATTGCTTGATACGCGTAACTCACGGCAGACTATGGTTGTCGCAGACGCCCTTGAGGAGTTGGGAGATGCTGGATGCGCATTACCAAGATCGAGATGCGCGAAGGACCGATCGTCACATGGTATCTCCATATGTCAGCGAAGCCAGTTTTGAGCTCTTTGACGCGATCTACAGAAAGTAGGTACGTGCTAGGACAATTTCTGATGATCGTAGAACTGAGCGTTTAACAAATGATATCATAGTCATTTTTCCCATGAATTTAACAGAGAAGAGTACCTCCTTGTCGCGGAACAGGAACAACTATTGAAGGTAGGAAAGGGTCTCATTTCCCGCAAACTGGAATCTTCCAACTAATGCAGATGGGTGCAAAAAGGATGTCATGAACCTCATCATTGGCATTCAGTCAGATAGTTTCGTGTACATACCAGAAACGATGGAGTTCCGGATTTCCCAAGATGCCGAAGGTCGCTTGCGTACACTTGGCTGCAGTGCAACAAGCTTTCAGAGGTTTGTCACCTATGGCACCTTGTGGCATTGATATAAATTTTAACATGGCGACATAGATATTTGAGGCGATTCTTGGCTATTGGTACAAATATGATACGGCTGGAGCACGTAGTGCGAATGATTGAAGATGACACAAGGTACGTAAATACTACAATTGTTCCGTTTGTGAATTAGTGTCTTAACCTCGTTCTCGGTTCATACAAGCCACGGACAAATTGGTCTTGCCTTTGCCCATGCTCTGGCGTCTTTCGTGTCCTTTATTAGAGCCTGCTTGGTCGCTGTCCCTGACAGTTTAGGCGACGACAGCAAGCATCTGCAGCTAATTCGATTGTACCATGCGCTCAATGAGCCTTTTTATCTGCTAACGGTTCTGACAGAGATATGTCAGTGTAGTGTAAGTGGATTGACATTGCGCACCAGGCAATTGAGAATAGTAAGATAACAGTATCGGATCTGTTACAGGAGTCGCCATCCTACAACGCCGAAGGCACCTTTCAGATCCCGCGTGGTGCTACCCTCCTCTCCCGCCTATACGACGCGGCGTGCGCAGTTGATACTGTTCTGACCGCGGGCACCTCGAAGAGGGATCACCTGTTGCGCTTAATCCTACTCGGACTACTCCAGCATACTACGCGCCCATACTTTGCCTGGTTTGAGCAATGGCTCGGCCTTCCCGCAGGAACTGATGACGGCCTCGAAACACTCGGAGGATTGATCGAGCAGATGACAGATGTTTGGGATCCGTATGGGGAATTTTTCGTCCAATACAAGGACATTCCAGAGCAGAGTGGTGGTGAGGCGTTCTGGCGAGCAGGATGGCAGATGAACCAGGCTTCGCCAGCGCCCTCCTTCATCCCCCTGTCACTGGCGCAGGAGATACTACACGCGGGAAAGTATTTGAGGTTGCTGCGGTTGTATCAGCGAGATCACCCGCTGGTCAGGTTACAGGACGAGGGGAAAACTCTTCGTGCACTACTCAGGCAGGATGGACGCTTGCGATGGATTTGGCAAGAGGATGAGGCTTTCAGGTCCTAAATGATCACTTGTATGCGCAACCCCATCATGTTTTTGACATTGCTTTTCGCACAGATTCTGCCGAGCGATTGACCTTTGTATCCATGAAATGAACAATACAATCATGGAAGCAGAGAAGGCGACAGCTGAGGCAGCGCATAGCGAAACACGACGGATTGAAGAACGGATTGAAGAAACTAAGAAGCAGGTTAGGCAGATGCCATGCATTACCTTTCATCTTGACATTGTTCCCATTTATTTACGTCAATGATTCTTTTCAAAGCAAGTACGGCTGTTGGATGCAAAAGCTGAGCAGATGCGTAAGGCGAAGGAAGAACAAGTACAGAAGAAACGAGCATTGCAATCCGAAATCGACGAGTTTCTTGCTGAGCGCGATGCACTCAAACGCGCTCATGCGGAACAAGCAAAGGCAGAAGCAGAGAAACACCTAGAGCAAGAGGTTGAAAAGGAACATGAGCGACTTAGACTGGTAGAAGAGGAGAAAAGAAGGATGATTGAACAACATGAAGCGAGGATGAGGGAAATACAAAAGAAAGAAGAACTTCTCGAATGGAAGCGACAAAGATTGATGCTTGGTGACAAAAGGAGAGAAGTTTTGGAACGTGGGTGGAGTACAGTAGAAGAATCTATAAATGCCGCGTACGAGTCCAGGGTAATCGCGGGGGAAAGGGTCGAGTTGGATGCGAAGCATGAGAATGGAGAACGGTCGGCAGAGACCGAGCTCAAAGAATTGCAAGAAGCGCCGGATGAGAGCTTTGTGACTGCAAGTGAGCATTCAGTTACCGCCGAGGTTGATACGCCAATTCCGTCACCGGAGGAAATTATGGATGAAGCGGTGCCCACTGCTGAACTGATGCAGGAGAATGAGTCGTCGCCCAATGCGCTCGACACCATCACAAGCTCAGACGTTCCACCTCCAAGTCATCCCAGCAATTATACATTGTCATCCAATGATGACGCGGGCGCTCCCTCGCTATACAAATACAATACCGTCCCGAATCTCGCGGAGATGGGATCGCTGAATGCGTTGCTCGACCCTTCGTCCTTATCGCCCTTCTTTGCTCCTGGATTTGGTCAAGCCCAGCATAGTGTCGCGGCTGTGCCAGCGGCGACACAGACGGTCGAGACCGAAGTCGGTCCTGAATATGACGTACCGTCTGGGGATCACGCCAACGCGATTGGAACGGTTGGAGCAACTACTATCGAATCGATGAAAGAGACTTCGAAGCAAGAATCCCTTCCGCCGCTGGATACAAATGAGGATCCTCCCAAGACGACGGTTGCCTTGTCCGGAACATTCTCTTTTGCGCGATTCCTTGAGAATAACCTGCCAAACGAAGTCCCGTGGGGAAGCGATATATCAGTTGAATCTTCTCTGTCCATACTTACCATGCGAACACTCCATTCGAGTCTCTCGTCCTTCAGTACGTTGATCTCAAAAGCCGTCATGAACGCTCTATACCCAGGCATCCGAACGCATTTGGGAATCGCCGGACGATACCTATTATTGGGCGACCGCCTATTTTTGACGCGCTTGACAAAAGCCCTGTTCGAGGAGGGTGGCGGTGTTGATGTGGACGGACGTACCGATGGCCACTGGCCACCAGGATTTGGAGAGCTATCAGATGCATTGCAAGGTGTTGTGCCAGAACACCTACATGGTGACGTCCATGGTGATATCGGCAAGCTGTCTTTTGAAGGCAAAGCTACTGAAAGAAACGCTGGAGGTAAATTATCGCTCGTCCCATTGAGGATTTTTCGTACCGTCACTCTAAATATCTTATTCAACTGCGTAGCATTGGACGCCCTCTCTTTTCTCCGGCTTCAATATACGGCACCAATGCCGTTTGATATCGTCATGACCGAATCTACCGCACATAAGTATGATCGCATTTTTGAATTTATGCTGGTCCTCGAACGTGTTCGAATAGCATTGGATCGGGTCTGCGTCAGTGAGTGGTGGTGGCGAAACAGTCCAGCGCGCGATACACGACGTGCTGGCGAATCGTGGATGAAGGGAGATCCTGACAGTCGGGATCCGGTATGGAAATCCTGGAGCGAAAGGGATAGAAAAGCTGCCGTGCATTTACACTGGGAGGCGCGTGCATTTGTTGGAGGGCTGCTGAGATATGGATATGAGATTGGAATTGGAGAGGTTTGGGAGGGTTTTCAGCGAATCCTTGATCGGGAAACTGACAATGGTTTGGGAGAAACAAGCGGAATGGATTTGGAAGAGGTATACAAGCTACACCACATGACACTGGACCGAATACAGTGGCGATTGTTAATGAGAGCCAAACAAAAGCCCGTGATGGGTATGGTGGAAGGTATGCTGCAAATCGCGCTGAAATTTGCACGGAAAATTACGGGGATGAGCGATGGACAGGCAAGCAGCGGACAAAGTCCGCACGAAGGAGAGGGAGAAATAGTCAAGCTTCTAAACGCGTTTCGAATTCGTTTTGCCATGTTGGTAAAAGTCCTCAGAGGTATGATCGAACGGGACCTAAGCGGAAGTTCTTCTAGTCCCCGTAAAGGTGGAAGCACTGCCGTCACCGCGATGGGAAATGCAAAGGAGATGGCCTGCTTTGCGAGGATACTTGTGGAAGTGGATGGAAACGGGTATGTGGAAAGGGAATTGGTTCCCCAGTTAGGGCGATTACAAAGGGAAGTGGACGGATGAGGATCTGATGGAAAATGTATGAATTGTATCTATTGTTACTCTAATTACTGTAAAATAATTCTTATTCTCTATTGTATCTTCGATGTAAGCATAATAAAATTGAGTTGATCTTCATGCTTACCAAAGAATAGTCCCATGTAATTATCTAGTATGCAAGTCCGTACAGAATGACTTACAAGCAGCTGTAGTGTGCGGACATAGTGTGTGGGCAAAAAAGACTGTCAGTCTGCAGATGATGCAGCCACTGGATCGAATGAAATGAAATGTAAGATGCCTCGATTTAGGCAAATGAACTATGCACAAGAGATGCTCCATCATGAGAAAACGGGTCCAATATGCAGCCATGAATGACTGCAGTTACTATCCCTTGCGGCCATCTGCTTCAGTTGCCACATGCATGACGCTCCATGACTCAATGTATCCCCTCTTTTTTCTATATAAACCCCCCCCCCCCTCGTCTTCTTCCCTCTTGTTTCTTTATCCCTCGACTCTCAAAGCATCTGCACAACGCTCATTGCGACCCACATTGCAGCCTCATAGCGCCCCACACAACCTCATCGCGACTTGGTCAACCATGAGAACGCCGATGTGGTGGTGTCGAGGACCTCGCCCTCCCGACAGCAACCGTGATCAGAACCAGTGGCAACCAATCGGATCCGATAACAAAACCTACTATTATGCTGCCACATTAGTTGAGCTTGGTTGGTATGTATCGATGGCATTTCTTGCATTTCTTGTCATCGGGTCATCTTCTGACATGCAGTTTTTAGTCTCCAAGCCTTTGTTACTGAACATCCTCTGGCTTGTGACGCTGCCCAGTCGATTCGCTCCTGGATGCAAGAGTCTGGCTTCAATGCCATCAAGAGTTCCAGATCAAGGCCTAGTAGGGACCGTGTGTGGTGGTGGGCAATTATCCGGTTAAAACCAACCGTTACGTATTGCGTGTATAATTGCCTAGTAGTAGTTAGTTAGGTTTTCCGAGCCGGTTGTCGCCGGTTCATTCCCTGGTGTATTGTGTTGTGACATTTGTTATTGCCAATACACTATGTAATACACGGGGCGTTTACAATTAGAACATCGTCGTGGATCCCTAGACTGCAAGTATAACCCGCAAATATCAATGGGATATGGCCGACCGCTTTGATCCATTTTCTTTTAGACTAGATTAACAAATAATGCCGGGTATGTTACAGAGTATATGTGCAGAAAACATTAGCCAATGCATAGAAAATAGTCTGCCTGTTTTTTTTTGTATTTTCAAAGCATGTAAAGCTAGTGTACAATATATAGAAAAGTAGAGGAAACACCATGGAAGATGTTGGACGATCCACGTCATGTTCGATGTTAACTGATTTATCGGGAGTACCCCGTCGTGCGTGTGCCTGATCCACTTACTCCTTTCCGTGCGATTGGCCGTCTGCGCGCTGATCGCGATGGTTGCCGAGGTTCGACATAGCCTAGTTCATTGAAGGCTTCTTTAGCGTCGAGTTCCAGCTGATCGGCGGTGTTTGCTGTTTTGGGTCTTAGGAATTTCAATGTTGTTACCGTGTTAGCAATCTCTGGTCCACCTTTGGCACCTTGGCGTAAGCCGATGAGGAAATATTTCTCAAAGTCTGATTCGAAAATCGGGTCATCATCGCTGGCGAGGCGAGCGGCGTAACGGAGACGCGAGAAGTCTCTAGTATATCGCAAAATGGATCCTTTGTAGCGCAATTGACGCAATTGTTTGCCTATCTGTGTTCGGCCAACGAACTTTGTACGCAGTGCATCGAACAATGCGGCCGCGGTGGGCGGTATGGCATCGCCCTGCTCCAAATCGCGGTACCATTCTCGGGCATTGCCTCGCAAGTATGGGGTGATTAATGCCACTTTCTGGGTTTCTGTAGCGTTTATTCGGTCCAAATAATCTCGATGCGAGCCGATAAACCTTCGCAAAACAATGGGGTTCTGCGAACCGGAGAACTGCGGTAAGTTCTTTGAAAGCGTTTTCAGTAATTGTTGTTCCATAGGATCATCGCGTTTAAGCGCTAGACCATCAGGGTCATCTTGGGGTACGGGTGTGGTACCTCTGCCCGCTTTGAGGGTTTCTTTCGGTAGGGGCAGGTTTCCTTTCTTTAACGCAGCCTCGAGCCTGCGTCGGAACTCAATGACGGCATCATTGATGATTTTATCGATGGTATCGGGCGTTGCCGCAAAATTACCATCGCTGGGTACGCTAGGTATGCTTGGGTTATCGTCGGTGGATGTTCTTGCCCACTCCTCGCCGTGTACGCTCATTACGACTTTGTTATCACTCATAGCTGCTGAATCCTAGTTGGGCGGTGGTGCTATCATGTAATTACCTAGTGGTGTATGGTTCGTTTACAGGGCTCAGCTTGAACCACTTGGTTATTGGATTCTCAATGGACGGCTAGCGAACGCACCGATTGTTATATTTAATAACCATGTTGAATAACTAGGTAGTAATCAAGATGATAGCTACGGGGGATTAGGGTTCGTGGCTTCGGCTTAGCTGCGAGCCGTCCGCTGAGCCACGCCCGCCGTTTGCATCAGTGAAATTTACGCACATATGTGTATCATATTGGCTTGGTGTATCGGGTGTACAAGCGTATTGCATATCGTATGGCCTAACTAGTCGTGCAATGATCGACGTCGCATACCATTACAGAGAAAGTCCAGGTCAAAAGCAGCGAAACTTGAGATTTAGACGTAGCTTCTTCCTGTTCTTTTTAGCATATGCGACCTTGTACATCATCTGTAACCTACCAGCCAGCTCAAATATCAATAAATCTCGAATTTGGGAAAGGAAATAACATGAAAATGGAGTGAGGATAGCTGTGTAGAGTGGTCATTAAGAAAACCCTATATGCGTTACCAGAAATGAATCCCAAAAGCCGTAATGGCAATATCAGATATCTTTCTGTGTGCATTCGTTGGAAATGCAAGACTTTGATGCAGTAGAGATAAGATGCACAGTCATGCAAGTTTATATTGTGTGCACAGCCACTCTGACTCCTGGACACATCCGGACTTGTCCAAAAAAGGGATAATGGACATTCACGTGATAACCGGAGCAGTTACCCAACTGAACGCTGAACTGAACGCGATGCTTTCGACCCATTTGTCGCAATCTTCTGAGTGCTTTTAGTATTTCACACCTTTTCTATCGCAAAGAATCCCATCTATAATGAGTGTCCAAGCCTATCATGAAGAACAAGAGGAGATGCAAGAGGAGGAGGAGATGGGAATGCCCCTCAAAATCAGCAAATTGGAGGTGGGGCGACACTTTAATTTGTAATGGAGTGGCTTTCAAACTCTAATAACTCGTCTGTACTTCCACTTCGTTATATTGCTTGTCTTCTCACTAGGAATTTGGAATATCATCCGGGGATGTAGCCAAACTGGCTAGTGCAGGGTACCACACCGTTGAAGCTATTGCCTATACACCGAAGAAACAACTGCTAGCTATCAAAGGAATATCTGAAGCGAAGGCAGATAAAATCTTGACAGAGGGTACATAGAGCTCATTGAATAAAAATGTGCTATGTGCCCACTAATTAAATGGTCTTCTTGTGAACCATTATAGCGGCGAAACTGGTGCCAATGGGATTCACAACTGCGACAGAGTTTTATCAAAGACGGAATGAGATTATTACCCTACAGACAGGCTCGAAGGAATTGGACAAGTTGCTAGGAGGTGAGCGGCAGCTGGTGCTCATGTGCAGAGTGAAATTCTGATTGCTTTGGGACGCAGGTGGTATTGAGACGGGCGCCATTACCGAGATCTTTGGCGAGTTCCGCACGGGTAAAACACAGTTATGTCACACGTTGGCAGTTATATGTCAGGTAATGGGGATATGCGATAATTCCCACTGGTGACTCGGCCTCACCAAAGTTCTTTTCAGCTCCCTATCGACATGGGTGGTGGCGAAGGAAAATGTTTGTACATTGACACGGAGGGGACATTTCGACCTGAGCGATTACTCGCCGTTGCTGAACGGTAAACATTCTCTGCATCTACTAGATGGCATACCCTGGACTGACATGTGAGGTACTAGGTTTGGATTGAATGGCGATGAAGTTCTGGATAACGTTGCGTATGCACGAGCGTACCATACAGATCACCAGAAACAGTTGCTGGTTCAGGCAGCGGCCATGATGGCTGAGACAAGGTACGCTGCTATTCATTGTCACCTCTGTGGGACGGTTTGATCAATCCATGTTCTGCAGATATTGCTTGCTAGTGGTAGACAGCGCCACTGCTCTCTACCGAACAGACTACTCTGGACGTGGAGAACTCTCCGCACGGCAAATGCACCTTGCGCAGTTCTTGCGGACGTTGATGAGGATGGCGGATGAGGTATCTTTCCGCCTTGGATTGAATTGCTCGTCGGGTGTCGTTAACACTAGATCTGCCCGCAGTTTGGAGTAGCAGTAGTCATTACGAACCAAGTGGTAGCACAAGTTGACGGTGCTGCAATGTTCAACGCGGATCCAAAGAAGCCGATTGGCGGAAATATCATGGCACACGCATCAACAACACGGTAAGATGATAACTGATGCTTCCGCTCACATACCGCGATTATCTCAATTTTCGGCGGACTTTTTCAGACTCTATTTGCGAAAGGGACGCGGGGAGAACCGAATCTGCAAAATCTACGATTCTCCGAATCTACCTGAAGCTGAGGCCATGTTTTCCATCGGGGAGAACGGGATTGGTGATCCAAAAGAGTGACATGCTATTGTTTCAGGTTAGACTGTTAAGAGAGTAACGTTATGGGGGATTGGGTGCTTTTTTCTTTCTATTATTTAGTCTTCGTGGACCGTAGTACTTTTCTCCTCTGTTATCATGTTAGCAACTGGTAAATAAATTCACGTACATATGTCAATTCATTCCCTGGCGGAAGAATTTCTGTATTTATGCAGCGCTGTTTATTGCTTCCTGCGATGAAACCCACAGCAGGGATTTTTAACTTTTGATCGGACCCGTCAGAGCGGAACGCGCGGGTTAAGCCAAACTAGGTCATGATTATTCCGCTTCAGTTTGGATTTTGGATCGGCACTTTGAAGCGTTTCGTGCTTTTCCATTCGAGTTTTTCCTTTGTTGTTTTCCCTCTTTTTTTGATATGCCTGCTGGCGGGCAACTGACAGTAGAAGATCTAGACTGTGCATACATATTCTTCTGACTTCCAAACCTCCACGTTCGACCAACCAGCAAACTTGCCCATTGGCGGCATTCATTCGGCTCACCTGTGCTACTGGCAGTCGTTACCGTCTCTTCTACCCACTCTTTGCACCGAACCCCTCCCTGGATCATTGCAGATTGGATTATATGTTTTGCTACTGACGTGCTGATTCTTGTGTACATTGTAGCAAGCGGCATTGTCTCAGACTACCTGGCTGCTGCCAACCTGTCATGTCACTGGCTTTAAAAGACCGTTTCCGGTGTGCTGCTTGCCGAGAATTGTTGTTTGAGCCATTGACGTTACCCTGCGGGTATTCCGTGTGTTGTCGGTGCTTTCGCTCTCATACCGGGCATTCAACGGGCCGATCTCGTGCTGGCCAAGAAGAAGCTGCCAAACCTGTCACCGACTCCCATGAAACACCGAATACGACACACATATCCTCTCCACCTTCGCCTACGACAACTTTCTATGTGTGCCCCGCACGTCCATGTCGACAGAAGCACCCTTATCGACAGGAGCGACCGGATGTTATACTGTTACACATACTCCACACTTACATTCCGTTCGAGACTGAAGCTCTCCAGCTCGTCAAGAAAGGAGAGGAGCGGCTACGATCTTTGTTAAAAGATAAGGATGGTTTCGATGTTCAATTGGCGATTGAAGGTGTTGAAGACAATGAACTGGGAATGCTTTCTCATGATTCTGCCAATAATGTAAGCGACTCCGAATCCGTTGATGGCAGGATACCGTCCGGTCGTCTTCGGCGCTCTATGCAGCGCGCGTTCGAGAAAAGGGGTCAGATCTTGAATGTCATCACTACATCGTTTACGCCGGCAATTGAACGAGTACCAACGCTGCAATTGCCATACCTGTTACGAGCGGAAGCACTTTCAGAGATGTTTTGCTTCAATGCTGCTTTGGAGGACGCACAGCGAGCACGACAAATGAATTCTTCGAATTGTCGTGGGATGGTCGCAGAAAAGCTGATCATCTGGCGGAAGAGCATCGCCGAACAAGCAGGAGAGAGTTTATCAGATGGAAAAGACTACGCAGATGACCCCTCGGTTGAGCAACGTCATACTAGTTCTTCAGACTATACGGCGGTGGACAGCAGTTTAAGTTCCGATGACCTCGACTGTAATCTCTGCCTTTCACTTCTTCATGACCCTGTTACCTGCCCATGCGGGCACACATACTGCCGGACATGCATTCTGTTCTCACTCGATAAGCATTCCCGTCAATGCCCGCTCTGTCGCATTCCGCTTCCGCCAATAGGATACTTTCTCAGTCGCCCAGCTAATCGGATTCTGGACCGTTTGGCTCGGGACCTGTTTCCTGAGGAATGGAACGCGAGGGCGCCGGGAGCTGAGAAGAAATTGAAGGAATTTGGACACATGGACGATGTTCCTATATTCGTCTGCTCACTAGTCTTTCCAGGAGCAGCACAGGCATTTCATATCTTTGGTAGGTGGAGGTTACCTCATTTGAGCGATCTTTGATTTGCGATGCTGATAGTCGAATTGGACTCAGAACCTCGCTATAGGGTGATGATTCAGCGTTGCATGGCGACAAATAAGCGCTTTGGTATTTGCCTCCCAAACCGGCATCCTACCCTAACTTCATCTGCTCCATACGTCAACCACGGCACTCTTGTTGAGATTCGCCATGTGGAACCCATACCGTCTCGCGAGCCTCTAGCCCAAACTCCAGAAGGTTCCCTCCCACGTCTCCTGATCGAGGTTGTTGGAATCCATAGGTTTCAGGTGCTAGATCGCAGTGTCGATTCAACGGGCTACAATGTTGCCACCATCGAACGGATCGAGGATATCCTCCCTGAAGATGACACGTCTATCTCCCTTTCCCTCCGTCGAACAATGCCAGAACAACTCAATATCCTGACACAGCGCATACAGTCATTCACACAAGATCTACTAACCTCACTTCCTCAACGAGCTCGAACAACGTTCCAAAATCAACATGGACAACCACCATCGGATTGGTCGGACCTTTGTTACTGGGTTGCGGGCTTCTTACCGCTAAGTCCATATAGGCTTTATGAGTTGATGAGTCTGCATAGTGTTTTGGCGAGGCTGGAAAAGGTTTGTGAGTGGATTGATGAGGTTGTCGGGAAAAGTGCATAGGCCTGTGGACGTTAGGGGACATATTGGTGTGGTCTTTGGCATTTAGGTGTATATCTAGTTGGCGCTCACTGTCACTTCATTCTTCATAAATTTCTGGTATATTTTTATGTGTTTTTTGTGTTGATTTAACGAGTAGTAAGCTGAGTTCCGCATCATTTCCGATGAGTCCAGACACATGACCCAGGTTGAGGTTGTCGCGTGCCTAAGCCTCCTTTGCACGACCTGGCACCAAAAGCCATGTATTCAGGCACAGACGATCCTCAAGTGAGACCCAGAGTGAGACCTCGACAACCATACAGAACACGACAATTACCGCAGATGCCTCACCATCTTATACCCTGCAAGAACTATGAAGATAGTTCTGATTGCTAGTGCCGGAGCATTATTAATGGTCGCATCTCAAGGTGCCCCACCACCCGGTACCGGCCGAAAACACTTGATGAACGTGGTGAGCGCTCATATCCACAATGTCCTTTATTCACCCTGCCTAGCTCAAACTTTGTCAGCCTTCTATCCGCATTCCTATTGATACACATGTACTCCGGCCTTGGGCACCATCTGAACGTGCCACTAAGGGCGGCGAGGACGGGTATGCGTGGCAGCACTTTCTTTTCCTCCTGCACTGCATTGACTCCTGCACTGCATTGATAAATAACGCTAATGCATTCATTGTATGGGCATGGTTAGGCAGAGTGCAAGAGCGGTAGCCTAGTTACTAGTTTAACACTGACGCTCTTTAGCCCATCTTTTTAGAATAGGTCCTCTGACAGCAGTATTCTAAAGCACACCGTGGGCTACCACCATGTGAATAATGAGGAGAACCCTTCCCACCACCACGACTGCAATTATTGTGAGATATCTTGAAAACGATATGGAAAAGGAGTAGCTGCTGCAATCTACAATTGATTTTTTGTTAATACAATCATTCCACCATGTACGCAAAGAAACGACGCACCTTTGAGGAGGTACCCAACAATGCCGAGTCGAAGGCATATTGGGTCGGTCTCGGCCTCAACCCCGACTTTAGCTGCAAATTCACCTCGCCACGAAAGGGGTGGAGTAAGTGCGAGGCATTCGACCCCGACACAGGCGACAAATGTGGAGTAGACATGCGCAAGCAGTCTACAGATTCACTTCGTTTTGATCTGTGTGCGCGGCACACCATGGAAGGGGCTCACCAGCTCTTGCTAGTGAGGGAGTGGCTCTCCACCTTCCCTTTTCGTGAAGGGAGCGATGAAAAAGAGAAACGGATTCTCAGCGGGAACATTTACAAGAAGATGGATGCATCAGGCAGGTGGCATATTGGGCTTCGTGATGACTTACCGGAACACTCGTTCAAAATAGGGTTTTCTCTGGCATCCAACGAACCCCTCGACGAGGGCTTTTCAAGGTCTGAAGAAGAATGTGGAGCCTGCTTTGGGCCAACTCTCCCCACACACAGGGCCTACCTGCTGGCCCGGTGCTTAACAGCATTTTCGGGTTTCTTCTGGCCGGCTACAGGGCCGAAATAGGCTGCAGCTGTGAAAATGGACTGGACCTCCATCCTTACCAAAAAAAAACAATGTAAATTCAGGAGTAGGTTGTACATGGCAGATAGCTACACATATTTTTTTATTACCTGAATGACTATAACACGAGCGGTACTCCACATACATGAAAATGGATTCAATGTCCAACCTGGGCCCTGACTCTCCTATTCTCATCCTCCACAATCCACTCCATCCTTTCCACCTCCGCACCCCTTAGAAGAGCCTCACATTAAGCATTCATACTTCTAGACCGTTCCCGCTCTTTGTAACTTTGCCCTGTATCCGGCTGCAATTGGTCTTTGTCGCTCTTGTCGAGACTTTTACTTGTCACTTTCCCAGAAGATGCATAAGTCGGCCGTCGCTGAATCTGTATGAGAGGTTGTGGAGTTAAGGAGGCTAGCAGAAGCCATATTTTGAGAGCCGGAAACTGTCTCTACAACACACCCTAGTATTAGTGCCAGCGCCAGGACTCTGTGGTCAGCGTTGCATCCTTATGAAGGTCGAACCAGTGGAATGACATTCTTTATGTAGCCCCCGCACCTGCGACCAAAAAGAAAGCGAGCGGCGAAGACGCCCCCAAAGCTAACCATGCGTTCGCCACACAAGAATACCGCGGCACAACACCTCGTGAGTTTCTCAACACTTCTCTACAGCTCCGTACTTCTGCATCGCAGTTCATGTTCGACTGTATCCTCAACGACCTTTCCCTGCGGTGTCCGTAGGCAAGTCTCGGTGGCATGGCCGCTGAATGCGGAGCAAAGCTCGAAAGAGATTTGTAACAGACCTCGTCTTTATAAGCTGACTTTATAAACATGACACATGCATCTATAATTTCACCACTACATAGCCTCTGTCTGCGGGATAGGTCCTGGCGAAAGTATGGGAGATAATAGCGTAACAATATATACAAGATATAAAATGATATGAGCAGCAGTCATCCACATTAGACCTCCCCTTCATCCGACGACGAGGTATCCGTACTAAAATACATGTCACCATCTACACCCCTTCGTCTTTTGCGACGTGGACGACGAGTTGGGTCCCGGGATGTGCTGGTAGGGGGTATCAGCTTCTGCTCGATCGATAATCCCTTTTACAGTACCTTTGATCGCCCATCTGAGCTAGTGTTTCCAGCGCATCATCGGAATCTTCAGGTAGCTCGTGTTGTTCCCCAGCATCATTCATAGAGGCACCGCTTGAATTGGCCATCCATATTCCATCTGTGGACGTATCGGTCTCCATTGTAAAACGATTCCAAAATATTTCTGATTCCCCTTCGCTTTCATCGTCAGAACTGTCTTGATCCGTCGCAGGTCCCCATAGCGTGTCACGGGCCTCGTCTTCCGCAAGCTAGAAATGGCCTTAACATTACAATGTGACGCTTTCGCATGACTTTATGAATGCGTACCAACAAATCGAAGAAGGTCAGGGTTCTGAGATCTTCCTCAATAGATTCATCCTCCTCATCGTGCAACATCATTTGGAGTGTCAGGAGGGGATTCAAATGACTCGTTGAGCGAGCCCTTTCACAGGTCTTTTGATCGCCTACAATGCAGGGTCATAAATAAGGACCCGAACAGAGCTGAAAATGAACGCGTAACAAACCATTGGCTTCAAATGGGAATGGAGAGAACATCCGGATCGTCTTTTCAACGCCTAAAAAATGACCTAGATTAGCACTTCTAAAGAATTATCGCCAATATCCATACCAGCTGTCGCAACCATGGGTCGGGTCGGGTGATGCACCACAGAATTGACAATGCTCCGATGGCCTTCAGAGCGTATTAGCCGCCGTCATTAACTTACCAAACGCCTTAGCAATACCCACCTTTCAATACAAAGCAAGCTTCATTAATTTCCATCGGTTTTACTTGTTTTTCTCCCGACACATAGACAACCTCGTTGCCCCCTTCCACTTCCGCGCCAGTTTTAGCCCCCCTCTCCATCTCCACTGCGCTTGGAAGTCGCCATCCGTATGCTCGGAAGTCGTCGCTTCCGCTGAGGAAATAGACATCATCCATACCACCGAAGGCACCTGTTTTTACTCTAGGTGCAAAGAGACGACACGGTTAATGATCATGCACTTCAACTCTGTTATCCTTCATCCAAACTCACGTGGCAACGCTTTTGAACCCATGAGCACCGTCGCTTGTAGTTTTCAAGACACATACTGGGTCAGGTGAACTGGGCGTGTAAAGTGTAGGGTACCATCTGTGTATGATAGCTCCTATGTATCTATTGATGAAGATGCCCCGTTTGTTGAAAATAACTGTGAGTAAGCGATAGGTACTAGATACGCCTTCGCCGAAAGTCCAATTGTCACAGACCTGCCATCATGACTCCAAACCGCCGACGGTATGTCTGCCGGTCGTGCTGTGGCTGAACCCCGTCGGAGCTGTGTAGTAAACTAATTATATGTCAACAGGCGCTCCAACAAATAAGGTATGATGAGCTAAGACAAACCTTTCGCACCGGGGACGGTGTGGCACTTGATGGCTCCTTCCAATGCCGCTTAACAAGTCTTAGATCGTGCAAGCTATGACGTATAAGAGAGCCACATAAACAGCCGCGAAGTGCACAGTTGTGACTAGATGCAGCTCGCACACATACAGAACACCCCCTTTATCATCACTTGTCAAGAATAATCTATCTGCAACGGGATTGAAGTTGACAGAGTTTTGTCGGATCCCCGGCGTTTTTATTTGGCCCTGAAGTTGATCAGCGCACCGAGTGTCGAAAAGCTTTACGGTTGCTGATGCATAGTATGGTCAGAACATGATAAACTGGAATACGAAAAGTCGGAGGCATTATCTTACAATCTTGACTGCTCTTTCAATGGACATAGTTATTCAGTTGAGAAAAGGAGGACAGATTGCGAACAAGTGAATCAGCCCTGATTTTCACAGCTCATGAACTCCAGCATGTTAATTGGCACGCACCTTGCGGTTAGAACCAAACTATCGTTACCAGGACATATGGAAAGCTTTAATGCGGCTTCTTCATGCGCTAGCACGACATCGATCGCTGTTTTTGAAGGACCTTTCGCAAGAACTGTGAGCTCGAAGTATTTTGAGGGTTATTAAATACCCTGAGACGACAGACCTTTCAGTGCACTTGTGATAGGTACTGCGGAATATTCCACATCGTAATGGAGGAGAAGGCCGTCATTGCCGCATCTGGTGGCAACGTTCTTGAGGCTATCAATTATTTCCTAAACAGCCGCTACTTACGAGAAGAACTTTCTATCAGTCGAGTCAAATGAGACAGAGAATATATTGGAAACATGTCCGTGGTATTTTCCTATTGGCTGAATCGTCGACCGGAACTCATCCACTGGCCATAGCTTCAAACACGCGCGTCAGCCTGCATCCATATCTCCCTCTGTCTGCTTCATCACAGCTTACCAAAATCTTCTTGTCATCCCCTCCAGTAGCCATTAAGCTTCCAGAATTGGAAAACGCAACAGCATTAACGCAGCCGCAGTGTGCTTTCAACGTTCTTGAATGCGACAATAGCGACGGATAAGTATGATACACTCTCTTCTCTGGCAAGTGTACAGCCCAAATGGAGGCATTTTCTTTCCTAGACCCACCTTCGGCACTCCCACTGCCCTCCCACTTCCCTCACAGCGGCATCATATACTTTTCTATCCGAAACGGAGCGGGGTGTCCAGGTCTCGCGAGTATTTAGCAGTTTGAGAAGACGTGGAACACCGCCTGCCATTAGACTGACTGACTCGCTTGCGGTGTGAGAAATGGTCAAGGGTATCACAGCACACGGCGGCATCAACACGATGATGAGTGGAGTCGCAGAGTGGAAAGTCCACATGTACGTCGAGGTTGTGTTTACGAAATTACGATCATTTGGACTAATCACGTGAAAGCACCTTAGTAAACGCATCCTCTTCCTGCCAAAAACTTTGGCCACCTTCAATTAAAAACCATAGACCAGGCTTGTGCGTAACTCGGCTTTGCTCCATCAGAGGCCCCCGTCTTGTGGGCTGAGACAAAGGACACTGGACGGTTTCGATAGTCGGTTGGAGGAACACTCGCTAATGTGGACATTGCAAGAGACTTGACCAGCATGATAATGATATGATAATTACAACTACATGAAATCCTCCTCAATGGCATTGATGTCCAAACCCCGTCGCTCTTCCAAAAGCTCTTTATTACTCTTCATGCGTTCATCTTTGAACACGGTACTGTAGCTTCGTAGCTCCGCTTCTTTGCGTTTCTGCTCCTGCTGCTTCAGCTCGCTTTGCCTCTGAGAACCCAAATCAGTCAAAAAAATGTAAAATATGGGAGCTGGTAAACAGACGACGTACTTTACGCTTTTCGACCTCCCTCAATTCGTTTCTAGTCTCACGATCCCTTTGAATTTTGTCTTCTGCCAAATCCGGATATTTCTCCACCTTTGTTTTGTTCAACCGGTTGACTATCGCATTCTCCCTCTCTTTAACATGGATTCGTTTTACCATGTTATTTCTGTGGAATGTCACCTGCCCAGTTTCCATCCCTGGAGTTTTTTTAAGATTGCTCCAAGGAGTATAGATGATGGTCAGATTACTTTTCTTGTTTCCTTCGATGCTGTTCGCTTTCGTGAGCTGAGCGAGGTCAGTGAGAAGCTCCTCGGAAATATCCTCCCATGACTGCCCTTTCTGTAGCCGGAGATAGACGTGGGCGGACGAAAGCTTGTCAACGTGAAACCTGCCCAAACAAGTTAGTATAAGAAAGAAATCGTACAAAGCGCAACGTTCAGCTATGCTGTTAGCTGGGGTTGCTTACCATACGTCCTCCGGCCATCCATACTTAATTAATTCCTCATCTAAATGTATAAACAAGTGAAGGCTCATGAGTGCTACTTCACATTTGTGAAAACAACCGCCTCCACGCCTTGTATAACATACTCTCATATTTGTCCTTCCCCATGTAAATCTCGGCAGCGGGCGAGACCACTATACAAAAGAAACATGGCCCATATTATTAAGAGACTACCCTTTAGGAAAAAGTCCAGAACGAAGACTAACAATACCGTTGCTGGAAAAATAGAAGACCATGCTGACGTCTCCCGTCTCGCCACCGATCCTTCCAAACGTCTTCTTGCCAATCGCTTGAACAACGGGAAAGGCAAACGTCTATCTTTGAATACCAATGGATGACTGTGCCGCTGTGCGCAGCAGATGCCATTTCAAGCCGGTTCCTGCCATTCAAATGGCAGCTCACAGACGCGCGCGTAAGCTGGCCGTCCTCCTTTCGCCTTTGGATGTAGATGACCATGGCAGCAGCGTTTGTGGCGGACTTTGCGGGTGCACCGGGGTCGGCTGGACTGGTAGAAGCCTCTGCAAGCAAGCCAGTTATTCCTGATAGCTTCCATTTTGATGAGGAGAAGGTAAATAGATTTCACTGTTGAAAAGCATAGTAAGTATACTAATGACCAATTGTTGTCTGAATTGGCAGTTCAATGCTGCAGACACGACAGAAAAGAAAGAGTTATTTCTGTTTCAGGTATCATTCAAATTCTCTATATGATGGGTTCAAGGAACTTGTTGTCCTCATTGTGCAATCGGCAGTGGTTGTCTATTTTAGCAAGGGACTTGAATAAGTCGTCGCTGGTAAGCACGTCCCCACCCTTTGTCTCTTGGGCCCCTTTAGCTTGCCCCATGGATATGAAATAGGTAGTCTAAGTCTATTTTGTGCTTCAGGACACCATCAAGGCTGGCCAGGCGGACCTGGAAAAAACTCTTCTGAAATTCCTTGCATCTACAAATCCCAAGCCCTCACGTCCGATTCGCCGACTGATATCACGATGCCTCGTCGTAATATATATGAATGGAGACAGTAGGACTTTATTTGATACGTTGTCGGCAGTGCAGGGGATGATGGTTAATAAGAAGCTAGAAGATCCATCTCTTCGGATGTACGTGTCAGCACCATCCGCAGGCATTACTGGCCGGTTCAATGTTGCTAACTCTTGATATCAGTGCAGCGGTATATTGCGTGGGAATCTTGTCGGAAACACATGGTGGAAAAGTCTGTACATATACCGTGCTCTTCAATTTATCCTATGGTCTAACTGAGGACGCTCCCACTAAACTTAGTTGATGTCCTTATTCCCCGAAACAGTAACGTCACTTCTCAAATTGTACAAGAATGCGAAAGAGTCAGATGTACAGTCAAACGTGAAAGAAGCGCTTAACTATTACGGCAACTGATGTGCGTTTTGCTGTCATAGGTGGCCTTGCGATACGAGACCATTGTCGCTCTGACAAGATCCCTAAAAGGCGCTGGAAAAGGCGCTACGGATGTTATGGTTAAGGACATCGTAAAAGTTGCAAAGGCATGTGTAGCTGATAAGCTCCCGTTGATGAGGATAGTATCGGTAGAGGTAGATATCCACGATTTGCAATACTGCTCGAGACATCTGAGGAACTCACAGCAACGTTTATAAAGCTGCTTCAAGCAGTATACGAGCACACCTTACAGGCACCCCCTGCAAAATTGGATGAGTACGAGTCGTTGCTTGCTACAACCATGAAGGCTCTAGAATCGGCGAACTATGGTGTTCGTCGCGGTATCGCTTCCTTCGTGGCTACCCTCCTAAACCTGTCTCAGCAGCCAATGCAGAAGAAAGCGACCGCAAAGAAAGGTCAGAAGGGTGCAGTGGCCGAGCCAGAGGCTGGCAATGCATCCAGCGCGACAGAGCAGAACATTCTGACGGTCGAGGAGATGCTTGGTCTATTTTGCACTCTCTGTACTAAGGCTACGTCACGAGAAATGCGCGTTGGGATAATAGAGGCGTATGCGGTCACTTTGAAGAGACTCGGAGTCAAGTTTGTGGAGGGGAATTATGCGACTATCGTGAAAAATGTGGTGGATATGGCAACTCATCCGAAACTTACAACAACTCCTGTGGACACCATATTCATGCGAGAATCGGCGGGATTCCTGCTCCGCGATGCTGTAGGGAAGATGCTAAGCGAAGTGGCTCAAGTGAATGCCATGAAAGAACTGGGGAACGGATGGTTGCGGAAATGGCCACCCGTTCTTGGAACGGACGTGGCACCGTCAGAACACGCACTTGTGTGTATTCTGAATGAGCTTGCTGCCCTGTTGATTGATTTGGGCCCTGCTGCAGCGGGAGAAGAGGGTGCTGTGGTTGAGCCGTTATTCAAGCTTGTTGCTCATCCTTCACGATCGGTAAATCTTGCACTGGCGTGGTGCTTACGAGCACTTTCTCTCGCACTTCCATCCCACCTGTCTCAGTTGATCAGCAAGATGATGGCGCTAATTCAAAAAGACTTAGTGCATCTTCATGGAGACAAGCCCGAGTTTCTAAATCGATTCATCGGATATGGAAATGCTCTGGCGGCCTTGATCAGCGCAGCCCCAAGTCATACATTGTACGTGTCATTCGAGATCATGGCCCGTATCTTTGGATTGTCGGTGCAGCTACTCAAAAGTGCTTCAGTGTCGAAGGATTACAGAGCTATGGCGGCACAAACCCGTGTTGCTTGGACTCTTATAGGAGCGTTGATGTGTCTTGGACCCGATTTTGTGCGGGTGCACACGTCTCAGCTATTGTTGATTTGGAAGAACGTGTTTCCAAAGCCAGGTGCGAAAGACAACACCACGAGAACTGAAGCCGAGTGGGAGTATCTTCTTACCAGCAAAGAAGCTGCTCTGGCCGCCTTATATAGCTTCATGATATACAACCCAAAAGAAGTAACATCAACGGACGTCGCCAAGCGGATTGCGCTATTTTTGAACAATACCCTATCCTTCATGTTGGCACTGCCAATTGTGTACACCTCGACCGGCCCTCTACCGCCCGGTGCGCCAAATCCTGAATTGATCTTCGTTCGCATGGAGAGCTTCTTGCGTAGACGGCTATTCGTTTGCTTCAAAGTTCTCAACCCGCCAGCAACATATGAGATGAGCTATTCTCTACTTCTTCGCGCAGCTCTTGACGTGTTTGCACCTGATCCGGAAAAGATGCAGGAGCGGTTTGGTCCGCCGCCTACCTCGCCAGATAAGGCGAACCAAGCCGCCGCTCAGCAATCTCTCTTGACATCTTTGCTGGAAGGCTCTGTTGTGCACGTCGCATCCACTTTAGGCGCTGAGGACCGCGGTATTGCGCGCGTCTTGAATAGGGACACGGATGTGCAGGCCCTCGAGAATCTGGTAATTCCCCTCTTCATGGTGAAATCCTACTGATTATTGAATGCAGCTTAACGCCGTTGTAGATTGAGCAGCAGGTTCCTGGAAGTTTGGAAAATGACCCGCATTGCCTATATCTTCAAACTAAAATCCAGGATACGCCGTCCAACAACATGCATACTTACGAGCTCGTCAATAGCCGTCCAAGTCCGCCGCCAATACACATCGCAACCGTGGACGCGGCCATTGAGCTGTTTGCGCTTTTACTGCCATTACAGAATCCCGCAGTTCAAGAATCTTTGATGGAGCAGTTGATTAGTCTGACGAAGTATCCGGGGACCAAGATACCGCCGGGTCGGAAAAGAGCAATGCAACTGAACATTATGGCCGCTGTAATTGGAGTTCTGAAACATGTGATGGTGAAGAAAGGGGCTCTAGCCAGCGGGAAAGTCTCGGTTGCAATTCGTGACTTGGTAGAAGTGAGTTCATCTTTCCAAATCATGATTCGCTCGCGCTGGTGCGCTAACTAGACTGAACAATAAGGAATTTCTGACGGGTCCTGATCCTGTATTTCGCACCCTATCATGTGAGGTACTTGGTCGACTGGCCCGTATTGTTGGTACAGCCACATTCGTCAATCCTTTGATACAGAATCTCGTGGACAATGTGGTCAAAAACCGCGATCCAGATGTGCGAGCGGGTTCATCATTAGCACTGGGATATATTCTCAGCTATGTTGGTGGAATGGCTGCTTCGTCACAGCTTAAAACTGTGGTGGGGATTCTGCATTCGCTGGCAACCGATCCGCATCCTCTGGTCCACACCTGGGCACTACATTCACTCTGGCTTGTAATCGAAAGTGCTGGTTTGATGTATGGGCCTTTCGTTAACTCGACGCTCTCTGTTGCGGTCAAGTTACTCATGTCGGAAAGCCACGAGATAACTGCCGCTGCCGCAAATGAACAGGGAAAAAACAGTAATAATGAAGTGTACCCTTCCATCGGACGGATTCTTTACGCGTTAGTGGGTGTTATCGGACCTGAATTGCAGATGTCAACAAAAGTCCGCGAGTTGTGCTTCAGTTTGTATGAGGAACTAAAAAACGAAGAGGATCCTTTTGTGGTTGTGGAGGCCATCCGTTGCATCCAGCATTTCATTTTGTTTGCGCCTAAGCATGTGGATATCTTTACATTGATTCCGTTCTTGCAGTTGCAATTGACTGGCAATTACAACACGCAAGGTTATTTAACGCGAAAGGCGGCGGTGACCTGCTTGTATCAGCTCACACAGCGGAGTCCCGACTTAGTGCTAGAGGCCGCGGTCAACAATCAGCTGGAAGAGCAGCTGTTTGCATTGCTGGATATGGAGACAGATGGAACGGTCAGAGACGAGATTAGAGATACTTTAACAAACCTACTGAAGCATGTGGCTCCCGAACGACCGTCCAGATGGCTAGACTTGTGTAAAAGCATCCTGTCCAAAACAGGGGGACCAGTTGGCGCTGCCCCTACTGTCGACATCGCGACAATTGCTAATCCAGCGTCAGTGATTGGCGCTACTCATGAGGAGGATGATGACGATATATTTGGCGTTGATCATTCTGATGCAGAACAAGCCGGTAGAACTGAAGGCGGCGGACCGGCCAGCGCGGTGGGAACTGCGCCTGGTGCTCCATTGAGCATCTCAGCCAAACTCGTTCTCCTGCTGCTTATGCCACGGTGGAGGACCCAAGGTTTCGCATTGGCCTGCCTCCGCCAGCTGTTATTTGTCATGAGGGATACGAAGGTGAAGGAACACTTTGATCTGGGACTGGCAAGAACAGCAGTTGAACGGCAGGGAAGGAAGCTGGATTTGCTTGTGTTCCGATTGGCCGATTTAATTAGGATGGCATTCTCCGCCGCAACGGCAAACGTTAACGATTTGAGGTTGGAAGGATTGAAACTGCTTCGTGAGATCCTAGAGGTATGAGGCAACAGTTCGGAAAAGAACGTGAAGACATTCGAGTGACGTTCGTCTCGCACTCCTAGATATTTGCCGCCGCGCTAGACCCCGATTACGAGGACCATGCTTTATTGGAGCAGTACCAGGTTCACTTGATCAAATAGCGTCGCCTGCTTCGTACCCTAATTTCTGACCATTGTGTCACATCTCAGGCGCAAATTGGCGCGGCTCTTACTCCAGCGTTTGCGAATGACTCCGCCCCGGATGTGCTCAGTTTGGCTTGTCACGTCTCAGCTGTCTACATTGGTAGTGGGATCAATCGGGACCTTGGGACGCTCTCTCGAGTATTGCGACTTCTAACTGCCGTGATGGAGCGTTTCAAAGGTACTGGGTTCTCGCGCTTGCTATGAACTCAGATTTTAACTAAGATTTTGGTCTACGCAGACAATGCCAATACATCAGCCGGTCAAACAACTCCACATGCAGACGTCCTATTACGAATTTCCATTGTCACAGCGTGGGCTAACCTCCATATTGCCAGCTTTACACATCGGTATTTGGAGGAAGTCACGAAGCCCAACCTTCCCACTTTGGCAGACCTTTGGATGTCAACTCTGCAAGATTATGCTAAAGTGAAGCTGGATCCCGATGTTTTGTCTAATGCTGCTGGTGACCCAAGCGCTCGATCTAGCATGGACAGTTATCTGGAGGCAACGCGACATGTTGTTTTACCTGTACGTTGGCTTTATAGACATGGTTATGTTCGTCCGACAGTCCGGCTAATATGCGCTTGGTTTTACCTTAGTTTTACCGAAAGTCTTGGCTCTTCATTATGCAAGCGTTGACAAGTTTAGTGGATACGCAACCCGATCTCTTTGTAAAGCAGCTACATGGGACAGTACCAGAGGAAGATGTACGATTACCAAAGACTTTCTACGTCCTTTTTGGACTCTGCGTCGAGGCACTTTCAACCACGGGCCTCGGCGCGGGCGGTACAGTCAAGCTAGGTGGAATTCCGGGATTGACAGCTGGCGGAAACATATCAAATACTGCTGCCCAGAAGAGTGAACGAGAAGAAACAATCATGTCAAAAGTGTGTCTGGAAAGTCTGAAGAGGCTTTTGACCCCAGTGGTAGTGGGGCATGAGTTCCTGGATCCGGTAAGGAATGGGTCAATAGCCAATTGCGAGCACTCATGCGAACACGAAATTGAGAAATTCAACTAAATCTTTGATTGTCTTTACATTAGCCGATGTTTTTGGAAGTGATGAACCTTTTTGATAAGCTTGTGCAAACGGAAGATGTTCCTGTCCAAATACATGTAGTCCAGATTGCTAGGCAAATAGTCTTGGAATTTGGCGACTATCTTGTAACAAATGACGCGGGGCTGAGCTCCCATGAGGGTTCGTTATCAAGGTATGCAACCAGTGATTTACCTCTCCTGCTAGTTTTTCTTGGTGTTCGTGCGCTTATCTCGTCCTTGTTAAAGCTCATTAGATACCGCTGGAAGTCCCTTGACTGAGAATCTCAGCATCGCTTCAGTGAAAGGGTTGAACGCGAAAGTGTACAAGGTCGTCAAGCTGCTGTTTGATGTATTTGCGTACCACGTGCCCACTCTTTCCAACAACCCTACCTCGACCGGTAAGAGCTATTGATCGAAATTCGAATAACTCTTCGACCCTAATTGTCTTTGAAATGTGCTCAGTCACTGCAAACAGAAATCTTACCCCTGACACAGTCGCGCTTCTGTCCTGTGCATTGGATACTCTGACTGTGCTGACGACGTCAGTAGGCGTTCGGGAACAATTCAGTGCCGAACTGGTTCCGATTGCGTTCTTTTTATATCTGGGTACGCAATGGATCATTCTCACCCGAAAGAAGATTGCTTAACCATAAGTTTTATAGCTATATTGAGCAACGACAAGTTCCAGGAAGACCTGGCACCCAGAGTCTTGCTGTATGTCAAAACATGTGTCGATGCCCTGGACAATGCACAACCGGGCAATGAGGATGCACGTCGGATTATCGCTCAAACGCTGCAATCTGCCGTGTCGACGTTACTGGACATATTCGACTACGAGATGTTAGTGCTTCTTTATCGTCAGTACATCTATCCATGATTGCTAACCGTGTATTCCCGATAGCTGGACTACAACAGCGGATTCATCCTCGCAGGAATCTGATGAGGTTAATTCTGTCATGATCAAGAACGGCTTGCTTGCCTCGGTCGTGATCATTACGTCCAGTCCAATGTTGAGCCATCATCCGGGCAACCAGGAGCGCCTTGTAAAGTGCCTGGGGAGATCGTTGAGGCATTTCAGTGAGCAGGTAAGGCGAAACCACGTGTGAATTCTGGGTTACTAGCCGATGTTCAACAACTATCATTTTGACTTTACAGCTGCCGTTGATATCCTTACAATGCATACGGACTCTGCTTGTCGCGACTGCGAAGTCTACTTTGATGCCAGCGTGGTTGGGGGTCATGTATGTGCGACTCTTGTTGCCACTGGTGACAGCATGGCTGCTGGATTGTGCTGAAGAACTCGCTGGATCGAGTGCACCATCGACAAAGGTTCCCATCATTGAAGAGGGATTGAAAATGCTACTGCTGTTTTATGGAATGGCTGAACTGCAAAAGAAAAGTAAGCTTTTTCCACAAGAAATTTGGGTTTTGGGATTAACTTAACAATGTCTTTTCTTGCATCTGAAGAGCTAGCCCTGTTATCTATTGTTGTTCCCGTCTTTATCCATTTCATTTCGGATTTTCCTGATGGTCAGGTGCCATCCTTCACATCATCCAGTGCTCGTCAACTTCATATCTTCGCCTGTCAAACACTGCTACAAGTTGCAGCGCAACACCCTCAACAATTCAAAGTGGCAATTGCAGGGCTTAAAGAAAGCCAAAGGGATATTTTGCAGAGGGGATTACAGAGCGTTGTTACACTACAACAACAAAATGTAGGAAGGGAGAGGGACAGCGTATCCGGACTCGATAGCGGGGTAACAGAGGGCGACAGGAACGCTACACCCAAGATCGCGTTGAAAAGTTTTGCAAACTTCGGATAGTTATTTGAGAATCCTATTACAGTTTATTTTTATGACTCGCAACAATACACTAAAACTTTCAAGAATGGAAAATGTTGGAGGTGTGGTGCTGTTGGGGATAATGCCGACGTCCTTTCGACAGAGCATCTGGCCCGTAGTTCTCTGAACTTGGGGCAAGGACGCTATTCGACGGATTACGTTTAATGGCGGAAGGGTGGGACGGGGTATATTCTTCATGGCTCATCATAGAGGCACGACCCTGGCCAGAGCCAGATCTCCCTAGGGCCCTTGTCTCGTCCAACCTATCCACATTGCTCTCAGCACCGAAGGGAGGCTGGCCGGGGCCGCTCAGATTAAAAATGTCGCTGGCAAGACGATAGTGGCGAGACACTGGCGCACTGATTGGAGGTGAGGATCCAAAGACGTTCGACTGGTTTTTATCCGTTCGGTAGCGTGAGCCAGCCTGCTTCGAGGTGGAAGGTTCTTCAGCCTGCACATTAAATACATCGGTGTAGGAATCACGGAGACTTCGCTTGCGGTGACTTGCCGCACGGTCAAGGTAATCCGCTTGGTTGCTGATTGCATAGCCATCACCAATGTGAGATGTATTTGTCATAGAGTTGTAAGAAGACATGATAGGCTCATGGTAGGTGCCAAAAACGATTTGAGAACGCCCGCCTGTTGTCTTGTTGCCGCTTGGTGAGTCTACAGGCGTGTGCCGTTCATCTTTTCCCTGGTTGGGATATTCGAACTCGTCTTGTCCCCAAGGCTGCATGCAGTGCATCAGTAAACAAAATTATTCTGAACTGTTAAGGTCTTACCGTTCTGAGCATTTCTGAAAAGATCTCGGAATGAAAGGTTTGTCTGAGTGAAAAGGTTTGTTTGGCTGGGCCTGTATTAACGCGCTATCGTAATGCGCGGGGCTTAGCCACGTGGATGTCCAGCCGAAACAGAGTTCGGGTGCTTGCATGACATAGTGCATAGTGCCTTTAACAATCATCCACTTGACGAGTTTCAAAATTGGTTATCTTGCAACTGTCCATTTCCAGAAGGACCTGTGATTGGATAACTATACAACCAATTCCAATGAATGCTGGGACCTGATTGCGGTGATTCCACGCTAGTTAAGGAGTACAAATATGGCAGACTGTTCAATATTTATATTGAGTCAGAAAGTGCACATTGATTAAGGAAGCTATATCTAGCTTATTCTTCGTCTGCGTCCTCGTTGTTATCCGCCTCCGCAATGTTGAAGTAGCGGAGTTCGTACGCAGTGCGCGCAACACTGATGACACGCACCCAGTCCCTGAGTTGGTGCTTCTTCAAGAACTTCTTGGTAAGGTACTTGATGTAGCGCTTGGAGAACTGGATGCTGGGGGAGGCAGTGACGGTGATAGTGCCTGAGCCGCCACGGGTAATGGTGATGGAGTCACCAAGGTTGCCAGTGCGGCCGTTGACCTTCACACGGTCGTGAAGGAATTTCTCCTATAATGATCGCATGGCAAAATAAGCATTTGTCTGAGACATCAACCGACTCAACAAATACACTTACGAAGGAAGCAGTGTCGAAGATACCGTCATTGGCCGGGCTGGAACAGTCAATGGTGTACTTGACTGGGGCCTTCTTGGCCTTGTTATCCTTCTTCTAATCACCCACAACAAGAACCAGACTCACTTTAATATCAAGCAGTCGAGCAAACCCGGGCTCCAGCCGCACAGTAACGTGTGGGGAGTGTGGCTACTCTGTCGCTTGCAGCGTGTTGCTCCTTGCAAAAGGCAGAAACTGCAGCAACCCCATCACAGCAGAAGTGACAGCACACCGGGACCAATTGAAAGGACTGCAGAAACACTTACGGTGACAGCCATTTGTTTAAAGAGAAGCGACGGGAGATCTCGAGATCCAAGCGAGTTGGCCGTAGAGAAGCGTAGGAAGGAAGAAGGACGAAGGGGCTCAGCGCTGGGCAGAAAATTAAAACATTAGAAAAAAGAGGTATCACGTGCTAGGTTCCAATGCAAAGTGTGGTTGGATCCCAGTTCCACACCAACGGCGCGCAGGAAGCGGCTTCCCAACAGGTTTCACGAGGCCGCGAAAGCCCGCTCCAAACTTGACACATCCTTTGGCCATCGACGGGTGTCGCTGTCTTGCAGATCCTTCTTCCTTTCTACCAGTGTTGCAAACATGCCAGCGCCAGCATCTTCCCATATCGGCATCGCGAACTTGCCTAATCAGCGGCATCGGATCGTGTCGCGGAAAGGCGCTAATTTGACTGTTATGGTCGTCGGTATGTCTTGGAAATGGCGAAACTATGTGCTATAACTATATCAGCGCGATTTATGCAACCGTGGTTAAGGTGAATCCGGCTTGGGAAAAACAACGTTCATCAACACCCTTTTCACAACCCTTCTTCGAGAGTACAAAAAGCCTGAACATCGCTTCCAAAAGCAGCTGGAACGCACCGTACAGATTGACGTCGTTCGTGCTGGTTGGTTACGCGAGTAAACAGGATGATTTGGAGCTCTTTGTCCATTTTTCTAATACCTTGATGGTTCTCAGAGATCGAGGAGAAGGGCTTCAACGTACGTTTGACGGTCATCGACACTCCCGGTTTTGGAGACTACGTGAATAATCAGGATTGTTGGGTTCCTGTGGTCGAATTCATTGATGAGCAACACCATAACTTCATGATGCACGAGTCGCGTGCGCAGAGGCAGGAGAAGGACGATCTTCGAGTGCACGTTTGCTTGTATTTTATTCAACCAACTGGTCATACGTAAGTGAGAGATGATACGGATTAGTGTTGACAAGTCTCTGATGATTCTCATGACTTTCCTGGCAGTCTGAAGCCCTTGGATATCGAAGTCATGAAACAGTTGGGCTCACGGGTAAATCTCATCCCTATTGTTGCAAAAGCCGACACTTTGACCCCTGGAGACTTGGCGATTTTCAAGGATCGGGTATGCATGCTATTAACCTGTGCCATGCTTTGTATTGCATCTAATTGTGAAGTAATTGAAGGTTCGGGACTGTCTGTCTACCCACAACATTACCGTGTACAGCCCGTCTGTGCAGAGCGACGATGAAGAGAATACACGAAGGAACCAGAGTATACTGGTGCGTTTTAACGGCGATGAGGGGCATACTACGTGGTGCCGTTACTGATGTGTGAGATTTAGTCCGCCATGCCGTTCTCCGTTATTGCAAGTGAGCAAGATGTGGTCGTTAATGGGGAAAAGGTCCGGGGTCGTCAATATCTATGGGGCGTTGCGGAAGGTATGGGTCAAGAAATACTTTTATCAGCATATCTGCCGTCCTTCCTAATGGTATGCGCTCTAAGTTGAAAATGAAAGCCACTGCGATTTCAAAAAGCTCCGTAATCTCCTTATCCGGTAGGTATGAGTACGTATGAAGCTGTCTTGAATTTGATACTCATTACAAGACTATTCGCAGCACCCATATGCACGATCTGATCGCCAGCACCGAGGAAAATCACTACGAGAACTTCCGTATAACCAAATTGACAGCTGAAGGGCGATCGGATGATGACCCAGCCATGAGGGCACGGAAAGGGTTGGAGACGAAGATGAAAGAGGAAGAGGAGGCTTTGCGAAAACGTTTCACCGAGCAGGTCCGCATGGAGGAGAACAGATTCAGGCAGTGGGAGCAGCGGGTAAGTGCTTGCAAGTTTTCTGCAATTTTGATGGAAATTGCCGATAACCGTGTTCTTCTTAAACAGTTGATTGCCGAACGTGACCGCCTAAACAAGGACTTGGAAACGCAGCATAAATATGTCAAAGCTTTGGAGGAAGAACTGGATGAACTTGTTGCACAGAGAAGGAAATGATCTGAATATAGAAACACAAGAACTGCGTGGGCGAGCCCCGCGTTCCCAAAAAGAGTTTAGAGTGGACTTTTTATTCCTCATCATGTTTATATCTTAAAAGCCGGATGTTCTACGTGGGTTTACGCTACTGTCGTTGATAAAGAATATAAAAAAGACATCTATCTATGTAGCCTTACGAATGTGAATTGTTGTTTTTTTTTATGAAGTTGATAGCTTGCCCATAGTTGCGTAAGTGACCAAATCAACATTCTACGGCTAGGTTTCTCAAGAACGGGACAACGGGAATGTCTTTTCGTACACGGGTGTATCTGGATGTGCACCAAGACAAATGCATAGTGTCAACCGCTAAGCCTTTTACCAGAATCGAAAATGCGCACCTTGATAGTCATTTACGAAGAGGGCATAGGTGGCAGTCGGGGTACTTTGGGTGGTGTCAATTGTAAACATGGCCCATTTGATGTTTCCAGGGCGCCAAGCAAAGATTTTCTCGTCCTGACCTGTTTCTATATATGTATCGATGGGACTACAATGTGACATGTATAAGCATGTAGGATGCGAGCTTGATTGACGACACGAATGCCTACCTATAGAAAGCCTGTAGCGGGCTAATCCGATTCGAGAGTGGGTCATGCAAATTGTTGTATTCGAAAAACCGCTGCAGAAACAAATACCTTGTACTGAACTCAATGACATTGCCTGGCAACCGCGTGATAGCGACTTCATGTCGGTCGCCGCTGATCGCCAGCACATTCTGGATCCGGTTCCTCGATATAAAATCTAAAATCTCCTGCCGCTCCTTTAAAGGGAAACTTCATTAATCCGCGAGTTGTAGAACGTTTTCAAATGTAATTCCTACTTTCAAGAATCCTGCCCAGGTATCGGTATGCTCCCACTGCCAATTTTGGGTAAACGGAACCGAACTGACTAGAAATTTAACAGTATGTGTAGAATTAACTGTGTTGCAGATATGTCAGCGAGAGTATCGGGAGTTTCTATCAGAGCTCGCAGCCACTATACCTGCAAGTAACCAATCTTTCAACCTTGTCTTTTGTTTCTCCCCGAGCATTGTTTCCTCTTCGCGATTTCTATATCCTCGCGCATCCATAACAAAGAAAGCTGTATCTCCAAACTCATATTCAAAGACAGCACTGACATTGGCGTCCTCATGGGGGTTGGACAGCCCAGCATATTCATTGAAGGCTTGGAATGCCGCAGGATAGGGCTGCTGGCTATCCCATTCCCAGTTGTTCAACACCTCGTGGTCATCGTAGATTGTCATGAACGGCAATCTGATGCCAATGTGGCATTAGCCACTGCCTAACGAGCCCGATGACATGAATATGCGCACCTGCTGAAAGTCTTCCGGAAATCAGGTTTAGAATAGAGATAACGATAATGCCAGCGGTAGGTGTCCACGTCCGTTCCATATAGATATGGCGCGTCTACAAAAGAAGTTGCGTATCAGCTAACCAAGCGGGAATCTGGGCAAGACCAGCATTGATCTCACCAGCATAGATTAAATCTCCCAAGAACATGACGAAGGATAGGTCCTGACGCCCCATTTCATGGAAGCCTCGTAGCCCCTATAGGAAAGGCCGCATAAGTTTCGCGGAGCTAACTCAATGGCCTGGTTGGTCGCACCTTGGTCCCGTAGGGAAACCCGGGCTTCACACATGACGTATAAGCAAACGAAAACTTGGCTGGAGCGCGATCCGGCGGAGCCGTCTTAAAGTACATATCTCGCTCGTCGGACTCAGGAAATAGGGACCTCCCTGTTGCCACCGACCGCCACCGATACCGGTATTGAGTTTCGGGAGACAGTCCCGTGCACTTGACTGAAGCAGTATAATCAGAGCTCGGGCTAACAGCAACACTCGACTCGCAAGATTGCCATCCAGTGTCTCCCTCTACCCGCTGGTATTCCAGTTGAATTTGGTGCTCGGTCGGGGACCTCACAAAGATTTTTGCAAAGTCTGGGCCGATTCCTCCAACTCTTGAGACGAGTAAATCATAGTTCTTTTGGAATAAATAGTCGCTGAATGTGAAGTCCAAACACAGGCCGAATAAGACTGTGTTTGTGACGATCGCCAACACCATCAATGCTGTCCGTAGCTTCCGCTTTAGAAGAAAGTGCTTCAAGCCTTGACCAGGAGCACCATCAGAATTGCGTCAGATCCCTGCATCGACCTTAAAACAACGCACCTATCACATCTGTACCTTCGCTCGTCTCCGAGGAAGGAGACGGACTTTCGGACCTGCCCCCCGAATTCCTCCTATTCCGCAAAGTGGACTCGCGTGAAGAAGCGTGTGCATCGGAAAGAAGAGCTGTAGCCTCATCAGCGTCGGTTCCGTTGCGCAACGGTGCAACAGACTTCCTTCTCTTCGGTTCACTTCCTTCACTTTCGTTGGTGTACCATACATAGATCAGCACCGGAAATAGAACGACTTGAAAGATATATGTTAGGATGATAAGACGCAAGACTTGCTGTGAGGCAATGCTGTGGGCAAAGACATTAAGTATGGGATATCCACGCTATTGGTTGTGAAATGGCATGACCATGTTGAAGCAACTCACAGTTTGAGCAGAATGGGGGCCAAAAGGGCATGGAAGACAGCGGCCAACGAATATATCCAAGCAAGCGTGGTAAGGAGAACTACCGCCATTATCCTTAAATGTCAAAGGTGCCTGCTGCAAGTGCTGCGGCTTGGGGTGGTTGAAAAGTCCAGGAAATGGGCAACGGAAACCCTCCACAGCACAGCAGCGCATCGCGTAAGTGGCGACTGAGTCATTGACCCCCCTCCCACGTGCTTGATCACTGGCACTCAGTATTCAATAGACGAGATCTAACATTCTTTAGGGGAATAAAGCGTCTGGTAATACTTTTCCATACAAGACATCCCATAAGGGCATCACCGTTGGTAGAGTCTCAGGTGCTAGATCCGGCCATTCCGTCAGAATCTTGGCTAAAACTGCATGCCCAAGTAGCCGGTTCCCAAGATTTGCGAGATGAACTCCATCCGACAACACCGCATCCGCCTTTTCCTCATTATATGTAGCTCCCTCACCAAAATAGACTTCCCAGGTGTCCAATAATGGAACTTTGGCTTCGCGTGCAACTTCTATGCAAGCATTTCTATACTGCAATGTGTTCGATACGCTCAAATTAATGCTACGGCCCTTCTGTCCGCAATGCTTCTGCCATTTTCCTTCGTGTATAGGTGGAGGTGTGATCAACAGGATCCGCGTATTGGAGGAAAAGTTCCGAATGGAAGCAATTATGGAATGAAGATTGTCTCTGTATGCAGAAAGGGGAACATGTTGCTGTGGCCAGAATGGTAGAGTGGCATCATTCGCTCCGAGGAACACGGTTACCAGACGTATCTGCGCTCCAGGAGAAGGAAGAACGGTGCGAAGAATAGGTGCAATGATATGCTTGCACCATTCAGTATTGTATCCTTGAAATTGATTGGTGAGATATGCGATCGTCCCCTTTTGTATAGTGTCCACTTACCAGAAAACCCCCTATTGACGACGTCCAGCTTCCGCACGTAAGAGTTAGAGAGGAAGGCACCCCATCCTTCAATTTCAGGATTGAAGCTCCATTGTGTCAAAGAGTCTCCAAAAAGCAATATCTGGTCCAAGTGAATGGCACGAAGAGTGTCCGTCTCGCTTTGATGCTGGTCCATGGTAATGGGAAATAATGGCTTACCCCCATCGCCTCTGTGATGACTACCCAGGATGACTCATGCTGTTGGCATGGCTGGCGGAGAGGAAATTACCTTCTGCAAACATCTGAACATTTTAAGCAGATCCTCGTGCCATGCACTGGTATAGCCGCTTTAGTCGTAAACTTGTACAGCAACACAGGCATCCAGCTCTTACGGTTCTACGACAGAAATGCGCGGTGTCCTATCTTTCGACCGTTGCAACGTTGCCATCAGCAGGTAACTCTCTTTGTCTGGTCTCCCACACTAACAGCAAGAACTCACCGAGCGTTCCTTCGTTGGAAAGGAAAGGTGGAATGCTACATATCTAAAGAGACGGACCCTTGGATCAATTTAGCGTTTGAAGAATGGTGAGACCTTTCTCTTTGCATAATGCGTCGCCAGCAGCTCATTCTTTTAGCCTATGTGGTCTGAAGGTTGTTCCGAAAATCAAACTCAGCAAGATATATCCTCTACCTATGGCGAAACCAGACATGTGTTGTTATAGGGAGAAACCAAGTACGTGAGCTTCTCCGCGTCAGCGGTGGATGTTACTAATTGGCCATTCAACCAGAATCCCTGGAAAGAATGCCACTTGAAACTAATGCAAGATGATGGTGTACCACTAGTCCGAAGACGGAGTGGTGGTGGAGCTGTGTACCATGTATGAGGATAGGGGATAGAGGCTGATCCAAATCGTTGCGCTAAACTACAAGTTTGGCGGCGAGATTAGGACATTGGTAACAGCAACTACACGATCTTTATGCCGCGAGATGAGTTCGATCGTCGAACGAATGCTCAATTAGTTTGCCGGGGACTGCATCAACTGGACATCCCAGCCTCGGTGAATGAGAGGCACGATCTTGTCATTGGCGACAAAAAAGTTTCTGGCTCCGCGTACAAACTAGTTAATGCGCGAGCTTACCACCATGGAACGATGCTTATTGACGCGGATCTTACTGCTTTAGGTCGGTACCTTCGGCCTCCACCGGTAAAGTTTCAGTGATACTCTTGTGACAAAATCTTTTGTGTACTGAACTACAAGATCCCCAGAAAAATCTTGTCGGAAAAGGGGTTGAAAGCGTACGATCAAATGTGACACGTTTACGGGAGCATTCATTCACCGTCGATCATTTGTCATTTTGCGAGGCGGTGGCTGGAGAGTTCTATCGAACTCATGGTGTGCCATGGCGCGAGGTAATGTCCGTCACTCATCTATTGCAAGTTTGGCAATGGTGGTATACCGATCTGACGAGATCGCATCATACAGCCGGTTGAGCTTACGGTGGACCATATGAAAGCCAACCCGAAAGTGAGAGATTACTATGATGAGATTCGGGTAAGAAACTAATTTTTGAACACGACTGCCACTCGTCCTAACTGCGCTTTTGTTCGAAGACTTGGGAATGGATCTATGGCCAAACACCAGATTTTGCGCATCGACTGGAGCGGTCGTTCCGTTGGGCTGATGCGGTAAATGTTCCACAAATTCTAACTCAATACCAGCCCCTTCACTACAACCTTCAACGATTCCACCGTAGGATATCCTTATGAATGTTCACAGAGGCATGATAACGGAAGCAAATGTTTCCCTAAAGTCGGAGCGCCATATTGCTGTAGCGTCACGGTTATCAGAGTGTCTTCAAGGTGCGCCTTTGCACATATCTGAATATTATGTTGCAGAGCATGTTTGCCTAATCCATACATTTAAAGGTACGCGCTATAGTGAAGACGGCATTCGTGAAGCGTTTGGCATGTTGAAGGAAGATTTGATATTGGGTACCCGAGATCTTGAAGAGCTGGAAGAATTACAGGAATGGTTGGAAATCTCCTTGTAGTATTAGATTGTTATCATCTGAACGTTATTTCGCGTTACATAGTGTGTGGGCAAGAACGACTGTCAGTCTGCATATAGATGCAGCCACTGGATCGAATGAGATGAAATGCAAGATGCCTCCCTCGATTTAGGCAAATGAACTATGCAAGATGCTCGATCATGAGAAAACGGGTCCAATATGTGTGGCCAGTATGAAAAACGGGTCCAATACCTGCAATCAACGGATGGCAATTACTATCCCTTGCAGCCATCTATGAGAGGAATATTCTGCAGTTGCCACCTGCATGACGATACATGACTCAATATATCCGCTCTTTTTCTATATAAACCCCTCCTCTTCTTCTTCCCTCTTGTTTCTTTAACCTCGACTCGCAAGCATCTGCCAACGCTCAACTCTCAAGTCCATCATGAGAATCCTGCTCTGGTGCCGAGGACCTCGCCCACCCGACTACAAAAACAACATAACCCCTCGCAAATGCTGCTACTACTATATTGCTACGATCGCAGGTATGCATTATCTTTGTATTTTCCCACGCGTATTATCCAGTCTAATTCCCATTACCTTAGTATCTGAACATCCTCCGACTAAAGAATTTCGGAATCAAAAGGCTAGTAGGATTTCTCTCGTGGTGGTGGGCGCTAGTTACCCGGTTAGAACAACCGTAATGTATTGCATGTGTAATTGGGCCTAGTCGTAGTTACTTGTAAGGAGTTGGTTAGTTAGCTTTTCCGGGCTGGTTGTCGCCAGTCTATTCCCTGGTGTGCGCGGCACTGACATTTGTTTTTGCCAATACACTAAAGCCAGTTCACGTGTTGTGTCATCATGCGGGAAGATTATGGCCTGATACTCAACCTCCTGGTTGCTTTCCACCATTGTTATCTTTCTTCATCTTCCCCATTCCATTAACATAACCTTGAACACCCGATTACCTCCGCGGCATCCAGCAATGAAGACGTTCTATCTCTTAGTGCTAGGTCTCCTGGCTATAGGAAGCGCCGTTTCTGCACTTTCCCTACAATATCAGCGTCTCCAGTTTCCACTCCTTCTTACTCAAGGGAGCGTTCAGGACTGCGGCTCTCCCGACGACATTTTCCATCTTGAATCTATCACCGTTACTCCCGATCCACCAAAACGAGGCGAAAACCTTACGGTAGATGTGAAGGGGTATCTCGACGAAGATGTCGATGCTGGGGCGTATGCGGACGTGCGGGTCAAATTGGGCCTCATCAAGTTGCTCGACACTAGAATCAACCTCTGCGATGAAATTACGCGAATCGACAGGGAATGTCCCATCGAAAAGGGACCGGTGCACATCAATCACACTGTAGAGCTTCCCAGAGAATTACCCCCGGTGCGGTTTTTGTTTTTGTGGGCGATTGCGAACTGCTCGTATATATTTACAATGTATTCATTTTTCTGTTGAATTACAACTAGGGCAAGTACCAAGTGTTCATCGACGTAACAAATTACGATGAAAAGCATGCCGCTTGCCTTAAGGCAGAGTTCCGCTTATAGTAGGGGTTCCTCCAAGTTATCACTAGCAATCTAGCTACGATCTCAGTCACCAGATAACTAGATAACATAATTCAGACACCCACTCTGTTGCTCTAAAACTGCACTCTCTATAAGTTAGTGAATCAGCTACCAGATTGTTTGTCACCGGAAGTACGGGGCACCCGGACCCTCTGAACGACCGAGGTACGACGCTCTCGTGCAAACATTTCTCCCATTACATCTGTAACAAGATCCGATATTCGCCGCGTTGCTATCTTGTTTGGTTCCTGTTTTTGATTTGAAGCAGCTGTGGCGAGTGGTACCTTGTCCCCAGCTCTCGACTCAGCATCGATTGAGTGATTCGCAAGAATAGGTACACTTCTTGCCGGCCGTAAAGGTGAACCCGGCTTGCCTTCAATCTTCTGTCCTGTCCCTGCGTCAATCACAAATCTTCCCCTTGTTGCCGCCAACTCCGCTTCCTTTTCCAGCAATGCTTTTTGGGCAGCTCTCGCTTCCTCCTCGCTTCGTTTCTGCTCTAACATCTCTAAGTGCTTTCTATGGCTTTCCTCAAGCTTCTTCTGGCTTTGTTTGGTGCGTTCTTCGATGATTGCCGTGATGCGTTCTCCACGCTCCGCCAGGTCTTGCAGCTTCATCAGCACCGTTTCCATATCTACACTGACATCTTCTTTTGACTGGACAGTCAAACTTTGTCGTCTCCCTATCTTCTTCACGTTCGATTCTCTCACAGATGAATGTGTCCCCTCATGAGTATCTTCGTCAGATTCAGAGGACTCATTGTCTTCATCCATTGCAGGTGTGATCTGAGTCGTCGCTCGGGTTCGTTCAACTCGAGATGATTCAGATGCCCTCCTTGAGTGCAACCCAGTCTTTGCGACGACCTTGCCGGCTTTTTTCTGTGATCTCTGTGACGAAAGATTGGAGATATCTTGAGCAAAGTAATTTGGTCCATACAGTGTCTCCATCTCTTTCTCTATCTTTTCCAGCATAAGCCTCGCTCGCTTCGACCGTCCTTCCATGGCTTTTGCTCTCTGTGCAGATGCGCGTCGAGAGAACGGCGGGCTTATTAATGGCTTCTGAAAAGTGTTATCATGTTTGGCTGCCATATTTGATGGAATTTCTTCCGCAAGAAGTGCTGCCGTTGTGGGGCTGAAAGCACGTCGTCGTCGCCGTGACTTTTTTGGTTTAGCTGTACGTGAACGCGATCGCGCCGATGATACTGTGGAGGGACGAGACGTGAAGATTGGGACGGTCATGAAATATGATAGCAGGACTTCAAGATCGGAGGACGTCGTTGGCGCAGCTGATTGAACCAGGAATGGCCGTGTGGTACTTGGGGAGTTGTAAATAGGGTCCAAAGGTTCTTCAACGTCTGATTCTGGTTCCGAGGATGTCTGGTCGTCTTCACTGAAATTGGATGCCACACATCTGGAATGCCGGATATCGGGTGTTGGGGGTGTCGAGTGTCTGGCGACTGATCTCCGGTTGCCCACTCCTGGAAGAGTTAGACCAAGATGCTTAAACGCTGCTTGAACCGCAACAGGAACACATCCGGTTATCTGGTCGCTCGTCTTAATGTGCATGGGCCTGTAAGCGAGTAGCTCATACAATAACCGCACCGCCACCGCCTAAATCCGTTTAAGCGTCAATTGGTGCCATTACTTTCAGCTCATAGTATGTGCGTACCATGAAGTTGTTGCGATACCTCGCCCCACTTTCGCTAGCGCATTCATCAAGAAGCCGATTGAGATGGAGTAAGTTTAGAAGTGTAGTTTCCAGCAGGGACTCGTAGCTGTGCGCAATCGATCTATGAGGAATACATTAGTTTGGCCCTTGAATTCGACTACTACTATACGAAAGGTTTACTCACATGAATGGCAAAATTCCACCCCAGGTCGCATCCTGCTCCGGATAAAGCATCCCAGTTCTCGTCTAACATGCGGGTTATCTTCATATGTACAGAGCAATCTGGTCCCAACCTTTAACAAACTGCACAAATCACTCACCAGGAAATCGTAGCGAAGGCCGTTGTTCAACGCCGTTGCGACCGCGGCGGCCCGCGTCATCGTCGCAACCTGCCCGTGTTCCAACCCGTATATGTACAATGCAACCCGGGGTTCATTAGGCGACATTCCTCGCATCTGTTTAGTTTGGAAGGATGATCGGAGCTGCGCCTACACAGGAAGAGGTCATTAATGGCTTTTCATTGTATACCTCAAAATGGATGTCGTTGACGCCCTTGGTACCTGATCAAGGAACCGCACGCTCCTTGCATATCTGACTTGAAAGGGTATCTCGGTTTTCGGCAGAGTTACTTTCCAACCACGGGAATCTGGTTTACAGCCGGTTGCGAGAAGGACTGTAGCGGCCCGGAGGAGTGTGGGTGACGTAAATGGGCGAATTTGGGTTGCCCAATATTTCCGATCCCCCTGGTCATGATATTCAGTAGGCAAGTTTAGCTGAATACAACCATCGCACACGGTAGCACCGATCCCCCACCGTAGATGGATCTATCCATGTCAAAAATTGGACGGAAAGAGGTCCCGCTATTCCATCTGATGCACATTTGCTGGCTATCTTGGCCAGCATCGGTGCGAGGTCTTGTTGTCTTTGAGTGTCGCTGGTATAAGGAACAATGAGAGCAGTAGGTGAAAGGTTGGCATGGTGCAAGAGCTACGCGGTCGAGTAAAATATGTGAGAAGCGCATCATCAGACGAAGGAGCAGTCCGTTGTTCTGCGAACTCACCACGTCCGCCATTATCAATATGTCGTATTTCCCTTCAAAATCCACTACAATTCCGATCTCAATCATTTTCACTTCTCGAGGATCTCTGGAGGGAAACGCATGCACTATTCCTCCATGCTTCATCCACCGACAGATGAACTCACTCCATGTCGAACCAGAACTCAGAACTCGAGTATGTAAGGGTATCTCGCGCCGTGCAAGGGAGAGATGCGCGGCAATCATTCCACGACGAGGGGTCGCTGGGCGGTTGTTGACATGGGGTACTGGTGGGGCTGTCGTAGGACGGAGATGGGCGGCCGAAGCGAGAATTGCTGCTGTAGCAGGTGTTGGAGGAGCCTTACCACTGATCGGACGAGAGAAAGCGAGGGGAGGTTTATGGATGGACGGCGGTAATGGTTCATAAAGGTTTTTGACAAATGTTAGGTTCGACGGGTCTATCATGAAAAGAAGACTCGATGATTGAGAATTTATCGTAGAGAAACATATATATGAGTTCCATCGTACCTAGGCACGCCTCAGGCCCTTCGAGCTCAGATTCTTCCACTTTGTTCATCACTGGATCTCCGAATAGACACCATAAGGGGACATCAGCATGCATAGAGATCGCTTTAACCAATTGGAGACACAGTTCGTGTTCATCTGCTGTGTGAGACTTCAAAGCAGGTGCAACTGGTAACCCTGCACTTCGCAGATATTCTCGAGATCTCGAGCGAGTGCTTAGGTAGCGGCTGTAGGCGCTGGGCGTTGGACCAAATAATGGAACGGAAAGTGTCTATCACCGGATCGCGGGATTTAAGCGTCGACCTCGTTGTTTACACAGAACTGGCTATACTTACCGAACTCAATGTGACTTCCGATTTACCAATAGCGTCACACAGCAACACGGCATTCCTACCCTGGCACATGTTTCGCAACTTGTTCAGTGCCCTCTTACTAGCTAACAGCATTGAAGCCAGAGGTGCTGTGTTCGGGAAGCATCTTGCCGCTTCAGGTACGACAAATCTAATACGGTTCTCGTCGACTGGGTTGCGTTCTGGGAAGCCTGTCGCTGTCAACGAGATATAGGATTACACAATCCATGTTTATGTTGTCTGCATAGTCTTCGCGCCTACCCAATACTTGCTTGAAATAGTTGATTCTGTCCTCATCAACATACGGTGTGACGAATATGGTTTCAACATCCGGGTTTCCAAGCATAATCGCTCTACAATTCGCCGATTGTTATTCATTAATGTGTCAACCAACGAGATACGTAACACAACAGACCTTCCGATTTGAATTTCGGGACCAGGATCTTGCAGCTCGCCGAGCTGCTTCGATGGCACGAGCTGAATGATAATTCTAAAGTCATGGTATTATTATGTGTACTCTAATGTTATCAACGAGAAACGAAAATACCGTTTGTGAGCCATGATGGTCGCAATGTCCCGTTTATATGTAGCTAGGAGTCGTTGGTGGCGCTTGACATGTACTGTGTGATACTGGGTCTGCATGCAAAGTATGCCCAGCGCTACATTAGATGATGAAGGCGTAGAGTAAACCGTCCAGTCAGCATTTCGACTTCTTACCTCAACCATGCGTCTAAAAGAAAATCGCATCTTCCTCCTCTTCCAATACTTGACAAATATGTTTGCAGCCCATACACGGTCACGATACCACATTTGTATGCGGCTGAACCATGTAAAGAGGTGTTCAAAGACATGAAACTCAGTTGAACACGGACTGGCAAGACAAACATACCGCATAATCCACATCCGAAAGGTGGCCTGAATTTTACGGGCCGCAGCTTCTCGCCCATTAGATCCTCGATACCGCTGTCCTTCTGTTTTAATAATACGGTAAACCTGTTCCAAGATGCATCGAAATGAGATTCGAGAGTGCATTCAGAAGCGTCATAATACTACCTCTGTGGCATTGACAATACAGGCCAAAAGTTCTTCACTGGTGAAATGAGACCTGACTGGGCAGGCAGCCAAAGAAAGAAGAGGCTTGCTCATAATTTCTGCGTAGGGAACTGCCCACATATGCCACAAACGTTAAAATGAACCACTCTCTGTCAAAATGGGCCGAGAGCAACGTCTCACCTGCATATTCTGTCATCAACTTCTCAAATTTCCTCAAAACCCACTCTACAGCCCCCCAACCATCTTCCCCGACGTTCTTTTGAAACTCTAGAAACCCCCGTGCCTGGACTTGAACCTCTCCACCAGTGGTGACTATGATCGCGCCCTCTCGTGATGCCCGGATGACATTGATCGTTTCCGCTCTAATCTCGTCGGCGGTGAAGAGGTTCACATCCGACGACGATGCGGAGATCTGCTCACCTAGCACGAACGAAGGCGCTGGGGTCAGCGGTGATGGGCGCACCTCATGATGGTTGGCAGCTGGGGGTAGAGAGGGTGGAAGAAACGTAATAGATGGACGGGGTCTAAGCGAAGGTCGAACCATGTTCCAATTCTTTACGGGTGCCTTCGTGCTGATCGTTTGTTTATCCTTGGAGCGCTTCCGATCCACCACACGACACATCTCATCATTTACAGATTTCATTCTCTCTGCAGCTGACGCAAGTCTCAGTGCAGGTTCATACAGGCCGGTTAGACGAATTACTGTATCTGGCTGTTCAAATCGCATAGTGAAATCGTGGATCTTGGCTTGTACATGTCTGAGAAACGGTCGCACGCTGCCGTTACTCCCATTCACCGATGGTTTATTCCATATTACCCCCACTCGTTCTGGATGGTCTGGCGATAAAAATCTAGAGTAATCTGCATCATGTGGAACAAACCCTCGATCTATCAAGGGATAGATGCCCTTCTTTGCCACAGCCTCTTCGGACGGAATCATGTCCACTGGTTCGCCGGCTCGTAGACGAGGGAGCATCGTTTCTACCGGCAATCCAATGCGACTCGTCTGCAAGGCCCCCGGGATGGTTGAGTGGCCGGTGAACTGTTCTGGAACGACATTGGTAACAGGTCGGATTCGTTTCACATATATGGGCGGAAGGTGGGTGGAAGGTGCCTAATGTGATTGATATGAATAATATCGATTCACGACAGAACCTTTAAATGATGACTAGAATTATCAACTTACTTGTCGTTTTCTGACTAACACCCTCAGTGGCTGCCGGCTGTACTCTAAGGTGAGCAAAATTACCATCGCTTCTCAAGACATGCTCGCGCCTGCTTCAGTTACGAACCGCACGTTCCCGGGCTTCCACCTTCCGCTTGCTCGTGGTTCCACCCTTCCCAATCCTGACCCTTTACTGGATCGTGAGCCGCATCGTGAGCAATATTGGGCAAGATAACCTTGGATGGCATATTATGCGGCTGTACCCATTCGCAATAACAAGGGTAAAATGATCAACTGAGTGGTTCTTTTTTGGTACAGTCCTTATGCTAATCAAAGAACCCATGGAAAAGCAACTTACAAAGTCTCCCGGCAAGGCCTCGATCATCACTGATGCATGATCCAAATTGCTTCTTGAACGCCACCACTCTGGAAGGCTGACCCCATATTCTGTACTAACAGTTGGTTCATGCATATGGCGAATGTGCTATAGATCACAAAGTTCTGCACTATTTTTCAGCAATAGGGTCAAACATCGGGCATATTCTGCAAAATGCTCCAGAAATAGTAAATCTCCGCGAGAATCATTAGCTCTCCCTGATCGCGGATGACCCCCATGTTTGCCTGATAAGCGGGACCGTGGTACACAATCGAAGACCAACACCACCATAGCAAAATTGAAAAATTGAAAGCCATCATGTACAGAAGTATAACCATCACCAGTTTATTCATACGCGACTATCACAGCTTAAACCTGGCTCAAAAGAGACTCCTTGAACTCCTTGTTAAGACCCCGCTTTGAGGCAACCTTCGCGGTACGGCCCTTCTTTCCCTCCTTCCTTGCCTCCTCTGCCAAGAGTTCCCGACGACGCAAAGTCTGGGCGTAAGGGTTGAGACGCACGAGTACACCAGTGTTACGGAGAGGGTTCTTGCGCTGTGTGAAGGGACGCTTGTTCTTAGCCGATCCGGCAACACGAACAACGGCCTGGATCTCATCGGAGTTGATCAAGCGGGGGAGGTCGGGGTTGGAGATAATAGGGAACGGAAGATTGTAGTTCTTCTTGAGCTCAGCGCCCTTGGTAGCGTCACCAAAGAGAGCATCAAGCTTCTCGAAGGCGGCTTGAGTCCAGATCACGAAACGGCCGACGTGACCGCCAGGGGCAAGCTGAAGGAGGTTGAGGGCATCTACGCTGGCCTGAAAATTGTCATAGACTATCAGAACAGGACCTATTAGCTAAATCGATTAAAAAACTAACCAGCTCAACACCGGGGATGTTGCGGAAAGCCTTGACGAGACCTTTGTCCTCGTTGTAGATGACCAAGGGACCACGCCTCTGCGTGTGGCGACGGTTCCTCAACTTTCCAACACCAGCACGGAGCTTCTTAGAGTTGGTAACCTTCTCAACGTCTGTGTAGGCGTTGATAGCTTTCAACAAGGCAACGGCCTCTTTAGTCTTCTTGAAGGACTCCACACCGTTCCCAATAACGAGGGGGATCTCGTTAACCTGGTCGATCTTGTGACCACGAGCAAAGACCAAACTAGGAAGGGCAGAGGCAGCAACGGCAGAAGCAGTAGCAAAACGCTTCTGGTTCTGGTTGGTCTTTACGTGCCACTTACGCCAAGTCTTGGTGGGAGCGAACATACGACCACCACGACACATGTTGCCGAAGGCGGCCTGACCAGCACGGTGTGTACCACCACCACTGACACGGGGGATACGAGCAACAGCACGACCGGTACCCCAGGACTCAGCTGAGGTTTGGTGACCAGCCTTGACGCTGACGGCGTAAGCCTGACGCTTGTTCTTGTTCATGTTGGTGAACACGAATCGAACGACATCGGAACGGATGGGGGCCTTGAAGACACCGGGGAGCTGGACGGTACCAGCCACGGAGTCACCTCCCTCAGAGAAAACCGAAACGACGGGACGAGCGGCCGCGGACTATATACCAAAGCAAAATGTCAGTTGTCAATCCTGAAAATGCTCCGCTCCACACCATCCCCTCCACGATCCATCAACTCAAAACCATCCATCCATCCATTCATCCATCCATCCCAACCCTCGGCGTATCTCTCTTCCTCGTAGCTTCAGCAACAATGACAATCGTAATGCTCACCATCTTCAGTACCGGGTTGAAGAGACGTTGCGGTGATGGATGGAAAACGAAAGGACTTGATAGCTGGCACCTTTTCTCAATCACCGACGCAGGCCGAGGAGTCACGTGTCAGCTTTACAATGCACTGGAGTCAACATTGGAATCCATAGAGTAAGCGAAATCGTAATCCATGATCACTGCACAAGCTGCCTCGAGGTCGATAGTCTAGCTTGTCTTCAATAGTTTTAAAAGCAGGCAAGAGCAATTCAACTTTCTACTATAATAGATGTCGAGGTCCGATGAGATTAACAACTTGAAGCTGAGCTTCAATCGATCCCATCAACGTTTCTATTACCTAACGTTGAAATGACACAAAAGCTGGATAGGGGGCACATTACGTTGTTGAAAGCCTCACAGCATTCAGATACGTACAAGGAACTTTGTTCCGGGGATCCCATGATTACCCTTAGTGTCGAGCGAATTACCCTCAGATGGTGGTAGACTCTTTACTTTTACTGGAGTTTGTGGGCGCAAACGCTAATACGCATATCAAGATGCTGACCTATCAGAAGGTATCATTGAGTTCCTTTGCAGGACTGAGTCCTTGTCGTCTTCAATATACTAGGTATTTACACCCTCTGTGTTTTTCAGGAATATGTTGTCGATGGTAAAGGGCACCTGCTCGGCCGGCTCGCGTCAATAACTGCAAAGCAGCTATTGAACGGCCAGAGAGTCACCATTGTACGTGCCGAGGAAATCAACATTTCAGGGCCTTTTTTTCGCAACAAGTGTAGGTGGAACAGTGGGAGATTAAATATACCTTTATATACGGCTAATGTGTGATGCCACCACAGTGACATTTATGAACTTCCTTCGCAAGCGTTGCCGTGTTAATCCTTCGCGCGGACCGTTCCACTTGCATTCACCAAACCGCATTATCTGGCGTACCATTCGTGGGATGATTCCTCACAAGACCCCCCGTGGTCAAGCAGCACTCCAGCGCTTAAAGGTATTCGAGGATGTTCCTCCCCCGTATGACAAAAGGAAACGAATGGTCGTGCCGATGGCACTCCGCGTTCTTCGGCTTGCCCCTGGGCGCAAATATACAGTTCTCAAGCGGCTTTCAAGCGAGTTTGGATGGAAATATCAAGATGTTGTTTCCCGTCTTGAAGACAAGCGTAAGGCTAAATCTCACGCGTATTATGAAGCAAAAAAGGCGGCGCGGCGTCTGCTAGCGAAAGCAGAGAAGGAGGTGGAGACACAACTAGCCCCTATCAAAAAACAACTGGCCGCGTATGGTTATTAGCAGCAGCCTAAAGAGGAGATGGAAGTTTGTGTTTCATTTCTTTCCGGATTTGCAGTTTTAGCCGTGGTGACATGCAATGTACTTTGGCCGTCCACAATTGAGTCGGATTTTCACTCCTTCTCTCTTCGTTTGAAGTTTCGCTTCCACTCCAGATGAACGTATAAAGGGCTGGCCAATACACCTCGTGTTCTCAGAATTGTGAATCATCGCTCAAATATTGCTCGCTCCCTGTGCCTCCCCAAATGCAGCTCGTCTATTGCTGTGAAGATTGGCATGCAGCCGCGCACGTATCTCAAAAATATCATAATAGATTATCGTTAGATATAGGATTATTTTGGACGTCTAGCTAGTCGAGGTGAAGATAAGTTCATAATCTAAACCGTTGAGAGAGGCGTGCAGTGGTAGAAATTGATTAGCAATGTGAACAAGATAGTGATTACATTTCTTCCACCAGGGGTCCCCGCGGCTTTCTGGACCTATCTTTCTCTACTACCGCCGTGATCCTAAGCATCTCCTCCATATCGTTCTCCGCCCTCTTCACCTCCATATCTACGGCTGCCTTCAGTATAGGAAGGGCGTCCCTCATTTCATCCCTATTGCCCACAAGACATAAATAGTAATACACTTTCTTCTCTGACGTGAATGCCCGCTGTCGTGTAGTGCGCGGTATTAACGGCGTAGCTCCGTCACCTCTTCCTCCTGTACATGCAGAGGAAAAGATCCTGTGGATATCCGACAGCGCAGCCAACACGTAGTGATGTGACGCAAGGATGAGGGAGACATCTTTAAACGCTAAGATGGCCGTATCCAATGTGCTGTCGTAAGCTTTGCTCTGTGTTGTTATAAGATAAGTCAAATAACGAACGAGCGACAAAGCGTTGTGGGTATTACCTGCAGCAATCTCATTTTGCATGACGTCAGTGCCTCAGATACGCTCTCAAAGGCAAACTGCTGATTGCTCGAGAGAATACGCGACACATTCCACATAATCTGAGCAGACTCTATCGGGTCTTCTGTTATTTCACCATTCAGGAAGCGACACATGAAAGCATACGCGGCTCTGTTCAGGTTGATTAAGACTCATTGAGAAACAGCCAAAATCATTGCATGGGATATGCTCAGCTGCAGAGGCACTCACAGCATGTCCACCATGTTGAAAATCAACCTCTCCTGTGGATTGGCGCTTGATACTTTATCTATTGTTTTGATATTCGACAATATTTCCGGCACTGATACATCCCTTTGCGTGCCAACCTCGTCAGGTGGCCCAATTTCGCGAATAAGGGATTGTCGAGCTGCTTCACTGGTTATCCACCATGGTCGCCATATCTCTACGTATCCACGTAGTGCAGCTGACCCTTCCCGTAAGGAGGCTTCAAACTGTTCGCGCTCAGCCGGCGTCAACACAGAAAGGATTTGATCCGGTGTAGATTGCTCTGCATTAAAATTGTTGGTCGCGGGTTAAGGGACAGCCCTCAGAAAGAGAGCACTTCAGATACCTAAATCTATGCCTGCCAAGCGATCCATGAGATCCGGTATCTCATCTGCTGCATTCACGGGAAATAGAGCAGGTTATATACTGTGGCAAACCATATTATCACGGGCATGACGGCACCTGGCTCTTCTAGTTCCTCGCTTTCTTTCTCAAATCTTTTCAGCATTTGCAGCATTTTATTTCGGTCTTCCTCGGGAACTTTTTGCCCTTGCAGTTCAGCAACAAAGCTATCCTTGTAAAAGGCCTCTGTGCAAGCAGCATGGTTCTAGCATAAATCGGTGTTGGTAGGGGAGGCTTGCAACAGCACCCGAATTGGCGATCTTAATAGTACCTCAGACTTGTAGCATGCCAGTGAGCAGTACTTTAAGTTGCATCGTGGGCAGGTGTAAGTCGCAAATTGCTTGTGACAACTATCTCAATTAACCAAGTAGATGAGAGATCAGAGCTTCTTCCACATCCACGGAATGGTATCGGACGCACAGATAACGCACATGCCACATATTCTCTCATTGCCTTGGTTAAGAAGGTCATTCAGTACCGGCTTGAAACGAATTGTGTCGTCCTCTGAGTTCATTGCTGGTGAAGGGTTTGACGTTATTGAGTATTTCTGTGACAAGATCTGGCGACTAAGCATCTGCTTAGTCATCAGGAAAGCGTTTGTAAGAAGAAAACCTGGAGATCACCAATTTCCACCTAGACATGACAGCATCGTTGGCGCCATTTGAAGATGCTTCACGAAAACGCAAACAAGCCATTGCATCTGCACCAGCTAGCTTGAATGGAGCATCTCGATCAAAACGCCCTCGCACCATTGCACATACGCCGTCAAGCAAGCACCTTCTTACGGTGCAGCACCCCCAGGGTATTAAGCCTCTAGGAAACTTCCTGTTCGACTCGTCCCGTGGCATAAGAGAATGTCGGTCAGCCGGTTTAGGTTATGCAGCTGCTCTGTCTGACGAACTCGTCCTGGACCTTCTATCCCGTCTGCAACCCGCCGAACTTTGCAGGTTGGCGCAATGTAGCAAGGCCCTGTACTGCTTTGCCTATCACGAGGACTTGTGGCGGGCTCTGACGGTTCGGCTCTATGGACAAGGTGGATGGGGTACGTTCGCGTACAATTGGCGAGAGACTTTAAAAAAGAAAATATGTGCCGAAAGGAAACGAACCTTTGTCCGCGACCAGCCTATCCAAGTTGACGGTTTCTATTCAGACTTATTATTTACGTCTTTTCGCTGTGCATCGGCTCCGTTAAGGGAACTCTGTGGAGTAGAGACGGACAACATTGACCGTCGGTCGGATCTTACTTATGAGACTTTCATGAAGGAGTACGGCACACCAAATAGACCTGTCATTATCACTGATGTCGTTACCAAGTGGCCAGCCTATGGGAAATGGTCTACTGAGTATTTGTTGGAACATTGCGGGGACAAGATATTCCGAGCGGAATCGGTCGATATACCGTTTCGTGATTATGTGACTTACGCAGAACAGTGTAACGAAGAGGGTATGGAAACGTCGGTGAAATGCCAGATCCCTTCACTGATCATTGCATTTTCATACTATCAGCCCCCCTCTACCTTTTTGACAAGAAGTTTGCAGAGAATACCACACTAGCCGAGGATTACCATGTGCCATTATACTTTAAGGAGGATTTTTTCAGCGTCTTGGGTGACCAACGACCAGATTACCAATGGTTGATTATCGGCCCTGCTCGGAGTGGTTCTACCTTCCATGTGGACCCCAATTCAAGTAACTACCTCTGAGTAGGATTTTCGCCATTTGCGATTCCTCATTTCTTTGTCTATGTAGCCAGCGCCTGGAACGCCGTCATAACTGGCGCTAAAAAGTGGGTGATGTACCCACCTGAAGTCGTCCCACCGGGTGTCTTTCCAAGCCCAGATGGGAGCGAAGTGACCACCCCCTTGTCTTTGTCGGAGTGGTTGGTTTGGTCTCGTGGGTCTTTGCTTATAAAGCTTCGATAATAACTCGTATCTCCGAACTTTGCATCGTCAGGTTCCTGAATTTTTACATGGAGACCAAGAACAGCCCGGTGAAACCAGTTGAATGTGTTTGTAGAGCAGGGGAAATGGTGTTTGTACCTTGTGGTATGCAGTTCTCTCTCGCTTTCGTGTTTTGAAGATAGTTTGATCTGACATGCCTGATATTTAATAGGTTGGTGGCATTGTGTCATGTAGGTTGCGAGTACGCAGTGCGGCGAGTGTAATATGCCGCTAAAACGTTTCTGTTCTTTGCTTGCGAAGGAATCTCGAACCATCGATTGCACTCACTCAGAACTTTGTCGCAACCTCAAACCTGCCTTCGGTCTTGCGATTTCTCAAATATCGTAGAGATCAAGTTTCGGGCAGCTGTTATGGAACAGAACTGTACGAACGATTTACCGAAGCACTCAACCATATTAATCCAGGACTGATCTATGATATTGAAGCGAAGGATGATATCCAGGAGAACGCTAAGATAGTGAACCGACTAGAAAAGCGAGAATCTTTTTGGGATAGAATAATGAAGAGCGATGAGGGGATAAATATAGGAGCGGAGGGCCGGGGGTTCTCCTTCGCATTTGGTGGTGACGACTAGCTTAGATATAACTAATTTATTCCGTATATACGTGCACTCTTCCAGGGTATCATTCAGTAAAAATTCTAAGGTTGAGTTATCCCATTCAAGGGGTCATGTTTGTGACAAAATTCGGCCCTGCATTATACCCGCTCCACTTTTTTCTCTTGCATTAGCAACTTATTACACAGGACATTTTCCAATATCAGATTCTCCCACTCCACCATGTCGCGAGACGCGTGACCGAGGTCACACTTCGCCAGCCTGCGTTTTGCTGATTGAGTTGCAAAATCTCCCAGATGGTGCACATCCCAGATATAAACCGAGGTAAATGGACTTAAGACGGCAGTTATGGATTTGGCGAAGAATTGCGAAAGGAGCTTTGTGCGGAGACGGGTGGAGGGTGAGGATGCATACTGTGGGGTGCGAAGGACAATAGGAACGCCATGCGCGGCATAAGTTGCGCGAAGGGCATGCGTGAGCGACGAGAGAGTGGAATGCACAGAGGATAAAGTTGATGTAGTCGTGTCCAGGGTCGGCAGTCCAACAATGACGACCTAACGAAAGGATAGACATCAGCAAACACCGCCTTCTGAGAACTTGTTTTTAGCGGCCGGCAGCATACCGATGGTGTTGCCTCAATCCGAGTCATCCCCAGTGCTATCTGTGGCCTTAGTTGTTCCTTCATCTTATTTATATTCATCAAGTCCTGCCAATCAATGGTGTCCGCAGTGAAAGAAGCCAGAGATGCGTACATAATCGTGGCGTTAGTGCTACCTGCTACCTTGGGCACGACGGACCATCCTGACGCACTATCACCGATGTGAGGAGTGACAAGCGTCCGGTCGTCGCACTGACACTCTGATGTGCTCTATGACATGTCATAATTTACTGTTAAAATATCTGGCCTCCCTAAAAATGCTCAATGCGCAGCATACCTCATCGTACCACTCTTTGCACCAGGCCCCTGCTGTTGTCAATGCCTTCAGAGCCCTTCTAACATTTCCATCTCCCCACCAATGGCTCAACCCATACCACTTCCCCAAACATTTGTCGCGAAACGCTCTGTATGACCATCTTCTGTATCTACATTCGAATGGAACCCATACACGCGCGTCGTAGGTCTGTAGCGGTTCGGTCAAGTCTTCATGAGTCTCATCTTCATCGGACATCCAGGAATTTGCGATAGGGGACTTTGAGAGAAGAGACGAATTCACCCATCTCCCAGGGTGGTCTGACGATTGACAGTGCGGAAGCCCAAGATACGTGGAGCGCGATAGGGGTTTTCCCTGCACATGGATGGAGAACAAGGTAGGCTTTCCATCGTGATTAACAACAACGGGAAGGTGTGCCTGAGTCTCGGAAGTCTGTGGAGACTCATCCGCATTGATTAAATCGCTATATTCAAGCAACACCTCCAATCTATAAACATCCGGGTCGCGCAAAGCAATTATTACATCGTAAATCCTGAATTCTTCTACATTGTCAGGATATCGAGCAAATGAATCTGACACCGAAATCGGCACTTCAAACCCGTTTTGCTTTCCAAAGGCGGTGATAGTGACCCCATCCACCGGAAACGGAGGGAGTGGCGGGAAGAAATCCCCTTCGGAAGCTGAGTAACGTTTTCCAACTATGTCATGACTCTTTTCGCCTTTGATCACCAACCACCCACATATCGTCTTTGCAGGTTTGACAACCATTAGGTTGGTATCCACCCATGGTATTACCAAAGCCCCCTTCCGCCCATGCGGTATCAACTTTCGCAGATCCTGGATCTCAGGATGTTTCTCCCAATTTGCGGGACACTCTTTGTAATGTGGATCACCAGATCCAACGTCCCAGGACGTCCATCGTCTCACCACTTCCGATCGGACCGGCTTTCCTCGGCTGACATGAGGCGAAGGTGTCGAAAGTCGAAAGTGTAGGAGGGCAACGGGGCCAACTACAACCAGAACTAAGAGCGCCCGCCATGCGACAAACGGTCGGCAAAGGCGGGAGAGAAGTCGGAGGAGAATCTGCCGGATCTCCATGGTAATCAAATTACGGGAGACGGCAGTACCGAGGTTTTGCGCCTTCCATGCGATCGCCCTCGGAAGGGCCCGCTGTAAAGAACGGTGAGCAGACTTGCAGGAAGATATCTGTGCGGTAAGCGAACACGTGACCGACATCGGATGCGAGGATGCCTGACATTACTAAAGCAATAACATCTGGTCTTTTCCATATTCTTTATTGACAATCACTATAAATGTGGTGTGATCAATACAGCAATCCACTACAAATGTCTAACGAACACGGTGACGATTCTGGTGGAAACGAGCTTCCTTGTTATCGTGGCTCGAGTTGGGTTGTAACTTGTGGTCACGAACTTGGTCGTGTTCATGAGCCTGATATGTTTGGAAATTCATCATCAGAGAATGCTCACCAAGACCAAGTACAAGTGTCACCTACATGGTGCTTTGCTGCTTCCGCAGCGGGTGGGCCACGTCCCAGCTCAGCCAAAGCGGCCACTTTGGGGTCTCGTTCAATTCCCTGAGTGGAAAGTCGTGGCGGATCATGATCTTGCGGGACTCCATGTGCTCTTGCTGGAGCGGGTTCTTCGAATGCTCGCATGCTTTTTTGGCTCATGGTGTTTGCGTTGATATCTGCGCGTAGGTGCAGCTGGGTTCAAGCTATGACTGCAGCTGGTACTGCAAAACCCGCCTGCTTTTATAGTCCAATAATCAGTCCCCTCGGCCGTGCCTCCATTGCGCCGCCACCATTACGCAAGTGAGTGTTCATCTTGTACAAAAGCACGGGAAGGATTTCAAGTAGAACGTCCCTGAAGCCCCAACCTTACCAGATATCTATGGCAACAACCAGTCAGCATCGCTGACTAAGCAAGCGGCGGGACATCCCTCCCATTGCAACTATTCTGGACCTCCAGTATTGGAGAGCCTCCGCGTTTACCTGCTCTTCCTAAATTATAAGCGCGGTAACGGCTGCGAGGTGGAATGACGGACACCTGCGAGGACCGTGGTAGATAGCTCCTATTGCACCAAGAACATATATTGCCTAAATCTTAGAAGTAGCCGTCCCTTCGACAAGCTTTCCGACATTGTTTTTCCCACACTAGAGGAGCATCAAACTCCAGCATACCCATTCCACGATGTTCAATAATTTTTTTGGATCTAACAGTTCTGGGAAGAACAGTCCAGAACCAACGCAGTCAGCTCCAACGGCCACTAGACCGTCAATGTCCGGCAGCAACTCACCGGCTCCAAATCTGCAGCAGGGCTCGAGCGATGTATTTATCAAGCTAGCATTAGAGCAAATGCAAAGTGCGAAGGAGGCAAAGAAGCTGAATAATCTCAGAGATGCATCAAAGTCCGCTTTAGGTGAGGCTCCGATGCAACATAGGCAAATTCGACTCTGGAGCACTAAGCAGTTCTTGTGTCCTTTTAGAGGCGCTTGAATCACCCAGTAGTCACCCTGCTATGGATGCTCAGACAATACAAACAATTTTCGCCCCTTTTCAAATAGCTTGTCGCTCAAGACAGGCCACCCTTGCGACAATCGCCATTGACTGCCTGGGAAAACTGTTCACATACAATTATTGGGGCCGACATGATGCTCTCCTTGAGGGTGATGCCGCTGTTGGAGGATCTGTAGCAGATTTTGATATGGACGTTCCGCGAAAGGAACCCGGATCAAATCGGCTTTCCGGAGACGACGATCGGAGCAGCATGGAAAGCAATGCTGAAGGGGGCGGCTCTATGGTTGCTCTAGTTGTGGACACCATATGCGATACCTTTGGTGGGGGAGAAAATACCGATGAGAAGGTGCAGCTGCAGATTGTGAAGGTGTGCTAGAGGCTCATTGAAGTTATGCATGTGGATCCACGCAGGTTATTGATGGGATCATTTATCAATAGGCCCTTTTAGCCGCTGTTTCTAATGCTGATCCGACTGCGGCTATCCACGGAGGCGTACTTTTGAAAGCGGTCAGAACGACTTACAACATCTTTCTCCTCTCAAAATCGGCCAATACCCAAATAGTGGCCCAGGCCACTCTAACGCAGATGGTTCAGGCTGTCTTCGGCCGAGTGCCGAAGGACATCCCCAAAGCTGATGATGATAAGACCCGAAGTCGAAGTTCCACTGCAGCGCCTGATGGGAAAGTGGAGCAGATACCGACACAAGGCGCCAGTGCTGATTCTACGGAACAAGATGCATCGCCGACGGAGAGCGAAAGTCCTGCAATGGAGGATGGGGGAAGTAAAGGTGATGAGTCCCCTTCAAGGGCATCTGGTGGGGTGGCCAGCGTAGACGATGATCGCGCATCTGTAGCAAGTTCCGGTATGAGGGGAAGCGCTAGCGTCGACAGCATGTAAGTACTTCACTTTCATTTCTGGACATCGCCACACGCTGACACATGAAATTCCTCAGGAGCTACGATGGCGATACTGCGGGCGTTTCAGCAGCTCTACGGGACTTGACGAAGAGCGCCGCTCTCAGGACATTCTGAACGAATCCTCAAAAAAGGTTAAAGGCTCTGCTGCAGAACAGTATATCAAGGATGCGTATCTCGTTTTTCGAGCGCTTTGCAAGCTCAGCATGAAGCCAATACCAGCACCAGAGGGGTAGGTTTGGCAACATATTCAGTGCGTTCACAGTAGGAACTAACTGTCGTACAGAGCAACCGATCTCAAATCTCACGCCATGCGATCAAAGCTCTTATCACTGCATCTGGTTTATACTATTCTCGGTTCACACATGTACATCTTCTTCACTCCAGCCCCTGTTCTATTCTCGCCGGGGACTCAGACAAAAGCTGATTCAAATGCAGTGTTGTTTGTTCATGCCGTCAAGCAGTACCTGTGCTTAAGCCTAAGTCGGAACGCAGTCAGCGTTGTACCACAGGTGTTTGACATATCCATGGAAATATTTGGTAAAGTGCTGATCGGTCTTCGGAGCGTGTTGAAAGTAAGTGGCCTTTACAGGAAGAGAACGTCGCTTCTGCCCAGTCGCTTACAGATGTAATTTATAACAGAAAGAACTGTCAGTGATCTTCACGGAAATAATTATCCCGATTGTGGAAGCCAGATCATCCATAACATTTCACCAGCGCACGTCTTTGTTGAAGGCTCTTCAGCGAATACTGTCCGATCCACAGGCCGATGGAGGACGGGTCCTTGTAGAAATTTATCTCAACTACGACTGCGATGTAGAAGCGGGGGCGCGTGAGAACATTTGGGAACGTCTGGTCAATGCGCTGGCCAAAGTCATGACGCAACATCACGAGACAAGCACAACCGTCCCTGCCACTGGGCCAGCGCAGCAGCAACAACAACAATCGCAGCGGGGAAATACAATGCCACCGGCGATAACAACTGCCAATCTTACCAATTTCACAAAAGAGCAAGTGCGGGAGCTGTATTCATCAACTGGGGACTATGGGGAACTTAAAAAGCGTGGGCTGGAACTGATGGTGAGGGGTGTCCTACGCCCGCTCGTCGCTTGGTGCAATGCGAGAGCGCCTGCCGCTGGTGCCCCTGCTGAGGAAGAAAAAGGAGGAAGAAAGAGTGAAGAAGCGGAGGCTTCGGTAAAGCTAGGGTTGGTGACGGACGAAGAAGGAAAGAAAGGAACTGGACAACAACCCGGACGCAAAATAGAAGATGACCCGACAGCGTTTGAAACGCTCAAGCATCGCAAGCAAGTTCTCAGCGAAGGCATCAAAAGATTTAACTTCAAGCCAAAGAAGGGAATGCAGTATTTGCTCGACTCTGGTTGTATAGCGTCACGAACTCCCCGGGATATTGCCAGGTTTTTATTGCATACGGATGGTTTGAACAAATCGATGATTGGCGAATTCCTCGGCGAAGGAGAAGAGGAAAATATTGCAATCATGCACGCGTTTGTAGACGAGATGGAGTTTTCCGGAATGACGTTTACAGATGCACTCCGGCTCTTTTTGCAATGTTTCAGACTCCCCGGTGAAGCGCAGAAGATAGATCGTTTTATGCTGAAGTTTGCAGAACGCTATGTGAAAGGAAATCCCCAAAACTTCAGCAGCGCTGACACTGCTTACGTTCTCGCCTACTCCGTAATTATGCTAAATACTGATCAGCATAATGCTCAAGTAAAAAAACGGATGACGAAGGCAGATTTCCTCAAGAATAATCGTGGAATTGACAACGGGCAAGATCTAGCGCAAGAATTTCTGGAAGCCATCTTTGATGAAATATCGCAAAACGAAATCGTGATGAAAGATGAGCAGCCGGTTGTTCCGGGAGTGAGTCCGGGTGGGCCAAATGATAAACCTGGAGTCAGTGGAAGCGGCAGCAATAAAAAGGAAGTTGCACACTTTGCCCTAGCTAGCGAAACGATGGCCTTGAAGACTGAAGCCATCTTTAATACTATGCTGAAGGGGAAAAGTAAGCGCACGGCGACTATTCCCGGAGGGGCTAGCAAGGAAGCAGCTCCTGCGGGTGGTTTCTTCGTTGCTAGTCATTACGAACATGTTAAAGCGATGTTCCAGATAATCTGGATGAGCATTTTGACCGGTATCAGCGGGCCGCTTCAAGAAAGCGAAGATGTTGAGACTATCATCGTCGCGTTGGAAGGGTTTAAACACGCGACCCACATATCGTGCTTATTTGATATGGATTTGGAGAAGAAGGCGTTCATCTCGACCCTCAGCAAGTTCACAATGTTGGGCAACATGCAAGAAATGAGGGCGAAGAACTTCGAGGCTACCAAGTCGCTGTTAGAGATTGCTTTTACGGAGGGAAATTTTCTGGGAGAGAATTGGAAGGATGTGGTCCTATGCGTCAGTCAGCTGGAGAGGCTGCAAGTGGTGGGTAGTGGGAATGAGAGTGATGCGGCGCGACCCAGAGCATCCACAGATCGCCTTCAGCGCCGAGAATCATCTAATGCGATAACGCGAACAGGATTCTTGCAAGAAGCAGCAGCAGAGGCAGGTTCTCAGGGTATGACAGTAATGGTGGATCGAATCTTCACATCTAGTGTCAAGCTATCTGGGTATGCCATTGTTGCGTTCGTACGCGCACTCTGCGAAGTTTCCTGGGATGAGATCACGTTTTCGTCGGATCGCGAGCACCCTCGCATGTACTGCCTACAACGACTAGTGGAAATTTCCTACTACAACATGAAGCGTATTCGTGTGGAATGGTCCAATATTTGGGCCATCCTGGGTGATCACTTCAACCAAGTTGGCTGCCACCCTAATAGCAACGTTGGCTTTTTTGCGCTTGACAAACTACGACAGCTGGCAATGAAGTTCTTGGAATTAGAAGAATTGCCGAATTTCAAGTTCCAGAAGGACTTCTTGCGGCCCTTTGAGCATGTTTTGGGTAATAACAGCGATGTTAAGATCAAGGATATGGTGTTGGCATGTCTCCAGCAGATGATTCAAGCTAAAAGCAAAAGCATCAAAAGTGGTTGGAAAGCGATGTTTGGGGCGTTCATAAGGGCTGCTCGAGAAACACATGGTACGTATTGAGCGATCTGTTGCCAATTGAGGGGCACGAGTTGTTCACTAATCGTTAACGGATGTCTCAGAGCCCATTGTTCTACTCGCCTTTGATATCGTGAAGGGCATATTCAAGAACAATTTTGAGAGCGTGGTAGCAAACCAGACTTTTCCAGACTCTGTCTCTTGCCTTGTAGAATTTTGCAAGAATCGTAAATTTGGCCGTACGAGTCTCCAGTCGGTCGAAATACTCCGCCAGTCTATTCCTCGTATTTACGAGCTGTCGAAAACGCAACAAGGCTCCAAGTTGCTTATCAATGCTGTCAGCAGCATGGCCGTGTTGCGCTCAAATGAAAATCTGACCGAGTCTATACAGCAAAGTCTCTTGGCGTCTACCCCAGGATCGGCAACACCAGGGACTGCTGGCCCCATCAAACCTGCAGGTATTCCAGTGGGAGGTGGTGTTGCTCCCGAAGATGACCCAAGCTTCAGATTTTGGTTCCCAATTTTGTTCGGACTGTATGAGGTGATAATGACCTGCGATCTAGAAGTTAGAACCAGGTACGCGTTTCCGTGACATGTAGGTACCGGTGGAACCATGCGGCTGATATTCTTTTTATACTCATGAAATGCAGAGCCCTAAATTATCTATTCGATACGCTAAAACAATATGGTGCTTCCTTTTCACGAGATTTCTGGGAGGTTATATCAAAAGGAGTTCTGTTTCCCATTTTCGACGACCTTCGATTATCCCGGCAGGAGCATACAAAATTTGCAAATAGAGAGGACATGTCCGTGTGGCTTTCTACCACTCTTATCCAAGCTCTGCGACAGTTTATCGATCTGTTCGGTCATTACTTCGATACCCTTAATTTCCAGATCGATGGAGTATTAGAACTCTTGACGGTCTGCATGACCCAAGAAAATGAAACCTTAGCGAGGATTGGAAGCACATGTCTACAGCAATTCATCGAAGGCAATGTGCAAAAGCTGGACGATGCAGTTTGGGAAAAGGTTTGCACGATGTTTGTGCATTTGTTTGAAGTCACAACGCCGCATGCGTTGTTCTTCGACCCTAATGACTCTGGGGATGGCCCTGCCGGCGGCGAAGAAAGCACGCCAATCATACAAACTCCAGACGGAAGTGGACTTGTTATCGATACCCGCCCACGACGACCGCGCCCACAAAGGAGTGAATTCCAGCAGATTATTGTAAAATGTGTGCTACATCTGCTTGTGATCCAAACGCTACAGGAAGTCCTCACTTCCGGTCCAGAAGACGCCGTATACCAAAGCTTGAGTTCAAAAAACCTCTTTACCCTCATCGACTGCTTGGAGCGAAGTTATCGATTTGCGAGGGCTTTCAATGGAGATATGGATTTGAGGATGGCCTTGTATCGAATGGGTTTTATGAGGCAACTCCCAAATTTGTTGAAACAAGAGACGAGTAGTGTATCCAGTTATCTCGGCGTGCTCATCAAAATGTATTTGGATGTCAGTGCTGAAAGACGGGGCATGAGAGGAGAAATTGAAAAGCGACTTGTGCCGTAAGTGACGAATGCACTGTTTTCACGTCTCCATTTTCTACTATGACTTACATTATGTGCTGGCGCCAACAGACTCAGCCACGACATCCTAATGCACTACAACTCTCTCGACCCAGAATCGAAACGTCGGAACGTGAACGCCTGGCGTCCAGTGGTTGTGACCATTCTTAATGCTCTAGTAGATTTTGACGAAGATCAGTTCCGACGCCAAATGCCATTGTTCTATGGGGAAGTCGTCAACTTGCTCATACAAGACGTTACACCGGATGTAAGACTCGTGCTGCACTCTTTACTCATACGCACCGGAACAACGTTTGGTATCATGACTGAACGGGAGGCCCTGAGTGCAACGGCCAGTCGGAGTTCCGTAGCTGGAAGTACCGAAGGAATACACAGCATTCCCGTCAGCCCCAGGGGGAGCCAGCGAAACCTTGTAGCAGGCGGCGGCGATGATCTAGTCTCTGAGGGCGGAGGGATTGATTCGGCTCCCATAGACTCTGGACTACCAGATCTGGCGACATGTGATGCACCTATCGATATGGGCGAGGGCGAAGTGAGCACTCATGAGGGTGGGTGGATGATAAGCAGAGAGGAGACAGGAAGTCCCGCTGTGCCTCCTAATATTGGTGCAAGCGCGAACGAGAATGCTGCTGAAGGGGAACAGGCAGAGGTGAATGATCTACGGGCAGATTCATTCAGCGGCGAAAGTACGGAAATACCGTCATCGGCAACGGAAGGCGTAGAGGACAAGACGAGACAAGGAGGAACTGGGTTAACAGATGATGAAACCTTCACGTAGCCAATAATAGCCAAAGTAATGTGGCAGCATATAACGGTTAAATCCGAGTCTTTTTTGGTATTTCGAAAAGTTTTGGTGAATTATACAATGTTTATACAATGGCCTGCTGTGCATCATGATCCGCATCGAGGCACCCTTGGCCCTCTGGTAGCTCTTCGTTTACGCTTTCTGGTAAACATCCTGGCTCCAGGAGTGTCAAAGCGTTGATAACATCCTTCGATGTAATCTCTAGGGCGCTCTCCCCTTTTTTCTGCAATGACCTATGTCCATAGAGTTGTATACCCTGCCGGCGCCTCTCAACCGCCAGTGCCACTGATGTCCTGATTATACGAGTTAGCCAGGTCCGGAGTGACAAATACAGACTGAAGACAGCGGAACGTTGCATCGATGTGTTTGGATCCTTTAGATAAACACTTGGCCGTAACTGTATGAGAATAGATAGGCTTCTTGTACAAAAAGTCACAAGGCTTACTCGTGGCTTATTCGCAACAACCCGGGTAGATTGAAAAACGACAGGTATTCCATTTCTTGTTCAGGAGTAAGGTTGAGAGGAACTTCACAGTCGCCATTACATTCCTTTCGTATTTCATCTCGAGACACATCTTTGGGGTGTACCAGGTGGGGAACTTTGTGATGTGAGCACAAAGTCCGGCAAGGTCGAATGCATTACATACCTGTTTTCTTTAGTTCTTCCAGAAACAGTGAAACTTCTACGACATTCTTGCTACCAATGTCCTCCGACAGCGATTGATCTGTCCATCCGGGATGTTGAAGGATGCAATGGGCGAGGAGTTGCTTCTCCTTTTCCGTCCAAGTGGTTAACATGGAGCATCGAGGGCAGTAGAATGCAAATGAAGGTCAGGTCTCACTGATCTTGACTGTGCTAACACGGACCCAAACTGGGTTAAATGACAGAATGAGTCATGAGCTGGCAGCTTCGAAAACTGAAGTGAAGTGCTGATCTGCCTTTAGAAAATCGATTCGTTGCACGGTTTCGCTTGGATTGCTGTCGGGATGGCTTTCTGGAAGGTAACAAACGTATTTTTACGGATTTTGAGCTTGTAAGTAACGATTCAGAATTGTTATAGCCAGGAACTGTCGCACCAGGTAATTTTCGTACTTTGTCTCGTACTGGGGATTTTCGTAGAATGGTCCTCACGCCTGTATAGGAAGCAGTATCGACAGAGAAACAGAAAGGGAAACAGACGAGAGCGTAGTTGCACAGTACAACGCTAACGAAGGATTGGCCATTAGCCAACAACGGTTGCGGCTCCCGATTTATAAGAATCGTAAGTTGAAATGCTTTTTCGAGACCATTCTCCTCTCCTCACGGTGTGCTGTTAGGCAATCATATACTTTATCTTCTTGAAAATTACCAAGTGGTCGTCATTGTCGGTCAGACGGGTTCCGGCAAAACAACACGTAGGTTTATGCCTCGAAACGGATAAGGCAAGATAGATCAGCTAAGGAAATTCGCGCAAATCCGTTTGTAGAGCTTCCACAGTATCTTCATGAGGCTGGATGGACCGCAAATGGACATGTTGTTGCTTGCACTCAGGTGTGGCGAGTCAATCTGCCCTCCTCTGGTTAATCGCAAAACTAAAATATTCCTTAGCCGCGAAGAGTGGCAGCAACATCCGTGGCCGCCAGAGTTGCCGAAGAAATGGGGGTTCAACTGGGACAGGAAGTCGGCTATACCATTCGATTTGACGACTGTAGTGATTCAACTCTTACTCGCATTAAATACATGACGGACGGCATGCTATTTCGCGAGACACTTCTGGATCCTTTGTTGACACGCTATAGCGCAATTATGATTGATGAGGCACATGAGAGAACTCTTCACACAGATATCTTGGTCGGCGTTCTGAAAAAGTATTTAACTGTTCTGCAACAACATTTGTTCGGTGCAAAAATCTGACAGGCCTCTCGGGGAATAGGATTCTCAAGAAGAGACCGGACTTACGAGTCATAATATCTTCGGCGACCCTCGATGCAGAAGCCTTTTATAACTTCTTCAATTCAAATACCTCAAATGACAAGTCAAAGGACACGGCGGTCATAATGTCCTTGGAAGGTCGAATGTTTCCAGGTAGTTTTTGGTCCCTAACCGCATGGAGTTTCGTTCAAATCGCTAATCGAGCGACGTTGTTCAGTCGATATTCTTTATTTGGAACAACCTTGTAACGATTACATAACTGCGTCAGTCGAAACTGTGATGAAAATACACGAAAAGGAACCTCCAGGCGATATTCTTCTATTTCTAACTGGAAGAGAGGAAATAGACACTGCCGTATCTCTTATAACCGAACGTGCCATATTGTACGAACGATCGTCCATGCGCCTTTCGGCCTTACCGATCTATGGCGGACTGACTTTTGATGAGCAACTGAAGGTTTTCGAACCAGCGCCTCGGGGTACAAGGAAGGTCGTGGTTGCGACAAATATCGCGGAAGCTTCAATCACTATTCAAGGAATTGTATACGTAGTGGATGCAGGATTTGTGAAGCTTCGGGCATATAATCCGAGGACCGACATGGAGAGTTTGATAGTATCTCATATATCGAAGGCATCGGCCCAGCAGCGAGCTGGAAGAGCGGGAAGAACACGGCCTGGGAAAGCTTTCCGATTATATACTGAGAAAGCGTTTGACGCGCTTCCCGACAACAATGTACCAGAAATGCAACGCAGCAACCTTGCAACGGTTGTGCTCCAGCTTAAAGCACTCGGTATCGAAAATGTTCTTTACTTCGACTTTCTCTCCCCCCCGCCAGTCAGCAATATGACAAAGGCATTGGAGCTGCTGTATTCTCTAAAGGCGCTAGATGATTACGGTCGCTTGACAATGCCGTTTGGCGTCCATCTGGCCGAGTTCCCGGTTGATCCCTTACTCGCCGCCATGCTGATGAATTCGCTCTCCATGAAGTGTGCTGATGAAATCCTCACCATTGCGGCAATGCTCTCTGTTCAGAATGTGTTTATCTCTCCGTCTGGACAGAGACGTGAGGCGGAGGATGAAAAGCGTAAATTTGCAGTTGAGGAAGGGGATCACATAACATATCTGAATGGTAATGCCTGGTCCGGGGTCAGAGTTTTGTGATGCTCGCTCACACAAGCACATTCCTTCTCCTCAGTCTACAATGCGTTCCTGAAGAATAACAAGAGTGCCAAATGGTGCTATAACCATTTTCTAAACCATAAAACCCTGCTACGCGTTGTATCCATCCGCCAACAACTCCGCCGATATCTTGGCCGATTTGGAATGCCTTTTGAGTCATGTAAAGGAGACATTGATATATTGAGGAAATGCATCGTTAGTGGCTATTTCTCTCACGCTGCGCGACTGAAGCCGGATGGAACGTATGGCACGGTACTCCATAACGAGGTACGTGTACCTCCTGTGACACTAATGTGATATGTCGAGAACTGAACTTGGCGAAATTCAAAGGTACTCCATATCCATCCTAATTCGGTTCTATTCCGAAGGTCGCCTGAGTGGGTTGTTTACCATGAGGGTAAGGTGCTAGTGAACGGCCTTGATCCAGGCTTTCGTTTCCCACGCTAAAGTTTTCATCTTGTCAGTTGTTGAAACAACTAAATCATTTATGCGAGATTTGACGGTGATTGAGCCGGACTGGTTGACAGAGTTGGCGTAAGTAGCCCAGTTCACTTTGCCATACGATGGACAGGTAGTAACCTTATTATCATTATAGACCTCACTTTTATGAGCGAAGAGCGACAACTGGCCGGTAGCTCACCTGTACAATGATAATCTCAAGCTTCTTGTATATACAATAGATTCACATATGTAAAAAACGCGACGATCTCCTTTGAGGATATCTTTAGCCTTCTTACAGGAAGATAATGGTCCAAGCACTCGTCGTGGGTGTCTCATTCTATAGAATCAGCAAGGGCGGCGAGGCGTTGCTGAGTTTCATTATACCGCTGGAGAGGATCCCTTGGTTGCAGTAAACGTAGAGCCTCAAAAAGGTTGTCGTTGTCTGATACGTTAATTTGGTCCTGTCCATGAGATGTGAGACACAAGACAAAGCAAAAATGCACTCTCCGAACAACGCACTGTTCCCATGTGATTGTCCTCTTCGCCATCGACAGTCATGGCATCCCCTAAATTCGGATTCAGAACCTCTTTTTTTGCTTGCTGAAGTTCTTCCCGCATTTCATTGCAGCATCTGGTATTTAACATACATAGTTAACCCCCACTCCCGTTCCTTTCTGAGCTTCAGGCCGACCAAGACTATGCGCACCTTCTTATTTGCTGGGCCATTTCCCTTCTCCGATTGATTTGCTTTTCCAGCATAAGACGCACTGTGTCGCGTACCTGTCCAACGTGTAAGTAATCTCGAGTGAGAATGACCAATCCGCAAGACAAACGCACCTGGTGCGACCGGTACTGGTTTATGAGGTGGTGGATGTTGGCCATGATTTGGTCGATCTGCTCAAGTTTGTACCCGCTCTATGGACAGTTATTGAAGGTTTGGCTCAGCGGTAAAGTCCACAGGATATATTGGTTGTCGTGTGTACCTGGAGAGGACCTCTGACTGCCATCACTTGGGCAAGCTCTGTAAGATTGAGGACAAGGGTTCGAACGAGATTTTTCATCACTGACTTCCAATCTGCAAGAACGAGAACAGAGAATCAATGTGAGCGAAGAGCCATGTACTCTAAACCGCATCTCAGGATCATTTTATACATCAGGGTTTCCACATGGATCGTTGCGGATGCGCTCGGAGCCTGCAGGAGGATGCCAAGTCTCAATACCCACCTATTGGCCCATCAGGATATAATTGCTTCACACCGTCTTCACTGAGAGGTTTTAGGGCATCATCTGTCTACAGCCAATACGGTTGTGGTAAGAACTCAACATTAAACAAACAATAATGGAATATTTCCCTCACACTGTATGTCGCCCCAAATGCCTGATACGGTCCCTCAAGAGGAATCGGGGGATGTAGAAATGGAGACTCAACGTTGGGAAGTGATGGTGGGTCTTCTTGGTTAAGGTTTTCAACGCCAGGTGATGCGCTCAGTGATTGGGGCGGCTCTTTGTCTCCTTTGTGTGCTTGGTATTCTGGGAACCTTGATACATTTGCATCCGTATACAGCTTAAAATAGGACGGTGGCAGTGGGTATGCTGTTACTGTTATGCCGCCTGGTCCGTCTGTTGTTGTGTTTGCCATGTTGCCAGAATGGTCAATGACACTGAGTGGAGATCACCAGAAACCCAGAACGCGATCTGAATGGAAACTCGATCAGTCCTCCCTGCTTGTCCTTTAGCCAGTATCTTTGTGCTCAAAACAAGTCCAGGTTTTATGGCTATCAGGCGGATGGTTGCCATCTATTTAGTATAAATAAGTGCTCATATTCGCTTTCAGTCATTTTCTCAATATCGCCATATTATTGGGGTTCACACAGTACTGGCCGGGTAGTTATGAGGTGCTCACACCACCCGCCTGCGCTGAACACTTGCAATAACCTTGGAAAGTGACATGTTTGTAGGCCCCATGCAATGATGACGATATGACCCTGTGTTCAGAGAGATATAAGATCAGTTAGCTGTGGATCGAGTTTTGATGTTGGCCCGACTGGGGTCATCGCTGTAAATAGACCAGGCCGGGCCCCAGCTTTATAGAATAAACCCAAGAGCGCTATGGAATTTCTAAATTCAAATAGTAACCTTAACAAAGAGGTTGGCACTGCCTGTTCCATGTCCAACATGGACATCCTTGTAATGCAGAGGCGATTTTGATGTAGAAAGGCATTTATGTGGGTTACCTGCAATTGTCGATCCTACGCCAGTGTCCTTCACAGATCTACTCGGTATATCAGAACGTCGCTTTCTGGGTGGAACAAATCCTTGAGGGTCACCAAACATTTCGAAGGCGCGAGTACGCATCGTCGAATTGTTAAAAACGAAATACCTTCAATTGGAGGTTGCGAAAAGCTGTAACCAGGAGAGAGTGGTGAGAGTTCCTTTCCAGGATACTTTCTCAGTATAAAGATGTCACCACTTTGCCCAGAAACCGAACAAGGTCTCCAATGCAACACTGCAAATATTGCTGGTGGTATTTACCGCACCGCTCTCCTTGACGAAAATGAGAGGTTTCCAGGATCGGATCAACGTCCACCCACCAATTTCGTCCATAATTCGGACGCACGGCCCAATTCCCGAATTGGTCGTCACACCGGTCGTAAAATCAGCCCCTCCGGTATCAGCGACTCTACTTCATACTTGCACCTGCGTCAGCGCATTGCAAGTAGGCCGGGTGTAAATGGCGCTACGCCGCTTGCCCGCATCATATCTCCCAGTGCTCCTCTCAGCTCGGTTCCACCACCGACAACGACCATCATAACTGACGCTCTTTATGTTCTTTGCCTCTATCGAACGCTGCTGATCTTTGCGTCGCACGGCCGGACATCTTTGGGCCTATTGCACTTCATCCTCGTCTTCTTGCCTCTGCACACAACTTATATCCTTCTCATCTGCGAACACGATCGATATTTCGCCCGTGATGACATGCTCCATACGATTTACACGGGTGCCCGTATCAGTATACTTTTCGGGGCTGCATTCACCGCACCAGGGGTTTTCAACATTGTGAATGGTACATGGCGAGGCTTTTGTGTATTTATCATCGCTGGTCGCGCGGCTCATACAATCACGCACATTATCGCGGCAATATATGAAAAACCGTGTGCTACGAGAAGCTGGTGGTTAGTTTCCGTAAGAGCTGCCACAGTTCTTGCCCCTTGCATCTTGTGGGCTGTTAGTTTGGGTTTGGGGGACCAAGATCGAAGAATTTGGGACATTGTATCGGGATTAGCTGTGATCCTCGATCAAGCCTGCTTGATTGCTCTGGGGATTGCAGAAGCTCGTATGGAAACGGGCGCCGTGAATACGCATCACCTATCTATCGACGATGAAGTTATGTTTGAAACAGCTTCTCACCGAAGCAGAATCGGATTATGCACATCGTTACTGATTGCGGCTGGGGTTATCGGCATCTTTGAGACGAGGCCTTATATCGACGTCCCCGCGAGCCTAACGGCTATTTCACTATATCCGCGAAGTCTTATATCTGCTATTGTAGGTCTCTGCATTTTGTATGCCATGGAACGATTATATTTTCTGTGCAGTTCCCATAGGGGGATCTGGCTGGACTCGACAGCCATCAATCGGTCTGGGATTATTCCCCGGCATTCACGAGATGCACAATCGGAAGCTATGAAAAGAGACATTTCCCCCATTCGCTCTTTCTTTTGGGAGTACCTCCACATCCCCCTCCATGTGTCTCTAATGATAGCAATTTACGGGTTGCACGGAATGCTCAAACTTGTATACGAGTATATACGTGAGCAGCCAACATTCAGTTACGACCCACCGCCAAACCCGCCATTTGTTTCGGGAGCTCAGGCCGCTCAAAATCTGAGCAGTTCGGCCCAAGACCTGTCGAATAAGTTTGCAGCGAATCAGTCAATGCCGTATGCGGTGTCATTGTTTTCGGTCAATCCTGTGACTGGTGGAAGCTCACGACTAGTGAATGTATCCTCATGGACTGAAGTTCAATTGTTCTCGATTGGATTGGGAGTGGTAATGCTATGTTTGGCGCTGATCGGTCTCTTGGATGTTGGAAAATCATCAAAACGACATTGGTCATCCTTTGTGGTAAGGATTGGCATTGGTGCTTTGGTATCAATTCCCGCATTTTTGGAAGCGGGTGCTGTAGCCAGTCTTGGTAGCATTGGCAGCTTACTTGTTCTGGCCGCAGTCATTGGAGACGCTCTGAATTCGTAATGTAGTGATTTTGTTGTCATTTTGTGGTAGTTGTGTTCTTCCTGACCAACCGTGACGGATAAAGTGCTGTAGATATTGCAATGTGCTGGAAACTGTCAATATAAAATCAAATCCTCAAACATACCGGTTTTAATCGGAAAACTAGCGAGCCCATCGAAGGACTCCTGTCAACTGGTTTCATATATTCCGGATCACTTGTGACAAGAGGCATCCAGATCAGAATGCCAATAATCTGCTAACTCCAGATTACAAGGCCCAACCCTGCGGTAAATGTGAAATATGACACCAGAATCTGCTGAATACACTCGACACTTGGGCAAGGAAAGAATATAACTATGGTTGGTTTGAGGGAACCTTCTCAGGATGTGTTCAGTATACTGGAGCGCTCCGTTAACTGCTATGCCACAGTACTGTTTCAGTGTGTGGAGGATATCTCTGGGGTCCTTGTATTGACAGAGTAGTAAGAATTGCATTACAGGAAGAAAATGAGGGTCGTTAACCGGATTTTGATCACTGATTATTGGGTGGGTGCATAAGGCAACGAAACGAGAAGAGTAATTCAACTGCCTTGTCGCCAGAATCCCAGAAGTTTAGGATCCGTTCCGATTAACTTGACAAGTTAAAAACTCATAGAGGTATTCCGTTCTATGATATTTTTGATGAAATCCACATGCTGTGTATGAAAATATGATAATCCATTTTCAGGTCCTATAAAACCTTGCCATAACAGTTTTAGATGTGTTTTACTGCGGACCTTTAATCTCGTCGATAGCGCATTCCGTTTTGCAATAACCCCGACAAGGTAGGACAGCAGCAATACGGTGAATGATTGCGGGTCGCAGCTGGGATGCATCCAATTCTCTAGCCCCCATGTACACATCGTTTATTTACGGCCATCCCGCTATTGTTCTTTACCGCGGACCGAATTGAGGGTAATGGCCTTAGGCAACAAGATTAGACGCCGCGCAATGGTTAACAATGTTACCTTTTTTTCGTTTGCTCCATTCAATGGAGATATGTTTTGGCTGCGGGAACCCCATCAAAACACCGGTTGAAAATGCGGATCTTCCTACCTGTGGAAGGTTGCCCTAAATCAAGTAACAATTAAATAACATGTTACCGTCCCTTTTTTGATACTCGTTGTAACAACCGTTCATTGGTTTTCTAGTACAATGTTAATCGACGATTTACAACCTTTTGTCCCTTAAGGATGCCCAGATTTCTACGAGAATGTCCAACTGTCCACAGCCCACATTTGTTTGATAATGCTTACTGAGACCACCCCCAAAGTATTCATCCTCGCTTAAATATTTAGTGTCCAGCTCTGAATAGGGACAAACCTTGGGGGAACGAGGGTGACGATCACATAAACAGACCTCATGGGCATGGGAGCTACTTGGAGGCCGGATTATCTATAAGATACCAAAATCCTGATGATATCTCATATAAGGCGGCTTTGACGATGTTTTGACATTGTTTTCAAAATACAATATGTTCGCCGGGTTTGAATCGCCACCAGAGTAGCAAATGTTAGATCGAAGGCGAGCCCTTGGTCGGAGCCGTGAATCCGTAGGCAAAACAATAGCAAAAACAATTTTCATGTAATAAGAAACCACCATATCCGCCAGCGTCTTTAAAAGTCGACTGTTTCCATAATGCCTCTCAAAACGCCCTCCAGTAGTTTATTTTGCAACCCTAGTATCAACAATGTCGGATGCGCCAGTGCTCAACGATTACGTTTTCGGCATCACCTGCGTGGTCATTGCAGTATGCCTTGAAAACCAAGGTCGGATTATGACGACATTTAAGCGTTGGAATACACCGCTATTCTATCTTTTGACGGTTCAAAATGTGGGAACGTTCTTCCATGCCTGGATGTTTTTGAGGTAATTTTTGTCTGGACGAGGTATATTCGTAGTGGGCTTCTAACAATGCCCATGTTGTTTCAGAGTTTGGAACTTTGGTTACGTTGAAGATGTCGCCTTCAACTTTTTCGACGGTTTTGCGTACATATTGGTAGGTTGCAAGTGCGTGAATTCATGATATCCCTTATTGACAACTCGATACAGATGGTAAACCTTTCAGGATGGATCCACTATGATCGATTGAAAATGCTATTCTATCGATCATTCTTCCTTGATCCTGCATTCCCATTTTTGCTCATCTTGGAATTCGCGGTTCTTTCTGTTGGTATGCATCATATCTCTTTTATGTCAATCTACCCTCAAAAGCTAACCTGGACAATCTTCCATAGATACGGGCTTATTCCAAGGATTGTACAAAGGAAAGATCTCTCCTGATGTCACTTCTGTCAGTGGTCCCGTCACTGCATTCTATTATATTGTCCTCGAGGTGCTTATGGGTAAGGTTGACAAAATCTTTTTTGACCGGTCTCATTTGCATGTTGGCGTGACCGACGTCGTCTCATCATGGTTTATAGGTATCCGTCTTATTTACAACTTGATGAAAACGACCGGGGCTCGGGACTTTACCAGCTTCATTAATGAGTGCAAGCTGTCTGTTTTGTTCTTCCTCTGGTACGTTGGTCATCTCTTCTGGCAATTCACAGTATTCTAACTCCCTGTTTGAATCTATAGCACGGATTTGATCTACATCATTACCATGTTTACCGCGTCCCCTGGTATCTTTGTCTCTGTTAAAACATTGTGCTATGCATTGAAGGTATGTATTGTGAATCTGACTGTTAAATGTATCAACACTAACTTGTGCACATGTTTTCACAGCTCAAGTATACGCTTCTGATGTATGACGATGTCAAAACACAGATCATCCAGAAAAACAAAAGCTCTCAGAAGAGTGGCTCGAACCACGGAAAAGCATCTGACATACCTAGCGCTACGAATGTTATTAACACCACGTCAATGTGTTGAGTGTAGCGGGTCTCTTAGCGTGCGACTCGCTGCACGCGATAGGTTATATACCATCATAGTATACAATCGTTATTGAAATTGGTGCTACAACTAGATTTCCGACAATAAACAAATACGTACAATTCATGTAGACCTCTCTTATCAGCTTGCAGCCGCCCGACTTTTGAGCGTGGCTAATTAATGCGCCTTCATGCGCGAGATAACGTAGGAGGAGGGCCATTAAGATCATCGTGTATGAGGAAATGCCGAGTACTTGTTGCATTTCAGCGACTGAATGACCCACACTTGTTGCGATGGGATCATCATGAAAGATAGACTTGGAAACGTGTCCACTTGCGGCATGAAGGATTGCGGCCAGCTGATGAGTAAAGCATTCACAGACCTGTTAACGCTACTACAACTATGCTGCTACAATTACAGGTATGCAATGTCTTTGTTTCTCCCCACTCGTATTATCAATGATTGTGCTTTACTAGTATACAAACATCCTCTGACCAAAAAGGTTCGGGAATCAGGCCTGCATGTGTACGTAGACCTAGATAGTCAGTCTGCTTATCCCGGCTGATTGTCTCCAGGCTTCGTAAGTCAATCTACGCTGGTGTGGTGTGCATGACTTGCAAGATTACGCTTAAATGTGATGTCTTCATCCAGAGGACGGTCGCGTGGCTAAGCATAAGGTTCCAACCGGCGATCCAGGGACCTGGCCCCAATCGATGTTTCTCGAAGCAACCACTGCTGTGTTGAAATAACAGCGGATTCGCATCTCGTCTTAAAGACATATCTTGACACTCCCGTTCAGCCTTCCCTTACCTAGTCTCCTTCCTTACAAAGGTCTACGACCATGTTTGGGTGCATTGCAGCTGGACGGTTGGTTAGTATGATTGCTAAAACTACTAGGTGGGCTTGCAAATCGTTTTTGCTAACGCGTGAGATCCCTAGGTCCAAACAAACATGCAACAAGGTATGTGCAAGGGGTGCGATTGAGTTTAATGTACCAGGTCTTAAGCCGTGAGAATGCTGGAAAGGAAGATTGTGGGAATTGTGCAGGACGCACCTCGTTACCGAAGATACGTTACTAACGTTCACGTTTTCTCGTACATCTAAAAAGTTGACTCGACAAAGGTGAGAAATACCAGACATTTCTTCTCAAATGACCAAGTCATATCGGAGGATCGAATGCTCACCGGCATATGTTCATCCCAATCAGTATGTTTTCCAATTAGATGATCCCCAAACAATCAACCACATTGGTGGGTAATAGACAGCATGTCCTTTGGAGTGTGCGATTGTGTTGCTTACTCTTTTATGATGTATCTGTATCTCTGTTTCCAGTGGTGTTTATGACAGGCGTGCAACCGTTTCCTCCCGGCTTTGCGGCGACGGTGCATTTTTTATGGTAATACTTCCCCGCATCGATTTCTCTAATTCCCCTTTACATGTGCGATGACCATTGCTCGTGAACAACCAAGATAGGCCAGTCCCAAATCGCAGTCCTGAATGGCAACTACTCGGCATGCTTTCAAACGAGAAGCCTTCCGCAATATTCAAACTCGGAGGGAGCAAATCTGTTGCGTCAACTGCATTTAGCGGATCTGATGTGATGATGAATGATACCCTCGTGACACCGGGTGTGGCCGCTACGATACCCGCTCAGCTGGGAATATCGGTTGAGCCAATCGAAGTGGTGTTGGCTCAAGTAAGTCAACTGCAACCATCGTCATCGGGATCCGCGACGTCGGGGGCCCTGATGAAAAGTGTAGATCCAGCCCAACTAGTAACAAAGATTCTAGAAAGTAGGACCGGCTGCGTGCTTTTCTTACCCGCTGCATGTGTGTGCTAACACAATATCCTTTAGATTTCTACAATCATTGCAGCGGTTTTGCTGGAAATTTGCCATTAGGCGGTAATGCGCTTTTTGGGATGGATTGGAGCACAACGTTTATCCCTTTGAAAGCCGTGCAGGATTGGTGAGCTCGCTAGGTGATGACGTTGTGAAATCATTTCCGTAACCATCTTTCTTGGTTAGGTACAATTCCATGCAGCGAAAGTTAAAATTGGATCCCTCTGGAAATAGTCTGTTTAAGAGTTGATCATTATTGGGATAATATTTGTATGTACATATTGTTATGTTGCAATTTTGCAAAGAAAAAAAAAACTCTGTTTCCACTGAAGTTACTCTATAGATCGTTTGCCATCTCGTGGTTTGGTCAATCGGAGCATCCAGCCCAGACTCACTTCCAGCTCATCCACTTGCATGTCACAGTAATAAACCTCGCTGGGTAAGCCCCAAAAACGTCTCCCAGTCCACCACGATGGTAGTCCTACCGCTTTTTCAGTACCCGGTTCAATGTCAGGTCGATCGCGCAAGGTGCAAGCTATGCACCACCCATCCCCGCGTTGAACGACAGAGTCGGATAAAAAACTTGAGTTTTCAAATGTGATGGTCAATTTCCCATTGATTGAGATTTCAATCCTTCCTTCAGAATTGACAAAATATCCCAATACAGGCCAGTGGCCCTTCTTTGGGCCAAACACAAACCGCACATTCGAGATCTGCGGCGCCCTGATCTTTGGATCCCCATCGGCATTGTCATAGTCTACTTGTACCTCCTCTTCGTCTCCAACCATTCTTACTCCGCTGCAAACAAGACTAGCACGCTTAAGCGGCTCGTCGTACCACTCTCCGTCAGTGGAGACCAGCGCCGAAATACGGTCGGAGATTGTGGCCGCATCGGCTTTTGCAGCGTTCATTTTGATGGCCGCGGTATGCAACGCGTCCGTCCACCATGAGCGGCAAACCGCGCGGATGTGGAGAAGGTCGTGTACAGAAGTGTGATCTAATATGAGCAGAAAGATCTCGCGAGGGAGACAGGATAGTGGTGTTCCATGTTCTGCGGGCACAAGATTTGCAGTTCCACTGGACATTGTGGATGACCGACACTCGCTTGCTCGAAAGGCACTGCCAGAGACGCTGGAGCGTTTACAAACCCAGATGGATTTGTCATTAACGAGGACGATGACGAGAGACGGTTTTATGGTTTAAATGTGTTTAATGCAGATGGTTCCAAGATGTCACATGAACTGGCTGTGATTTTAACGACGATTAAGATCTGGCATCTCGAGCGTTTTTGCTCTTCCATTTGGAGGATATCCATTGGGGGATATCCATTGCGGGATGCCCCAAAGCGGATGCCCGTCGGGGATGCACCGTACTTTTGAAAGTCGGTCGTATTGACGATTCCTTTCAAGGTGGCATGTTTTGCGACCAAATCGAGTCTTTTAACATTCGTCCCCATGCCTCATCTTGAATAGACGATCGCTTCCCAAATACACTCGTTGGCCAACTAGCAAAAGAGCGGCTTTCCATTACCCACATTTGAGAAATTGCCATAACTTGCCATACATTTCAATATGCCATAAAATGTGGTGAAACGGTCGCGTTTGTTTTTTATTCCAAATTTTTATCTAAGTTTTGGAGGAAGACGTCAAGGCCTCATTTCGACATTGTGATTTCACCTACTCCTTCTCTCCGCCCTGCCATTTGCTCCTTACACTCTTCCTTTGTTACGTCTTGCCCACTTCAACGACCTCTTGACTACAAAAGTCGTCTATATATATATCTCCCTCCTCTCCAAAGTCACACATTCCACAACGGCCCTAATGTACAGCACATTTGGCACGGATAACGAAGCCTCTTCCCCCCAGCAACAGGCCGCATCAATGTTCAACCCTAGACCCGAAGACCGTAACTCGGACGCGGACATGGAGGAGTGGAGTGCACGATGGCGTGTTGTCACCAGCACCAAGACAAGAATGTGGCAAGCCATTGGTTTGCACGCCGGTCACGTCGTAAGTGTCATGGTTGTGGTTACTACTTAACATGGGTTGGGTTTCCTTTGTTGCGGCTTTGGTCATCTGATTGCATCCTTGGATGTTGTAGATTGGAGCTCTATCACTAGCTATTGCCATCGGGGTTAACGGCATGGAACAACGTAACGGAGAGATAGTCTGTCTACTCAACATGGACATCTCCACCACAGGACCCAAATCCTCCTGTGCCCTTCCCATCACCCAATCTGTTTTCTGTACGATCGCGGCCATTGTTATCGGGGCCTACAATGCTCGGAGCTTGATTATCTACCAATCACGAAAACGTACCTACATAATTGCCGAATGCGTAGCCTCCCTTGCAATGATGGCCTTGATGTTCTGGGCTGCATCGTCCGTATCTGTCTCTCTCAAAGAAACTTGCGAGATATTTAGGCAGAAAGGATGGGGAAACTGTTCATCTAGTTTTGCGGATAAATACGGCAAGAGCTTGCCCGGTTTGACATTTGGAATTGTTGCGGGGTACTTTTCAGCAGCGCTCTGGGTAAGTGCATTGACGTTGCGCTAGGATGTCCCACTGAATCGTGGTACTTATAATTTCTTTTGTTTTGACAGTCATACTCAACCTACAAAGAATGGAACGCATACCGATCCAAAGAGTCGTTGTAATCACGCTTACCCTTCAAACCACAATCGTCACTAGAGTTTTTTCACCGCACGTTAGACAATTGACTTTATATAGACCTCTTTTTTTTGCACTTTATCAGGGTGCTTTATCGTACATAGTGTAGTTGCGCTCCATTTAGGTATTATGGAGTAGATAATTGAGACAGTTGATGCTAATAGATGGTATATATTACGGTATTGAATTGTCTAATGGTTGCGCATCTGTCAGCAGCTCTAGGTACTGAAAACTATATGACACTCTATATCGGGGCAAATACAAGGGGAAAACCCATGGGACATAGGGCTCAAGAAGGCGGAATCTCGTCGAAAGGCTTTGTGGGTCGAACGTCAACCGCCGAGTCTATCCCCGTTGGTGACGAGGCCGGCGAAGGTAATGGTAGTTCTGGCGCTACTGTGTCAATGGGAGAATGGCGCACCGATGAAGTTTTCGAGCGTAGGCGTTCCCGTCGAATAGGCCCAGGGAACGAGATGTGAAGAGTAGAAACCCGACGACTACCTCTTCTCGTTTGCGCTCGAATAATCCGCCCGGTCGACCCAGTCATTCCTTCCATTTCCTTCCTGTACACTCCCAACCATTTCGTCCCAATCGCCCCCCATAGCACCCACCCTGAGACCAACAATCCATTCCCCTTGGGACCAAACACATGCGAAACAGTCAAAAGCCCCGCCATAGTCACCGAAAATGTATAAATGACCGTAGTCAAGAGTTTACGCTCGTCCCCAACCAGATACTTTAGCAACCAGTAAAACATCCGAACCCATGCATAAGTGTGTAAAATCGCAACTGTAGCCTCCAGTTGATCGGTAGGGAACGCTGTCCCAGTGTACATTTGCCATAGACCGGACACTGCAACGTACATGTGCATTGCAGAAACACAAATGTAGCCGGGATGCATGAGTGTTTTGACACCGGCTACTGAGGGTACGAAAAAGAGGGATGTTGGCACTTGAATGATTGCCGCCGACAAAAAGGTGAGCTGTGTGAAATGGTATGCGCTACGCCAATGTCGAGGCAAGAGAAGAGCGAATAAACCTCCATACAACTAAAACAAAAAAAAAACCCCCATGTCAACGTTAACTTGCTATCCCATTTGCAACAAAAGAAAAAAAGCAAAACTGTAAACCAACCTCAGCAAAACCTCCGATTATGTGAATCCATAACATCCATCTCGACAAGGCAGTCTTTTCAGTATGCGGCCGTCGCATAGGCGGAGGTGGTCGCTTCCAAGTGGTCGCATACTCGTAAAACACAAACATGTCCAAAACATACGAAGCTGCCAAGAATAGTTGACGGTCCGTCTGTGGAACTGGGATTAACATGGTGGAAACTGATCTTTCTCCAGATGGCTCGTTCGTCGACAAAACCCCTCGTTAAAGGAAAAATTGAGGTGATGAAGAGCGTTTTCTTTAATGAGAAATGTTGAATAAGGAACGGTAAGAACGCCCCTGCAGATATGGGCCCAATTGGGGAAAACATGGGGATACCTTGGTCGTGGGTGCAGATCACGAATAGAATACGCTATAAATAACACATAAGAAGGGCTGAAAGGTTCATCCATTATTGTTATCTCGCTATTAATAGCTTGTAACAACTCATTTCCACAAAGACTGGCTGTTAGATTTCCCACCTCCCAACATTGAATGACTCGTGTAATGTTCAAACTGAGGATCGCACCCCACAAAAGCAAAGGGGAAATGACGACACAGCATATGGCAAATGCATCGCATGGAATGGTTTATGAATTTTCTCCGATGCTTACATAACCAGAGATCGGGCTTACTGGAACGACATGTTGATCTATGCACACCCATTAGCAATTTGCTGCTGGGTTCATTCAATCAGCCTTCACTCTACAATGAAGAGAATGGATATCAAGACTGGTGCGAGCTCAAAATCTCTCTTGTGGCGACTATTCCCATTGCTGAACCAGTCGAAATAGCGATAGGCATTCTTGTCAACGACTGGATACCAGTAGCAACAGACAGCGGCAAATAATACAATACAGCATGTATTCAACGGATGTGGGAAAAAAACCTCGAAAGACAAATGTACAATGCGCCATTATCGTCAAATTCTACGAGCCCCGCAAAAGTTGCCAATAAAATCCATCTCTAGATGAGATGAATCCGAGGTCCCCACTAGCACTTTTGAGTTGACTCTCGTCCAACAACCAGCCACCAAACACTTCCACAATTCAACAAGCGCCTATTGGCGGCGGCGGTTCTCACGGAAGTTGGCACCGGGGATACGCTCCTGAACAGCGCTCTGGTTGCTGGCATTGACTTGGAGACCAGGAATGTTCTCCATGTTCAAGGCCTTGAGAAGCGCCTGCAAGATTGAAAAAATAAACAAATGCACCACGGCACACTGTAGCTCACAAATAATGTCTTACGTTTGTGTCGGGGTCAATCTCGATAGTCTCAACAGCAAGAGCAGAGACCTCAGGCACAAACTGGTCCTTCCGCTCACGCTCCTCCTCCTGAAGCTTGAAAGAGATACCACGGACGGGTCCACGCTGAATACGCTTCATCAAGTGGGTGGTAAATCCAGCAATCTTGTTGCGAAGACGCTTGGAGGCAATGATGGCGACTTCATCGGCAATCTTCTTGTTGGTCTGGAAGTCGAGGGTAAGGCGGGGATAATACTTTTCGATGATGACCCGAGCGGCCTTCTTCACGGTCTTGGTACGCACGCGACCCTGACAGGAACGAAGAATTTACCGTAAGAAGACAAGGCTAGGTATAAATATTCTGCCAATCATTCTATCAGTCTCCACCAATTCGTCATGATAGTCCAAAGGCAAGTCTCAAATCTGACATTTGACTAGCAATCGTCGACTTGTACAAGAAACTCAGCGGCATTCGAGATCTCAAAATACTCCAAATGATGAAAGGCAAGGCTGTCTTCTCCTCATCAGCAAGAACCAGACCACCATGGATCGTCATACTCAGTCTTTCTGTTTCGTATCCAGAAATGTGCACATGAAAAATGGGCAAGTCATCACTCGTCAATTCCTTCCACCCGGATACCCATCCATCCATCTATCCATCCATCCGTCCATTTCCACCAATCTCCACTTTGTCAACCACAACCAGCCCCGTCCTCCTTCCGCATACTCACCATCTTGTCAGTATTCTAGGAGGAGCTCGACGGCACTTCACTAAACAACCGCGGAAAGAGAGAGAGACCTGTCGTACCAACTGCCGTGTTGGATGTGACCCCAGGAGTGATCACGTGTACTCCGTTGACATGGCAACACTATATCGCTTGAGATTTGAACGAACGTGTGTATTTTGCAAAAGATCAAGGAACAAGTACACAGAAGTCGCACCAACAGATATCAAACAAACATACACTTAGACAGCGGAATATACGCAGTTATTGCTATGCATTTTGGTTGTTCGCCATCCCCACATTTAGCCAAATAATGGGCCCAAACTCAGCAGCATTCAACTCCACATCAAAAGATTAGTACAAGCGTTGCAACCAGCGAGTTCAGCGATGGTAATCACCGTAGCCACCGCTACGAGAAGGGTCATGGTACCCAGAGCGATCACCATAACCACGTCCATCTCCACCGTAAGGGCGTTCGCCATAGGAGCGTCCTTCTGGTGCATATGCGCCTGTCCCAGGAGGTGGGGGTGGGGGAGGGTAGTCTTTGTAATAGTCGTTCCGGTGGGGCGGTGCTGAACCTGTCAGATAAAATGATTAAAAAAGGGGCCCGAAAGCAGCAATGTCCACAGTATTCCCGAAACGCTTACCGCCCGGGCCATAATCTGGACCTCCTCCGTAGCCTCGGTCGTAGTATCCACCGTAGCCACCATAGCCGCCGCCATAGCCATCGTAACCACCGCCATAGTAGTCTCGCGGACCATAACTATCGTAACCGCCACCGTAATAGTCCCTAGAATCATATCCCCGCGGTGAAGGTCTGTCATAGCCCCGCGGGCCACCGTACGACGGCGGAGGACCTCGCCCCATCGGCGCCCCACCATGTCGATCCTACATATCAAGCAACCCCCAACAAATACAGAGCCAGTTATTACCCGCCACTTTCTGCAGGATCCCAGGCGAACCGAGGACTTGTAACGCTCAAAGCGAAACAAGCTTCGGTGCGCCTGGACCTAACCAAAACCAAACCATCATTCTGCAAATGCCCACCTCACGCACTTCCAACCGTCTCCCATGCCATTCGTACCCGTCGAAAGTAGCTAACCCAGAGAAAAGCCGAAAGAATGTTATCACCAGCGCACGACCCAAAACCAAAACCACCATACTCAAACCCGAAACCGCCCTCCGAAAACCAGCATCTCTAGACGTCGCATAAGCCCCGCTTTTGCCAGACCGACCACCCTCACGGCCATCCATTAATAGCGAAAGTCCTACGACGACAATCGAGAATCTTGGATCGGCTAATGGGAGCTATTCGGGTTCAAGGTATGTTACCCTATCCGTAACACGTACATATCGCATGATGCGCTTCCTCAGCAGTTTCGAACAGGACAACACCCATTCCTCTCGATCGCCGGTCCGGTCCTTCCATTACATCAGCTCTCAGAACGCTACCTGTTTCCGAGCGAAAAGAGGTTATGACAAGATACACAGCGAGCAATCAAGATAAAGTGAACTTACCAGCTTGACGGAAAAGATCTTTCAAATCTTGCCAAGCAACAATGTATGGCAGCTAGAATCTTTATCAGGTAACGACACACGCAGATTTGTTTCAAGAAGCTGACTTACATTATTTACAAAAATTTGGCGGCCCGCAGTATCCATCCTTTTTGTAGGACCAAGGGAGCCAAATTTCGCCTCCTGCTCCCGATCCTATAACAGCCTCCTTTTAGTTCCAGTTGCACGTTTTCTTTCCAATGCGTTATGTCCTGTACCTCTCGAATAAAGACTGGACGCCCCATTAGAGGAGTGTCATTTAGCTCCTTAATTGCCTTTTGAGCTTCCTCAATAGCCGCATATTCAACCACACCGCAACCCTGATTGTGTGATTCTATGATCAGTTTACCTGCCTCCACACACACCTCCACAGACTCCGATTGCCGAGGGTCACCTTTGAGCGTCCACCAGGGCCGGTGAGGATATCGGCAAACACAACTTCGCCAGCTACAATTTTGCCGATCCATCAGCGTCAAAGGTAATGGCCTCACCGGACAATATATTCACACCTTTGCGCATAAAGTCTTTCAAATCTTGCCATCCCACTTCATATGCCAAGTTTCCAACATAGACCCTGCATTCTTTCTTTGACGGAGGACGGTTTGGATCACGTCGTCCAGCGGAATACTTTGAAGAGCCTCCACCATGACCTTGAATTATCAGTCATTTTCAGGTTAGCTCCAATCCTTTCAGTAGTGGATAAATGTGCCCAATACGCACTGTCACCACCGGGCCGGTCGTAGGGAGTTCGACGAGATGATCCATATCTTTCACGACCAGGAGACCGAGATCGGCCATAATGCTCTGCGGGAGGAGCAGGCGCTGCATCAGGTCCAGATCCACCCTCCTTTTTGGGAGACAGGTAACCGTTGCGTGAACTACCAGCACCCGAGTCCCTCTCTCGTACATCACGCGAGTCTCTATCTCTCTCGCGCACATCGCGAGAATCCCTGTCCTCCCGAGTGTCGTAGTGGCTGTCGGCCATGGCACCGTCGCCGTCGGTCGTGTCGTTCAAGACGGTGGAGAGATCTTGCTCCATTGAAACGATGACAAAGTTAGATGGAGACAACCACCGTCCGAGTCACCAGCTCTCCTTGTTGTTGGGCAAAAGGAATATCACCTATTTATCATCTCATTTACAATCCCCTTTATCATCCCTCCGCAGTCGTCCAAATCACCATGGCAACAACGAGCGGTTCGACCCTTTGAAACTTCCCCCAAAGGACGAAAAACGCGCTCCCCTTTTTTTTCCTCCAATCAATGTGATTTGTATTCTCTTATCATTATTACGAAAAGAGCCTTCCCGCGCATATTCAAAACAAACGACGACGGCCAAAGAAAACACGACGAGAATAACCGCCATTTGCAACCGATTTTGACACGGACAGGAGTAGAATAACCACCCTCGATACCCTAGGGCACCAAGTAGCCACGCCGTCTGCGCATCTCATGAGCCCTCCAGAAAAGTAATCTCGCGACATTTCCCCTACCCTCGACATGGTGTCAGGACAGACTGCGGGCCTGAGGTCACGTAAGGTCGACGTGAAGAAAGCCCTCCTAGTCTACCGCTACCATGAGGTTCCCGACCTGGACGAGTCATCCTCTCTCAACAGGGCCATACTACAAGTTGCTACTGGTGTAGAGAAGGAGGAGGAAGAGGTTAGTCTTGCTGTTAATTGAGTTTATGCATTGCCTTCATCGCCATTTCGCCCTTGGTTGCCACGCTGGGGCCCAATCATTGGAAAAAAATTTCCCCTTTGATGACATGCATAGTGGCGCGTCGGACTTTATGATCGCGTTCGGTCGTTGAATTATTTATGCTTCATCGTTGGACCATTAGAAAATATATATTGTTGGCCATGGATATTGACATGACACCTTGCATATTTAGGAGCACCATCTTCAGGCCGCCTTGATCGCCAATCAAACGGGCCGTATTCACGAGCAGGTTATCATCCCAACACCCGATGCCTCCAGAGTCATTAGCGATTACAGTCGCTTTTACTCTAGTACATTTCATCAACCGCCGTCACTCATTCGGTTTTCGACTGGGATAGAAGATGTCATCGGCTGTCCTTACAATTTGGACGAGGTGGATGATACTTTCCTTTCGGAACATCGACAAAAGATTGACGATGGGGAATTGCCACCGGAAGCAGAGCTGGATGAAGCTCAGTTTGAAAATATTATGTGGGCACTGGAGCTTGCTGGGGATGATAAGGTATATTTCGAAATTCCAATGTCTGTCCAACAATTGTCTGTATACTGAATTCATTTATCGCAAACAGGTGTCTGGCGAGCCACCGACGTTGGAAGAGTGCCAACGCTTCATTAGCCGGGAGGAGCCGAGTCTAATGGCACAAACAGCAGCTATCTCTGCGGTATATCCACATTGGAGACATCGCCGCTATGTTGTGCGGGGCGGGCAAGCAGTCCAACCAAAGCTAAAGGTAGCAATCTTTGTGTTATTGAAGCGAAATGGCTTGGTGGAATACTCAATTGCATATACACGCAGCTTTCTGAAGATTGGTTGTTGAAACCAGACAATGACCCGTACGTCTGCTTTAGGCGACGAGAAGTCAAGACTCTTCGACGACCGCGACGGACGGACACCCATTCTCTGGAAAAACTTCGTCGTCTTCGAGACGAAATGAACCGGGCCAAGCAAATTCTCGAGATGATCACAAATCGGGAAGCGGCCAGGAAGGAGAGCATCGTACTGGAGCATTTGATATTCGAACAAAGAGTTCTTGTTCGACGACTCAAAAAGAAACTTGGTATTGTAACATCCGAGAAGGAAAGCGATGTCAGTCCGGACGTGCGTCGTAAAAAGCTGAAGGGGGTTGACTCTCGGTATGTGGGGATATACAGAGCCAGCTAGGCGAATTCTCCAAACTCACGTTTATATGATCGTTTTGCAGAGACGAACCTGTCAAGAAGATACGGATACCTCCGGCCGCTATCAGGTCAGCTGCGCAAATGGTGCAGGCCATCGAAAGTAAGCTGCATGAGTCTGGTGCCGACTATGATTCGTCAACACCTGAAGGAAAAGCTCGCCGAAAAAAGGTGGTGGAAGAGGGTCAAGGATGGGCGGATATCACAGAGGTAATGATGCGATATTCGTGGATCTCTTGACTGAGGAAAATGTGCTGACCATTAGATCACGCTCTCCATAGAACCCATACCGTCCACCACGAAGAAGTCAAGCGGCACGTTACTGGCGGCGCGATCTGCAAGCATTACTTTTCCACAGCGATGCCTCCTCAGATGAAGAAGAAAGTTGCATCCGGGTAGCATATGGTCGACGACGTTTGGGGAGAGGCGGGCGCATTTTACTGGATCGACATGTGAAGCAGAAGGCGTGGATGTCCCATGCAGGTGGGAAGACGCTTCCAATGGGTGTTCGTCTTCGACATCGGAAACTACAGCAACTGGTCGCCGAGGTTGAAGCCTTGGGAGCTTCTGCCCAACGTTGGCGATTTGACAATAGCGACGATGAAGTTGATGAAGAGTCTGTCGTGGATCTGGATGATAGTGCAAGGTTTGTTTCAGAACAGGCTTTTTGTCAACGGCTTAGTCTGTATTTTTCTAACGACCAACTGTAGCGCAATTGCATATCGGGTATTTAACATTGGCCCGAAGGGAGAAGATGAGATTCTTTCTCTGATGAATCGACCCGCGCACCCAAAGCAAATTGCACCACAACCGCTTACAGCTGCACAGCGTGCTGAGGAAGTACCACCACCACCACCTCAAGTCGTACGAACTCAGTCTGTACCGTTGCCAGGCTCCGCTGTTGGTGCAATGGGCGTAAATGGACTGGCCAAGAAGCGGCTCACTAAGGTCGGTGATCCAGCGGCGAAGCCGCCAAGTGTCAACGCACAGAAGAAGAAAGCGCAAGAACAGTTGGATCCCAAGCAAACGATCATTAAAGCCATGATGCAGCAAGCTCAACGCCAAGCGCAGCAAACACAACAGCATTACGCGCAAATACAAGCCGCCCAGCAGGCCGCGCTTGCTCAACAGCAACAGCAGATGCACATGGCATCGGCCAATGGCGGAACACCGGTGCCTTCCAGCGCAGCCGTAGGGCTTGCCGCGTCAACCGTGTCCGCTTCCACCGTTTCCCCGATTCCGAGTGCCACGAGCTTACCAAATGGTAATATGGGAACGCCTTTGATGGCTCCGACTACCTCTGTTACAGCGGCGACAAATGTGCAGGCCTCTCCGTCACCAAGGCTCGCCACGTCATTTGCCACCGGTACAAACATGATGGGTCAAGGATCGGTATCCTTGGCAAATCATCCCGGTATGCAAGGGACGACTGTACAACAGGTTGTCGCAAACAACCTCAATGCCGCAGTTCTCAACAACCAGGCCAAGCAGCAGCACCTGCAGCAGCAGCTGCGCCTGCAACAACAATACCGCCTACTTCAGCAGCAACAGATCGCGCAGCAGCAACAGCAGCAACGCCAACAACAGCAAACCCAACAACAGCCAGCACTACAGCAGACTCAACAGCAGCCACAGCAACAGCAACAACAGGCGTCCAACCTCACTCCCGGACTTATATCACCCACTCCCAACGGCTTCACCGCGCAGCAGCTCTTTTACTATCAACATCTGAACAGTCCAATGAGTCCCATCACTATTCAACAGCAAGCCAGAGCCCAAGTGGCAATGCAAACGAGTCTCAGGATGGGAGGGCTTAATCAAGCCACCCTCGGAGCGATTCAGAATACACAGCTTACCCCTGCTCAGGTTCAAGCATACTTGGCCCAGCAGCAGCAACAACACCAGCAACAGCAACAACAACAAAGCCATCTATCGCCCGGGTCCATCAGCCTTCAACAGCATCTTTTGAATCAGCAAAAACTCAAGGCGGTGGCAGCCGGTGCTCTGCCAACGGTCTCAGATGCAGGAATCAACGGCGTGCCTGCTGCCAATGGTATCGCAGGGATCAACGGGATTGCCTATAACACGTCAATGAGCGCTGCCCAGTCCGCCAGTCAAGGTACGGACAACACATCAGGCGTAGCCAACTCTCCGGCCCAACTGCACCAGCTTGCGAAAGCAGGCACCTCTGTTCCTGGCACGCCAACGACGTCAACGGTCATCCAAGGGGTGCCACCGAATACTGATAGCGCCAATCCGAGCGACAAGGAGAACGGTCCAACACCTGTCATTGGTTCCGGACATCCTGGTCTATCACCTCATTTGCCAGCGACAAAAACAGCGGCTTGACGAGCATTATCGGCGCTCGTCAAAGCAAAATCGATTGGCGGCCATGAGGACTTCCGTGATTCATTTGAGTGGAGCTTGTCGGTGGATGTTTTGTTGATAGGGCTCTCCAGTACATTTTGTTTTTTTCTTCTGCTGTGTTCTTCCATTGTATTTATTGATTCGAAGACCTCGACAGTGCACGTTGTTCCTTGAATGTTTTTCTTTGAATGTGCATCTTGTTGAGGTTTGTGTTTGTTCATTTGTTGTATGTTGTTCTGTTTTTGTGAAAGCAAGAGAATACCCCGCTGTGTATCATATCCGTTACGACTGTGCCTTTGCATTCCGGATTCGCTCAGTGTGCATTGTATACATGAGAATTTCGATTCTAAATTATTATTATATACCCGTTTGTCCTATCTATGGTTTTTCTCTAATATATTGACCCTCCTAGTCAAGCGTCAGGTTTATTGAAACACTGGGTCGATGTTCGCTAAACCTACTTCTGTTTAACATCTACTGACAAAGCACCACTGCTGTCGATAGCACCCACAATTAAATACTCATTGGTGAGTGCCTTTTTCAAGGTTTTGGGAGGCACCTGCGTTAAGCTTGGAGGATTAACGAGTTCGGTTAAATGCAATGCTTGCAACAGTGCATATACAGATTCCGTCATCCAGAAAGTGGGTCCAAACGTGGTCCAATATTTACTGTTTGGGCCCCGCCGAGTCCACAAACCCGTTAAAATGTGTAATATCAATAAACAGACCCCACTCAAAGATCCCGTGAGGAGGAGAAGGTTGCATGCAAGGGTTGTGTATATGATGGACACGACGTCGTTGCTCCAAACCGTTAACGTCGACTGATCATGTAAAGGATCCGCATCGGGAATTAGGAAAACAGGCATAACAGAGACGGTAAGCTTCACCAGCGCCGCGGTAAACTTCTCCATCTGAGTGTCATAATCCAAGACAAAGCCATGACCGTCGTCTGTACTGTCGAAGAATCCTGTCATCATATCAAAGGGAGGTGGTGTGGTACCGGTGAAATCACAAGGGGAAATATCGCACGAGAAGAATCCGTAGGTTTGCCCAAGGAAGTACGCTCCTAGATACCCCGGAGTGCCAGGTGACATGTCATACGGCGTCTGTGGTGACATCTCCGTGACAGACAGGATACGGGCCACCCGGGTTGGGGTCAGATGTTCCATCAAAACTTCTACGTTGGCGATGCCAGTTTCGATTCCGATTGTGCAGATGACGCTGCTGGCATTTCTGCCACCTACGTCAGGATTCCAAGTCATATGCGCAAAACTCTCCGGGAAATTGTAGGCCATCATGCCGATGTACATCTGTCCATTCGGTGCCACGTATGGATCCGTTTGTTCTGCAGCAAGGCTCAGCAATTGCAATTGGGGGGTTTGCATTGCTGGGTTCGTGACAGCCCAGGGATTGAAGATGTACAAGTACTGTGCAGGCCCTTCATCGACGTCAATATACAATTCGTAATCTGTTAAGTTGAGTTTCGAGGGGCGGCAGTCTGCAGTGGCGGTTAAGGACGTCATTTTCCCTTTCACTATATTCCCAGGTTTTAAATCTGTCCAATCCATCATCGGCGCCGGAGCCGCCGTTCGCCCGGTGAATGGGACGGTAAAGCTTGACACAATCACAGTCTCCGATGCAGTGCAGTGGGTGGAATCGCATTGCGCGTACGTGGAATTGGGAACTAGGATCCCTTGTCGAACAAGAGGATCCAGCAAGCGTCCGACAGACACGCCCGCACGCTGACTGCAATCCATTGCAAAACCGGCTTCATCGACCGTAGTAGGAGTCACATTGGGAAATGTGAAGTATGGCATAGGTCCACTGGCTTTCATGTTCCAGATAGGCACAGTATAGTAAAGCGAGCCAATTGTGCCTGGAATTCGCAACAAAAAAATAAGAATAACTCGGGTAGTCTCAACAACAGCAAATCGCTACATCCAGGCCACCTACCGAGCACAATTATCTCACCAAGGTATAAGAGCAGGAGAAATCCAGCTATAGGGCTAAGACCCCTCCAAACATCCTCCACCCCTCGATACGAATTGCTATAAATCAGACTCCAAGCTGTAATCAACTCTCTAACCTTCATTCCTCCCTTCAATAGCCGCCTTCCAAACCATATCTGACTCATTTTACGGCCAAGCTTCAATGGTGCAACTAAAGCTATCTGCACAACGACTCCGACCATAAATCCCCCTATGGATTTTGTGAAAAAAGTATCAAAGGCAGCGACTTTAAGATAGCCTTGTGATCCGATGACATAGGTACCCAGGCAAACGATAATGGTGAAAACTTCAAAACATATTGCGATGGTACCACACGTTCTGGTATGCTGGGTTGGCTCGAAACCAGGTTTGAAGAGCGATGCCTTTGAGGGATTAAGGTTCTTGTACCTCAAGCAGGTCGCAGCATTCTCCTCCTCTAATTTCCTATCGCTCGTTGTATGGCCAATGTGCTCATCGCCTATGTAGTTGGATTGCAGAATTTCCGCCATTGCACGCCAATTGACAAAGGTAGACAACCATAGGCTTGATATTCCGAAGCGTAACGGTCAAAAGAGCCCACGGTAATTGTCCGTACCCTTACGGTATCCCGCAGTTATTTTTAGTCTCATGCTGAATACAGGCCAATGAGGGCTACCCATCAATAGGTGACATATGCAAAATCAAAATAAAGCAGGAGAGTGTACTTGTAAGCTCCGAAATAGAATTCTATTATCTTCTATTGTTCTTTCCATTTGGAGGATACGTATCCTGGAGTTGAGCAATGTAAGCCCCGCAAGCAAAATGAATGGAGCCGTTCAAAGACCAAGATATGCTGAAGACACGTTACACAAAGTAATCAACATGCAAGTGGCCATTGTAGATTCATATTCAGCGATTTGTTTGCGAGTAATCCTCGCTGTATCAACCATAATGAACAAGACTAAAATGCAATTACATTCTGTCATACAGAGGTTCGCTGTCCAATACATTTAGTTCTCCGACTGGACTCCGCAATACTGGCCATCCATCTAAGATGAGTAGCTGAAAGAAGTGCGAAATTAGGTCGGTCAACAGTCACCCCATGATGATTCACCCAACCTTTCCCAGCGGACTGGTTATGGATTATGATTTGACAGTCATCAAAGTCCCTGGTTTGCCCACCCATACTTGTGTGAGCCATGGTTAACCGTGCCCATTGGTGTCTCAATTTATCGTCCAATTTCCCTTTTCACTATGTACATTTTTCAAACGAACACGAATGGACGAGAACGAAGAGGACACCGCGGAAAGGTATATTTGTGTTTAAGACTTTACCAGAAATGGGACAAGTGCTTTGATCCGTTGGTTTTCATTGGAGACTGTATCAAGGTTACCGCCAATGTCGCAGACTTTAATACCCGTGTAGCCGACATTTTGAGATAGGATCGTTGTTGACCAATAACATACTTACATCTTGTGCTTTTAATCAAAATCAATATTGTCAGCGAGCGTTCTTTTGCATCTCTAATCGATCGTCTCTAGAAAGATATGTGCTGTGTTCGTAGTTGCCAACCTGCAGCCCTGTCCGAATCACGTGACGAGGCGCATCACGTGCTCTTGAAAGTGAATGGGTGAGACCAGAACGAGGCCCCTTTGGTCTTCCCCAGAAGCTTTCCTTCGTCCTGTGCTTTCCTGTCTGTCCTTCTGAGCGGATGGACCAAGCGTAACTCTCACAGCTAGTACGTTGTTGAACCAAGTGTTTGCTACCGAGTGAATCGGTATGTCGGTGGAAGACCTGGAGATGGAGGCAAGTATTTTATCAGCACAGGTTGAGGTTAACCGCGTCGGGTTGGGGGAACGCGTATTTCCCTTCCACACACGAGCAAAGCCACCCCGTGCTTTCGCTTCCTCCCCGCTGCGCTCTGTTGCCGATTAGCGCTTGGCCAGACGCTTGCAGCGTGCAGCTTGTCAGCCTCTGTGTCAAAGAGATTCTCTGACTTTGTGAATGGCCTTTTTTTGTAGGTTGACGAAATATCCTCGGCGGACTCGGAGGTTCCTCAGACACCTCCGGACCGGCAAGAGCATAATTCTGCTGAAGAGCCACGTAGCCTGGTTGATACTGTAAGAGTCAGTTGGCAGAAATATGGGGATTTAGGGGATGTTTTAAACATTTTCGATCGCTGTATCTCATCCGTCAACATCTCATCTTGTCGCAGAATAAATCATCGCATCAGAACGGTAGAGCTCGCCCGTCAACACCTGTTACCCCATCCGGGCGCAAGAGAAAGCGTCGAAACGCCACCAGCGAGGAAGAGGACAGTACCCCCACCAGCAAACGAGGTCGGAGAAAAAATGATAGTGAAAACGGTGCCGCCGATTCACCGGGACGCAGATCAATACGGAAGAGTGGCGCGACTGCAGGGAGAAGGATTCGGGACGCCTTCTCATTGTCGGACGAGTTTGTGGAGGGTGACGAGGAGGACATGGAGTCAATGGATATGGACGAAATGAAGGAAAACCAGAATGATCTTTCAGATAACAATTTTACTGCCAACGGACTGGATAAAGATGAGGAACTTAGAGATGAGGAATTTGAAAACAGACGAGGCACTCGCGTGAAGGCTCTAGCGGAAGCGGAAGGGACCCCATCGCGGAGGGGGCGCCGACCGTCTGCTGTAACTTCGGCAGCGAGAGTGAAGGCAGCCAAAGGAGCCCAGGAGGAAACGTCCGATACGCGAGATATACTAGGAGTTAAGAATGTTGAAGATGAGGATCCAGAATCGGAGTGTGATGAGAAAGGAGAGCTTAAAATCACAAAGGACGGAGAGCTACTGGGAGGTTAGTTTGTTCAAACTTCGGTGCTAGGCTTTACTTGAACAGATTCCTGACGGCTCGCTTGTCCGTAGGCCGAGATTTCAGAATAAAGACATTTACCTTACCTCGTCACCCCACAAGAAGATATATGCTGACTGTGGACATTGCAAAAACGCTGCAATACCGGGATACATACATTTTCTTTCTCAAAAACCCTCACATCACCCGGATCCAAGGTACTGATGAAGACAAAAAATTTCTAGAGGAAGCTGGCTTGCTACCAGGCCAATTGCGACGTCGTCCGGTTTCAATTGCGACAGCACGTAGTATATTTCGCGCTTTTGGGCATAAAGCGATCAAAAGAGGTCGGGCTATTCGGGATGATTATTGGGTTGGCGATCAGGAGGAGCCTCCAGAAGAGCCGGAACCTGAACCAGAAGAACAACCTGTTAAACCCAAAGCAGAGCTTAAAACGCCCTCAACACGTGAGAGCACGGCACTTCGTCGTCAAGCCAGCAGACTTTCTGTTCAGGAACGTGAAGTTCTCCATCGCTTTGCTTCTGGTTCACGGGTCGAAATTCCCGCCTCGTTGAACGGAGATGACCACCTCTACCGACGCGCTGCATCTGCCGCAGACTTCAACCGACGGCTAATTATGCAGCGACCGCGAACGTTTTTAGACAGCCACACCAATATCGAGCAGATTCCCAGCTTAACACAACCAACACATATATCTGTACAGGTCAAACAAGGCACCTTACGGACGCCTCTCACAATAGAACAGCAACTGCTTTCGAAAGAGGTCACAAGTGATGGATGGTGCAACTTGCCCATACCAGAACTCGACGAAAAGTTTCCCATTGCTGTGATACCTGGTCAGTATCAGGGCACTTTCTCCATGTAAGCTTCTTTTCAAATTCAAACAACGGACTTTCCGACGTAGTTCTAATTTTACGCCTCTTGTAAGCTATCAAAAACGGTTCGCACACGTGGATCTATCAGTTGGAGTGGGAAATGACTTGCGGATGCTTCCCGCAACCATTGCATCTAGCGATGCAGCTTCCGGGGCTGAACAGACTTCCACTGTAAGGACACTACCGGTTTCTTTTGTATCCCCTTCCGACCGCGCAGCTGATGTCTCATTGTTAAAGCCTCAGCTATCCGGCAGGATCAGACACCTGGAGCATGTGTGCGGTGAGATCACTAGATCTGGTCTAGGATGCAAAAGACCAGTCTACAATGCAGGAGAGAAATGCTTGTACCACGTCAAAGCGGTGTGTACTTGAATAATCATACTGTCCAGTTTCGGTCTAGTATCGTTCTAAATATATTCCTGCGTGCTGATGTCAGGCCGAACAGCCAAGTAGAAACCCCGACGCTTGCGTGCATTGTCACAGCATAATGCCAAAGCATCCAATCAAAAAGGTCCTTCCCGTCGCGATGCTCACATGCGCTTCCTGCAAAACCAAACACCACCCTTCATGCATTGATTTCGATGACGCTGTTCTAATCTGCAAGGCACAGACTTACAAGTGGCATTGCAGCGACTGTAAGACCTGCGTTATATGCAACCAAGCAGGCGATGATGACAAGCTGTTGTTTTGCGATACATGTGATAGAGGTGGGTTATCGATGATGGCTAAGTCCCATGGGTTGATATACACATTTGCCACTCCCTTCTCATTATTGTTCCTGGCATGAAGGTTATCACACCTACTGCCTCACGCCTCCATTAGATGGGGCACCAGAGGGCAACTGGCTGTGCGAACAGTGTGCTGTTTGCATCTCGTGCAAAGCTCGACCGCCACCGCCAATTAAAGGCCAGGCTTCTGCGGAAATGAACTGGAAGCATGCCATCGTACCACCTGCGCGCCATGAGTCAAGGACCTCCTATGGCACATACATTTGCACATACTGTGAGGATTGCTATGTTTCATTCGAGCGGGATAAGTTTTGTCCGTTATGCATGCATGTCTATTCAGAAGATGATGATACCGAAATGGCCTGTTGTGATTCATGCGACCGGTAAGTGGATCAGTAGCTGATTGCCATAGGTTACTTCCTCACGCCTGCCGTTTTGCTAGATGGATTCATGTTGGATGTGACCCGGAGCTCACTGAGAAGAGATATCAACAACTCGTGGAAGAACCTGATGCAAAATATACTTGCGTCCTGTGCGATGGTGACAAACTCGAAGCCTTGATTAGAAAGAAGGATGGTGGGCTGCATAAGGTGGTGGAATATAAAGGGAAGACGCTGGTGGCTCCTCCGGTTGGTGAAAAAAATGGTTGAAAGTCGGTGGGACAGATGAAGCGACTTGGTGTGTAGAAACCGCTTTTATTCTTTGGTTCCTCTGTTCTGTAGATACTTCTGTCTGCTCATTATTATGGGAAGTAAAGCAATCATGATGATCATTTTGTCCATGAGCGTGTTTCATGCACGACAGTACGAATGAGATCGGAACAATCCTACTTGCTAGCACCGTCGGTTTATTGCCATCACAATAGTCACCCTCGACGGATATTGTACCGTGACCAAGGCAAATCGCTTACATTCTTGCTTTCATACAGAATTATGAACAAAATATCAACGCAATTTCCCATGCTACAATTTCATATGTAAAAGTACATAGCAATTCCATCGCTACATAGAGAGAAACTTTTACTCTCTATGGCGTATCATGAAGGTTCTCGCGACCTCCTCTGGGGTTTTGCCCTTGGTTTCTGGAACACACAAGTAGGTGAACAAACTTGACCCTACCAGGATGGCAGCGAAGACGTAGAAAATATCGTAACCAACTATGTTTCGACAGTGTTGTGTGAGATATGTACGACAGCAAGTACTTGATGGTTATCGGGACTTACGTATAGCAATCGCACGCGGAAAGACAAGTGCAATGATGAAGGCTGACGACCAATTGACCGCCGTCCCAACAGATGCCGATGGACCAAGAAGTGACGATGGAACTAGTTCTGGCATTATCAGCCTGATGGACAAAAGCGTGTGCCAATTAATTGACTTCTCTCGTCATTTCAAGTTCGGGTTCACAAGGCCCTCTTACCAAGGTATATTCCCAAGACCCACCGCAAACATTCCCACAAAGGCCATTAAAAAGAGTACGACCACGGAGGGATCCGCATGTAACCGAAATGCTCCGACCGCCCCCAACGCACAAGCGGCCATCCCGCCTTGGGATACAAGAAGCAGCGTGCGCCGTCCCACTTTGTCAATTTGATTTCCAGAGACAAGTGTGAACGCCAAGTTAACGAGACTGAGGAGAACAGTGAGTTTGATCGCTGTGGACTGGCTGTATGACTGGGAAAAAATCGTGGTCTGGAAAACAGCACTGTTGGAGGGTCTCTTAGAGGAAGGTACGCCAATGTCATTTTGTACATACTGAATAATAGATAGCTGCATTGATGCCACTGAATTGCTGGGACGCATGCAATCCAAGGCCAGCGACAATAGGCTTCCATAATTCGGGTCTTGTCATAATTTCCTTCAGAGATATCTTCGCATCTTGGCTAGGACCATCTCCATCACTTATGTCGTCTCCATTCTGTTCCCCACCTTCAATGTCCTGTTCCTGTGAGAGTGATGAGTGAGAGCGAAGCATCCGGGCAGCCTCGTCATTTTCGAGTGCAGTGCCGTTGAGTTTCTGAAGAGCCTCTTTTGCATCTAAAACCAGACTCTGGGACGTGAGCCAACTTGGCGTCTCGACGCAAAATGGTATCAGCAGCATCTGAAGTATGCTTGGCACTAATCACCAATAAACGTTAGAATAGAGGACGCTCCGGCGAATAAAGTAGCTGAGAAACACCTGCCTAATATTAAGCCAAACATGTACCTCCACCTCTCCAAAGTCGCTAAGGGGATCCCAACCAAGACACTAACCAGAATGCCCACAACAATGGCAAGCTGATTGAAACTCCCCAATGTGCCTCGCTTCTCTACCGGACTGATCTCGCTGATATACAACGGGACTGCGACCGTCCCCGTTCCGGCTGCGATACCAATAATAAATCGGCCAAAATATAGACTAAATGGCGCTGACGATAGCGCCAGGAGGGCACCTCCAATGATGAAGCCAACATTAAGTATAAGCAACGTGCGGCGGCGACCAAGATTGTCCGCGATATGTCCTCCGGTGAGGCCCCCGATAATGCCGCCTAGTAAGAACATCGACACAAAGATACCCCACTTGTAAACGTTCGAACGACACATATTAACCTTTCAGCTGGCTATCTCGCCACAGTTTTCTTGTAAAATTCCCTACCTGCCAGTCATCCATAGGAATGCAGTTTTGGGGCCACTCGCCTGGCGCTGAAGGACAATTTGTCTATCATCGGTAGGAGAATGACAACAGACAATTCAATAGACGGCGTGGTATCCTTTGTCACCGGTCGACGTCTTGATTTCAGACCGTTTGCGAACGAATTCAAGAATGCTCACCATGGCATCTCTTGGTTGGTTAACAACTCCAGAATTGTACCCAAATTGAAAGGCCGTCAGCGACCCGACAATAACACAGAAGAGGAGGTAGGGTGACGTAGGTTCTGAGTGTTGCGCCATTACAGGTGCGGCAGCTGAAAGTGTGTTTGGAGGCAGATTCCCTGTGAGGACGCGTCGAAGCGCACCACTTGATGTCATCAAGTAGGTAGTTAAACAGTAATGCCGTTACTTTTAAATTCAAAAAACTGCCATCAGTTAGACATGCCAATCGCATCAAACAGATCTCTCTAATCGTGAACAGCAAGCACTACTGTAGAGGCACATATACTCAAAGTACAATGTTTCGTGCAGCCGCATAATACAGAGGGCATTTGTCCTAACACATATTCGACATTTGCCACTCAACGTTCGGGAAGGGAACACGAACTATGTCCGGAAGGAAAAATGGACGGGTCTATCAGTACTATTATACACAGAGGATACTGGCACATCATCCTCGGGTCGCCCGTTCTTGTGCCTCTCGTTCTTTCCACTTCGCTCTTATTTTGGGCGCATGGGACACCAACTGTAATAGATGCAAGTGACGGTTCAGTATATGCTTGATCTCTGATAGCCAAAATGACGCATACCGCTTGTTTATCTACTCCGTCTCTGATACTTTGCATGATCTTTACATACGTATTTCTGTGATTAGCATGTTGTTTGTCGTCTCGGAACCGTGTAAACCGCCATCTTCCCGGCCATTCTGGATCATATCGGCATTCTATGATCGCACCGTCTGGCGGTCGGTTCAGCCATCTTCGCAGCGAGCAAAAGTTGAGGAAACTAAATACATGGTAAAAAACAGAGTGCAAGCATGTGCCTACCGCTTTCGGTCGTCGGCATCCAAGGTCAGCTCCCCGTATTCCGAATACTGATTCTGTCCTTCCCAAAGTGATAGAAAGTAGCGGGGGTTATCCGGGGTCCCATCTACACGTACTTTGAAATCCACCGTGTTTTCATCGCTCGGCTTCCACTTTAACCTAGTAGGCAGAGTCAACAAAAATAGCCTTTCCGCTCAGCTTGGTGGTCATCAAAGATCTTCCATACAGAGAGCACTAACATCTTGTCGCAAGTCCCACATGAATACGGCGCGACTGAGGAAGTGAATATTATTCCATCGGACTTGTGCTTCAGCGTCGGTATGACTTCAAACACTTTCTGCAAATGATAAGACAGTTGCAGTTCCTTCAAGTCCATTCTACAGCCGACGCGAGTTGGACATTAGGAACACTGTCCACTCCGCGCCAGAAATGATTGCAGCATACCGAAATGGCTGACGTTGTGCGTATTCCCAGTCTGTCTGCAGTAGTTCTTTATAGGGTTTTAAGATATTCTCCTTCAAATACTGAAAGTTCAACAATAGTTAGTTCAATGCAAGACCAACTATTTCGCAATTTGATAGGAATTGCGCCTACTTACGCCCAATCTTTTGGTGTAAGGTCGATCTACGAGGGTCTTCCCATCGATCACAATACAGTCGAACAAGAGAAACCAGAGGACTTGCTGCCGTAAACAAACATTAACTAGGAAGCTCCAAGTACTCTTTTGAAAATCTCCTTACCCTCCCATCCTCGTACTCATCCAACACTAGTTCACCGTCCAAGACAGTGTCAAAGTGGCTCTGTCGCGGTTTACCCGGTATTGGAAGGCCAAGATCAAGATAATAATAATGATTTTTGCGGTCGATCTATAGTTTACGACCTTAACGCAATGTCTTGGATGATATCTACTGTATATTTTGGCGATAGGCAACGTACAAGGTAAGTTTCGCCTCGGCCTTCTCTATTTGTGGTTGTGAACATAAGACAACGGATGCCGTCGGCCTTTTCGCTGACAAAATAGTTTTCGTTCTCCAATTCGTTCAAATGTACCGAGGCAAAACTTATAGGCTGCGCGCCTGGAAAGCTGCGACCATGTGTTATACCTCTGCCAAGTATCGCGCAAGGTGTGCAAAGTGTGCCTTATCAATACCCATTTGAACTACGAGCACCAAACAACATGGATACATGTCTCTGCAAGTCGGAGAGTGTCGGACCTCGGACCTGCTTTCCTGGGATGACGGGAAGCATTGCGAAATTTGGGGAGCAACGTGTGCCCTGGCTGGAGAGTGGGGTAATGCATCCTAGCCTCGACTGGATGATTCACGCTGTTACTATGGAAATGGACTCGACAAGTCAAGTTTTACTGAGATAATGAAGAATGGTAAGTAGTAATAGCTAACTATCTATTAGTACAAAACCTAAATACAAATAACAAAACTGTCTGATCTGATGTTGGTGTGGAATGACGATGGTCAACTTCACTTGAATCCCCCAGCAAAATCCACCCATGAAATGTCTACATTCTAGCTTGACCCCCGTGGTGTTAAGAAAGCCAAACATACTTGTATGGATCAAAAGCTAAAGTCTGCAACGCAGCAAGTCGCTACTTTGTCAGCTCGTCATTCTTGTGCAGTCTCTCCCGTTCTCGGATGCTTTCAGTCCTCTTTGGCACCTCACCCCACCTGCACGAGACGCGTTTAGTGATCGTCTGATACCACCAACTCTCGAGCGCGCAGTGTCCCCCAAATCCAAACAGCTGTCCATGCTAGCACAAAGCAAGCCGCACTTCAACCCCTGTGGTCCGACTCCGACGAGATCTTTAAAGCCCTCCCCCGTATGCCATCCTCCTTCAACGAAGAGTTCAAACCACCATAATGGCCCCTCTAACGTTGAATTATACTGACCTTACTCGTTGGCGCCTTCAAGTGAAGGATGGCAGGCAAGTATGGCAATATCTTACCGAGGAACAAGCCAAACAATGGCCCCAGACAGCTGTGGATAAATATTGGTTGGATCTGGATATGGTAATGCGTTGTCCTTACTGTTTGACCCATATGCCGGTTGCCAATATATCTGTAAATTTGAAGGACACCTCTCCCATAACACCACCACCCGCCACTCCCCTAGCCGCCGCGCGTGCTGGTCTTAAGTTTTACAAGCAACTGCAGTGCTCCGATGGCCACTTCGCCGGTGCGTACGGCGGACCCCAGTTTCTGACACCTGGATACGTTATCACGATGTACATCAGCGGAGAGGTGATTGACGAAGCGCGGAGAGTGGAAATGATCAGATACCTGTTGGGAACAGCGAAAGAAGATGGAGGATGGGGAATGTGCGTATCCCTCGTCCTTTTTGGACCTTATGCTCATCGGTTGGCCTGTGCGCTCGTCCTAACCATGTGACTGATGCAGACATGTGGAGGGCCGATCAACAGTTTTCGGAACGGCATTGAATTATGTTACGTGTCGAATATTGGGTGTGGAAAGAGACCATCCAGCCATGATCAAAGCTCGCGGGACTCTTCACAGACTTGGTAAGAGTTGAAATATGGACGAAAGGAGCTCACTGCGATAATGACAAAGATTCACGCGGTACGCGGTTTAGGCTCAGCAACGGCGATACCAGCGTGGGGAAAGTTTTGGCTCTCAGTCCTAGGCGTCTACTCATATGAAGGGATGAACCCAGTACCCCCGGAGCTCTGGCTCCTCCCATATGCTCTCCCCATCCACCCTGGAAAATGGTGGATTCACACACGGATGGTCTACCTTCCAATGGGATTCATCTATGGACAACGTCTCGTCTGCCGCGAAACGAATTTGATCAGAGAGTTGAGGGAAGAACTGTATACACAGCCTTACGAAAGTATAAAGTGGAGTAAGATGTGTAACAATGTCGCGGAGAGCGACATATATTATCCACACACGAGGCTTTTGGACGGCTTGAATGGCATTTGCTGGTTATACGAAAAGCTTGGCCCATCCCGGCTCCGAAAATGGGCCATCGAAGAATGCTGGTTGCAGCTGCAAATGGAGGATGAGAACACAAAATTCGGAAACCTGGCCTCAGTGAATCACCCCCTCAACATGCTCTGCACCTTTTTCCGACTTGGGCAGGACTCGGAAGAGTTTAAAAAACATAAGGAGCACTGCTTGGACTACCTATGGATGTCCGAATCCGGCATGCATTTCAACGGTACCGATGGCAGTCAAGTATGGGACACCTCGTTCCTAAGCCAAGCTGTTTGCGAGGCCGGTCTGGCTGAAGAGCCGGAATTTCAGACGACAATGCAGCGCGCTCTTGATTTTCTCGATTCCCAGCAAATCCGGACGGATCCCATCAACCGAAAGCGATGTTATCGTGATGCCACGAAAGGTGCATGGCCGTTCAGTAGAAGAGACCAAGGCTATACCGTATCTGACTGCACAGCCGAGGGGATGAAATCTGTTCTCTATTTGCAGGACTTGGAGTACACAACGAAAAATGTCGGACAGGAGAGATTTAGAGATGCCGTGGATGTGCTTTTAAGGATGCAAAATACGGATGGTGGCTTTGCTTCCTACGAGCTCACAAGGGGTCCCAAAATTTTGGAATGGATCAACCCTGCCGAAGTGTTTGGTGACATCATGGTGGAGTACAGCTATCCCGAATGCACAACAGCGGTCATGCTCGGTCTTCTTGCATTTCAAAAGCGGGATCCAGCATACCGCTCTGCCGAAATTCAATCAGCTCTCAATAGGGGATTGGGCTATATCAAGAAATCCCAGAAAGAAGATGGGAGCTGGTTTGGATCTTGGGCCATCTGCTTTACTTACGGTACTTGGTTCGGCCTTGAAGCTTTGAGTCACATGGGTGAAACGTACAAGAACAGCGAACGGGCACAGCGGGCATGTCACTTTCTGCTGGACCATCAAATGGCAGACGGCGGATGGGGCGAAGCTTACAAGTCATGCGAGACGAATGTTTATCACCATCATGAGAAGTCCCAAGTGGTCAACACTGCGTGGGCATGCATGGGGCTCATGGCCGCAGGATATCCTGATCCGACGCCGATCAAGCGTGGTATCAGACTAATCATGTCAAGACAAAAACCTGATGGGCGGTGGGAGCAAGAAGGAATTGAAGGAGTTTTCAACCGGAATGCGATGATCGCCTATCCTAATTACAAGTTTATCTTTTCAATATGGGCTTTGGGAAGATTTACCAAGATATGGGGAAATGAGATTTGATTGCTTCTGGGGCAGGCGAGGGATATGCCATGTGTGTAATATAAATGAGTACTTTGAACAATAAATATCTTTAGGACAGTCGCAGACGGGCGACACAGCGCTTACGTTAATAACATCTCACACAACAATCATATGCATTGCATTTGCAGGCCATTTAGCTTCACGCAATGTTCTGCAGCATAATGATTGTACGGGGTTGCCACGGCTGTCCCTCGAGCAGAAGATAACGGTCGCGATATGCAAGCTCGCATTTGGTGTTGCAGCAAATGCTGTCAATGTATTATAATTATGTTTAATGCAGAGACAGCACAACTTAGAGTATTCCCCCGCATTTTGCGGTGCTATCATCAAGAATTAGGTGCTTATTTGATGTGAATTTGTAATAAATGCGGGCTTTTTCTTGGCTTAACATATATTATTGCCATAGCACTCAGTCATTGTTCTGCACGTTCGCATGATTCGAACGCATTAGCCAATTGCTGCATCGCCTTTTTGACATGCGGATGATTCTCGTCTCCAAACTATTTGTGAAGGATCTCAAAACTTTTGACCGCAGTGTCAAGTTATTTCATTCGCAGCTCACACTCCATAAGGGTCAACCCTTTTATGAGCAACTCCATTTTCTCTTCCCACTTACAGTCTTCCTCTCACTTGCGTTTAGCTCGCTTCACCCCAAGTGACCGTTCCTCATCATCGTACTTGTCAGGTTCGCACTCCGTTAGTTCGGTCTTCTTGTCTGCAATTTCGGTCATAAACCTGCTGAGATATTCAGCATCGTACTTTTAACGTAATTTATTACGCAGAAAAAAAGTGACATTGTAGATGCCACGGTGCTCACTATGGACAATCACTCAAAACGCGATAGGCGTGGAGCAACACTAATTTGGATTTCTTTGCAGCTTGGTATAGGTTGTGGGCAAGGATTATGGGAGAAGAATCACTTGGCAGTGTTCTGTCGGCCTCTCTCATATACCGTACAAACTTTGTCACACTGCGAGATATGGTACCCCACCGGTTCTTCAAAGAATCAGCAATTCTTGTTTCTAGCAGTGAGTTATGGTTGTAATACTTGTGGACTCTTGACAAAAAAGCCTCTTGTCTCTGCTTGGTGTACGTTGTGGGATCTTCTGAAATCTGAATCCAAGCACGGCAAAGTCTCTGATCCTCACTAACTCCAAAGTTCTTCCCTTTTCCCATTCAATGATAGAGCAGGAGTAGATGATCCAACGGGAGCGTCACTCGACGACGACACGACAGGTTCTGCGTTCGGCGTTACAGGGGCCTGTGTGGACACAGCTGAGGTAGGTGACTGTGTTGTGCATTGAGGTGTGGCCCAAGGCAGAGGATAAAGATAGCCGCTAGGGTAATGCTGCTGGCCTCCATTAGAAGGTACAACGGACATGATGAGCTAAATATCGATCGCGGTGGCGCAGGATTATCTAAGCCCCATGAGTGCGGTTAATCATAAGGGTTCGAACCACACGATTCCGATTGCTGTTGCGACGATCTTCTGCTCGTCCTCCAGATCCGCAATTATCGGGCCTCAATGGACGGGTCTTTCAAGGTTTGTACCTGGTATGTGGGACACATATCACATTTTTAAAGTTTGATTTGATCTGTTGTCATAGTTTTGTCGCACGTTAACTAATATGTGACGAACGTCAGTTGGTCAAACGGGCCCACCTTGGACAAGTAACCTGTCTGGCGTTCCTTTCGCCAACTCTATTGGTGGCGGGATGCGGTCCTCTACTCAAGGTTTTTGACATAACAGTAGGAAGGGTGGTCTCTGTATATACTGTTTTTGACCATGCCCGAGTTCATATTATACAACCTGGTAAGCTTGTCCTCTGCCCACGACCGCACATTCATTGGTCGTTGCTTACCTTTTGATTGTAGAATATCCACCCCGTTCAACGGGAAATATATCGGAAGTTCGCCTAGCCATAGCGGGCGGCAAATACCTCAAAGTTGTTCGGGTATGCTTCCACCTCGATCCACGCACTGGAACCCTCCTTTCGAGCACCTTGATAAACGAAAGCCGTTTTACTATTTTTCGCGATTGGATAAAAGATGTGCATTGGATAAGTGACAATGTCAGTTTTTCGGGTGATATCGACGCAAGCGGTCTTGTCTTGACACCAAAGCACTGAGTACCCAAACTTTAGGTTGAAAATGGGCATCCTCTACTTGCACTGGCTTTTGCGCACAACTTTGTGGACATATGGAACTATAAGGCGAATAAGCGAACATATCATGTGCAATGCGAGGAGCGATGCATAATGTAAGTGTGAGCAGCGAGTATACCAGGAAGTTGACTAAGGCTCACTCGCCCATATTAGCTATGCCGCTCGCTTCTTTCAGAGGGCACCTGGAGAAGTGCTCTTGGCGTCAGGTACGGTATTTAATCAAGTGCTCCTGTGGAATATATTCGGACGAAATGATGATGGAGATGGAGTGGTGCTTAAAAAGTTGGTTGGGCACGAGGTTGGTGCTTTGGAGTCTATGAGGGTCGTTAAGAGCCGTCTCTCATAGGGGCTTGATAGGGTGTAATTTTCAACATACGGTTTAGTACTGACGGTACCAGACTGGTATCATCATCGGATGATCGTACCATCCGGGTCTGGGACACACGACTGGATTCTCGGTGAGTAGGGAGGAGTAACACACATGCGGACGTGACCATAATCATCATTACCGCAGGAAGCAGGCCGCAGTCTTGTACGGTCATGCGGCGCGGATTTGGGACTGTCGAACCATAGATAATCTCGTTGTCAGTATTTCGGAGGATTCGACATGCCGGGTGTGGGACATCACAACAGAAGAGTGTATCGCATGTTGGGAAGGTCACGATGGAAAGAATGTATGGAGTGTGGACATCGATCCACAACATAATACGGTCGCGACAGGTGGAAATGATGGTGGTATCCGGCTGTGGAATTTATCATCCTTGCACAGAAATAGAATAGACTCCGAGGAGCAAATGGATCGCTTTGAAGCAGCTGGTGATGGGACACCTTGTGAGTCGCTGTTGGCGTCTCCAGAGACAGTGAAGACATTTGCGTGGTTGGATTATACTTCGTCATTAATGTCGACAAGTGCTGGGCGTTTCCTTATTTCAAACCGAGACGGTGACCGTCGACAGTTTGAAATTCATGCAGATGCAGATTTTTCAAGATATTCAGTTCTCACTGCTTCCAGCTGCGGGACAATAGTCGTCGTCGGTGGGATGAACGGGCAACTACTGGTGCTGAGCCCAATGCGGGTATTTCTGCCTGTAAAATGCGCCCCTCATGACGGCAAGGTCAATCAGGTGATATTAGAACCCACGGGGATAAGGCATTCGTGGTACCTATTCTCTTTTGCGGAGAAAAGTGAGCAGTTGTTTATCCACCATATAGTGGTATCCGAACGTGAACAGCACTGCATCGTAACTCACGTAGCTTCCGGGGAGCTCCCCGATCATTTTTGGGTGACGGATGTGGCCTATGCGACCAGAGAGAAGGTATTGATCGTGGGATCTCGGAAGGGAGCCATAGCGGTGTACGATACCACTACCATTTCGGACGATACTCCCTGTAATGCGCTCTTGAAACCTGTGCTTGTAAGCCGAAAAGTTCATGGCAAAGATTCGGTAACATCTATCGCTTTGGACATGCGATGCGTGAAGGACTGGGAGGGAGAAATAATCTTTGGGAGTGTGGGACGCGATGGGACTTACTGCAGGTTCGCGTTGAAGCGATTGGACGGACGTCACCATGTGGTGGGACACGAGCTTTCCCCGGAGACTGACCCAACAGCGAGATGGTCCCTTGAGCAACTCCACCGTTCGAAAATCACAAAAGGCTGGCTCGAAAAGCTTTTCTTCATAGACGATATGGCTGTCTTGTGCGGTTTTTACGATAAGAAATTTTTCGCCTACAACGAGACCAAAAAATACGAGATGTTCTCAGTTGCATGTGGCGGTGGGCATAGGCGGTGGGATTTCCGTATAGCGGATGCGCTCTTGCATCGGGCGACGTTTGGCTTCATCCGCGCTGAACAATTACACTGCGTATATCGTGAGGTCCAGGAGACCCGCATTTATAAGGATCCCATCCTGCAGCAGAATTATTCTGGCTTGGAAACCAGGGTCGTGCGATTCCTCGATATGCCTTATGAAAAGGAGAATACCGTTCTTCTGCTGACCACAGGAGAAGATTCAGTATTACGTTTTCATGAATATGATTCAACTCATGCCGGCCATGGGTTCAAGAGCGTATTGAACGTGCGGAAACACGTCTCCGTCGTACGAGGTATAGCCGTTTCACCAGGAGAAACTGGAACGCTCATGTTTACAGCAGGAGCTCGGGAAGAGTTACGATGCTGGCGCATGGAAACAGACAATCCAAGTGGGCCACAGTGCCTGGAGCTGGCAAGTGCACCGATGGTGAGCGACATACCAGAAACGCGGATCATGGACGTTGGAGCGGTCGCCTTACGATCATTGGGCAGTGAGTTTGAAGGGCTACATCTGGTCGTAGCTGCATATTCGGATGCTTACTTCAGGATATGGGTGTACAGTGAAAGTCGGAACGTGTTCTTATTGTTGGCACGATCTGGTACACATAAACGGTGCGTCCTAAAGTGTCGCGCCTTGGCTTTAGAGGATGAAGAAGCCCCAAAGATTGTCATCTTCACGGCTGGAACTGACGGCACCCTGATGGTGTGGGACTGCACCCAGATAATCAGAGACGGATGTGGGGATATAGGCAGCGCCGTCAGGCCGGTTACGGAGCTGTCCACTCCTTTCCATGCGGAGAAGGTGCACCAGTCAGGAGTCAATGCGTTGAGTGTGAGAAAGCTCCATCGCACTGCTTCCCAGAAAACCTTCACTCCTGGATCTTCTTCCATTCTGGTTGCCTCTGGAGGCGATGACAATGCGATATCGATCGTGCAAATCCTGGTCCGGCCAAGGCCAAACTCAATATTGATAGATTCTATAAAAGCCGCAACGCACCCATCCGCTCATTCTTCTGGAGTTACAGGTACTTACCGTATGCTCGCATGATTAAATTTGTAGCAGTATTTCTTCTGACATTGGTGATCCACAGGCATCAAAATTCACCCCTACGGCACCATTATCAGCTCATCAGTAGACCAACGGCTGAACTTCTGGAGCCTCACGAATACTGAAGTGGGCAGCGTCAGGTTTGATCTGATTGCGAGTTACTACCTGGATATAGCCGATATCTCGGACCTTGACGTCAATGTTATTAGGTATGCACTGAGCTTATTAAGAACCGTGGTTCCTTATCGTTGACCCATTGATTTGTCTGCAGCCCAAGTCATATTCAGGTTGCCGTTGCTGGGCTCGGCTTGCAATTATTAGAAAGTGAAAGTATCCATTAGTATAGACCGTGCCCTTTTGACATTGCCATTGAACAGGAGGTGGCGATAGTGAACAATTGTGGCAATGGCAAAAGACGCACGAAATATGATTCATATTTACAGAGTAACACTCGCCAACATGCACACGAGCCACCTCCATCCTTGTCGAATCAGCGTTCCCACTAATAACAAATTTCTCTCCAAATTCATCCCCAACACGCACTTCTATCCCAGTAGAGGCATTCACGTAAGATTCATCTACTTCTGCTTTTGCTTGTGCTTGGGATTCTCCCTACACTCAACCCTCAGCTTCCCTCGGCGTCGGCAAAAGAAACAGTTTTCGCAACGTAGTTTCAGGGCGGTACGTGTCCGGTAGGTGCGTGTCAATTGCGCTTGCTGCGGTGTACTCCGTAGAAGTGGTAGTCGTACCAGAGGGGAGAAGAGGGTGCGAAGGGCCGGAACGAGGGACATGTTTGTGAAGAGTGCTGATGGGTGCCTAGAGCAGAGGTGGTTCATCCGACCAGACTCAGACGCGTTGGCATGGTAATTCCTGATTACGTGAACGTTAGATTCGACATCAGACATGTCATCGTCCATCTAGTTCATCGACAACCTTCGCTTCAAAAACTGGTTTATTTACAAGACTCGGTAAAAGGTCCCGCAAGAGGACGTCAAGAATTATACCATTCTTGGGATGATGTCCCATCTATAAGTCATTATGCCAGAGCGGCTGCCGAAGGTCTTCATCTTGCCTGGCTTCCGGTGTCAGAAGAATCAGTCTGATATCCTCTGGTGGGTCTAGCTCCAGCTTTTGCGCGCGCTCCCATCGCTCCATTCTACTCAAACCAACGCAGGGACCGTACTAAATGCATCATAAACATCAGAAAAGCGATGATATGGGCAAAATAATCAGCATAATTAAGCAACGTACATTATAGTTGAGGTCAAAGTCCTTCAATATTTCTAGTACTGCTGGCTTGTCCGCAACAAGTGAGCGGATCCGATCCGGTATCTCCACATGGGACTCATTCTCATTTTCTGGGTCTACAAGAACCAACATGTTGAGACCGTGATACCTAGTGGCTTCCTGGAGCTGAGCTCATAATAAAGTCGCATTCCCACCTAATGAGGAAGCATCCAGTACTGGTATCTCATTGTCCTCAGCATCAATAGTTTTTAGATCTATGGGGACGCTCTCTTCACTTTCTGAGGGCAGTTCCAGTCGTGCAACCTTAACGCCGGGTTCCTCCGACTGTAAGACTACTTCTTTGACCGCCTCCGCTAAGTTGCGTTTGTTACTCTTCCGCGTCTCACTTTCTATCTTTTTCCCCTTTTTCTTGAAGTCCGTCAGCTTCCGTTGGGTGAAGGCATTTGTCAAGGTAGGCGACGAGGTTGTCGCTTTCGGCGTGGATTTAGAGGAGCGCGCCCGAGGTCCTCTACTCGTCATGTTTTAATTCCGTGAGATCTGGCACAAACTGGTCGTATACCTTGCCGTATAAATGTTGATTAAAGGTGAGATTCCACCGAAGAAGGCGCGACATGGGGCATGTCACGCCTTTGGGTGGCTGTGTACATCATTACTTGAGGATATCATGAGTGACAAGTTGGTCCCATTCCGATACTCGATGATCCTGTACTGACATGCTATAATATCTGGCCAATTGGAAAGGCTGATTGCTTTGTAAACTTCATCCTCATCACTTCGGAAACAGTGTTGCAGCGTGTGTGTGTAGGGCCGAGCTCGAGCGGAAGAACGCGGCTATGAGCCACGGATCCTTGACCAAATCCAACGGCTTTACCTCTCCGGTATGCGCTGAACGTCATCAGCTTGTGCTGTATAGTTTCTTCCCCGTTGCTTTGATTGACTCAGTTACTTTCACTCTCGCGCACTGAAGCGGCGGCTCCGGCATGTCAAGTCACTGGTTGGTCGAAACCTAGCACCTGCCGACTGTCGAACATCTCTGCAATTCTTGGAAAGGGGGGAGCCCGAGGGACATTTCAATACAACTGTGCCTAGAGTCGATGAACCCTCATGTGAAGGATCGTTTCTGGTTGCCCGCGTGCCCCTCCCTGAGGCAGTGTCCAGTACCAAGGGCAAAGGCAAAGCAGTCACCAATGCGGATTTTTGGGACCACACGGATGCACGTCGCGCCAATACGCAGCGGCATCTTCACGGACAATTTGACCAGGTGGCATCGGCCTCTGTGAGTCAACTAACTGACGCTTATTACACCTTAACGGCGGTGAATGGTGGAAGGCAAGGTAGTTTCCACTTTATTTGCGAAATGCAGGACACTGTCGATGGTTAAGCCTCCTCTTTCAGATGAGCCTTTTTACACCAGCGAAGTTGTTCGAGGATCTCTGGTATGAAATATTGAAGCAATCTTGTCGATCCTTACCAGGGCGGGATTGTTTACTTTTCCCTTTCCGTAGAACCCTATGTGGAGGTCTCTGGACACGGCGTCCTACGCGCTCTGGGCGCCATTGAATGAGTCTAATATCCTTCTACTGATCATTATCCTTTAAGTTACGCTTTCTGAATTTGGTGACTCCTTAACATATGGCACGATGCACGTTTCATTCTCAAGATTTACACTAGATGTTTGGGGGAATCATGCTATCGATTATCCATCGAACGCGTCATTAACTTGCGGCAGCTGAGATACCTAGGTGAAGAGGTACTTGCATCAGATTTAGTGGGATGCCATCTCCAACCAAGCGTAACTGACCATGAGATGACAGCTTGCTGATGAGTCATGCTCATTTTTGTCCACCACAATCATCATTGCACTTGACGACGGTTACTATCAGTTTGATCCTTCAATGGACGTGGTCAGTTGTGATTGATTGAATGACACAAAGCATTTCATGCATTTTCTCAATCCAGTTAGTTTCATAGGATGCCAATGATGAGGAGGAAGTGCCCTGTATTAAGGTTCCACCACATAAGGTGACTTCCGGAGAATAGATGTAGAAGGCTCGCTCCTCTCACTGATCGCATTGTTCTAGGTTCGACCCTCATATAGATATGAGACCATTCTGCGGTATGCACATTCGCAGCGCTTTGCGCATTAATTCCTTCGCACTAAGTATATTTGCACTCTCACAGAATAGTTGCAGCGCAGAAGGAGATTTGGGAACTGCGAAGATCAGTCTGCACTATTATAGATGCAGGCGAAGGCATATTGTCTCAACAACAGGACAGCCGGAATCTTGTGAGTTGAAAGGTGTATGAATGGCGTCAATTTGGTCTATCCTCATGCCAGCTGTGGCTCAGTTACATGATTATAAAACAACGAAAGCCCGATTAGCGTTCATTGAAGACAATATCATGCAGCGGACCGAAGACGTGAAAAAAGGTGAAATTATCCGTGGCAATTTGTTATAATCTGCGAGAAGGGACTCTGACAGTTCAATTAGCACGTCATCATTTGAAGGAAACAGGCGACCTGCTGCAATCTGGCCGACAGCATCTGCGCGAGGCTTGGGATACCAAGGATTCTGACGAAAGGATACTCCGGGGGGATGCCGCTGGGCTGGCGGTCAGGAGGTGGAGTATCCTGAACCGTGAAATGTTGATACATACTCTCACGATTGACCGGAACTCTGATGCTTTCAGGGATGAGATTTATCGCATTCGTAGGAAAGTCCGCCGACGACAGAAGGATCTCATAGTAGACGCAGCAAATATCTTCCCGATTGCACGGGTAGGGTGCAGTTATAACGCCTTTATTGCTGCTCCAAGTTGCTAACGTTTGGCGGGGCATGAAGGATACAGCACTAAATTCTGCCTTCTACACTATACGCGGGATTCCACTGCCACATTCGGAATACACAGGTATGAAAAAATATCGGATTTAGAGTAGATTGCGCGTACTTAAACATATGTGTTAGGACACGATGACGAAAAAATAGCCGCTGCGCTGGGCTTTGTGTGTCATTTGCTATATATGATTGCTTACTACCTCGACGTGCCACTTCGGTATCCCATGAAGCTGATGTCTTCCCGCTCTTCCATTACGGACATTGTATCAGAACATTATACTGGGAGTAAAGAGTTCGTAGACTCGTTTATCTTTCATTTCATTTGAAAGTTGTTAATAAGTTCTCCTTTTTTTATAGGTTTCCTCTATACTCGAGAGGAGCAGATCGTATGCGGTTTGATTACGGCGTATTTCTGATGAACAAGAACATAGAGCAAGTAGGATCTCCATGACGTCATTGATACTTACTGCATCTCTGCTGTTGCTCATTAAATGGATCGCTTAGCTTATGGGCCACTTGCAACTGACTGTGACGAATCTTCGCCATACGCTGCCTAACCTGAAGGCTATTATTGACGCCGTAAGCGGATGGAATGAGTACGTAATGGCGCCAAAACATGGTAGCCAAACTGCGACAACAACACTGATATTCTTGTGCAGTGACCGAGACGTTGACGGTGACGAATCCGATGAGGCCTACGGGTACGGATCGGTGTCGGAATTCCCGTCTCCCCGAGCAGGTCCATCGACTCTTCCGGCAGAGACGCGTCCAGATGGACATCTTGACGAGTTTGCGCACGCATTTGCCAGGGCCCTAGAGTCCCAGGGTACATCCATCACGGAGACGAGCGTCGGAGCAGCACGGGATGCAGCCAATACCATTCATACATTGGGCACTGCAACGCGAGATATACCTCCCGATGTGCGTGACGATGGGCATGGGCAAGGGAAGTCCGCAGATCAGTGCGGCCACCTGCAGAATGATGATGATCTCTCATCCACAATGTTATTAATGCCGGTAGAGAAGTCTGACGCTTCCCCGACCAGATCACGAACGCCATCGTCTGATATAAGCGTACCATCACACCCAAATGGGATGAACCGCAGGTCGGCATCTAGAAGCGGGATTGGCGCGCTTTTTGGTTATGGGAAAGGTGGAACGAGGTCGCCAACTCTAGAACGAACGAACCCAACAGAGACTATATGAGCCTGCCTGCCTCAACTTTGCGTGATTGCGGTGCATCTTTTTGACTTCTTTCATAGTTCCCAATTAGGTCTTTAAATTATTGTCCATTGACGTACAATTAAGCAAGTTGCCCTCCATCGCGCTGATCTCGGTAATCGTCAGATAACGATGCCACTTATCCATGTCAGGCACATTTTGGTTTGTGAGCTTTCCAATCTGTCTTTTGACAAGAAGGCGAGCAATAAAACACTGTTTTACACCGTGAACATTTCCGTTTCGCCTCCTTCATGCACCCATTACACAACGTCACTCTTTGCTTCTCTCCATATTCATTTTCCTTAGGGAATCCCATTCCATTGCGCACATGCGCCATCATTTTTTTGTACGCTTTGAGTATCTCTCGACTGCAGTCTCCACCCGCCCTGCAAACGGGTGCTACCAAGTCATACACGAAGGGTTCAGGACGAACATGCAAGTAAGCCAGCGGGTTGTGGATGAGTTCAAGAGCGGGTTGGTCACATTCTGTACATTGCCAACTATGCGCTGCAAGTAACTCTTTAGAATGACTGTTTGAGAGATTCGCGACAAATTGGGCTCCTGCTTCTCGTGGCGCTGGGTTGACCGTCAGCTTCACCGGGGCGACATGCGGAAAGCTGAACTCGCGGCTGGTATAATTGTCTGCTACCTTTGCAATGTACTTTATTGGGATCATGGTCCCCATAGTGTCAAAGCCGTGGGTTTGCAGTGTGCTGGTGCGCGCTGGTAAGGTACGCGTAGATCGCCATTTTACGCGTACATTCAAATCTATGGTAAGCGATGATTCTTGAAGTTCTTGTGGACAGCGTTCAAGTGTAACAAAAGATATTATATTTCCATTTTAAAAGATATAAACAACCAGAAGATTCCACTCCATTTACATGATTTTCTTGTCTGTACATATGTCCCCTAATAACCCCATTTAAAAAACCATCAATATATACGTCCCAATCGATAAACTCTTTGAAAAAGTTATAAAGAGACCGCACATTCGCGGTAAAATAAAAATGTCAATAGTAATCAATAACCAGGATGAGCCGTCATCCCCATTGATGCGTCTTCATTGCGACCATAAGAGATTGGAGGGCTCTCTCGTAGCTGTGCGGAGAGCTGGTGGAATGATGGAAATGAGTCTTGATCATCGATAACAGAAGAAAGACCAACCAATGCTTGCAAACTTACTGATCGATAAACATGGTGCGCGAAAATGTAAATTCAGAGAACGCTACTTCGACGTCGTCAACGGCATGGACCGTCAAGGCAGTGGCAATTCGTGCTTTCGATACATTCACGGTCGGCGACGAGCTCACGGGATTTGCGGCAGCTTTCACGACTGGCGTGGTTGCGTCAAGCCAATACCTGGGATGAGGAGAGCAACTAAGAATCGGATACCATTCCATCAAACTGAAAGTGCTACTCACACGCTTCCTGGTGGATAAAGTTTTTCTGCTCTCATATCTGCTCGAAGAGTTTTCAAAAGTGCCCAATACCAGAGCTCATCTTCATGTCCTGGGCCCTCTTGACGTCCTGCATTTGTCGGAACATTTGCGCCGGGATAATTCTTAAAAACACCCAGAACTTTCCCAATAACTCGTTCGGCCATTCCTTGCTCGTTACACAGATTTACAGCTACGTTCCGGAAATCGCGAATAAGCCCTAGTGAAAGACAAGGAACAACATCGTGACCTGTGTAAGAGCATTAGGAATTCAGTTCATTTGGCTCCTCAGGTATTTCGCGTCGCACGTACGGTATATGACGGACGTGATGAGGTCTTTACAGTGGCTTGAAAGGTTCAACGACATGACCGCCGGTACACCCTGTCAGCAGTCAGAATTAAAGTTGCTGGAATGGGCATGATATGTATGTTTGCAGAGTGTACATACGTAAACGAAACAATGGACCGGTCGACTGGGAAAGCCCTTCTCTTCGCTAGTAAAAAACTTTTCCTCCCCATTATCTCCAACGCATTTCCGCGACCATATCAGAGCCAGTAAAGCAGCGACACCGCCACCCAGACTATGTCCGGTGAGCACAAGACCAAAGTTTGGATGCTTGTTCAGGGCCTCCACCACTGCATCGCGCACAGGTCCTCGGGCGATCTTCTCTGCGGATGCCAGCATACCTGCGTGGACTTTGCCTTGAACACCATCCACAGTTTCATACGAAGCATAGTTACTGGTAAGATCCTTTAAATTCAAATATTTGTCAGTCAGATTTTTGGGGGCGGGTATTTCCACGCCAAGTTCTCACCGTGATTAGATCCGAAAGCCCTAAAGTTCCACGCAAACTGACTACCACGGCAGAACTCTTGGCATCTACGACGAGATAATGCACCGGCGCGATCAGGGCAGGTGGGTGCAATGCGCTCGGTTTTCGAAATGAAGAGGTTATAATGTGCTCTACGGGAACATCGGTATGGAAGGCAAAACTTTGATGGTTGTGATGTTCGGTACAATTTTCTATAAGAAGATCACGCGCACGACCAATGCTGTTGACCCGTGTAAGTAACTCTAACGAATAGGATGACAAAGAATTTTGCGTGCCGTACCCCAAGATCTTCAAGAAATTGGTTCCGTATGCACCGCTCGCAAACCTTACGTAGCGAGCAATGTTTTCGAAGAGCTTCTGTCGTGGATCTCCTGATCCATCAGTTGAAACTATGTTGTCACTTTTGGGGCGAGCATGTCGACCATGACCGTCGCGGTGAGCCTTAGGCAAGGAAGCACTGTTCTCCCATTTCGTAGAGCGCTTGCTTTTGGTCTGACTTCGACCAAATTGCACTGACTCTAGCATTCTGAGAACGCTATTCACCTGCGCGTGATCTAGCTTGTATTGCCCAGATTGTCCTGAATGTGCCCGCTGCCTTCGACCATCGGGAGTTACCGAGCCATGGCGGTGTTCTCGTCTCCTATCGCGCGCCTCTGCCAGATTTTGGGGCTTTTCTGGCCAAGCAGCTGTGGGATCTTCCCCGTATCCCGAGTCCTCGCGAGTCATCGTTTGCACGCCACTGCGACCCCCTTCAAGATCAATGAGCCGAAGCGCTAGGGAGGAAAACCTCTCTGGGTTAGACATCCGCCGCCGGTCCATGGGGCCCAAAATATGATTTCTGGTCAGCGGAGCGAGGAGTTGTGAGGTTCCACTAGCAATTGCGTGAAGTTCTGCCATTCCCATTTCTCCCAAGTCGCTAGGACTGTTGATCTCACAATCAGACAGACCAGAGTATGATTTTGCGGCACTGTCCTCTGGGACCTCGGAGGGACGTATATGTCCTTCAAAGATTGCTGTGAGCTTCAGCGAGTTTCTCCACCGGTTTCGGTTTACATATTGTAAGCAGCAGTAGGCCTGTCACCAATTCTGGTCATTTATATGGCCCCGTCCCAAAGACAGAAAACTTAATACTCACAGTCATGGCTTTAGTGATTTGGCCGAGAGCCGAAATTCGTCCATACTTTGAACCCAAGCACAAGTCTTCCTCCGTCCCCTCCAGCTCCTTCTTTACCAAGCAGACAAACGCTGCCAGTGCTTTAGATGTCTCTGTTTCGCCAAATAATCCGTCAAGAACCTGTACAAATTCCTCCGCCGCCTATAATAAAGAGGCTTAGTATCTTTGATTTAGCCATAACGATGAATATAAATATACTTACGTTGAGAGAGAAACGGATTGTAGAGGATGCAAGATGAAAGGTTGTGTGGGTTAACAGCTCTGCCAAAGAAAAGACGTTGTGGATGACATAAACCCCGGCGGAAGTATAGCGATCCAAGACTTTAAAGAAGGAAACGCTGTCACTATTTGGACCAGATGTGTTCTCGTTAGACTCATCTCAGAATATCAATCAATCTATTGATGCATACCTTTTCCCGCGGCCCATCGCAATCAAATGTAGCGTTCGCGCAGAAGACACAGCAGCAACCATTGCCCGTCGTGTGATGGCCAAACTTGTTGATGCCGAAAATTTCAATGATTCAAAAATGGCCTCAACCAAAATGGAAGCAAGACGAAGCGAGATTCTGGCACCAGTAGATATAGAGCTAATAAGAGCCGCGATGCGACGATCCAGAAGAGGCCGATGGTTGTGATGATGAAGAATAGACGAAGTATCAACGCGTAAGGCAAGATCGGTGCAGCCAACTACAGCAGATGCGGCAGCTGTAAGTGTTGTTGAGGCTACGGCGCTTGCCACGAGAGCGGCTTCCGTCTTCATTGCCTCTTCCTTGTCATCCGTTCCTACGAGCAAAGAGACATCCGTCCCAGCTCTATCACCCGCATCCTCCTCGGCCTCTTCAATGACCAGCACCACCTCGGGGCACGCCGAGTCATGCATTTTCGCGTGTCCTCGAGGTTGTTTTTGAACGAGGACAATCCAGAAATACACGCAGTGTTCTTTTTAGTGTGCAAAGGAGGAGGAGTAGAGAGAGATGGGAGGTAAATGTACAGATCAGGAACAAAGACTAGAGTCAAAGAAACCCTGGGGTGGGGTCAATGGGAGCACGATGGAAACAAGGGGATCCAAGCGGGCGATTTGTCGGGTCAGCTGGGAGTGTGAAAGGGGGTGAGGATCTTTCGGGGGGGGACGATGTCGTTCAACGACGCGAAATGAAAATCAAGGAGATGTCCCCTGGGAAGGAGATTCAGGTTTAATTGTGATAGACACGCACAAAGATACTCTCAAGTCGAATGATGCGCAACGCCAAAAAGGTGATTTCGCCTCGTTCAGTCTTCCAAACGTAGCAGCTTTGCGGTGGGTTCCAGCCGTCGAACGTCCTCCCTCGCGTGATCACATCCTTTTACCAATACGCTCTGCATCGCGCGCGTTGCGCGTCATTCCCACTGATGATCCCCAAAGAGGATCTTGTTAGCCGAGATTGTCTCCCGCGCCGATGGGAGGCTACTCGTAGCAAACAAAGCAATACCAAGTCACTGAGATACAATGTAATATGGCGATGCAGCAGCGTCTCCGGCGCTTTGTCGCTGTCTGCATGTGGTAGCGATGTTTGGAACATGGGATGGTGCTTAGTTATTCCATCCACTCAAGGTCAAATTCCCTTATTCTGTATTTTGGTGAACCAAATGATTATTCGTACTGCTGTGTCAGCCAAGCTCGTCCCGTCAGTGTGCTTTTCAGTATAAGGGGATTCAATATTGGAGGGTGATCTCACGTTTACAGGTAGGGTGGAATAGTAATTAATGCGCTATGTCGTCTAGATAGCTAGATAGGTGCAAATCCACTTTTAAAGGAAAAACTATGTACAGATTGAGAGGAGAAGCCATTCTTAATGATAGGCATTCGCTCAACGTTATTGAATCTTACTGAGGGAATCTAATGTTGCCACCAGATAGCTGACTAGCGCCATATTCTCTTGCCGAAGGCCTAACGGTTGAAAACGGTCACCAAGAGGGCTGAGGGCTTTGCCAAACATGCAAGAGAGACTCACGTTCTACTTCTCCGTCATTTGGAGTTTGTGGGTGAGCTAACTCGGCCGCTAATGTGCCCATTTTTGATTTCATCCCATCTTCTGTCCTTGCAGTCTTGGCGGTTTTAACAGCCAATAATTCGCACACGCTTGAGGTTCTTCTTGGAATTCTCGGGCCTTTCTTCGTAACTGCAGGAGGATGACCAGGACTAGCTGGTGGAGACGCCATAAAAGCAACGCCTTTTATAGGTGAGGGTGGTCGATCCTGGGGCCCCTCACCATTAAGATTATTCTCACTCGGCAATGCGACGTCCGTAGCCCTCAGCATTTCAATCTCTTCTTGAAGTGCCCTGTTTTGCTCGGCTAGCTGCAACAGTAGCTGATCAGTGATATCAGTTGTGGAAGAGGCTGTCCCGCTTTCAAATCGCTCGTGCAAACGATCGGTTCTTTTCAACAGTTCCAGGCTCGAACGACGGACAAGTTGCTGGATCGCGCCATGGTCGAGCGTACGCTGGCGGGTCTAAGGTGAAACAGCGATTATGATTCTTGCACATTCACAAATCCTTAAAGAGCGTCAGCTGATGTCCCACCTCCTGCAGCTCTTTTTCCAGCGTCTTGATCATGACGAGATGGGCCCGCTGGGTTGTCTCGTATGTGCGTGTCGCCAGTTCATATTCCACCTTGGCGGCTTGAAACAGAGATTCAGTTTCTTTGAGTTCCGCTGCATACGTTTTAGGAGCGGATGTTAGGTTTTTTCATCAAGGTTGTCATGCTTAGATGGATATGACCTCTTAATGCGGTGTTCGCGGCATTTGCAGTGGAAAGTTGGGTGGAAAGCTGCCGTTCTGTTTCTGAACGCTCACCCTTCATCTTGGACAATGCTGTGACAGCTATGTTCGCTTCAGAGCGCAACACAGCCTTGTCCTTATCAGCTTGTGTCACTTGTCGCCGAAGTACATCAACCATCTCCTGCAGCTGTTGAATCCGGAGCTCCTGTGTATCTTGCTGCTCTCGCAAACGAGTCAAATCGTCGTCCGCGTCCCGATATTTCTGTATGAAATGGATCATAAGTATAGACAGTTCGGGTTTCCTTACTTCCAACTCTAACAGGAATGCGGACCTTCTTCCATCGCTCAGCGTCCTCTGCGTATGAATTCGCGACGGACTCCGACTCCTTTAGCGCATTTTCCAGCTACGGACACTCACCGCATTAGCATCTCAATGAAAATACCGACCTCGGCACCTATGATGTACCTTTCTCCTTTCATTTCTAGTCTGCTCGAGCTCCCGTTCCACGCCTCGTAGATATTGTAAGCTTCCAATAGTCGCACTTCTCTGTATTGCGGGTGGGGACGAGCTTGTCGCAGTTGGGAAGCGTCCCGCGTTCGGTGAGATAAGCGCGCTATCCGTATCGTAATCGAGCTCGTCCTCATCTGGCGGTATCTGTAGTTTCCGCATACCTCGCACACTGCGGCGTTTAACTGGCACTCGTGGCTTCTATTGATCATTGGAAAATGAGCAAAACATTACCGAAAGCAAGAGCCGCAAAGGCGCGGACCTTGAACGACTGTGCTCTTCGCGGGGACCGTAGGTCCTCTGACGTCTTGTCCGAGTCGCCAAATGCAGTGAGCTCTTCGTCGGCATCGGTTGCGGACTGCATTTCTCCCTTGTTATTGCAAGAATATTACTTTCGGAGTATCCTGAAATATCTGCGTTACGCGAAGGTTTCGGTCCATGTGGAGAACCGAACGCATTGCCACAGGTCTCCGATAAGGTAAGTGGGACCAAAACCTTGAATTCATCTGTTAGCAACCGGTCATAACAACCGTGTGATGAGTCATGCCTCCGCGATCATTGATGAGGTTGCAACCTCTGTCTAAACTTTTCTCCAGCATTCCAACAAGATGCCACTCTTGCCTCCGATAAATTTTCCCAAATGGCTTGAGGAAAACCACCATCTTCTACAACCTCCCGTTAACAATTTCTGCCTCTACAACTCGGCAGACTTCACCGTTATGGTTGTTGGTGGACCGAATGCTAGGACAGACTATCACTGGAATGAAACAGAAGAATGGTTCTATCAGCACAAAGGGGACATGCTGTTGAAAGTTGTCGACGACGGGGAATTCAAGGATATTCCCATACGAGAGGGTGAAATGTTTCTGCTTCCCGGAAACACTCCACATAACCCTGTCCGGTTCGCTGATACTGTGGGTATAGTTATCGAAAGGAAGCGGCCACCAGACGCTTTGGGTAAGTTCGAATCGATTCATCTGTGTGGTAAGCTCTCTTACATGTCATCCCTTAAGACCGGTTGCGTTGGTATTGTGAGAATTGTAAAAAAATTGTGTATGAGGAATCCTTTCATTGCGTTGACCTAGGGACGCAACTCAAACCCGTCATTGAGCGGTATTATGCCAGCGAGGAGTTGCGAACCTGCAAAGAATGTGGCCATTTAAATCCAAAAAAATAAATTACATGTTCCACTCGGTGGGTGGGATGAATCAAGCGCAGTATCTAGCCCAGTTCGCAGAGCAATCTGATGGGGACCATATCGCATCTTTCATGATATACCCTTTCCATATCCGCTGATTGCAAGATCATTCCTCATCTCAGATAGTTTTCCCATATCCTTTCCATTTCGTCGCAATCTTATGCTCTGCGGTAACGGCAATCATAATCAGCTAAGATGCGGTACAGTTCCACAGATTTCCGAGCCATGGTTTACCTTCCAAGCATTCCCGTTTGGTCGTTTGTTTTTGCTCACGCGCTTGTCCTGGTCGAGAATCAATGTTTCCAGTCGTGTGGGAGCCTCAATATCAGCCCAAGTTGCGTTCCCGCTTTGAACCCGAAGGGTTCCATCAACTGAAATAATCTAACAGATGGAACAATTAAATACCCTGGGGAAGGTCGATTATTTCATGACAGATCATTGTAAGGAGATTACCTTCACCGCCTTTTCAACAGTAACCCCAATCTTTCCGAAACTTCGCTTATAAACAAACTCGTCACCACTCCGCAGAATATCCTGTTCGCACATTTCCTTCAAGGTGATGGTTTTCGCGATGCTGTAAACCGAGAAAATGCTGGTATGCAAGCACAGCTAGAGGTATGTCATCGCTCAGCCTACCTGGCAATTTCTTCGCTAACTTCTTGATCCAAATGGTCGCCCCATACTTCTTCGTAATTTTGTTCCTGGGCACTTTTTTGTTTATCGCAGCCCGAGGGTAAGTCGCGCACACTGTTTTACCTTCCAGCTGTCGTAGTCTTTTTTGGTATCTTCGACTTCCTGCACCATTTGTTCCTGTCCAGCTGGCTCATAAAATCCACCTGCTAGCATGTCTTGAAATACTCCAATACTTTCACGCAAATGCGTACTGTATTTGAAGAATCTCTCCGTCAATGGTGGATCGTGAATCCCTCTAGCATTCGCACGATCTACGCTCGGCACCAGCTGTGTCAATTCGTCCTGATCTTCTGGCGAAAGCATTTGAAAAACTTCAAAGCTGAATATTTTCTTGAGAATGCAATGGAGAGACTGAGCAAAACAAAACGTCCAGCCAACCTTTGAGGACAATTTCCGTACCTTTAAATCTAACCCAGATTTACCTAGCTTTGACTTTCGATTTGTAAGGAGATATTCGATACTTTGGGCATCTAACTTTACTCTCTTCGCGCGCGGCGTGTTGACGTGACTGGAGGTTTTGGAAGCGGCAACTGCTGTGACCTTGGACCGCATACTTCGACGAGGAGTGTTAACTTGTTCCTCTCTATCTTCTCCTGTGGCTGCATCTTGGCTCACTGTCTCAACGACATCTAGCTTGCGTTTATCACCGGTTGGGGTGCTGCTGTCAACCTGCACCTCGCCAACGATCTTCACTTCAGAATGCGGGGTTCCAGAGTTACTTCGCTTTGTTTTAGGGGGCATCTCGGAGGCCACTGTCGTTATCTCATGAATAACCGCATAAAGCATAGTGTGGAGGTGATTGAAAATGGCACTAGGACCCATTATTTTCCGGATTAATCCGGTTAACCATATCGCATAATCAGAACCCCCTCTATCGCTCAAAGTGGTGTGGCATGCTAATGTAACTTTTTTTTAAACTGCGGTGAGGCGCATGCCGAAGGTCTATAAAAGGGGGGCCTTTGCTCTCTCTCCCCTTCCTCACCAGTTCCTCGACTCTCAAAGCATCTGTGCAACTCTTCTCATCGCGACTGTCAGTCTAATCATGAGAATACAGATGTGGTGGTGTCGAGGACCTCGTCCGCCCGACAGCAACCGTGATCAGAACCAGCTGCAACCAATCAGATCTGATAACAAAACCTACTATTATGCTGCCACATTAGTTGAGCTTGGTTGGTATGTACCAATGGCATCATCTCTTTTCATTCTGTCATTCTGTCGCTGACATGCAGCTTTAGTCTCCAAGCCTTGTCACTGAAGATCCTCCAGCTTGCGAGTCTCCCCAATATTGCGAAGACTCTGGCTTCAATGCCATCAAGAGTTCTGGATCAAGGCCTAGTAGGGACCGTGTGGTGGTGGGCAATTATCCGGTTAGAACCAACCGTTACGTATTGCGTGTATAATTGCCTAGTAGTAGTTAGATAGCTTTTCCGAACCGGTTGTCGCCGGTTTATTCCCTGGTGTAGTAGCTAGTGCCATTTTCTGTCACCTCTACACTAACAAGCGGAAAGTCATTGAACGGAGGATGGGTCTGATCGTGCTGAGGCACGTGAATGTCATTTAAAGGCTGCCTTCACGTCGATGCGTTTGTTTACCTTCCTCTCCCCATATATCAAGGTGTGAGCAAAAACATAGAAGAATGTGGCATGCTGCTGTACGTGAGGGCATTTCCAGCTGCTTTTTTTAGTTCTTCTCGGGGGCAACTGAAATCGGCTACCTATTCTAGAGGCAACATGAGCGAAAGGTGAATGCGGTTATGGTTGATCACAAAGCTAGAGCGGAGCGGAGAGCAAAGTACTACAAGTCGAAGCTCGTCGATCCCTCACAGCTACTTCGCGTCACTGGGACATCCTGTAAGTACCTTGTCGGAGGTGAGGTTTATACCTAGGGTGCCAATGAGATAACTCTCGATGCCAGGCAAACTGTACCCGGACGCGCAACAATTCTATTATCATGAAAATCAGGATAACTTGTAAGCTACTTGTTGGTCAGAAAACACATGTCCTGTACCAACTACACATGTCCTGTACCAACTAATTGTTTGTAGATTGAAATGGCAGGGGGATGAAGAAGCGCGCATTGACAGGTTTGTGAGATCTTCAGTTCAAACCCAATGAAGTTTTATTGACTGGACTCCTAGATTCGATGGACGCGGGCTTCTGGACTTTGTCCCGACTGTTAATCCGGGCCAGCCAATAGAACCTGCTGAAGATGACGAACTGGTGGAAGAACTCAACTTTGAGCGGTACAGGGATCTAGTGGAAAGTGACAGGCTAGAGAGTAGGTTTCACGACTGTCATCCGGTACAGAATGCCTCTCACACTGCTACTATTAGGGGTTGAAAGTTCTGTTCTGGATCGTATTGATGAAGAATGGAACGATCTGTTGACAAAACAACGGGGAGACCCGAAGCAAGACAAGCAGCAGGGTTCTTCATGTACCCCATCCGCTGGCGCTTCTATTGGATATACGTATGAGGAGGGTCGAGTAGCCGATGAGCCGCAGGAAACGCCTCTGCTCCAGCAGGAAGATCTTTTGAGCAACATTGAAGAATTAGAAGATGCCGACATTGCTGTCCTAAATCAGATCGCGGAACCATATGGAATTGATGATTACTACTATAGGATGCGCCTGGTTAAAAAGGAGCAGGAGGCACATCGCGCAGATGAGGAGGCTGGATTGCGGGTGAGTTGGACTGGAGCATCTGATAGTCCAGAGTTCTGAGAAGTTTACAATCATAGCTACACAATCAACGAAAGCGGGCTCGTGGAAAACGGCAGAGGAGCAAGGAAAGACGCACTACAACTCATGAACCAATATCACGACCCGCGGTCTATAACCGGCGAGCAAGTCCGACTTATGCACCGTATGCAAGGTGTGCACTGTCAGAAGTTTATGTTTTGCATGCATAGTGGCCCATTAACGTTTTTCGTCTCTTCAGCGATATTGCTATTCCAGAACGCAACCGGGAACCAGAAATTGGAGAAGGCGAAGACTCAATCGAGTTCATTACAGAGTTTGCCTGTGAAAGTGTCGAACCCGAGGATAATGGAGGAAATCACACGCGATCCCCCAGATCCTATAGGTATGTACTCGGCGCAGCACTGCGCAAAACTTGTATTAACGTGTGTTTTTGCGCTTGCAAGTAGTCGATTGGAAGATGATTCGGAGATTGCTTACCGTTCACCGTCAATAGCCTCGTCATCTTCGTCTATTTCCGCCAGGCAGGCGGAGAACGGTAAACCACAGACGGTAGCAAAAAAGAAGCTTACCCCTCTCGAGCGGCTTAAACAAAAGGCGCAAATGGCACTGGAAAAGCAAAGTCAGATATCGTTTCCAGTGTGTCTTCTTACGCATGCTCAGGAAGCGGGAGCACTGGTGGCATATCAGTGTACACCTGTGCTTTCAGGCACTTTCAGCTGATATTCCGACCTCTTACTTTTCATGCATGTTACTCGGCGATTCCAATAGTTCGGGCTGATGAAGTCAAACAGCACAAGAAGGTGGAAGAAGAGCGCCTCCAACAACTCGACCGGCAAAGCGCATTTCGCGAAATGAAGTCCCGCAAAGAAGGAAGTACTTCCAACCAAGCGACGTGAGTAACTTTGGCAGTTTGACTTTTTTGTGTGAATGTGCTCACAGTAAATGCGTAGGTCGGTGGTCTCCACATCCGAGATTCGTATACTATCCGACACACTTTCAGGGTCAGAAGCGATTCAGACAAGACGCGAAAGATCTCGCTCGCCGTCTGTGAAGCGAACGCGGTCGCAATCCTCTTCAGTTGAAGCAAGATCGCCGTCCCGCCATAGGTAGGTGTGCTGAACTTTAATATCTCGACTCCGTTTTAATCAATAGTGAAATGTTTGTAGTCGGCAGGATCGTCGACCGAGATTGCGCGAGAGGGAGTCGTCGCTGTCTCGATCAAGGCGGTATAGTCTGTCCTCAGAATCGCGGTCTAGGTCTAGTAGCAGCTCTAGGTCAAGGTCACGCTCACGGTGGAGGTCAAGGTCACGCTCACGATCGAGGTCAAGGTCGCGAGCTAGATCTCGTTACAACCGCGAGCGCAAGGTTCATAAACGCCGTGGCTCATCGAACAGAAGAGATCGTAGTAGCGAGGGCCGCAAAAGGAGACGGGTAAAGAGTAGATTTCGATCTGGCTCCCGCCATAGAAAACATGTCCGCTCCAGAAGCGGCGATGGTAGGCGGCGTAAAAGGTGAGCCATTTTTTCATTTATACCGTTGAGTTGTATGTTTTCTAAAATTAATATCATTTCAAAAGACGTGAGTCTCGTTCTCAAACTCCACCACGAGTACGGCAAAAGTAAAACATGATTTAAACATGTATATTATAGATTATATGTAGAGTCTGTAGTTGGGGGGCCATTCACCCCACCGACTCAATATGGGACGCATTAAAGAACAATACAGAAACTCGTCATTTGGGATATCCAGACGAAGAAATCATAATATGCCATTTGTTTATACTTGTATTGTGTGTACTAAGCACATTGATCCCCAAACCACGTGCCTAATGGAGCCAACTTTTGAAACGCAACGACCCCTGAGACTAGCCAAAAGCCGCCCATTTTGCCCCCCAAAAAGCAAACCACAGCCATCCGAAATACGTTCCAACCACCTTCACGCCCATTGCCGCTGTTGGGCATCACGAACTTGTTTGTTGCTCGCAACGCTCCCCCATCCCACAGCCCGACTCACGAGTAAGCATATCTCCATTCCGCGCGAGGTCAATCTCATTCCATACCCTCGTTGACGCATCCGGCAAATTGCTATTGTTTTACCACATTTGGAGGCGGATCTACATTGTGTGAGAACATACATTGAACAAGTATATGGACGGCGTCGAAGTGAGGAGGGCCGCTTCAACAGGCGCTGCATCGAGTTCTGCAGGCAGTGGTACCAGGGGAGGGGAAAATGGAGGGGACGATGGATCACGAGGGTCGAGACGAAATAGAATTTTCCGGGACGCACGAGTGAATGCCAACTATCAACCATCGGGCCTGGCAAGAGCTGCATTTATTGCGGCATCCAATGGTGTCCCGCTTGGCAACAATGTAACATCGCCATCCTCAGACCGACGGTATTCGGTGGCGGCGTTATGGTCTATGGCTGCTGAAAACGATGTAGAAGTGGACGATGAGCTGACAAAGGCACAACGACGGCTGCGAGAGTTGAAGACTCGGATATCTGCACAGTCCAAGAAGAATTTCTTACTGGAACGAGATGTTCGGTATCTTGACAGTCGGATAGCCCTTTTGATTCAAAACCGCATGGCTTTGGATGAACAACAAGAAGTCGCTAGTCATTTGGAAGAGATCGATGCATCGGAAGGATTTCTACCAGATGACCGTAAACGGCAGCTTTATGGAAATCTCTTTTTCCTCCTGCAATCTGAACCTCGGCATATTGCAACTCTCGCTCGATTGGTCACCTTGTCGGAAATCGACACCCTCCTGCAAACAGTAATGTTTACAATATATGGAAACCAATACGACTCTCGAGAAGAGTATCTTCTACTATCCATGTTCCAAAATGTCCTTGCCGCACAATTCGAAACTGCTACTGAGTTTGGCAGCTTACTTCGCGCAAACACGCCTGTTTCTCGGATGATGACAACGTACACAAGGCGAGGGCCCGGACAAACATATCTTAAACATGTCCTGTCGGAGCGGATCAACAATCTGATCGAGCATCAAGATTTGGACTTGGAAATCAATCCGCTGAAAGTATATGAACAAATGATAAGTGATATCGAAGCAGAAACGGGAGAGCCATGCGACCTACCCCGGGGTATCTCTCAAGAGGAGGCACAGCAAAACCCGGACGTTCAGGCCATCATTGCTCCACGCTTGACAACGCTGATGGAGATCACAGAGTCTTTTTTAACGACAATCATCGCGTCCCTTGATCAGGTGCCTTATGGAATTCGATGGATCTGCAAGCAAATCCGATCATTGACTAAGGTTTGTCGCAGCGAAAATGTAGCCAAATGTGTTGTTCTTGTTATTGATGCTTACTGGAAATAGCGAAAATACCCTGAAGCTACAGAGTTCAACATATGTTCGCTCATTGGAGGTTTCTTTTTCCTTCGCTTTGTGAATCCGGCTATCGTCACACCCAACGCGTACATGCTCGTAGAGAGCAATCCGAAGAAGAACCCTAGACGTACCTTGACCCTCGTAGCCAAACTGCTGCAAAATCTTGCCAACAAACCAACCTATTCGAAAGAGGGATACATGATCTCGCTAAATCCTTTTGTGGAGGAAAACAAGTCGCGTATCAATAAGTTCCTCAATGACCTGTGTGAAGTTGGAGACTTTTATGAAGCATTGGAGGTATGTGATGAGACATCTGACGTGGGTGGCTCATGGCATATCTAAGCGATACTCACGTTGTTCTAGATGGATCAATATATAGCGTTGTCCAAAAAGGATATCATGCTGAACATTACGCTAAACGAAATTTACAACACGCACGCACTCCTCGTTCAGCATCGTGATGCTCTGGTATGGCCGTCCCCTGATCGGTTAAGATTGTGTGCAATCGCTAACTCTGTGCTCCTATTTGCCTTGACAGTGTCCAAGCGAAAAGCACCATCTCCGCATTTGTCTTAATGATCTCGGGCCTGCACCATCCCAAGTTCCGCGTGCGGAAAACAAAGCCATCGTGTTGCCCCTATTTTCACGCTGGGAACAACCAATCACTGACATTCCATCAGCAATGGCTGATAGCGAACTCACACAGGGCGACATCCTCTACATGGACACCAAAGCACTTTTTGTTCAAATTCTCCGAACCATGCCGGTTCTTGCGGCAGCGGCGGTCAATTCATCATCGAATGGCAGCACTGCGATTAACCTTCCCCGCGTAGCTGAAACCGCTGCTACGTCCCGAGACCCGACTTTGGTCAAAAAGGGAATTAAAGTGCGCGAAATGCTCCGTCAGCTGGAGGAGATGCAGGTCGTAGATCGTGCTGATGGACATGCCTTGATGTGCGAAGAAGTGCGCCAAGAACTGGTGCATCTCGGTAACCTGCGAGAAAAGGTTGATAAGGAGATTGCAAGTTTGGAAATTGTTTACAAGACTATCCTTGATCACAACAACTACCTGCGAAGTCAGCTCGAGAGTTATAAAGCGTACCTACAAAACGTGCGAATACAAAGCGGGCTAGTGAATACAAAGAGCTCTAAAGGACAGGTTCAAGGACCATATAAGTTTAGTCACTCGCAGCTGGAAAAGGACGGGATAATCGTGGAGAGCAATGTCCCAGATAACAGGCGGGCAAATATTTTCTTCAATATTATGTCGCCTGTTCCTGGAACATTCATTATTGCGCTACACTATAAAGGTAAGATACGTTGATCAGCCGATGGTCCTTCCAAGAGAGGCGCTGACCTTATTCTGTGCTCAGGACGCGAAAAGGCTATTCTTGAAATGGACCTCAAATTGGATGACCTCCTAGAAAAACAGCAAATGGGCGTGCAGCTTTTGGATTTAGAATACGTTCAGTTGAGCGTTAACAGAATTCTGTCGCTTCTCAACAAGACATTCTTGAAGCGATAGTGGATAGCAACGAATAATAAAGATTCGCAACCAGACAATTAAGGCAGACACGAAGGATTAGTAAATTTTGTAGTACCTAGGACTTGCTCAATTTTTGCTCAGTTAGTAGTAGCGACGGATATTGGTAATTCACGCAACACGGTAAAAAGCGGTCGGGCTGGAACCGGCCTTCAACTGCTAGAAGATCATAAAGCTTTTTCTTTTTCACTTTGTAACTTATACGTATTACTACGTCATGGGGGGCCACTGATCGGGTCTTTCTCTGCAACGGTTTGTAATGCTGCAGCAGTTTGAAACTGTGTAATCCAACTCGGTGGTTTTCCTACCCCATGCTGCCATTCCAAAAGTCTGTACAGCACTGCTTCGTAGCAGAATGCGTACTGCTCCAAAGTTTGTACCATGCTAACCCGGTGCTCCCTGAATTTCTCGACAGTGGCATGAACCACGTCCAGCTCTCCTCGAGCATCGTCGCCGTTCTCGAGTAACGTAATTACGCCATCAATGGCGCAGAACGTCCCTGTTCTCCCGCACCCCGCACTACAATGCACCACCATTGGTCCAGCTTCCGATTCTGCTTCAACTCTTGTCTGCAACTCCCGAGCCAAGTCCAATATGGCCAGGACGCTTTGTGGACTGCTAGCTTTATGATCCGGCCATGCCACGAAGTGTAACTGCCAGACTCGCCGTCTCTTCTCGCGATCATTTCCGGTTGCGATTTCCATCTGCCGCAGCATGACATCTCCACCCGATAGATTTTGCTCTTGCACTAATTTGACAGAAATTCCGCTAATATTCTCAAACTCCAGCTCTTCACCCTCTTGACTGGGCCAATATCGATGGCACTTGATTCGCCCTCTTTCTTCCTCTTTTGTGAGCATGATAATCAGCCCTGAACGCTGCTCCCATACCATCTGCCAGAAGTCGCCAAAAGTATTGGACATCGGCCCCTGTGAAACAATGTAGCTTCTTGTTCCCGGTAATCCTTGCACGTGGCTTGCATTGATGTAATCGCTCAATTCCGGCGCCGATGCCTCGCCTAATACCACGCGGGTACGATCATATGGAATGATATCGTAGTATCTATTTCGTCGCATATGTTGCCGCTGTTGAGCAACGACAAGGCTATACGGGTGGTCCGAAATGCGACCGCCCTCGCGGATACGAGTAACTTCGTGGGAGTCAATTTCTTGATACTCTTCCCGTAAGATTGAAGGTATCGCTGGACCGGAGTCGAGTAGCCGCTGTAGCCAAGGGGGAACATTCTGTGGCTCCAGCATATTCCCCACAGAGACAATATTATCGCTAAATTGCGTTCCTGCGGACATTGGTGACGCAGGTATAAAAACGGGAATGGAAAAGCCTGTTGTGTCGAGTTTTGGTGGTTGAAGAGATGGTGTGTTTTCGCGAAGCTTAACGGATTCTGCAGAAGCAGAAGAGGATCGACGACTAGCCAGTGATCGTTTCGATGGACTGTTGGAATACTGTTTTAGCCTACGTTTTATAAACACTTGTCCTTCACAAGAATGGCGGTGATCAGCGAACACTTTGTACGATCCAAAATATCCACTGGTCCAGTCTCTCCCCACGCACCGGCGCCTCTGGCCCCTTACAGCATTCGAAGAAAGACTCACCTGCCCTCCTCAGTTACAGAAGGTCCCGGCACCGATAGAAATTCACCTGTCCTGTTCTGATGTCTATCAGTATCTACCCATGACCCGTCGGTCACAACTGTCTCTCCCAACGGCGAAGGGCTCTGCGCTTCGTGGAAGACCACGTCTGGAGGTGATACACTATTGGAAGTAAGTGAGGATGATCTCGGGACAATCCGGACAGGTGATGATGATCTGAAAGAAGGTGATTGAATCTTGCCAATTGAAGAGCCCATCCACTTTTTAGACTGCTCAAGTGTGCGGGCACGAGCAAAGTCGTTCGACCAAGTGCACAATGCCCTGTGTCGTTGCCCACCGTGACGGGAGAGCTGAAACATCGAGATTTGATTCGAATGTGATATCAATTCAAGTCATTTGTTTATAATCGAAAATTACTTCATAATCCATATGACCAAAGCCAAAAGTATGCAAAAACCTGTCAGAAATGAATACAACGCCGACGTTCCTTTTCCGTCTTCCTTTCCCCTCATTGTACTAATAATCCTCTCTAACTCGTCAATTAATGCTTCCGAAGAAAACTTCTCCTCCACCAGCGTCTTTCCCTTGCTTCCCAAATCTTCCTTCCTCACAACCCCAGTCGCCAGTTTGGCGATAGCATCGGCAAACTCAGTAGGATCCGGGTTACGCAAGAAGCCGGTTACACTGTCGACTACTGTCTCTGTTGGTCCTCCGTTATTGACAGCAATCACGGGCAGCCCAGCGTACATGGCTTCCACAGGAACAATTCCAAAGTGCTCCTCGCTGGGCGTATACAAGAGACAGAGGGACCTAGCCAAGAGAAACGTTCTCTGCTCATCATTGAAAGACGGGATAAACACTACTTGCGCGTCCTTCGGCGGCGGTTTCGATCCATGATTGTAAACATGCGTCAAAAATCCCATCTGAATAGCGAGCAGTTCTAATTCCTCCAAGTATTCCACGTTCTCTCTCACACGCGTATCATAACCCCCTAAATCCAATGTCATTATAGGCAATTGCATCAGCCCCAGTAGAAGGTCACCAACCTAGCACGTCCAAACGCACCTGCGACTATTAAGCGCAAAGTAGGAAATTTTCCTGGTATTTGTTCTCGTAAGCGCTCAAATGTATAAATTGCCAACTCGATATTCTTTTTTCTCTCGAAGCGGTTTATGGACAGAAGCAACTGCTGCTCGCTGAAGATGCGGACGGTGAATATTAGACCAAATGAAGACCAGAGAATATCCACGAAATGCGTACCTCATCAGCGGTATCACCGTTGGATCAGCTGTATTAACCTCCTTACAGTAAGACTTTAAAGGTACCCCTGGGTATAGAACGTCTGGCGCTTGTTTAATGGAGGGAAAAGCCCTCATGAAGACCCCTGCCGTAAATCTGCTATTGACAACAATCTTATCGGCCATCCCTAGAGAACGCTAACCAGAAGAATTTAAAAATCAAAGAAGAATTTGAGGATGGACATAAGCGGTCAAAACTGACTGGTAGTCTGCTCTTCTAGAAAGTCGACGGGTAGCCGGTATATTTTCTTCAGTAAGCTTTGCCGCTTAGTAAGAAGCTTATCCGGGAAATGACAATAGAATAGGATCTAATGCAAACATAAGCTCGTCAGGTTGTTCTAATCTCTAGTGTCGTCATATACACAGACGAACCTTGGCGTTCGCGAATCTCAAAACCGGTATAGAAGCCGATAACTGATCAACGACTAGCAAATCGTACTGTCCAGAATGACCCAAACATAGCGAGAATGAGAGCACAACGCTCCGTAATATGGCAAAAAGAATGTATCCTTTGCCAAACAGATGGCGCGGAAGCCAATCTCCAGCCACAGAAACTTTCAACGTCCCTAAATAACAAGTCAAGCACTGACGGAACTCGAAATATTATTTAAATCACACACCATCTCTGGTCTCTTGAAAGCAATGTGTTGGGTCATGATGCGACGTGTAAAGTACAACGCTATGGCCCCGTGATTGAAGCCCAACAGCCGCGTCGACGACTAGGCGCTCTGCACCGCCTTCTCGCGCAGGTTATTTAAGAACGCAATGTGCATAAAATTGACACTGAGGCCAGTTTACCTATTCCCAAATCCGGGTGAACAAAGGCGATTCGAAGCGGTGTCATGTGTCGTTTGAAGGATCTCTGCACTCGCTGGCTGCTGGTCTCCGAGTGTGATAGATCACGTGGTGTGGCTGTGTCACTATAAATGGGCGGGCTGTTTGGGCAGTATAAAAGCGAAAGTCGACTTAAGCTCCTTTCCATTTGGCGACACGAAGAAGAACCTTCCGAGAGTCGCCCACCTCTTCCTATTTCTAGTGCCTATTCTGTTAGAGTTCTTTTGTCACGTCAGCTAGCATGTCCAACCAGCTTGTGGTATGTTTTTGTGAGTTGTGGGCGAGATGTTGAGCTGGATTGGTTCCTGGAATCTGTAAAGAAACACCACGGAAATTAACACATCTCAACTCAATGTGCATCATTTCACAGCCTAGCGTATATACCTATGTCATCGACGAGGTCTGTGAAAAGGTTGCGCCAACCTTTGCTGAGATGGGCGTGGGACAAAACGTCCTTGCCGAACTGCGTCAGGTGGTTGTCCAATTGCATGCAGATTGTTAAGTCTTGTATTTGCAGCAACCTGCATATTAATGTTTGGATCTCTCTGTTACGACTTTGCGTTTCCAGACGTGGAAGCGTAAGATTGCGAGTATGCGAGTAGCCGATTTTGATTTCAAAGAATCGTTCGATGATGGCTACGGGGTGTACGATGGAGCTGGGGGCCAATATGGGACAGAGTATTACGGAGGAGATCATAATGATTCTTCATTTGCCGCTGCTGCTAACTTGGCAGCGCTGGCCTCGGGTGTGGGCGGAGACGGTATGTGCCCTTGATGATAAATATAGGACTTGTGAAGGTCAACGTCTTACGGAGCCCTATCGACACAGGGACAGCTCCAGATTCATATCATATCCCGCAAAATGACGGCGCTGGCGATGAGGCACAGGCAGAAACCTCGAAAGTGGTTGAAACGGCGCAACCATCACAAAGGGTACATCTAGCACTCACTTGATGTCAATTAGACCAATGCTGATAATGTTTACAGGAAATAGATGAATTAGTACAGCGCTTGTGGCAGGAGCGGCATCGCGCAGAGGGGGAGGCTGCAGAAGAACAGGGACGAGGTTCGCTTGCCAAGCAACGAATCCGGCAGCTGGATGGAGTTGATGACGACGATGATGAAGAAGATGAGGTGCTATCAATGTACCATGGGTCATTGGCCATCTAGTTCACTGACGTTAGAATACAGGATGATAACGAAGACGGCATCGGCTCCGATCTTGACGACGAAGATTCAGAGGACGAGACTGCGGATGTGTCCCATATAATTCTCTGCCAATATGAAAAGGTTAGACATCCAAAGGTTATAGATATGTGATGGACAGGGATTTGTCGGCCCGGCTCTAACAATGTTCCCACATCTGTCAGGTCAACCGCGTTAAAAACAAGTGGAAGTGTACACTAAAGGACGGTATTATCACCGTCAACGGAAGAGATTATGTCTTCAATAAGGTACCCTTGCGAAATTTTCCGTATAATGGATAGTTGCTAAATAGTAGCTAAATTTGTTGCTTGGCTTTAGGCGCAAGGCGATTTTGAGTGGTAGTGAACTTTTTTTCCTTTCATCTGTAATACTTGCTTTGGCAGAACTGCCTCGTCATTTGTGATTGCAACTTGCAGTCATTGTTTTGTAGATAAAGTTTCAGGCGGCGTGTGTTTAATAAAAGACCGTTTTTAATACAGTTCTGTTTACCTGCATCCTGTTTGTAGAAGTTGTAAGGCGCTTCCGTATGAAAGCAGATCGTTGCGTAAAGCAGTCACATCCGCGGTGGCAAGCAAACTTGAGGTTAGTCAGCATCCAAGCTGTCAGGAACAAAACTAGTCAACGCGTCATACTGTTGATATTCTCAGGTGTAGATCACCCAACGTCAACCCTTACGTTTTCCAATTGTTGACACAACTATAGCGAATATGGCTATCTGCTCCCACGCATCTTCCACCAAGTTAGTTCCCGCTACCGCAGCGAGTGAAGTTTACAAGGAGGAATGTACTCTTTGTTTTGACAGTCAGGTGCGTGAAGATGTTCAAGTGGGCATACGGTTAACCTGAACTACGGAGAGAAATACGTCTTGCTGACAAAGTGCATTTGTGGTTTGCAATACCAGGATCTTCCTCAGGGTATCGATGTTTGCTTGAGCTGTTTCAATGGAGGGTGTTTGAGCAACGATCGAGGACATGGCCGGCTACATTTTCAAAAGACTAGTCATCCACTAGCTTTGAACATTAAACGCATCGCAAAGGCCAAAAAGGTATGCTAGAATGCCTCGCACGATGATGAAATTATGACCTTCCGGACTTGAAGAGCTGCAGTCACTGATACCTGAATTAAGAGAGACGGAACTCCACCCCCTGCAAAGATGACAAAACTTGCGATTGAGGAAGAAAGAGAAGAGGATCTGTTCGATTTTTTGACGACGGTAAAGTGCTACGCATGCGGGGAAGCTGAAGTTGACCGAAGTGCTGGGAATGTTGGTACACACGTAAATCATGTTTGTAATACGAAACATGCGCTAAGTATCTTTTTCACACCCTGCGAAGATTCCTGTGGTTGTGGACTCCGTCATGATGGCACTTTCCGCAAAAAAGCAATCTGAAGTAAAGGCATGGCAAGAGGAAATTACATCGTGTACACACACGGAAAATCTTAAGCAAGGAGAGCCGCGTCTACTGGAGGCAAATAGTAAGCGCGAACCGGACCGATCTGATGGTGCACGGAAAGCCTAACCTTTTGTTCTCATTTGATTAGCTTTGGCACATTGTAACAAATGTGATCTGAAAGAGAACCTCTGGCTCTGCTTAACTTGCGGCAATCTTGGCTGTGGCCGCCAGCAGTTTGGTGGCATAGGTGGAAATGGACATGGCATGCAACATTATGAGGAAACAATGCATCCCGTGTCGGTTAAACTTGGGACAATTACGCCAGAAGGAACTGCAGGTGAGACCCAACCTTTGTGTCTGCAGGGATTGATGTAAACTGACAGTTTGGTAGATGTATTTTGCTATCAGTGTGGCGAAGACCGCTTGGATCCACATTTGGGGAAGCATCTATCAACGTTTGGTATAAACTTAGCCAATCAGCAGAAAACAGAAAAAAGCATAACCGAGCTGGTAGGTCAGAGTATCGGAAAACATGTGGGTTAAGTCTCATTAATCTCATTGTTTGCTAATCCACTGACAGCAACTGGAGCAAAATCTCAAGTTTGACTTCAGTATGACTACGGAGGATGGGAAAATGCTGGAGCCTCTGTTTGGACCTGGTTACACCGGCCTTAAAAATCTAGGGAACAGGTAACCTGCGATATGCGTTGTGCCCACCAGGCTCCAGGCTCATTGTCGCATTTCTAGCTGTTACCTGGCGTCAGTGATGCAAGCTATTTTTTCCTTCCACCCGTTCGAGAACCGGTAAGGCTGGCGAAGATTCATTCTATCAATGAAGAAAGATGCAGAATCTCATTGGGACGACCGTAGATATCTGGGAATTGGCCAGGACCACGTGGCCACGTGCCGGGAAAGGCCAGCACATTGCTATCACTGCCAAATGGCCAAACTTGCGGACGGCTTACTCAGTGGTCGCTATTCACAACCTAAGGAAACCATAAGCGAGGACGGCGAGCAACGCGGCCAAGATGGCATTGCTCCATCAATGTTTAAGACCTTTATTGGAAAGGGCCACCCTGAGTTTTCGACAATGAGGCAGCAGGTATGTCTACAGTGGCCCCGCAACCTTGTTTCGCAGTGCATGTCAACAATTGTAACATTAGGACGCGCAAGAGTTCTTCCAGCACCTTCTTTCCGTCGTTGAACAAAAAGAGCGAGCTGGTGGTGTAGATCCATCTTCCATCTTTCAATTTACCGTTGAACACCGGTTACAATGTCTACAATGCCAGCGCGTGAGGTATCGGACTGAGAAAAACAGTTCTTTAACGCTGCGCGTGCCAGCAAAGAAAGTGGAAGATGGGGACTTAACAGAGGCAGACAAACCGCAGTATATGCCCGTTTCCTTCGACGAATGTCTTGCGACGGTCTTCAACGATGACATCAGAGATTACAAATGCCCACATGATAACGGCGATACTAATGCTACTTTGTAAGAGTAAAGAAATGCTGTTTATAGTTTGTTATATCCTCACCTTTTGCATTTGTATTATGCAGCACGACGAGATTTAGCACGTTTCCAGATACCTTGGTCTGCACAATGAGCCGTTTTGTACTCGGAACTGGTTGGGTTATGGAGAAACTAAGTAGGTGCTATCCGCAGGACAATTTCCATATGTTCCGAATCGGTTTTTATTAAATGACACACTGCTCTCTCTACTGCAGACGCGCCAATAACCGCACCGCTTGAACTGGACCTGGAGCGACTGCGTGGTCACGGACAGCAAGAGGGCGAAGAGCTCTTGCCGGAGGAAGCGGAAGGTAATGGCTTTCGATTTTGAGTCTTTCTGATTTTTGTATCATAACTCATTCATTTCCCGAATCTTACCGCACAGGCAGCAATGACGCAGGCCCACAAGTCGACCCAATTGCCATGAGCCAGCTGATGGCTATGGGATTCCCCGAAGTGCGATGCACCAAGGCCATATTAGCGACGGGCAATAATGGGGCCGAGATAGCCATGAGTTGGTTGTTTGAACATATGGATGATCCAGGTATTTCGAACTTGCGTTCACGTATAATTGTGGCCCCAAGTTAAAAAATGGCCTTTCGCATTAGACATAGACACACCTGTTAGTCTCAATGAACGCAAATCTGGTGCGTCGGAGGCGGAGATCCAGCAACTTACGGATATGGGCTTTACGGTGGGGCAAGCAAAGCGTGCGCTCAAAGAAACGGTATGGGTGCTGATATATTTGCTTTTGAATGATTTGTTTTCGTCGGTGCTGATGTTTATTCTGTTGTTTCCATTAGGACAACAACATGGAGCGTGCAGTAGATTGGCTTTTCAGCCATGCGGACGCCATGGATGCGGATGAAACCGAAACGTCTGGTAGGTTCACAATGGTCGGCTAGCATAGCGTGTTTGAGAACTGAAATATGCATTCTCCTCGGCAGCAACGGGAACCACTCCCCAACCGGACATGCGTCCAGCCAAGTACCGCCTAACTGCCTTCATTTCTCACAAGGGTACTTCCGCGCACTGTGGACATTACGTTGCTCATGTATACCGGGATGGGCGGTGGGTGCTGTACAATGATAATAAGGTGGTGGAGGTACCAGATGTAGGGAAAGCGGTTGGGGAGGCGTACATGTATTTTTATACCCGTGTTTGAATGCTTTCCAATCAACACGGCATGAGAAATGCGATTCCAATCAACATGCTAGAGTATAGTATGTACATTTCATTTATTAGTGTCCTAGATCCTCTCGCCAGCTATTACATTCAACTCTATGATTACAATGCCCATATCCTCAGTACATTTACATCCACTTCTCCAGGAATTGTATGCTGTCGCACGTCCTATCTCAAATTCACATCACAAGTATGCACAGAAAAATCCAAAGATCACAAAAACAAATAACCAAGGGGTCCTCCTGAATAGTACACGCATCTACCCATGGTTCCTCGTCCGTTTCGTAGCCCTCTTTACGTCTCTGACTTCGTCATTTCCGCTAAGGCCTCCTGAACCCTCTCCTTGACCTTGGCTAATTCCATACCCCGATCGATTTTAACAAATGTCCCAATGTCGAGGATGGACAATTTGCACCACTCTGGTGCGACGTCTGCGAGAAGCCCGACGTGCTCGCGGCTTTCCGCTATGTTTCAAGAGAAGATGATGAGTTCAAAATAAGCTTGCAATGCTCTTCAAGCAATTTGATGGGCACCTTCAGACAATGCAGATCTTAAACTCGTCGCAAGATGGCTTGTTACATCGCTCAGTGACATCACATTTTTCCCAGCAGAAACATACAGGCTGGATCGTGTGCATACACATCAGCGGAGATTTACAAGAACCACGCATCTGGCGCACCAACTTACAAATTTAGAGCTTGGGCCAAGTCTCCCAGTCTCGATAACATGGCTTTCTTTCTTATCTCCTCAGGAGTCAGCTTCTTGGAGTACATCTCCGATTCCATCTTCTTCCGTTCCTTCTCTCGTATCTGAGACCAAGCACACAGTATTAATATTGATCCTAATCCAATCGGCCAATGCGGCATACCCTTTCGAGGAGTGCCGCAGCTCGAGATTTTGGTTTAGTCGGCGGACCAGACGTAGCCGGTAAGGGATCTGCCGGTATAAGCGGCAGAGGACTGGCTTGATCCTGACGGCCAGCAGAGCCGTCTTTGCTCATGGAAACGTGTTCCTTGCCTTCTTCTGACTTTTTGGGGCTATGATTTTCTGGAGGGATATCTCCTTGTGCGGGACTCGTCGCGTCATGAGACGCCTAAAATGATTTTGGGGCTAAGAACAGAAGACATAATACGGAGACAGCGACGGAACCAAACTACCTTACTAGCCTCGTTCGCTCGTTTTCGCGCGACCGTCCTAAAATCTGGTGTCTCTTCCTTCAATTCTGGCATTTCAGCAGGTGTAATATCCGGTACAGCGCCTAGATTGAACTGAGGATGCCATGCGCGCAGTTCTCCTTCTTTGGCTGCGTTCATTGTGTATGGCAGCGTCCCCAAAAATTTCTGTCGCAGAAAGGTCTTAGGAGTTGCGCCGAATGCGGAGGCACAATTTGGTATGTCGTTTCGCCTCACCTCATGTTCAATATGCACCCGTTCCAATAACCTCTTGTGAAATTCGTTCCTGCGTTCGCCCATGCTCCTACTCGCTCCTGCAGCTTTATTCCGCATTGCAACACTATCTACAGCGGATGCGCTCGGCGCCACCAGTGTGCCGCCCCGGATGATTGAGGGTGAATCTCCCGCACTCCCTGGTGCGGCCTGACTGGCGATCTCCTCGTTTTCATCGGGAATGTCAATGCAAACAGATGCCACCTTGACGCCTCTATCAACAGTTTGGACCGCTTTATACCTATACGCCTCGGGGTACACCGCTCTGATTTGGGCCAGGTTCCGAAGTTCAAAATTCCTAAAAAAGATAAAACTTCTAGCTTAGTTGCCACTTACAGGTTACAGGGTTCAGCCTAAGGTACCTGTGGCACATGTTTTCAACAGCTTTCCGAATCTTGTGGTATACACAAGGCTGGTCTCTTCCCTTCATAAACATAATGGTATACTCGAGTCCGTGGAACATCTTCTCTAATAGCTCGTATTTGCTGGGCAGTATGAGCTTCCTCCCCGGAGTTATCAGATGCCGGTATCTTCGGTATGCAGGCCCTCGCCTGCTAGATGGAGACCCATCAATATCCTTCGAAGATGTCGCTAAAATGATGGGTCCACTCGGAGACGAGACAGGTGTGGCTAAAAATCTATAAATGGCACGTCAGGACCACAGAACAGTACGAGAAATTCTTCCGCACAGGGATAAAAAAACACACTTGAGGGTGGTGGGAGATTCGCGCGGATCATGCACTTCAGGTACTTTCTCCGACGTAGGGGAAGGAAGGGGCGACCGGACTCGCGGTCGGTCAATTCTGACAAATGATAGGGAAGACGGTGTTTGGCGACTGCCCTGTTGTCAGATGCAACCTCAGCTTATACCGAGCGACCAAACAAGTTTACCTGGCTGCTTTTCTCGCTGGTGTTCTTGGGATCTCCCCTGAGCTCAGCTGAGAACTATCTGTCTTGCAAATTTGATCAGAGTGCTCGCGCATAGAAATCGCTGCACTTTTTCCTTTTATACTTGTCGCGTCTCTGATGATGGCCTGATCGTCCATCGTTCCTATTGTGGGATCAGTATCCACGCTGGAGATCTTTCCGCGACTTGGTTAATGGGTGGGAAAGGTTATGGTTTAATTTCACGCACTGAGATGTTTTACCTCATCCGCTTGAAGGTGAACCGACGTATCCACCTTCGTTTTCTTTGGCGTCCTGAAGACGGTCATCTCTGTCCGCTGCTCGGCAGCATCACGCTGACGCTGTTGGATTATATGGATTAGACTACTATGGTTACCTTGACCAAATGGTGATAAAGCTGAAAAATGGCCGAACCCAAATCACCATACCTTTCCGCCAGTTTGCCCTGGGATTCTTTCTGTCTCGACAGTGCCTGCTGGGTCCACGACATTGGTCCCAAGACGAGGTTTCCTAAATATGGTTCGCGTAGGAGTGGCAATGACATTATCCACAGATTTCAGCGACTTTATAGCAGGAGTAAACTGATAAGACAATCTAGCAGGTGACATGAACATCGCGCGCCTCCTTACTTTGTCACGTCCTCCTGTATTCGGCTTTTTTGCAGATGGATAGAAGCTCTGCAAGGTAGCTGCTGGCGTGGTCCCGCCCTTGGTCATATTGGGGCAACCTTCAAACGAAGTGTTTGCGCCAATGGCTTGGAGATCCTCTGGGGAACGCTGTCCCCTCTATCGCCAACTCAGAGACGAGACGTTGTCACTATGTGTAGAAGTAACGCCACGGTTTTGACTACTGTAGTAAAGCTCCAGCCTACAAAGAAAGGCCACACAGGTATGCCGCAAGGGACAAAGTACTAATGAACACCTAGATGGAGAAAAGCTCAAACCACCAAGAACGCGTTGAACTTGATCTTAAAAGTCGAACTTGTCCGGACGCCATATTAGGCTAAATGACTTAGGTAATCCAAATCCAGGTTTGTCCTTCCATCTGGGCAATGCCGGTTCTTCTTTGCTAATAACCACTACATAAGCCTTTATCATATTCGGCAATTGAGTGTATTCGTCGATTATTTGGTTGGTACTATGGCAGTGGGCAGTACATCGTGGCCTATAAAAGGCCTTCCCTTTTTGTACTCGATATGTTTCTTCGTGCTCGACCTCCACTCCTTCGATCGTGCTCAAGTCTCTGTGAAAGGCCATTCAACCTCCCTTAATCTGGCAGACTGCTTGTTTTTGCCATGAATGCATGTATGCAATTCTCACCTACATGTCGGTCTTGCAGGAAGCGGGATTAGCACCCGGCTTTCAACCTGATATGGTGCCTCTCAGATCCAAAAACCATGTTGTGGTAAAGCGCTCAACTCTGTAGCGTGTAATGAATTTTTATTGGAGCCATGATTCACGATAAAGAGACAGTGTCTAGCAGATGCGACAAGCATAGCTTCGTTTGTACAATGATTGGAAGTCCTGGATGACCTCGAGTATAATCATTTTCGTGACGCTGATACATAGCGCCGCCCGCGTCCTATCTAAAAGCGTCCGCCGACAAGAACCTCAATATTCCACAAGTCAACACAGTATTGCCAAATTCCCCTCATAAAACCAGGCATCACCCGACCCCTTTGCCTATGTCCACCACTATTCGTATGGCGTGAGTTTTTGGCTGTCTTGTCATAAAGGACCGCGGTCGCAATTTGGACAGAAGGCAGCATCCCTTGAGAAACTTGAACATGCGCCCCTGGGAGGAGGATGAGGTAAGAGGTTGTTATTAGAGGATCTGACGATTCTGGCGACGTGGAAGCATCCCCTTCCTGCTGAGGTAGATATGAAAACGGGTGGACGGAGAGTGGCTGTAATCATGGTACATCAGGCATGAGCTCTTTGAATGAGGAACCAAGTAGGAACTCACGTATTGTATTATGCTTGTGGTCCCCGATCGTCCTCCACTTCTACGTCTCGGAGTTTTTGACTCCCCTTTGTGCTCCTCATCGTCCATATGTACCGTACGCAAAATCTGCCCTTCACGCAGGTTATACAGTTCCAAGCCCTCCGGATCCGTTTTCGCTTCTGCACCATCTGTAGCCGCTTTTCGGCGAGGAATTGACCCAATCGTATCCCCGGATCCCCGCGCTCTCGCACGACTTCGTAGTAATGCCTCACTCCCCGGCATTCCCGTCATTTCGAGCTCAACCTCGTAAATCTTCGGAGGCTCTTTAGGCATAATTGGTATCTCGCCTTCCCTCACCAATCTCAACAGCCGTAGTCGTTCTCGCATTCGACGAAGGAGGTACGTAGCAGACATACTTAGTAGCACAGATGACACAAATATCACCACAAACGTCGTAATGTCTTGCGAATCTATCCGAAATCCTGAGGAACCAGTTCCACTACCAGTTTCCTCTGGTACCCTTGTTTCGACTAGCAGAGTGAACTGTACGGCTGGTGGCTGTGTGAGTTGGCGCCTCTGATTTGCGGGAGCCGGGTAGCTGACACGGATAACGTAGTCTCCTGGTATCTGTCGGTAGTCTGACGCAAGGAGAACCAGAGTTCCAGTCACAGATGAAACAACCCCGATTGGCCGGATGGATATGATTGTGAGGTTGAGGTGAGCGCTAGAAGGGTTTGCAGAAACAGTGAAAAGTAGATCTTGGTAATGGAGGTCAGCATGATAAGACCGAAAAGATCTGAAAGATCTGCCCCACCTTTGTCTGGGGCATCGATGCTGGCTTTATAATCAACATATCCACCTAAAGAAACTGTTGCGTTTACTGGACTCGAAAGTTTCAAAGGGAGTCCTGCAATGCAAGCCCAGTACTACATTGAGCAATTTACTCAAGCATGCAAGAGATTAATTTTCAACTCACTCAGCGGGCATTGCGCAATGTTTTTTGACACTGCACCGGGGCAAGTCGCATTTCCCGCCATCGGCACCGTCGCAGTGCCTCCTCCAACATACACACACCGATCTCCACACCATCCGCAAAAGCTCCTGGCGAGACAGTCCGTGCAGTCATAGTAAAGCTCACACCACTGTTGCACGGCGCACGCATCTCTATCCTCGCGTGATGTCGTTGGTTTGAGACTGCTCGATGGCGCGGAAACGATATCGTTCAAGTTGAATCCATTGCTCCCGCCAGCTAGAAGCAGTGTACCATTGTTCGTGACTACCATCGAGTGACCTTTTCGACGAAAGGGAAAGCCCAATTGCTTGCCCACAATCTTGTTGCAGGCTGCAAAAGAGAGAGCACATGTAAGCATGATTTACAGAGATTTCGTTGCAATGTAGCAGATATTTTGCGTACCCAGGTCCAGCACTCTCACTGTCTCCGTAAAACATTCCATGTCAATATCATTCTGAACTAATAGAGGTCGTAAACCCCCAGTCACAACTCCCACATCGTCTCCGATATATTCACCACGATTCCAGATATTCATCGTGGTATAACTCTGCCATGCTCCAACGTACCATAGCCCTGCGTCGATGGAGTAGACGTAACTGGTATAGCCTAGTGTGGGTTCTCCTACATCAAACCGGTACCCTCCGATCAGGTGAAGCGTATTGGTAGCGGGGTGGTAAATGAGAGACGCTCCAAAAGTTTTGACTGGGGCCGATGGAAGCTGGGTCCACACACCTGCGACTGACACATATCCACATATATGAGACGAGAATAGTGGCTGATGCCAACTGATTGGCAACAATGAAGCAAATTAGCATACCAAGATCAAAGACATACGCTTCACGAGTTCCTCTTGTTGCGTCGTTGGTGTACCCACCAACTACGTATATCATAGGAGAACCGCCATTGCGCACTAGTGCAGTCGCAGCCCCGTTCAAGTTTCCGGGAGGCAAGTTTTTTCTGTCATTTATGTCGGAGCGTACTACAATGCGGTCCCAAGACTTTTTATCTACGACAGATAACAGCCGAATCAGCTATTCACGAACATCAGAACATTAAAAGCATTCAAACATAAAAGCATGTACCTGGGCGAAATCGCCAAAGATCATTATTTGAAATGCCGTTCGGATATGACCCACCGTACATTATGAGATTACCGTCATCGGTAACCCACGTCGAATGATACAGCCGGCCGACGGGCGCGCTACTCGTATTTGTTATCTGCTCCCACGTATTGGTAGCTGAATTACAGATATCAACGTCAGCCACGCTGTCATTGCATTCTGAGCAGCTCCCCTCGACTCACCTACATGGTAGGCAAACATATCGTTCAGTGGGGGTTGCCCGCGGATATCACTCTCACCAAACGTTATGTACATGGTCTAAAGGAAAAGGTCAACAATACGTCGTCTCGTGAGCATTGACGCAAAAGATCACATCACGCACATCTTGAGCTGGAGAATAGGCAGCAGAGTGAAACTCTCGTGGCGTAAAGGCCTGAAAGCCTGATGATGCTTCAATAATAAAGGGATATTATGATTATGTTCGTTGTGTTGCCTGTGAATAAAACCTTACAAAATTGGCAAAAATCTCCTCTGCGGTCACTTCCACACTGGCACACCCCTCCAAGGCACTGGTGCCCGCTGCAATCTGTGCTGTCGAAGCACATTTTGGTCCGCTCTATCAAGGGGCACACGGTCAACAACATGCCATCTGAGAATCAAGAAGCTCAAAAGTGAACGTACCCATGACCTTGAACATGGCAATAAACCCAGTTGTCGTAATGGCCACGTCCGATGTGAAGACGACCGTTATTGAGTTATTAGACGATGTGATTACGTCGTTGAAGCCCCTTTCCTTGCCCCTGTTTCCACATAAGTGTCCCAACTGTCTGGACTGGGTATCTGGTCCATCGTAGATATCAACAAAGTCCCAGCCGCATTCTGTGTGAAAGAACTCGAATTCGAGCTAGGTTCAGAAGCAACTGCTTTATATCAGATTGTCTCATGTGAGCAGACCATATATGTAACGATAACTACCGATATGATTTTCCCCTTATCAGCAACTATCTGCCACCGGCAATTCATTTGGTTCCGGTATTGAACATCCACAGGCGGCAAGGTCCAATCGGACGGTTGAACATTTGCAGGTACTTCTTTCCAATATGAGGTTATGTAACCGGTTGTCTGTCCGGTAATTGGCTGTAATCCGTCGCAGTAATGACCGGCCCTAGGATTCATCGATGTGCTCTCGCGACGTTGCAGGTGTTGAGGGGAGAGAGCGGCTTTGGTAGATATAGCACATGTTCGGGCAATAACAGACAGTATAAAGAAACTGATACAAATGATGAACATGCTGAAATCGCAATATGATTAGGGGACAGGGAGCCCTCCGTCCAAAAATTCTTGGATTTGTTTTGATCAACACGTGCTTTTTATTTGCTTTGGGGATTTGGACATTATTTAGAGGAAAGTGAGACGACTGTTCTGCTTCGGATAGCACTTCACACATCTCTTCGAACTCGTCTGCAGAACAAGATAACCGTCTGCCAACTACTGGTGTCGGAGAGCTGATTACGTAATCCGACACGTACTCATACAGCTCGACCTGCCAGCCAGGTGTTGCAAGTAGAACATGCACTAATACCATCAGCCGAACGCTTTGCACAATCCTGGCAGGTCTACGACCTTACCAAACCCTGTGGTAGCGTAGGTCACCACGTCCGAACTCTCCCCTCCTCCCATTTCCTCCCCCATCCGCAAATATAAAGGTAACCTGTGTTCATCAGTAATGGGACAATTATGCGCAGATCCCCAATATCTGGATAGTTCGGAGCTCGCATTCACTGGTAGAAATGCTGAGGAGGAGAGAGGGATGGAAGATTTAATGGGGGGGTATAAAGGCGGCGGCGCACTATATAATTCCGGTGATTCTGATGAAGCATCCGAGCCGGGCATTCTCTTGGAAATGTCAAAACAAAATGTCAAGACAAATGGTTAGCGATATGATAGAAAGAGAGAGAACAATTGAGAGGGGAAACCGAATTCGCACCATGTGCCGTCGGTCACTAGCGAAATGGAGCAGATAGTCTTTGGCAGGCACAATGCGGAACTTTCTAAGTAAGCAGTTTGAAGTTAGAGATTTTCAAATTCAAAGACTTGACCCGGACTCACCTTGGAAATCGGGAAGACCTAAAACTCTCATTTATATAATTTGAAAAAGGGGTCGGGAAGTCTAGCATTGTATCGAAGTCATACACCATGGTACTTGGCGCATTTTTAGGTTTCACAATAGCAAAAACATGGTAGTCCTGGCAGAAACCGCGATATGGCTCAATGAATGACCATCGTACAGTTTCGGCGGAACCCAGCATACCCAAATAATTCTTCCATCCTCAGCGACTTTGCCAGACTTTTGCTTGTGCATCTCAACCTAGAAAGAAAAGGCAAGATAAGAGGTATCAACCTTCAAACTATGAGTATAGAGAACAAGTATTTGGTGACTGTCACTATATATCTCGTCATTCTACAGAGAACGACGACCGGCCAAGCACAAGCTGTGTTTCGATCTCTCTTCACCCCAGCCCGGCACCTACCCATCCTATCTCACTCGATACGAAAACGACAAAGGTTTCTGCGACATTGGCATTGGACACGACAGTGGCAATCTGAGGCAAGTCACTAGATGCTCCCTCTTCGATAAGCCGGCAAAAGTTATAAACGTTTTCTTCACAATAGCACCTAGTGTACGGAAATAAGGAGAGAGCTGCTTCACTGGACGACATGGCCATCAGTACGAGTGAGTCGCAACGCCCACCAAGAGCAATGACGGTGGCTTAGCAAGTAATGATCGTGAGGGTTTGGTAAGCAAGCTTTCCATTACGTTCCTGTTTGCGTGAAGGACATCGTCTTGTAAGTTGCCCCACCAAGTCAGCAGACTATCGCCAAAATGCCAAAGACGGTAAGTTCGGAATATCATAGTCTGGAGTTCAGAATCCAGTTCTCACCGTCTGGTACACCACGTTACGGTTATGCACAATTAGAAGGGTGTGTACGCGACCAATATCACCAGAAAGCGAAAGAAAGAAAAGGCCAGAAAAGTTCCTGTAAAGTTTACAATTGATTGCTCTGTCCCAGCGAGCGATGGGATTATAGATGTTGCTTCGTTTGTAAGGCTCCCAATGCATGCGTTACTTGAGACACTACACAATCACCAAACACCTTCCGATATAGGAAAGATTCTTGCGTGAGCGTATTAAGGTTGACGGCCGCACTGGGAAGCTAAGTGACGCGGTAAATGTCACTCGTACCAATCACTCCATTGTCATTGAGGTGCTCCCCGGCGTCAGGATCTCCAAACGCTATCTCAAATATCTGACAAAGGTCCGTTGCTAGCTACGTCCACAGCCACTATTGAGTCTAAATTCATGTCCGCATTTGTACCAGAGGTTCTTGAAGAAGAATCGCCTCCGAGACTGGGTCAGAGTCATTGCAATCAGTAAAAACACGTACGAGCTTCGCTATTTCAATATTGCGGAGCCTGAGGGTGGGGAAGGGGTAGAAGAAGAATAATTCCTCGCCATTGTTAAAGTAGCCGATTTGAAATTGAAAGGAGCAGATGTATCGTTGGAGCTGGCCAGCCGTTATGATGGTTCATGTTAAATATTAGTCGATTGCTACTGTGTGCATCCTTAGTCAATCTCTGCTAATTTTGAAGCAGGCATCAATACGCAGGTTCCTATGTCATCTTTATCAAAAAGACTTCATGCTGATCGAGGCTCCTCCTCATGAAGCGTCTGAGATGAAGGCAACTCATCCGGATGGAGCAGTCGGAAGCAGGATTGATCTTGTCGCTTTGCAATCTCTTTCTAATACAATGCTGCTGCAACTATTCATGACTAAATGCCAAGACATTATCATACCATTCCCACTTCCAACGAGGAAATCCGAACTGGCTTGACGAGGATTACCTAATGTATCCACGTGATCGACTCCAATGTTGGCTGGCGTTCTGCTTGGCGTAGGCGGATTTCGAGTCATCTCCACCATTCCCAACATCATCAAGGGGTTGTAGACTGAACAGAGTCCTCCCCTTCCTACCTAATAAGAAAGCATATTACGTTGAGTGCCCGCTATGACCTCACCCGAAGTTCACCAGTTGGTTTGGGGCCGTCCCATTTCTTGCCACGCCTTCAACAAGGACCGCACACGTAAGTGGTTAACTACACGGTCGCCTCACGCGCCAACAACCATGTTTTCCGCCCACTCCTCCACTCACCTCACGCGTACTCGAATGCAGAGGTTGCCATATGCCCGAATGATAATACCGTTGAGATTTACCAACGGAATGGAAGCGGGTGGGAGCTGACGGAGACACTCACTGGGGTAACTGTTTCGCGCTCCTATCCCTAAAAGGTTATTTAACAGCGTGTGACATGCTGACAGAGATATCCTTTGATTTTTCTAGCATGACCAGCTCGTTACCTCAATAGACTGGGCTCCCGAAACCAACCGTATTGTGACTTGCTCTCAGGACCGTAACGCCTATGTGTGGACCTGGAATCCTACTGAGGGAAAATGGGGTCACAGCCTGGTGCATTTGCGGATTAATCGTGCTGCCACTTATGTCAGATGGAGTCCCAAAGAGAACAAGTTCGCGGTGGCCAGTGGTGCTCGCTTGATTTCGATCTGCTATTTTGAGGAGGAGAACAATTGGTGGGGAAGCAAACATATCAAAAAGCCTATTAAGAGTACAATTTTATCGTTGGATTGGCATCCGGATAATATCTTGCTCGTTGCCGGTTCTACCGATATGAAGGTCGGTTAATTATACGTGCTGAGAGATGCAAAACGAGCACTAACTGTCATGAATTTTCGAACAGACACGTGTGTTCTCCGCGTACATTAAAGGTGTTGACGGGAAGTAAGTCAATCCACTCGTTTACATCGATCCATACTCCTCCGTTCACACTCACGCCTCCCAGAGCCTCAAACCCTGTGTGGGGGGATAAGCTTCCGTTGCATACCCTGTGTGGGGAGTTTGACAACGATGGTTGGGTGCACAGCGTGGCATTCTCTCCTAGCGGAAATTATGTTGCATGGTCCTGTAAGTGCTAACCTGCTCCTCTGTGCACGTCTGTCATCAGCATGTAGCTTACGCGGAGTTGATCCCTGTGCAACAGCTCACAACTCAGTCGTATCCCTTGCCAGTGGACCGAATAACCCCGTTATCACCATTCCGACGAATGCCCTGCCGATTGTGTCCATAATCTTTGCGTCAGAAACAAGCATTATCGGAGTTGGTCATGACTGTGTGCCTTTCTTATTTGCCCAGCGCGGTGGCCAGTGGTAGGTAGCTAATTGGAGAACGAACAAGATCGATGCTCATATCATGTAATGATCTTAGGGAGCTTGTTGGAAAGCTTGATCAAGGTCAGAAGAAATCCGTCGCAGCCAATAGCGCCTTCCGAGTATTCCAGCAGATGGACAGCAGGGCTCAACAAACAAACCAAGACGTGGAACTCAATACCACGCACCAAAACACGATTACGTGAGTAACGACAAGATGTGATGCTGATGAGTGCTAAAGGTCTCATTTTTCATTGCACATTCTCAACCCCTAGATCTGTCCGTCCATATGCCGGGTACCCTGACAATGTTACCAAATTCTCGACCAGCGGCGTTGATGGAAAGCTTGTTATTTGGGACGTGTTGGCCTCTGGTGTCGCTGGGCTTAGGATTTAGGGGATCCTCTCTTCTTCGCGAATGGCCGTTTGAGATTGTGTCCCTGGAAGTACCCTAAGGAAAAGATCGAAGAATTTGGAACTCATTTATTCTATTCTCAACTGGGCGCACTTCGTTCCATTGCCTTGAAATGTGCCGAGTTTTTAAATTCTGAATACAAAGTAAACATGACATGCAGAGCTTCCACGACATGGGTTGGTGCAGCTCCCTTTTGTGAAGGATATGAAGATTGATTTTTACTTGAGGGCTGGGATGGACTGGAAATTGGTATGTCGAGGATGAGTGACAAGAATGCGGCGAATTGTGAGAGGGGAAGGTCAATATCTGCAGTCGGTAGATTAACCTACAGGAACCCCGGCAAAGGTTAGTACAAGTGAAGTCTTCGCAGATTGCCTGCAGTACGTCCCACCTTTGCCAATCCTTCTTCAACCTGCGACGGCCAGACCTGCATCAACTCTTCTATGTCGGGCATTCGTTTTGTATAATGAACAGTTTGGGGTGGTTTGTGTGCATGCAGGTCTCGTGTGTTCTTGATCCATGCATCAATAAGCTTTGGATTTGTTTTGAGATTTATAGGGTCAATGGAACGAACGGTTGTTGGTATTGGTGCTGTGGATTTGGTTATCGCGCGGAGATGGAGATCGAGAACTACGGTTTGGTCAAAGTTTAGACATGCAAACAATGCAGATGGCAAGTATTATTTTATTACCGGTGGGGTCAGATTGCTCGGTATTGGGTTCATCTAGAGAAAGCAGTCCTAGCTGATCCGGGTTTCCGTCCGGGCGAGGGATCTGAGAAGAGTGTGAGGTTAACAGCCAGAGATATGCCACTTGAATTTGGACTCTGTACCTTGATGAAGGCATCAATATCCCCGATTGCTGGAACATAGTCCGGAATGAAAGACTTTAATTCCGTTTCAAGCTCCTGTTCTTGGGGTTTATATCGTTGGATATATTGAAAGAGCTCTTGAAGTTCGTCGTTTACGGAGAGCTCTTTGTAAGATGTGCCACCGCCGCCGAAACTGCTTGTTCGGCTGAGAATCACCATAAATGTCTCAATCATGCCTTGTCCTAATGACAAGACATTTCAGGATGTATACCTTTTCGTTGAAAATCCACCATGGCCGCCGGTTGAGAAGTCGTCGTCATTCTCGTCGTAATCCTCGTCGTCGTCATCTAGCAAGCCATTGGTTCCTCCTACTGTCACCCCGTCGAGATCTTGTTTTTGTCTTCCTAGACCTGTCCGACCGGCAGGGGCTGCGGACGGTCGTCCGGGGTGGGATGAGATGCCCTATGAGATATGGGATCCGTTGAGAACACGCCAAAGTAAATCCAAGATACGCATACGTACGGAAGCAGGAATGTCTTCCTCATCCTCCTCCTCATCTTCGTCATACTCTTCATCACTTTCCGTCAAGTTTGCAGACGGTGGACTGTCACCGCGTTCGTTGTGTCCTTCTGTGCGATGAATTACAAAAGCATTCTGACACCTAATGGAGGAATGATCCTTGACGTACCCATTGATCTTGACTGCACGCTATCGTTCTCCTCTGTCCTGTCGATAGGTGTTGGAAACTCCTCAAGTTCCCTCCCAGTAAGCTCTAGGATTTCGTCGTAGTAATTATTCGTCACTTTGGTTGTATGAAGCTATTGGAGAGGGTAGCAGTCATTTAATAGGTTTTACCAAGGCTGCAAATGATGAAAGATCGATAACATACTGCGTAATCGAGGTCGTCCTGCAACCCGGACATGCCACTTTTATAGAGTTTTCTTGTTGAGGCGTCTTTTCGGGAAGAACATAGGCGAGAGGCAGCCTCTTCTGTTTTAAAACAGGAATATCTTAAATAAAGGGAAACATTAAGTCCATGCAGACAAATCGAGGCAAATCGGCAGCTTGTAATTACTTTATGAACCTGGAATACTTTACAGTTCACGATCTAGCACGCAAGCAGCAACGAGCGACCTGACGCGTCGAGTTGGTTTAGGTAAACCATCATTTAAACTGGTCACATGCGTCGGAGATCCAAGACTTGGACCATTGCACTTTCCTGGCACCCGTCCTCGCCAGAAAATGAATACGTACAGCACCATCGAACCCACCGTCATTGACGAAGACCTTCTTCGAAAGGCCGTAAATGAGCAAGCTTCACCTGAGATCGCTGATACGGCAAGACGGGAAGGTATCGACCCATCAGATGTCACAACCTTGAGATTAGATTATAAGAGTAGGTTTGGAGGGTGAGGGGTTAAGCATACAGTGCCCTAGTTTACGTATGTAGCATCCGAATAAACGGCTAATACTGTCTTCTTTATCATCCTTAGATATCCTCAAGATCGATAATCTATGGATGTTTGAAAATCTCACCAAGCTTCAAATTGACAATAATATCATCGAACGGATAGAAAACATCAGTTTCCTCAAAAACCTGCAATGGCTTGGTTGGTGAGATGGCCGATTATTCCTCCTGAGTTGTGGAACTCCTCATGCTTGACGCATGGGTATTGATCGTGGTCCGTAATTCACCAGATCTGTCGTTTAACAATATATCAAAGATCGAGGGGCTGGAGGGTCTTACGAAATTGACGGACTTGACGCTGTACAATAATCGAATATCACGAATTGAGAACTTGGATGATCTTGTCAAATTGAACGTGCTGTCGCTGGGGAATAACGGGTTAACAGTTTTGGAAAATGTACTCGTGGCATTACTCTTGCGTTGACCTGCTTTGCTTTCAACCAACGCTCTTCTAAATTTCAGGTGAATTATCTGGCCAAATTTGAGAACCTTCGCGTCCTCAACCTTTCCGGCAACACAATATGCAGAAGTCAAAACTATCGCCACTACATCTTAGCACACATCCGCGGCTTACGGTATTTGGATTACAGACTTGTGGATGATGATTCGGCATGTACAAAAGCTTTTCCAAGCACAATATTTTTCAACCATTAATATTTCATCCATAGGTAGCAGCAGCGAAGCAACAGTACATAGACGATATCATTGCACAGGAAGAGGAAGATAAGATAGTAGCAGCCAGAAAAGAACAAGAAAAGAAGAGAAGTGAACAGGAGGAGTTATATGAGGTACCAGCGACCTGCATTACCTCTACCTACATCCACCTTAACGCGTCCCGTTCACACAACAGTCGGCGCATATCCCTTCAATAGACAGCCTCTTCAACAGCCTGTTTACCGAAGATCCTGACTTCCAACGCTTTGCACCGATCATCACTCCTGAACCCTTTACAGACCTTCGTGAGGAATACCAAGCCAAATTTGACGTGGTCATCAACGAGCTCAAGCATTTTGTCCTGAAACGCTCTACCGAAAAACAGGAAGAGATGGAAATGTTTAGAAAATGTTTGATTGAGACCAAAGAAAAGACCGATGCTGAAAGTTGGGGGAAGTGTAAGAAATTCTCAGGAATTAAGAAGCGGGTATGTTTATGTCCGTGCTATTTCTAAAGTCTCTTGCTTGTAGTGGTTGATAGTGGGTACAGTTACTATTACAGATACAACAGTCCAATAATCCTGGAGAAATACACAACTTATTTAGAAACCTCCGCGAAGAGAGCAACGCACTGTCCGATGGTCTCCTATCTCATGAAATGACGCTTGTAGAGCAATTCGAGGTATGTCGAGGTTGAGAATGATTGTACCTTCTACTCTCTGACCAATTCAACCAAAAGGACGTCTTAAAAGAGTTTGAACGCAACTATACTGAACTCTCGTCAAGCATAACTGAAACAGGCGCATCCTCATTTGCTCGGTTACGGGAACTTGAGAATGAATTCCACGAGCGACTGAGCGAGGCAGTACTTGCTGCGGTAGATCGTTTCATCAAAGGCGATGTTGCACGAGATATTGACAAGGATAAAGAAGGAATGGGATTCGCGGATGTTGAGGATGAGCTGAGAGATGTGGGTCGTACAGCATTTCAGGCCTTGCTTAATGATCCTCACACACTCCATTAGATCATGAACGACAAAGATGCCCTCGTTAATGCTATTAACAGTTCGCACGACTTCCGTCTGGGTAAATGCGACCATCAGGCATGTGGCTACCTTCCTTTCGAGTATGGCTACCTTTAATTAGCTGGCTTGCTAACCTCGGCTGAGCAGGAGGATCTACTGGTAACAGGTGTTGCAAAGGAGCTGGAGAGAGTAATACAAACAGCTCATGAGCAAGAAATCGTACGAAATCGTGATAGAGTATGCGAGATAATTGCGTTCTTAGACAAATGCAATGCAGAAATTGAGATTGCCGAAGAAAATGCGTATTAAGCATGTTTGTATGCTAGTGAGATGTACAACAGATGTCCTCTGCTTAAGAATTGTTCCAAAGCTCGCCCTATTTGCTTCATCTAGAGTCTCTTGTTAATCACGTATCTATTGTTCTGGGCTACATCTCGAGCAGAAACAAGTCGCTTCCTACTGAGAAGTTTGCGGGATATTCCCTTCCTGTTCATAAACTGTTCCCTCTTTAAACCACTGATGCGCCTTGCTCAACTTCCCCTCCATCTCTTCAACAGTTGTTTCACTACAGATCGCGACAAATCTAGCGCAAGTATTCATAGTGTTAATATCGAATCCCTTGTAGACACTGCCGGGTTTGGCAATCGGGAAATATTGTACATTTGGAACGGGACACTTGGCATCTGCTGATGGTAAGGTAACGAGCTTTCCAAGCTGGCGGGGAATCATCAAGTCCGCTACAGCGAACCCTGGACTTTGAGCGATTTTTGCAATGTCGAGGCGATTGTGTCGGAGTGGAAGGCCAATGCTGAGGCGGAATTCTATTTCGGGAAATATAGATTCGGTGTGATTCTGCGATGCTGCTAATGAACCACCCTCGGCAGCATTGATCAAGAGTCCGATACTACCGCCCGGTCTTCTGGCAGCGATTTCGCAGAGCACAAACTCCTGTGTTCCAGCTTTATCAACTTCAAACAGCTCTAAATGAAAAACCAGGTCCTCTGGAGTTGGCAGAGCCTTTAAAATTCTTTCCGTCGCATCGAAGAGGTTCTGCCACCTCTGGTCTTTCCGAGGTATCAGCACGTTTCCGTAGGCTTCCCCCATCGTAAATTCCAAATTCGTTTTCAAATAAACAAATGGCCAAATTAACTGCAATGCCCCATTTTTCGCATATCCATTGACATGATACATCTTTCCCTTGACAAACTCTTCTATTATCATGTCTCCTGAGTAATCCATGCACTTTCCATGCTCATCTATACCGTCATAGAACTCGCTCTCGAGATACCTTTCCAAATCCTGCGGCGATTTAACAACCCGAACACCGGCAGATGCGGATCCCAGAGTAGGTTTGATGATAACGGGGTAGTCGTGCGTTTTGACAAAAGCCAAGACATCACAAGGCGAATAAACTCTTGCAAAATCCGGAACAGCAAACCCGCTCTTCCTGATAGCCTCCTTCATAGAATGCTTGTCTCTAAACAAGAGGGCATCCTCAGGCGCTAAGCCTGTGTTAATTCCCAGCAAACGACGAAGGTGAGCCGCTCGCAAGATTAAATCCTCTTGCTTGGTGTAAATCCTATCGATCCGGTACTTCTCGTGAAGTTTGAGCGCATGTAATTCCACCATACCGTTTGTGGTTGGATTGGAAATCTCGACATAGTCGAGACATTTTGATTTATCGGCTTGAGAGAGAGCACCTTTGCTCGTTATTATCAGAAGACTCACATTGTCGGCAGGGGACAGAAAGGAGGTATAAGTGACTGTGTTGTTGACAGTCGGTGTCCCTACCTCATCCAAGATGAGGACATGAATATCTTGCATTGGAATATCCGTGGACGGCATTTGCAGCTTCTCGTTTATGGTTTTCAAGTTTACTATTGCTGTTGAATTGAGCTGCTGCTTCCGCAAACTGCAGATTGCTTACATAAGGTCCTTAGATCACATGACTTGATTGCGAAATGTTTCCCTCCCCACCATCTTCTCATTTCGGCCTTGTCCACACATTAATCACTCGCTGTTGAACATGGCCGAAAAGAAGAAACTACGCATAGGCGTTTTAGGTACGTCAGGACCACCATTATGGTTGTTGAACGATGTGTCGTTTGACTTGCTTAGGCAAATCGCAGCCCTCCAAGGTGCATTTTCGGAACATATTCACCTCCTCAACAAACTCAAGGCGGACGTCGCCGAAGCTATCCAAATTAGAACCAAAGAGCAGCTGCAAGATCCGTCACTCGATGCGCTCATTCTTCCTGGTGGAGAGAGTACGACAATGGCTCTGGTGGCGGAACGATCTGGTATCATGGAGCCCTTACGAGAATGGGTGAAGGCTGGGAAGCCTGTTTGGGTAAGGTTTGGGTTCGAGTTTTGTCATTGGGGCAACTACTGAACCACCTCTGAACGAACAGGGAACCTGTGCGGGAATGATCCTGCTGTCTAACACAGCACATCGAACAAAAAAGGGCGGGCAGACCCTCATTGGCGGCTTGGATGTTACCGTAAAGCGGAATGCGTTTGGCGCCCAGGTTGATTCTTTCGTTGCAGATCTGTCAGTACCTGTGCTTCCAGACAACGAGCGACCTTTTTCCGGTGTGTTCATTCGAGCGCCGATCATCGAGTCTATAGATCCCGAAAAGGTCAGCGTTGTTGCAAGGGTAAATAAGGGGATCGGTGAGGAAGAGTATGTGGTCGCTGTGCGACAAGGAAATATACTGGCCACTGCCTTTCATCCAGAGTTGACGGACGATGATAGATTCCATAGGTATTACATAGACTTGGTGCGGACGATAGCATCGACAACTCCAGCATAATGTCGTCTGGTAATCTGTAGTAGACATCTTTTTTTATTTGCATTGTTACTGTTTCATCAAATGTGAAGTTGTTCCAGCGCTATGAACACACACCAGAGGCTCTTATGAATATTCGAAATCAAGTGTCACAATGCTATAAGCTAACTAAATAAAAAGGATAATGCGATCTATATCGATTGGAGCAACCATCTTACAACTTTGACCTTTTGGGTGCATTGCCGGGATCGTTTGCACGTGGAACGCCCAACTCAACAAGCTTTCCGAAAGCAGCAGCGAAATCCTTGAAAAAGACATCCTGATCCTTGGCATACTCTTTGGCGATCTTGGCAAACTCAGGGTCCCAAAGGACTGCCATATCGGCAGGAAGCATCATCAATTCGTCATCCTCATCGACATACTGGAGGGGACCGTCCCATTGCTTCTTGCGCCAGTCAACTGTGGTCAGGAGCTTGAAGTATTGGTTGGAGAAGCGAGTGGGGGTGTATGTCCAGGCTACAGGTGAAAAGCTCGATTAGTGCCACGAGTAAGCGATTGCAATGGTCAATCACAGTACGTACGTCCACTGTAACCGCTGCGGTCACTGTGGCAGCGACCAAGCGAGTGAGCACCGATCAGGGCAACAATCTCACGGTCGTTGAAACCCATACGGTAGAAAACATCCCGGACGTGATCTTGTCCTTGAGCAGCGTCGGGAAGGCGACCGTTTGGCGGGACATCCTTGGCGGTCAGATTTTTGGGATCCTTATCAGTACGCCCAGCCTTCCATGGGATTTGGGGTCCACCCATAGCCTCAATAGCAGTGCATCCGGCCAAGGTCCAAAGGTCAGCGTAGGTAATCCAGGGGTGCTTCTGCTTAATGGGCTCAAGGAATGCGCGAGCGTGTTCGAGACCGGCGTTCGCACCGTCGTTGGATTCGGGGTTAAATCGCATGGTCGCACCGTTGGAGCCGCCGGTCCTTGAGTGCTTGTCCTGAAGTAACAGTCAGCCCAAAGCCCACACAATATTTTCCCGTCAGAGAGTACATACATAGGTTCCACTTGCGTGCCATGCCAAGCGCACAAAGACGGGACCGAGTGATCCATCGTCATAGTCAGGCTTCTTGAGGATAGCCTTGATATCCTCCTTCACTTTACCGTAGTCACCAGCCATTGTTGCTCTCAAAAGAAATTGAATGTCTTTTACAGCTGCGGTCGTCAACCCAGAAGTCAAGTCGGGAAACCTGCCAATGATTCTTTTATCAGCACTCCGGCAAAATCCGAGAGATGAAGCCCAAAATAGCATTCACGTGTGATCACGGGCCTTCAACAGGTGCACGGCATCGGAGTCACTACGTAAGCAATGATCGACGTGGACAAGATTGGCTTCAGAGTTAATCACCTACTGCTGAGACCTGCATAATTTACTTCACAAAGAATCCGATGGCAGCAACAGACTCCAGCTCGCATGACACGCTTAGTCTGGCCTCCCTCATCGTATCCAGCTTTACTGGTGATGAGCTCAGAAATGGCAAATACCATGGACACGGCACGGCTCACTTCTCTTCGGGCAATACCTATTGCGGTCCTTTTGCCAATGGTTATATGGATGGAAGCAATGGGACGTATACGTGGGCAGATGGTGTTCGTTATGAGGGAGATTTTCACAAAAACAACTTGAGTGGGGTGGGGTTATATGTCTGGTTAGTCGGTGCTTCTTTCAAGAGGTTGAAGACGGAATTTGATTGAGATTTGTTCCAGGAAGAATGGATGTCGATATGAGGGGCAGGTACTAAATGGCCTTCGACATGGCAAGGGAGTTTTTTATGGTGAGCCTGTATCAAAAGCTTGGTACAATGGTGATTGGAAGGAAGGAAAGGTGCACGGGCAGGTATTTATAAACATTGCGTTAAGCAGCTTTCTGTCCCTAACTCTAATATAATAAGGGAAAATTAGTCTACAATGACTCGGATACTTCCAGTTACGAAGGTGCTTGGTTAAATGGCATGAAGCACGGCCGTGGTCTAATGCGTTACGCATCTGGAAATGTTTACGATGGCGAATGGGAACTAAATGTCAAGAACGGGGTGGGTACAATGACGTGGAGTGACCGTGGGGAGGAATATACGGGTGAATGGCAAGTAGGTAGTGTGACACGAACTGGGCATTGAAGTGACAAAAGTTACTGATGTAACGATGATATTGCAGAATGGAGTTCCAAATGGATATGGAACCTACACGTGGACCATCAAACTTCACAGGCCGCATCAATTTCCTGTACAAAATCGCTACGATGGTATGTATATTTAAAAATTGGGTACGACACCCATACCCTCAGGACAAAGAAAATGAACTTTGACTATGTAGGACAATGGCTGAATGGTAAGCGCCATGGTCACGGCATATTTCAATATGCGAACGGGGCGAGGTATGAGGGAGAATGGATGGATAACATGAAGGTACTGACCAAATCGGCCGTATGGAAATGCGAGGAGGTCATATGGTCCTTTTTGATTTTTCGATCATGCTGACCTGCTGTTTAGCATGGTCAAGGTCGTTATATATCAGAAAATGGTCGGAGTTATGTCGGTTTATTTCAAAATGATCGACCTGTTGGAGACATGCCAAAATACCAGAATGGTAAAAATCCCCTTCAGTATTCGCTCAAAAGTGCAACCAGCTAATCCGCTAAAAAATACCTTGTTTGAATGATACAGATTGCCCTTATATGCTCCAAATTTCCGATATAGTCTCCGCATCCTCACCAACCGCCGATCTTGGATCTAGTGATGACCAACTAAAACAAATTAATAATGTTATCCTAAGATATATCGGTAATTGCCTCTTTGACGATACATAATAGCAACGCATCTCAATTCCTACTATATATTTGCAGGTGAGTTGCGATCTATATATCAACACTATACAGCCATCGGTCGCAATGCAGAAGAATTGGCAACATCAGCGGCCATGACTCGCGTACAGTTAGTGCGATTGCTGAAGGACTGCAAGATTCTAGAAAAAGGCGCAACATTAGGTATTTGGCCGGCGAGAGTGCAATTGTTTCACAGTATACCGAAATCTTCAATATCTAGCCGATATGGATAGAGCGTACGCTATCCAATTCAAGGACCACCCCTGCTTTGAGCAGAGAGTCAAGGTGTGGCAACGCTAAGCAGATGATTGTATGCAAATTTATAATAACTTTCTTCTCCTCATCTTCTATAGCAACCTCATAATCCTTCCGAAATGTTCATTCTGTACGATTTCATTTCCTTCCTTCTTCGAGTATCTCATTTGATTTACAAAGGACGCAACGATCTCTCTATACACGACCGTGGATTGGCTGCAGAATTGGCATATCTAGTCAAAGAAGATATTTTGCCATATTTGAGACCAGATGTAGTGGCCGCGAAGGCGGAAAAGAGGGCTGGGGACGGGGAGATGCAGTTGGAGTTGCTGATGGTAGGCGCTGCTAGTACCTATTTCGTTGCGTACTCATATTCAACACATCCATGGCTGGCAGGAATTCGAAAAGCAGTACGGTCATCAGATCTACGCTTTATACGCTGATAAAGCCCGTCACAAGAGTCATGGTTTTAAAGAGCCATCCCTACGCGATGTTACAATGACAATCCGAGAGGTTTTACTTATGATGAAGGTTGGAATTGTTGTTGGAAGATAGCCATCGCATGGACGGAGGCTTACACGGTCACAGGAATACGGTCTTCTTCACGAAGTACCAACAGGTCCACTAACAATTGCACGAGTAATAAGCGTGCTTGCGAAGGAAATGCCATATGTCGAAGATGGCGGATACTATAATCTGGAGTTTGAGGTAACTACAGAACTTGTTGTGCCAATATGTGCGATTCAAAGTGACCCAGTTGCATCACTACATAGTTGGTGCCATACGAGGTATTCGAGCTCATATACGCATGCGCAATGATACAACATGAAGACTACTATCGGGATTCGGTTCTTCCTCTCTTGAATAACACGCACGACTGCCCCAGCACTAGCCCTGAGGTTGACCCATTGGCTGAAGAAACTATACAATCGGCGGTAGCTCAAGCACACGCAGAAGGGACACCTACTGGTGAGGCCAGTAGTGAACCTGGACAAGGCGGAGAGGCAGATGAAGGAGGTGTCAATGTTGTTGAGGAGGTTGAATTCGACGCTCCAGATCGTGAGTAAATGCTTTGGGGCTGTTATTTCATTGGAAGGGCATCTCACAATATTTACCAACGCAGCCCAAGTCGCACTACATACTCTCAAATCCCGAATATGCGAAATATTTAACAGCATCCTGACCGCACACGACCAATGGAAACAGCGAAATGCCATCATCGAAAAGATAACGGAACGTGAGGCAGCGGACAAAGTCTGAACCAGAAAATCAAAATCACAATAGCACATAGTAAATACAAAGTCATTCCCGCTACCCTAGCTTCCTCTTGAATCTATTTAATGCCTCTAATGGCCCGTGTCACAGAAACGCCCAATACAAAATATACTATACAGACCCCAAATATGAGCTTATATCCAAAACATTCAACGCCCAATGATTCCCCCCAAGTCTGCCCTAAATCCCGCACCCATCCCGCGACAGGGGTGGCCACTATTTGTGGTAGAACGAGCGCCGAATGCCACAGACTCATGTCTTTCGCTGCGTCTTGCTCATTTGGAAGTACATCGATAAGCATCGCAAATTCAACGGATATGAATGGCCCATATCCAATGCCAAAAATTGACGAAGCCAGCAGGGCGAGAGGGAATGTGTGGGCGGTCATGAGGATGAGGGCAGTAGTACACATGAGAACTGCGGCACTATAGACAGTGAGCTTGCGGCTGCTGGACGGGATGAGGAGGGCGGTAATTGGTGATATAGCGAGAAGGGGAATGAGTGCCAAGGAGACAGCTCGAGTGGCTGGAAGACTAGGTTTCACGCAGTCATCTATCCAGCTATGTTAAAAGAGATGAACTGGTTAGTAGTCTGGCAGTGGTCTACGGACAACCTCGTAGCCCTCGTAGACCGGGCTGAACAAGAGAAACGTACTATTGCATAAACTGTTGAATGGTAGCTATGCCTAGCTGGAACACGAATCGGCTCATAAAAACCAATCGGAAGTCTCGGTGAGACCATAGTGGCCGAACAAGCTCTGCCAAGAAAGGCCACCAATCGATTGGCGGAATCTCCTGGGGTACATAGTGCTTTTCTGGTTCTCGTGGTCCAAGTCGCACCGTTACGAAGGTTGTCGTAGCCAAGATAGTCGTCATGATCATATACAGGGGAACAAGCCCTAACGTCTCTGCAAATATTCCTACAAGAGCACCTCCAAGATATCCTCCAAGATTCATTCCTCCCATAATGGCAGATACACGACCTTTTTGTTCGGGGGGTGTCACATCTGCGATTAGTCCGTTGAATGGGACCGAGGCGATAACTGTAGATGCGGTTAAGCACGCATAGGCAAGGACGTAGAACCACAGCGTATTCGTAGGCCACAGGAGGAAAAGGGACGTGCACATTCCAAGTGCTCCCACGATTATCCATGGATGTCTATAAGCCATCAGATTAATGAGCGCAGAGAGTACAGTAAGCACGCGAAAGTACATGCCTTTTCCCATATCGGCTACGAAACCTGTCATTCAATGCCCCAAAAAATACGGCCAAAAACAGATTCAGGAGCCCCGAAAAGAGTGAAACAATAGAAAGTGCCGAGCCCTTATGCTTGTCGCCCGCAATTGCTTTAATCTGTGAGGGCACAATGGCAACGAAGACCAGAAACCAATATAACTGATATCCAAACCAAAAAGCATTCAGGCACAAGATTTTGAATGTGCTGAGGTGGGGTTTGGCTGCAGAAACCTCGGCAGAGACATGTTCGGAGTGCAACAAGGCGGTGGTATCCGCGGTGCTTGTGTCAGGGAGATCTGGACGGCCCTCCTCGACAGACGGCCGCCCTAGTAGGCCGACATCATCCTCTTCAATGCTGCCGTACGACTCTCCCTTCTCGTGCACAGAATGGATCACTGACTCACTACCATTTGTCTGGGTTGGATGGCTCATCGTCTGCAGGGGTATCGCGAGAGACCTGCCGCCCAAACTTGTGTGTATTGGTTTACGTAATCACGACGGTGTAACGCCCACGATCACCCAAATGTATTCAAAGAACCACGACGAATGATACAATTCTCCGATGCCTGTTTCGCCTCCTTAGTTAGGGCTTGCCCATCACCATGCGACACTAGTAATAGTTGCACTGCTTCGCTAATCTTCGCACATAGCAATTGTATATCGTCGCCATGACACCACTCCGCCAGCTTATATGTCATGTACGCCTGAACAGAAATAGAAGGATGGTGTTGCTCGTAAAGCGCTTGATAGGCATCCAATAGGTCATGAGACACTTTGTAAGCCTCTTCCCATCTCTGGCGGGACAACAGGAGATCAAGAACCAGGCGACGCGTGCGAATCATCTCCGAGTTCGCCGGATGCATTAGTTTTGATTGAAGTCTCAAACAAGCCAGACCGGTTGAGAGGGCGCGATCCGGGTCTAAGAAAACGCTCAATAAGGTATGCAGGGATACTAAGTCCAGCAGAAATACCTGACTCCTCTGCGGCTTTCCGGTAAAGACGGAATGCTTTGGTGACCTCATCGGTGAGCTTTGCCTCAAGGTCAGCGGAGAGACGACCGTGTACCGAGCATGTGGCATTCTCCAATTGATCTAAAGGCAGTATTCGTATTAGCAATTACTTGAAGTAAGCGAAGGTAGCATAGATGTAAACACTGACCAGGTAAATCGATGAATCCGGCACAACCGGAGCTTACACAATTATAGGTTGTTCGAGGGTCCGCTGTCTTTTGCATGCACAGGTCAGCATCAGAGGTGATGCACCGCACAGCACGGCATTTACCCTTACCTGGTCATATCGCAGACACAGAGGGCAGCGACAATCGAAAAAATAGGTCTCTTTCAGCTCTTTTCGGCGCACGTATCGTGGCTCAGCAATTTCCATGTAACTTTGGCAGATCTTCAGCAGTCCATCAGGTCAAGCCGGACACTCTCAATACTTCACTTGCTTCTTTGCATACCTCCTCATCAACTTGAATGTTTTTAATAGCTCGCAATGTGGCCCTTTCGCCGTTAAAAATGATGGCGGCATTGGGGGAACAGGAGTGGTTGACAAGCGACAGAACTGGGAAAACCCCAACCCCAATGTTGACTAGTTCCCCGTCTGACACCGAGATACTGTTGCAGCTGAACTGCGGTAGATGTTGATTAGTTGGGAGCAGTGATTGAGAAATAGAGATCTTCGTTTGTGGGCTGCATAGAGATGCAAAGCTGCACATTGATGCTAATGAACACAATCCTTACCCGACACAGCAGATCGATCATTTCGCTGGGTGGCAAACAAGATTCTTCTCCTATTATTGTCCGAATTAGAGCGGCCATTTGGGCAAAAGTCTCCAGCTTCTCTTTGGAGTAATCTAAGCTGTCTTTGAACCATCTTTGAGGAACATGCCTCGACTGTATTGGATAATGAGCACACTTACGTGACTGTAATGCATTTATGGCATCAAACTTTCAACAGCTGTTAGCACTTTGAATGCACCCGAACATTGCTCCAGAAACTCACAGAATTGGGGTATTTTTGCCTCACCCACAACAACCGACAGAGTGCGCGTATAGCAGTTGGGGGTCTTCGGGGCGCAATTCTTCGGAAGCAAGCGCATTCACTTCGATGCAGTGTCCAGTCTTTCCGCTGGCACGTCTGCCATGGTTCGCTGAGTCAGTTATTAGTGCGGAGGCTGAGGGGTTGGACCAAATACCTGAGAACAGTAATGTAATAGGGTACACTTTGAACATCGAAACCGCGCGTTCGGACTAAAGCACAAACTGCAGTGCGATTGGAGATGTTTGTCATCCACAACAGTGGCATAAGCCCGCTCCTCCAGTAGCGTCGTCCCTGATCGTTTAGTTCGTCAACTATATCTTTCTAGACTCCGATCGCGACGTTTTTCATACCCGCGGATAGGTTTTCTCTTGCAAAAATCCCTCTTCCGCGCTCAGAGGTTTCTTCTACTTCTAGGAGATGTTTGGCCCCTTTCACCTGCTTTCCGACAAGATGCTGTTCGCGGAGGGCTTGTTGTGTGCTTATAGCGGTATCCATATCTACGAGAGCAACACAAGTATAAAGTTGAGCTTGCCCTTTTTTAAAGGGAGTCACAAGGCCCATTCAAAAAATCAAGACCATACCTGTGCAGTTGAGCATTGTGTAGGAGGTACATGGCAGCCAACGATGCACTATTCTTTCGTGGGACAAGATCACGTGTCAGAGGTCGGAATTTAGTGTGGAGGTGATTGAAAATGGCACTAGAACTCATTATTATCTGGATTATTCTGGTTAATCATATCGAATAATCAGCACCCCCATCTATCGCTCAAATGGCATGCATGTAATGTTTTTTTTTTAAACTGCGGTGAGGCGCATGCCAAATGGTTATAAAAGGGGGACCTTCTGTCTCTTTCCCCTTTCCTCTTTACCCATCCTCGACTCACAAGCATCTGTGCAACTCTTCTCATCACGACTGTCGGTCGAATCATGAGAATACAGATGTGGTGGTGCTGAGGACCTCGCCCACCCGACTACAACAACAACATAACCCCTTGCAAACGCTGCTACTACTATATTGCTACGATCGCAGATATGCATTATCTTTGTATTTTCCCATGCGGATTATCCAGTCTAATTATTCTGATTTTACTAGTATCTGAACATCCTCCGACTAAAGAATTTCGGAATCAAGGGCTTAGTAGGATTTCTCTCGTGGTGGTGGGCTTAGTTACCCGGTTGACCAACCGTTATCGCATGTGTAATTGGGCCTAGTGGTAGTTTGCACGTACCCCAGTTCAACCCAGGCTGGAACCTGTAGCGAGTTAGGAGAGGGGTGGGACTCGTTTGCAGGATAGGTTATGAAGGGTTGGACAGGCTGGCTAATTGTAAATTAGAACCGGCTGTAGTGGGTTGGAGGGAGAATTTGTCCCTAGTGACATTTTCTACCACCTGCACACTAAGATACTTCGCGAATGAGATCTCCACTGTCAACCTGGTGCAAAATGGTTCTGCAACGAATATCTGGGCGTTCGCATATCGGCCTTTTTAGTTTTGCATATAGTCCGGCGTCCACACTACGACTCTGTATCCGAATCGCAGCTTTTAGCACAAAAGTGAACCATGCCGAACAAGCTCCTGCCCGAGTGCGCTTTGCCCCCAGTCCTACAGGATATCTTCACCTAGGAGGTTTACGGACGGCTCTCTTCAACTATCTTCTGGCACGCCAAACTGGTGGCAGCCTTATTCTGAGAGTGGAGGACACGGACCAGGTCGATATGCTTGCCACTTTTCTGTTGCTCGACGGTTGGAGCACTGGCTGACACGGGGCTGGCTTCAGTATAGGCTCGTACGGTCGATGGAGCTGTAAATCATCTTATAAAGATGCTCGATTGGGCAGGACTTACCTTCGATGAAGGCCCCACCGTCGGTGGCAAGGTGGGGCCATACATTCAGGTAATTTACAAGTGTGATATCCCCATGTCAAATGTTTCATAGCGTCCCTTTTTGAGACATTCCACTTTGCAGTCAGAAAGGACGGCGTTGTATCAAGAAAAGGCAGATCGATTGCTAAAGGTAGAAAACATCTGCTTACAGAGGCAAGCTACGCGTAGCTCACGTAAACACGATCAGGAGGGACATGCATATCGCTGCTTTTGCACATCTGAACGTCTTGATAAGGTTCGCCAAATGGCCAAGCGCACTGGGCGCATCATTGGTTACGATCAGCACTGTCGGCACTTGGACGCAGCGGAGGTCGAGCAACGAGTCAAGCACGGTCTTCCTCACACCGTGAGATTCAAGGTTGCTCCGAGCTCCCTGATACTTCAAGCATCTGCTACTGCTCACCTGGTTGATCACATAGGTTCCTGAAGGAAAAACAGTGATGGAGGACATTGTACATGGACGCATCGAGTTCTCGCATCGGGCAGTCGATGACAGTATTATTCTTAAATCCGATGGATTGCCTACATATCATCTCGCGAACGTGGTTGACGACCATATGATGGGAATAACACATGTGCTGCGAGGAGAGGTAGTCAAACGTCGAGTGTTGATGACGAGCAGATAACTTATCCTGGTCGTAGGAATGGGTTTCATCAACACCCAAGCATTTACTGCTATACAAGGCCTTTAACTGGCAACCTCCAAAGTTTGCCCATTTACCTCTGCTAGTAAATAAAGACGGGAGCAAATTGTCAAAGCGCCAAGGCGATGTACACATAGAAGCACTGTTGGTGAGTGCTACTGTGCGAAACCTAACCTTTATTGTTGCTCATGGAGCGTTTACTGTTCAGGACAAAGGTTACTTACCGGAAGCCCTTCTGAACTTCGTCGCCTTCCTTGGATGGGGACCGGGATCAACGAAAGAATTTTACACGCTTTCTGAACTAATTCGCGACGTATGTGAAATTGCTCGTGCAATGTGCGCAATGAAAGCATCTGCTCATCAGAGCAAATCTTTAGTTCAAACTCGAGAATATCAACAAATCTCCGGCAGTTGTTTCGTACGACAAGTTAAATTACCTCAATAAGCTTCACATTGCTCGCAGGCTAGGCGACCCGGAAGAACGGGACAAACTCGTCGCAAAACTCCGACCGGTACTACAGGAGCAGTTCGATAGGTAAGGAAGGGTCTTTGATGTTTTAAGTAAAGGAAATGGTATTTACCACTATATGCAGCCTTATGGATGAAGAAGCAAAAAGGCTCCTCTCAGATGATGTCTACTTCACAACAGTTCTAATGGCGGTGAAAGTACGTTGATATGCTGCTGCAGTCTGAAAGGCCGATCGGTTAACAGCCTTATTCCAGGAACGCATTCGCCTGCTCACTGAGGTTCCTAAATTTTCGCAACCCTTTTTCATTGCCCCGAACTTTGAGGCAGCTGAAACCCGGACGTGGAGGAGCAAACTGGAGACAAAGGAAATCGGTGAGAGCTACCTCTAGTACTGACTTTTGGATCAAAGACTGAGAGAGCCCTGGACAGAGCTCGTTGTCGGGCAAATGCAGCAGAAAGTTACAAAGATCGGGGACAGTGATTGGAATACCGATACCGTCAAAAGAGCTTTGAACGAGATTGCAGAGGAGCAGGGCCTGGATTTCGTTCAGGTCATGAAAAACCTGAGATATGCATTGACCGGTACCAAGGTATATGCGACTGCTAATTTCAATTTGCGGTGGGTTTGCTTCTTGTGGAGCTTACAGTTTCGCGCATGAAGGTTGGAGTTGACATGATAACCATCATTCACCTTCTTGGCAAGCGAAGGACACTGGAACGATTGCAAACAGCATTGAACTTCATCGTTTAGTTTCAGCGGGGATTATTCTCAGTTTCTTTAATTTATCTGTTTGCGGCGTTTCCTGTTATGTTTCAAGGTATCGATGATCGGACATGGCATTAATTTGGTATTGATACGCACACATGCTGGCTTGTGTACTCTATTCAGGCCCTCTTCCTTGTATAGTAGACTATATGTAGATGAGTTTTTAATGTATCCTACTACTCGTATGAAGACCGCGAGGCTTTTAAACCCTACGATTCACAGTCTTTCGGTCACCTCAGGCAACAGTTCTCGATGTGAACTACAGCTAGCCAGACATTGTATCTGTTTTAACGGTGACCTCTATTATAATTATTTACATTGCATTTCCAACGGGTAATCTAGGAGGTAATATAAGCTTCCTGCCCCCAAATGTAGGGGGCGTGGCCGGTGGTGTAGGAGTGGCAAGTGTCACCTGGCCGTACTTGATCTCTACTGCCTCTGATTTCGCTAGCGTAAGAGGATCCAGCCGACGTGGTTTGCTGGCAATGCTGGGATCTGGAGCTGCAGTTGATATCCGAGAACCGGGCACTGCGGGGAATGGTATGTCTTCTGGAACCATGTAGTCGGTTAAGATATGGAGATGTTCTCTAATTACGTGTGAAGCTAATAAACCGGTCTTTGAATTTTCATGGGGACGAAGCAAATCTGTTTGTAGAGCGGTGATGAGTGTCGCAAGGTCTAGAGATTCATCATTCTGCGTCAAATGCTGCATGGAGTCATAATCGAACAAACCAAATGCGAATCGTCAACAATACCATGCTTGAGGAAACTCGCAATATCAGCATCCCACATACTCAGATTGTTCGCAGATTCTCCAATCTTTCGGCCGCCCTTGTCTGTACCTTTGCAAGCGCTTTTGGATTTACCTTTTGACAAATCTTCTACTTGGACTGCACTTGCCGAAGAGGATTGGTCTAAGGCGGATCGCGGTCGGCGGCGGGGTCTGCCTTCTGTTGTTCGCGATCGGAATGAGCGGAGCATATCAGCCATGCTGGTCAGAATTTCAGTGATGGTTGCTGAGTAGCACGTCGGCTGATGTGTGAGTTCTGCCGGTGGGGAAGCAGTTTCTGATTGCGTGCATGAGCTGCGCGGGGATGTAGAGAGTGTTTGGGAGAGTGGTGTCGAGATTGGTGGTAGGTATACCTTTGATGACATGGGAGGGTGTGATGTTATTGACTTTCTGTGTTGTTGTTCTCTGAGTGAAGAGATCGACGTATGTCCGGAAGAGACAGAATCTAACCCTAACCCTAAGTCGAGTAAACAAGGAATCGAGGGCCACCGGCGTGGGTCTCTAAAACACCGTCTCAAGATAACTTGACAAAGTTGTGACACGCTACGGAACAACATTCGATATGAACTATTGTTAACAGCGTTGCCCGCTTCCAATTTGTCGTTTGCTTCGGCCGGACGATTGCATAAGTCTCCTATCTTGACGATCGTGGACATTAAGATCATGCTTCTTGTAGCCAACTGATTCGGAGCAGAGAAGGCCTCTTTTTGATTCGTGGTGGATAAAACCGTTGAACATAGTTCTCGTGGTATATGCTTCTCCGCTGTCGTAACGACACAGAACTTGCTCAGCACGGCCATTCCGAACGTGAAAAACGCGTACATCTCTTCCACGGTGTTCAGCTCAAGGTTTGCCTTATTGTCTCGACCACCTCCCAGGTCCTCCAGATCTTTGATCACCCATTCGACAGCACTCTGTTCACAATCCGTTCGAATACACGCAAGGCATATATGGGCGAGTTCACAGATAACCCAGCGGACTCGAGTGATGAAAAAGCTGGTCAAATAGGACTCCATCTGCAGAATGAGCGGTTTTAAGTGTGGCGGGATCGCAAAGTAGATGCCTGGGGAATCGGTTGCAGGCGATACACTATCGTTCGACATGCGAAATATCGTAACATACTGCGATGCAGCAAATGAATTAGACGCCCGCCGTGGTGACACCCAAAACTTAACGTACCACGCTTCGCAAGCTTATCAGAAGCTTTAGAAGATCAAGAGATACTGAACACATTTGATCAGATGGTTGACCGGGAAGACGATCCCTATACACATCCATGTTAATACGATGCTTTCATATAAATCGTTAACGGACTATGCCTACCATCTTCGTGCAATCTCGACCACTCCTGATATAACATCTCCCCAGGGACCCAGTTTGTCTGCCATGCGCATCACAAGCAGTCGATTTACAGGTAGCCGCCGCAAATCTTTTGTTCCAGCGTCCACCAGAGCCACCACTCTGCACGCAGACAAACCACGATCCTGCATTTTATTCGGTGCACAACATCGCAACAGATATGACAACGTTACAGATAAGACAGGATGGGCAGTCGTCCTGAACATCAGATGGGTCAAACCAGGCACTACAAATCCAGTTCCATTAAATTTGCATTAAATGAATACCTTGCACAAACTAACTCGTAGACTTGAATTAGTTTGAAAAGCACAAGCGCCATCATTCGACAAGGGGTACCATTTGCACCGCTGGTATGGATTAGCTCGCGAGCGCGCTCCCATAAGATGCTGCCCAGTATGTCTTCCGCAGTACTAGTGTTTGTAAGCTGAAGAGAATAACTATCCTTACTGCAGCAGTACGGTGTCCCTTACCACTCATCGCATTCAAAATCTTCGAATTGCGTTCTCATAGATGTAGAGTTGTTTGTAAACGTTGCGAGTAGGAGATCTAATCCCATTGAGAATATATTGTAACGCTCCTGAAGGTGTACGGTAGACGCATCGGAGGTGAGGTGGACTTCATACAGTAACGTGAGGATGCGGGTCGGGAAGGAAACTTGGTGATGGAAGAGAATGGCAATGTTGCGCTGTAGCTTCAGTAGGTAAGTTCTGCATGTAGCAGGAGCAGGGCGCAACACAAACGCACTTTGGCAAACTTATCCACAGCTTCATCATTATGCTCTTCTCCTTCCATACTGGTAGCATTGCAGTCTCCTATACTTACGCCTGCCAGTGCGAGGAACAATTGCAGCAGGTTACTGACGATCTATAACAATGATAAGGTCGAAATACTGAGAAACCGTCAAGATAACTTTTCAAATCTAATTGAAGCATGCCTGCCTTTGCCTCGTACTCGTGAAATCCACAGCCTCGAGTTGTGGGCATGGATCGCACCCGGAGGAACGGCACTAGGATATCGAGAACATCCAAGTCCCTCTGCACCAAGGCATATCGCTTGATAACTGGCAACTGGGCTCTTTGAGAAGTGCCCCCGATGATTTGTTAGTTATCAACAATACTGCATTGCAAAAATGGCTTGTTTCGAGTCGAAGGCAACCTTTGCCGAAGCGCTTCGCTGAGGTTCAGACGCTCATCTACATCTGCTATATCAAACGAATCCACCAAGTCCAGAAAATGGTCCAGTTCTTTGTAGGACGATTCAAGCATTTATTGAAGGGGGATGGATATATAGATGCCACTGAGTCGCTGGAAGTTTGTCTTCGCGGATGTCGAGAATTGGTAGTTCGCGATCGCTGAGTCAGCAATCACGTGATGGACTCAGACTGAACATTTCTCTGGAAGTTACCCACCGCGGTAAGTTCTGGCCTCCGTTCCTGTCCAGCGCGGGACTGTCGATCCTTTGCCAACAAGAAGGGAAAATGGGAGCACTATCAAAGAGATTGGGGCAGAGGCGAGAGCAGTGGTCTTTCTAAAACCGTGGAGGACTGTGTGCTTTTCTCTCTTTTAAATTGGATACAAATGCATCCCGCGCACGTAATCAGGCTACCGCAGGAGGGTTATGATTAAATCGAACCGCGCTGCCGTCAATAAGAACGCACAGCTCTCGCGTCATCGTCCCCATTTGACGCGGACACGCGAACTAATTATGTCCACGCGTTGTTTGTTTATAATCGTAATCTTATAGTGTCCAAAGGAAGAACTGTACTATGATGATGAGGTATTAAGCCATTGTTACAAGTCCAGTGCTTAATTTTCGAGAAACGAGAGAGATATGAAAAAGACCACTTGAATATGCCCGAGGAGCACAAGAGATATGTGAACCTCCTAAGCAAAGGACGGGAAAAGATCCATCAAGCAGGCATTCTATCATCACACCAGTCATATCTACGATTGTCGCTTTCACATGCAATGTGCATGCATCCTGTATACGGGGTATCCTGTCCGTTGCTTTTCCTCATGACTTTCATGGCTTTTCATCGCTCCAAAACGACCATCAATACTGGACCGTACGAATCACCTTATGGTTTCCATCTTTGCCCCTCTGCTTGTCGACACGTCCCTTCCTGAAAGCATGAGGTTCAGGGGCCGATACAAGAAACCTCGTCGCAAGATTATGGAGACCTGGATAAGGTTGCTAAGAGCTAGAACCGATTTTATTCCTTATCAATTTGAAATTATCTCTGCTTTTAACAAATAAATATATGGCGGTTTAGATGAGGCCCAACCCCGAACCTATATACACTAGCCGATCTAACCCATTATGCTTAAATACATCTGTCTCCTAGACCCTTACACCATTGAAGTACCTGTTCATATACAAGAAAGTTGATTGCGTGCACAGGGAAACTTCGTATCAGTTGTGGGCCAATTCCATTATAAAACCCTCTCAAACCGCGCTTTGCCCAACGTGTCTGCACAAAATGTAGAGCGTGCACGTATTTTGGGCTCTGATTCAATGCTTCTCGCTGCAAAACGGACTTCGTGCTAGAGTTGTTCGAGTACGGTCACGCTTGCATATTCCAAGTGGGTTATTGCAAATCAAATACTACTTACATATCGATCGGGAACAGGACAATCCATGATAGGCTTCCAGCGAGCCCACCAGCCATCATATGCGTGAGTGGGCCAGCTTGATGGCCTTCAGAGGTAAGGAGGTACTTGCAAGTTTCGTATCCGCAAAAATACATCGCGGTTCCAATGGCATCCCGCAGGAGGTGCATCGAATAGCTAATGTGAAGGGATCAGCTTATATGTCACACATCTCGCGCTCTCCTAAATCGTGCGTACCCTGAGTAAAGACCGGTAGGACCTTTGAGCTCAACGATACGCTTGGCCCATTCCAAAGTGGACATTGTCTTGAACTCCTTTGCAGAAGTGGGTACCATCGCCAGCGGCACGCCAGTCCTAGGTATTGGTGGCGAGCGCGACAAAGACGGGGTTGCAGCTGTAGAGGTACTGTGTGACGAATGGGGTGTGGGTCCCCTTGAGGTTTCCCGCGATGCCTCGACCGCCTGTGCCGCCGCCGCCGCCGCTGCTGCTGATGCGCCTTCGCCTAAGCCGGCTGCTGCCGTGGGCGACGAAGCTACCGCCTCTTCCACCATTTCAGGTGAAATGTGAGGCTTACTAGTAGCTACGATTCGTTCCAGCTGCTTTTGAAGCTATGCAGTTCCCATTAGGTTGCGGCTGTGTATGTTGCGCACAGCAATCACATCGAACGAACCTTTATAAAGTCGATTGGAGCATTCAAAGTGGCCACTACACTTCCGGCAAAAGCCCCCGACGCGGAACTGGACACCATAAGCGCGCTGAGCGGGCTCGTATCATCCGGCAGAAGAGCGCGTACTTCGCGTTTACCACTATTATACAGAGAGAACGACAAGGACCGTAATACTGAGATGGAAGCTGCAACCGGTACAACCCCACGAAAAAATCCTGCTATTCCTTCATTGTTGTATGTGGTCTTCACACAAGCAAGCGTCGAAGGGAAGCGGAATGCTTGCATACGAGTTTTGATGGAATCAAACTAGCGATTGAAGAATGTCCTGGTGTAAGTGTTTATGACAATATTTCCTTGCAGTTGCAATTGATGGTCTCAAGGCGCCAATAGACTTGACCAGACTTACAGGAAACCCGCACACAACGCTAGTCACCGCCGCGCAAGTGGCGGCGATAGTAACAGCATTATTTCTCGCAAGACTGTTTAGGTGGGCATAACGTTCAGCGTCATCCGCGTTAGGGGAGAGAAGAGTGATGAGGGGTTGAAAGTAGCCTGAGCGGTGGTCAGTTTCTGTCCCAAAAGTGTGTTCAACCTGCGTAAGGTTAGACTCGAGGGAGGAGGTCGAAGCCCGGCCAGCCATGTCGAGCGTTTTCACTGGCCCTCGAGAACCTTCCTTTCGTTCAAGCGCTAACTGCCGCCTTTCGCACCTCCGCTTGGCTTCCGTTCCCTGACCTCTCTTGCAGCTTGCCCGTGTACGTCGCCTTGTTGACTTGAACAGAGCACAAACGAGTCGGTTGATCATCTCCGACCACGTAGGATGACTCAAATCACTGGAACCTGGTTGCAATCACACTGGACTGCGGTGCAGATCGGCGGAATTGGAATTGGACAGAAAGATCTCATCTGGCAGATTGTCAAGTAGGAGAAGCGTACAGCGGGGCTCAACTGACAAGCAGCTATGCTCGCCGTGAGACAGATTACGCGGGCTTGTTGTTTCGGTGAACGGTCCTTCTCGCTCTCTATAGGACCACGTCAACGTCCAGCTTGGTTCACCAACAACTTTTCATATCAACAGCCCTATTCAAGGCCATCTGCACACATTCGGGCTGCTCGTGTGAATACTGCGTCGAATCCTATATTCCAAAAGAGTGCATGGAAATGGTGGCGAGCAAGGCGTATCCCTCCTTCACTCGTATCGACGAACCAGCACCCACGGCGGGCTATCAGGGGCAAAGTGTTACTGACATTCATTGCCTTCGCGGGTGGCACTGTGGGTGGATTCTACCTGTACGACCCGGCAAACTTCAACCATAATCGTCTTGCTCTTGTTAGGAGCTATCGTACCGCCGTGACAGCCGCCCTGATTGCTATTGATTACAAATGGAGCCTGAGAAAGGGACCCGATCTAATTGGCGCCGAAGAGTACGAGCGGGTGAAGAGCGCATGTCATAAGAGGGCTGCAAATAGAATGCTGGAGCTGTGCAAGACCAATCAAGGAATCTACATAAAGCTGGTAAGTAGCATTGTGCGATCTTCTGACACGGAGTTGCAATTGATAGTTGTCATGTGTCTTTTGTCTTATTAGGGCCAGCACATCGCCGCCATGGTCTTCTTACTTCCTCCTGAGTATACAGAGACTATGCGTCCCCTTCAGGATCGTTGTCCTCCCACACCGTTCTCCGACGTCGAGGCACTGTTCCAGAGCGATGTCGGTTATTCAATCTCAGAAATGTTTTCCTTCTTCGACCCAACGCCCCTTGGGGTTGCTTCACTGGCACAAGTCCATCGGGCCCGCCTGTTGACTGGTGAAGAGGTTGCCGTGAAAGTTCAACATCCGTACTTGGATGAGTACACACCCGTCGATATTTCAACAACAGCCTTTCTTGTACGGCTCGTCAAAAAGATATTTCCGGAATTTGAGTTTGAATGGCTTGCGGAAGAAATGCAACAAAGCTTACCACAAGAGTTGGATTTCGTGCATGAAGCAAACAACGCAGAGCGCGTTCGATCCTTATTCGCCGGTAACGCGATTCTCAAGATACCGAAGGTGTATTGGGCTGCTCGACGGCTTCTTATAATGGAATGTAGGTGCTTGTAGCATTCGTGACCTACTTTATATGGTACCCCGGACTTTGACCCCTTCTGATTGCAGTTGCCGACGGAGGAAAGATTGACGACCTTCATTATTTGAATGCAAACGGCATAAGTCCGCAAGAGGTGTCGGCCCAGCTATCCAGAATCTATTATGAAATGATTTTCTTGCACGGATTTGTGCACTGCGATCCTCATCGTACGTCTATTGCATGATGTGGGGCCAATGGGTTAGTATACTAATCTCTCTATTCCGAACAGCTGGCAACATCTTTGTACGACCTCGTCCCCGCCCTTGGCTATCACGCATCCCGTTCCTTGGGTCTTTAGTCACACGCAATCCCTACAACTTCGAAATCGTCCTTCTTGACCACGGCCTTTACCGTCAGCTTCCTGATGAATTCCGCTTAGACTATGCTCATCTTTGGACGTCAATATTGGCTGGAGATGAACCGGGAATATTGATGTACAGCTATCGCCTGTTCACCCATGACAAGGAGAGTAGAAGTAAGAGAGCCTCTGAGGACGGAATCGACCATCACCGCCTCTTTGCTTCCATGCTGACTGGCCGCAGCTGGGAGGTTATTTCCGATGCTAATAAAAGTGGGATGGGAATTGCGCAAGCTCGAACAACGCACGAGTTTCAGGTTATACGTCAGAAAGCCGCCAGCGGCCGCTTCTTCTTAGCCATTGCCGATATCCTTTCCAAACTTCCTCGGGAATTACTGCTGCTACTGAAGACAAACGACCTCCTACGGGCTGTTGATGAGTCTCTTGGTGTTTCCGGCAGCAGTGCTTCTGACCACATGTTACGTACCGTCGCCACAATGGGATGGTATTGTGCACTCGCAATCAAACGTGAGACGATACGTCAAATGGTCAAAGAGCGTATAGAACAAGGAAAGTTGAGACCTGTATGGACGGAACCACGTTTTTGGAGAAGTTTATGGGACTTCTGGGGCGTTGGTCTGAAGGTGTGGCTTTTGGAATGGTTTGTGTGGGGGAGGACAATATGGAAATGGGCTTCCAGGTCCCCAAAGGGCACAGGATTTGAAAATCCCCATGTAGTCTTTGCATAGAGAATGTTTGAGAACACCATGCGGAAGCAAATAGAATACAGGTGCGCTCCCTATTACCACTATTTAAATAGACTTGTCCCCGCGTACTCTGTCGTTGAATAGGCGCAGATCGTTGGCGACCATCCCCCTTGGCCACAAACCATTGTCCGATCACTGTCGCAACGGTCTTACTATTTATGTTGAACGGACGATTGTATGGCCCTTTTCATTGCGAAAACACAAGACTGTACCTTATTACTTGCCGCGAAGCTGACTTCTCCGCGCCGAACGGTGCCAAACTCAGTTTAGTCCACAGCCACTTCAAAGCGTACATACCTTACCACGACGCCATGGTCCTCATCAAAGATTGCTTTGGTCTTCCATACAAGCCGGTGCCACGAGACATGGTCGAATAATGGGCTCTTCATTTCGACGGTGTAATGATAGGTACACTTGGGTGTGAAACCCCAAACTGGCTTCAACTGCCAACAAAGCTGCTATTATGCTATCTTGTTCGCAAATTGTTCAATTGATGTAGCTGCTGGTTTTTCCCACACTATCTGGTCTGATGCGCTCTTCTCCAGGCTCCTTCGCTGTTACTATGTGAATTCCACGATCTGGGACCCAGGACAAGGAGAAACAAGACCGTGTGCATATCACCCAGTGGAAGAGCTGACATATATTTGTTTAATAGCCCGTAGCTACTTCGCTGGTAGTTAGATCTCCTCCTCGCCCCTTGAGGGTGTGCGGTACGCACTTGATAGAGGTGTCGCGCGATTGGTGAGGTTGTACGCATATATAATAGGCCATTAATACTAGATATTTCTACGGACCTCTAACGACGTGATCATGAATTGTCGTCTACTCTTTCTATCAATCTGAACCCAATCTCTTCCCCTTCGCGTTCGAAAGCCGAATGATTGGCAAAGCTGAATTGTACGTCAAGCAATTGTGGTTCGAGATTTATCGATATGCTTGGCACACTTATCACATAGCTTGTATCTCCACTGTCTTGCTTCAACGCAATGCATGGAATCGTTTGACGAGCAGGAGGTGGCATTTTTTGCCAATAATGAGTCAATGCTTGCTGCACGGATTCATTCCACTCCGTCCGGGGGCCAGTGCGCATTCTATCAAGAATTGAGTGATAATCGCGGTCGGTAAAGGGGCGTACAACAAAAATTAGGTCCTGCGGATCGACACCGTAAAATGTTTCCTTGACTGATGCAAATTGCGGTGCCCTCAACGCGATCAGAAACCGCTGATCCCATATGGCTCTTTCGCCGATGCGGAGTTGGACTGCATTCTTTGTAAATTCGCTTCGCTGAATTGGAGATCGCGCCACAACCCATACGAATGCGCCCGTTTGGCTCGCACGTGGAGGACAAAGGATCACGCCTCCACCATTCACCAATCGCGAATTGTACTTGAAATAGTTCAAGATCTGTTCTCTTAACGCACTGGGCACTGTTGAAGCTGGTACATTCGATCCGTTACCGGCCCACTTAACCACATGCGCTAAAACCCGTTCAGCCAGATATGGTTGACTGATCCAGTGATTTTGTAAATTATTTCTGTTTGCTCTCACATGCAGAAAACAGGTTCCGGTCGGGGGATCACGCAGGGTGTGCTCTTCTAGCAGCGGCGTAACTGTACATAACATTGATTAGTGCACGCGGATGCCAGATGTGACTACTTTCATACTACCTTTTGCCTTGAATGCATTTCTGTGGATCTCCATATGCTCCATGAAGCGAGCATAGGATATTCGGGATAGTGCCCGAACTGGGCTCTCGGCTCCTAGTCTCTCATTCATTTCCTCCGCAGCTGCCAGCATGGGTCCATAATCTTCCGTAGGGAGAAATCTTAAATGATTCTTAGAGGTATCATTCGGTTCCAAGCCGTGATCTCGACAGATGTCCACAAGCTGCTCCTATGTATGCCAACCGAAATGAGTTCCTTGATGTTGATCATATCGAACTTGCCAATCACACCTGCGCAAAACTCAATAGAGGTCTCGCAAGTCGTACATGCTTGGCAGCAGAAGCAGTCGTTCCGGAAATCTCCGGTTGCAGCATTTTCATTCCTGTTAGTCCTTCAATCCCACTATTCTTTTTCAGCCTACTCAAGCCAATTCGGGTTTGATCATCAAGGTGATGACCAATTAATAAAGTTCGAATCCCTTTTGCTTTGCACGCTCTGGATAGCATGGCATATCGTCTAATCCTGGCGGCTGTGCCCTTCGTCCAGTACGAAGGAGAGGTTCCATGGTCCGCCAGGGGCGGATCCTTTTTGTCTCCACGGAAGCCTGACCCACTTTGCTTCCAGTCCGGAGTTATGATATGGTGCTCAATCCCTAGAGAGTAGGTTAAGGGCACTTCCCAGACGTCAAACGAGCTCTTTCGGCAATACCCAGTTTTGCGACGGACAGTTGCAGTTTGATTGCTTCGTTAGTACTATTATGCTTCAACTTGTGGTCAACTGTAAATGCTACCACGTTCTCTTTCCCAACAGCTCGTGTCAGCAACGCCAGCAGCGCTAAGCTCTTAGCTTCGCCGGACACTCCGACTCCTACCAGGGAAAGCAATTATTGAACACAAATTCCCGAGACGGACTTGAAACCGCAATATGACGGCAACATACCCAGCTTTTCCCCATTCTTAATATTGAGGAGACGCAAAACAGCTGAGAACTGCCGGTCTGTTATAGGTCCTCTACGCACCACGGCCATGTGTATGATCTGCAAAGTCAACCAGAGATCGGCAGCTCGTTTTCGGGACGGAGTCACGTGCACTTTCTGTATTATGTCATCCAAACGCGTCTCAGAAGCTTGGAGATTCGCCAGATGGGGTTTGTCAAGATATGATGCCAGTTCAGAGCTATGAAGTGGTAGATAGCGATGAACCAAGTCGGTTTGCAGTTACGCAGTCGATATCGGCAGTACTTTATCGTCTTAAAAACTCAGCTGCGGGGCGAAAACTTCGCAACTTAGTGTATGATTTGTTAACACACGAGACTGTCCCTCAAATAAATCTAGTGGGCAAGTGGACAGCGACAGAGACGAAGTGGGCTGCCGAACATATCCACCATGCGCTGGAAAAGGAGTCTGCTTATAAATTTGTCCAGAGTGCAGTAAACAGAGCCCTGGATCTGACATTGCTCGAGCTCTTTCCGAATGAGTTGAATACGTGCCCTGGGGTCAAGGTATATTTCAAGCTTCTAACTTTCCATCATTCAGATTAGGAGATTTAAGCTTAGTTGTCGCTCCAGAGAGAACCTTCAGATATAGAGCAATATGTTCTAGCAGATGTTCTGAACCGCATGCCAGCATATAAAGGGCAGCTTTTGCCACTGGTCAACCGACCAATCGTCGTCCATAACCTGAGAAAATCCATATGGAGGGCTGCCTTGAAACCTCATGGTACGACATTAACAGAGGCCACAGCCTAAGCAAACCTTGCAGAGCTTTACGAATATTTTGCTTCTAGTGCGGCGGAAAATGCCTGAGCGCCCGCTATCACTGGTTTCCGAGAACTCTAACATGACCTGTTATGCAATGTATGTCGCTCCTATGTTTATGGTCGTTGTATGTATCTTGCGATCAAAACTTTTGTTTATATCTACATATGTAGGTGTCAAGATTTTTTGGTCGAACACCGGACCCTTCACTCTCTCGCCATTTCTTTCCAGACAATCCGACAAATGGAAAGCATCTTCACCCACTTTGTACTCCTCGCTGAAGCTACGCAATTTCCTATAAGAGACTTGGCATATCCCACTAGGTCTCAGACATTCACGCCGCAACACAAGCGAATTTTAGCGTCCATTGTTCCATTCCTTACGGTAAGCGCTCAAAATGAGCTGCAAGAAGATGACATGGTTGAGATGGTTCAGGCCTTTTGGACAAGGTTGCCATTCGTGTGGAGAGAGGATGATCGCTATGGGATGGAACACATTGCCTATGAGATCAGGATGTGTCTCAAAGAAAACGATCCCGCTTGGTATGCACGTTTAATTGAAGCCGGTGAAGAAGGTAAACGAAGTTGAGCTTCCAGTGCAGTACCTCAGTTGTCCAAGTGTGTCCCTCTGAAATCGCTCCCTGCATAATACGCAATCCCAGACATCAAGGACATGATTTTACTTCTTATTGGAAACTTCTTTATTGGTACGACTATTTTGATTTCTTGTCACTAAGAACAGGAGAAACAAAGCTCATTCTTGCACAGGCATTTGCCCACTCCATGTTTCCATATATTTACTTGACCATCTGTTCATTGCGTCAAACGAATTCACCGACCAGAACCACTTGCCTGGCGTCAACCAGTGGATTGTATGGATCTGCACAGCGCTGCTTATGTACTTGCATGTATCTTCGGGACAGAACGACGCGGGAGAGCCAACAAACTCTGACCTCGCACTTATCACGATTCAGAACCGCTTATCCAACATCACTCAAGATCAATTACATCTTCTGATGCATCCGATCATAAAAGACTCATTTGGGGGTATATGTGAAGCATCAGATCCTGTCACAGACTTACCAACAGCACTTGACGATGACGACGAAAGCGTATCAGAGGAGGATCTGATCGCTCTGGAAAAGTAGATCTTCTGTTATCATTCGACGAGAGCGATGGGGAGACCTTACAAAACAGATGTTTCGGAAGCGTGCCCATATCTGTACTTTTTAGGGCACCGAGAAAGTCACATCGTGGACTAACCTGAAAAGCTGGTGCAGAATGGTAGATAATCTTTGGCAAAAATGGATTGGGTTATATTCTTGAAATGTCTGCAAAAGATCTTGTATTATCAAGCAGAAACAAACTGCAGGAGTACATCAGTCGGCAACAGAACGAATAAACAGGCTTGAGCGCTGTGACACTAAACATGATGGATGTACCAAAACCTGTCGAATCCAGGCAGGAGGGCCCGCCACGGAAGAGCCACAGTCAAGCGTAATTCGGTATTCCAACTATAGGTTGTTGCTCACCGGGCATGGGTCACCAACGCATCCCTGTGCAGCAGACCGAGACTGAGAGGCAACGCATCTAGTATATGAAGCTCCAGCGGAGGCTGGAGCAGACCAGATCATTGCATGGGAGAACCCGTGTTCTGTCTTGATTTAACTCTGTTTAGAAAGGCTTGGTCACAATTCTCCCCAGTCCAGGTGGTTCTGCAACAATCAATATGAAAAGTCACAGTATTTCATGAAGGTCCATAATTTGGGGAGAAAGCGTGCGACCGAGCGTGTTTTTGGCAAAGCACTTGTACGTGGACGACTGATTTGGGACAGCGCGGTAGAGGAGCGGTTTTGGATAGGTTCAGACGAGTGTTTGCGCAAAGGCGTACAGTTGAGCATAGGCGAGAACGGGTGCCGCCTGAGGACGCCATAAGGACACCCGAGGAAAGGAGAGCATAGTCGCAAGGCAACAAGGGACTCTGCCTAGATAATGGGCGGTCCTGTCAGGAAGTTACTCACTTCGATGTCGGCAGAGTTCAGTACGGTACCTCGGGCAACGGCTTCCGACGAGCAGTCGCAAATCTGTCATAAAATCAATTCGAGGATAAGAAATTGTACGGTTGGTCGCTCCTACTTGGAAAGTAGGAAGCACTCTAATATATTACGCAAATCTCCATCAGTTATGCCCGCTCAAATTAGGTCACAGATATAGACGGCATGTGCAGGTAACTACAGCATACCACATAGCTCGGTAGAGCACGACAGAGAGACAAAACCCAATATCACACAGTCAGGAATGTTTCACAAGGAGAATCCACCGCGTTTCAAAAGAAACGGTTTGAGCTCGTTGCAAAGTAGTTGATGCCATGATTGGAAGCCGATGGATGAATCAATAACGACGTGGAAGTAACTCGCGCACTCCCATCCCCCATCATTGCTCGTGCAGCCGCTCAATCGGGCGCGAAGCTAAACCTCATACACCACCCACGCACATGCCACCAAGCTTCTCCCCAACTATGGAGACTTCATCCAACAGGCCCCATTCCGTGAGAACATTTTCAAACTCCTCCACGGTACACCTGCCCGTACGTTTCCATCCTTCCACCTCATCCAACACTCTCATTACGGTTGCCTTCAGTTCGCCACCCACATATGCCAGCATTGCGGGTAAAGCGACTTGGTCAAAGCCTTCATCTGCTACGTGGCTCAAAATTCGACAGAATTTTGTGTGTGAATGGCGCTGCGCAAGCAAGTCCATTAAAGTATTGGCAGTTCGGCAAGCTTCGATACGTGGCTGATAAAGGTGGATTAGAACTGTCACACTTGGATCTTCGTCATCAATCGCGGAAAGGTAGTCATCTGCAGATTGAAGATCCACTACGGTTCCAAAACGTGGTCGTTGTGCATTCTGAGCGAGCTCCAGTAATCGTTTGAGGCGATATTCCTTGATATACTCGTCTTCTTCCTCGTTCTCCAGCTCCTCTAGAAGCTCCTCCGCGCTAATATCATCAGCACTTGCACCTTGATTTTGTGGGGTTTCTTCACTGGCCAATTGTCTGGCTAACCAACCGCTTTTCAGAGCCTTGCTCTCATATTTACTAACGGCATTCTGCTGCTTGAGTTCTCGTCTTGCACGCTCCTGTCGCTGATGGAATTTATAGTCGGCCATTACGCCCTTTGGTCCTGTTTTGGCACCACCTATGTCCAGTGCTCTTCGAAGAGCGGCGTCCGACATGGCGCGGGTCGTTGTTGCGTCCATGTCCGGAGTGAACTCTGTTGCGGCATCCTCACCGTCTGACAGACCGTCATCTGAGTCGGGGTCTGAGTCGGGATTGCGGCGGTCACCCGGCTCAAAGTGGCTTTCTACCCCAGTGTTTCCCGTAATGGCACGAAGGAGCCGTTCGTCAAAGTCAGTCATCTCAATGCTTTCACTGATTCACACGCCAAGTATCCCGCAGAGGACAATGTAGAAGAAGATACAAACAAGGAAGAGGTAGTGGAGTGCTCTTTGGGCGCTTCTGGAGTACGACTGGGTGGTGTACAGAGTGAATTAACGGTCGCTCAACGCGAACGCTCACAAGTACGCGTCCAGATTTGCAAAGGTGGTCTGAGATGAGTCATTCACCACCAAAGCAACTTTCCTTCAAGGTTTTCGCAAACGCTTGGCCTCTTACCGCAGAGCAATGTCCCTCTTTGACCAGTTTGAGAACGATGGGAGTATAAATACCGAAGAGTTTGCGGCCCTGGATAGACGAAAACAACTTGATACCCGCTCGACGCCCGTAATTGTATGTGATAAACAAAATGGCCGCTAGAACTATTGCGCTCGCCTGTAACAACTCTCTTACTGCTGGCAATAGCTTGAACAAGGATATGTCAGTGCTCGAGTTGAGAACCACACTCTTCCCATGTTCTCCCTGGATCGTGTCCAGTTTCCATTTCCTATTGGCAACTTGGTGTCCTTAGCAGTGTCAAACAATATGCTGGTGTTTGTTATGGAGCATAAGGGACACGGTGCAGGAAGGGACGGAGTGCATACACAAAAGATATATAGAATTGATTTGGGAAAGTCTGATGCTATTGATGGTAAGAGATCGGCCTTGGGCGGACGATATGCAGGCGACTGATAATGCTTTTACGATGGACAAACAGAGATTGATGCGACCTTGCGCCAGAAGACTGATAAAATTCGTAAAATATTTTTGGATCCCAGCGCAAAGCACTTGTTGATATCCACCGAGGCTGGTGACAACTACTATCTCTTCGAAAAATGGAAAAAACCGAGAATTTTAAACAAATTTCGGGTAGCCCACCTTTTTCAATCGAAGGCCGACAAGTCATCATCCTGCCAACTCATCGCAATTTGTAGGGAGTGATCATTGAATCAATAGGATGGGGAAAGCCAAGAAACGTGACTGGGGAATCCACTGGAGTAATGCTCATCGGGTCAAAGCAGGGACATCTCTTTGAAGCTGAATTGCAGCCGACGGATGAGTTCTTTAAGCGGGAAGAGAAGTACTTCCAACAAGTACGTGTCCTTTATGCTTTCTGCGCAGTTATGTAGAGCGAAAAGTGATATACAAGAGTCTCTAGGTCTTCACTATTCCTGAGGAAGGCATGCCTATCAGCAGTTTGCGCTACGAGCAATTTCCTGCAGTTCCGAAGAAATGCGTAGTCTTTCTAGCTACCCCTAACAGACTGTATCAGTTTATTGGTGATATTGGGGAGGATGATGCTGATAAAAGCATGTTCAGTGAGCTTTTTAAGCATTATGATGGTCATACTGCAAGTACGGACATCTTTTTATGTATTCATCATGGCCACGGTCTTTAACGTTGGGCTGCCAGATTTCCAGGAGATGCCAGGAGATCTTGTGCGGACGGAACTACAATTTTGGAGCCAGTATCTCAAAGAGACTGGTTTTCCGAGTGTTCCCAAGACATTTGCATGGCTTACAGGTACGTACTTGAATGGTGAGGTGATGAGCCCAGTCGTGCGCATATGCTAAGTTGCCCCAATACCTTTAGGTGCCGGTCTCTATTGTGGGGACCTCGTCTTTGGTAATCAGTCCGTGGGCGACAGTGTGATCAATAACGCACAATTACTTCCGTAAGTGGATGGTGTGCCGGGACATTACTAAACGCAAAATGTCAATCAGTATATCATCCTAAATCTTAGATATCCGCGACCCCCCAGTCGTCAAGAAAATGAATCGCCTGCTGAAGGTCTTTATCTTCCTGGGGACGTGCCGATATCTATCAATATCACCAAATTTCACTACCTGCTCCTGTATGAAAGCTCGATCAAAGCCATAAACATCTTGACAAGTGAAGTGGATTACGAAGAACAGATACCCTTGGTGCGCCTTGAGTGCAAATACTCAAAACTCCCGAATAGTGGAACTTATCGTTGTCGTTTCATTTTACTTGTAGGAATTCGGCGAGCTGGTGTTTGGCATCTCTGTGGATCCCCTCAAAAGCACCTACTGGATTTTTACAAATCTGGCTCTTTATGAGCTGATAATAACGGAGGAGGACAGAGACATATGGCGTATCTATCTGAACAAAAAGAGCTTCGACGCAGCTCTTTCTTATGCTAAGGTATTGAATTTGCAGTATCGTGTTCATTGCGTATCATTTTGCTGATAGTCATCATGGGTCCATGCAGAATCCTGCCCAGAAAGATCAAATCATTACCGCTCAGGCAGAATATTATTATTCTCAACAGCGCTATATATTGTCTGCTACGTATTATGCTCAGTCTGCGAGTCTCTCGTTTGAGGAAATCGTTCTCAAGTTTATCGCAAAAGATGAGCGTGAAGCTTTGAAGCATTTCCTTTTTCAGAAGCTTGAGCGGCTTAGATCGCAAGTAAGCTGGCATGGCCGTTTTAAATGACAATCGTGTGCATACTTACAGTTTGTGGATAGGATGCGACGCAGATCACCCTAATATCCACTTGGCTAGTTGAGATCTTCATCAACAGGCTAAATGTTTTGCGTGATAAAGTCAGCGATGCAGCAGCCACCGTGGAGACCTTGAGTAGGAATGCGGAGGCGACAGAGGGCCTAGAGGACGCGAATTCCAAGAAGAAAACCCTAGAGGAAGAGGAGGCTATCGCAATTGATGAGTTCAAGCAATTTTTGCGAAAGTACAAGGTGAGTTAGGATGAATTTAACAGATGATAGGGTAGGCGTTGACCAATGTCATAGACACGACTGGATCGCGACACTACTTCAAAAATCATTGCCAGCCACGGTCGGACCCAGGAGCTGCTATATTTTTTGGAACTGATGGGTGACTATGAGAAGGTGGTCACTCACTGGGTTCAAGAGCGACAATGGCAGAGCGCTTTGGATGTACTAGCACGGCAGGTTTGTTATGTGTCTGGCAAAGAAACGACTATAGAGTTCCTAACTGTAGTCTGCTCAGACGTCTGTGGACTTGTACTACAAGTTCTCGCCAATATTAATGGAATATGCCCCTTATGAGACAGTGAATGCATGGATAAGACAGCCCAACCTGAATCCTCGTAATTTGATTCCCGCTTTGTTGAAATACGAAGTGGTGAGATCCGCAGGAAAGAAAGGGACAGAGGGACAAGTATGTGCGGCATGCTATACAGTCGTTAAAGGGCTTTGCTGAGCTATCTATCCACTGTAGAATCAAGCCATCCGTTATTTACAATATGTCACACAAAACCTGCAAAATACGGACATGACCGTTCACAACTACCTCCTTTCACTCTACATATCCCAAGCAAAACGTCATGACGAAGAGGGCCTACTCCAGTTCCTGAATTCCCAGGTAGCTAGATGTGAACACTTTTTGAGGGCTTCATAAAGTACACTGGCCCTTGGTTAGATTATGGAGCTTAAATATCTGAACACAAACAGAAGGACCATCCCCGATATGATCTTCAATACGCCCTGCGACTGTGTAGCCAGCATGGGTTGGCCCAGGCCTGTGTCCATATATATAGTGCAATGAATTTGCACGAGCAGGCTGTTGATTTGGCATTGAAGGTAGGCGTCCATCTGCCTGTCCGATGGAAGTAATCCGGCGAAGGAGGAACTGACTGACATATTTTCTGTAGTTCAACGACTTGGAGCTAGCCCAGATCAATGCCAATAAGCCCGAAGAAGATAACTCGCTGAGGAAGAAGCTGTGGTTGCGGATAGCGCGACACGTCATTGAAGAAAACCGGGATATCAAACAGTAAGGAAAAGCAGGATCGGGAATGAAAAATATCTGCTAGTACTAACCAATGCACGACTTGATTAATACTAGAGCCCTGGCTTTCCTATTGCAAACCTCAGATCTTCTGAAGATAGAGGACATCTTACCCTTTTTCCCAGATTTTGTCCTTATTGATGATTTCAAGGATGAGATTTGTAGTGCACTGGAAGAATATAATGAGCACATTGACGAATTGAAAGCGGAAATGGATGAAGCAACCAAGAGCGCTGAGAGTATCCGGCTGGATATCCGAGAATTGCGAAACAGGTACGTACATTGCACCTCTGTAATGACAAGTGGGTTATCCCGCTAATATTTTGAGTGTGGCATTCATAGATACACGACCATTCCGGTCGCAGAACGGTGCAAATCATGCCGATCCCCGCTGTTGACACGACAGTTTTATGTGTTTCCTTGTGAGCACGTTTTTCATGCTGACTGCCTCAGCAATCAAGTACGTGCATCAAGAGTCCTCTCCAATAGCAATGCCTTCTTATTTTAACAATTTGCCTTGTTACTAGGTGATCAAAGAATCCACGCCGGCGAAAAGTAAGCGGATACAAGACCTCCAGGAACGGATTACACAGGAAATTGCCGCAAAGAGAGCGGCACTAGTTGATGACGGTGGCTCGATACTGTCATCGGCAATGTTGGGAATGAGGCGTGTTAAAGAACCAGGGGAAGCCAGCCCTGTTCCCTCCGCTGTTGAAACAAAGGGAAATAATAAGGCACGCAGTCCGGATACCTTAAAGGTAACGTCCAGTCGCATATTCAGCGTCTGATTTTGTAATTAACATGTTCTACCCTTTTTTTTCAGGAGGAATTGGATGATCTTATTGCAGCTGAATGCCCCTTATGTGGGGATGTGATGATTAAAAGTGTTGATAGACCTTTTATCGCGCAGGATGAGGGCGATACCATACGATCATGGCAACTATAACGTCACAGTCCTGGGCTTGTAATACTGCTGTATAGTTCATATGTGTATATATGAATGCAATCCATATAGTATTTAAGTCTCATATCGGCAATGGCGTACAACAGATCGCATATGCGGATCAAAGAAAGCTCATGGTTGAGTATTTACTCCAAAGTAAAGACGATCCAGTGTGAGGAAAGCGGCTTCCTCATCGAGATATTATTCCATAAGCTGCTCCTATTGCACCCAGATTCCTATTTCAATAGATTCGCTGGTTAGATTAAATAGCGCACAGAGTCGCGTTGCCCATTTAAAATACCAAGTCCATAAACATATCAATGTACAAGATGCCAAAACAAAACACACTACCCGACACCCAAAAAAAACTATACAAAAGGGCATGTTGACAACAAAGAACACTCTGCCGTAAAAGTGATACAAGAATGTCTGCCTCTTGTCCGATCTCATGTGTCTTTGCTTCCAAAGGACGCCCACGCGTCAACTTCAGCAGACTCTGCAAACAAGCCTCGGACGACTGGCCTACGGGGCACGGGCGCGTGTATGCCTTCATTCCATGTGTATCGTCTGAAGAGAACAGGACCGTCGTCATCATCGTCTTCAACTGTTTGTCGACGTCTAAGATCGTCTTCTCCATTAACGCTAAGTCGATTGGAGGAACTTCGTCTGCGCAGGATCGAGTTTTCTGTTTTTTTGCGAGGACTTAAATCCATTTCTATTGCGGAATCCGGTACGGGTTTTTGCTGCTTGGCAGGACTGACAGGGACAGACAGTCTTGGTGTATGCAGCGACAAAGCTCTGCGGATCCTGCCTTGTACACTTGTGTCTGCAGCATTATCCATCATCACCGTAAACGGCTCCTGCATCCCTTTGGGGCCCAGTTCATCTACGCGATAACCGTGCACGTAAAAGTCCCCGTACACGTGTGTCACCGGTACATAACGTCCGGTCGGACCTGCGGCTATTTCCGGCGTTCTACGCGCCGGTTCTTCTCTGGGAAGTAATAGGTATCTTACACAGCCAGCATGAACGCGTAACATGAAGTCGGCCACCCACGACAGCAGGAAAGGCGGAGCAGATATTTTAAGGGCTTGCCTTAACTCTGGGTCCATCAAGGCGTGTACAGTTCGTCGTGCGATTGGGAGAATGATCGAGTGCAGGGATTTGAAAGGCAGGGTATCGACGAATAAATCGATCGCTGCCGAAGCCAGCGCAGAGGAAGATGGGTGGGCACCCATGTGCTTCTCTTCAAATTTCTAGATGACGAATGAGTTAATACGCTAAATATCCTCCAACTAACATGATTCACATTGGAACGTACCCGAGAGAACTCCTCCATGTCGTGAAAGCTGGGCGGAATATTCTGGATTCCCATATGCGTACCAATTGCTTTCCACACTTCATAATGTGCCTTTAACCGGAAAATGACATTAGTCCAAAATCTCGACAATCGCTGTTATGTCTATGCCTAACATAAACACAGAGCCTGGAACCCACCTCCTTCTCCTTCTTTGCAAGACTCCTATAACCCCATTTCTCCACCAACCGACAAGGTTCCACTACCAAGACCGAAAGGACATAGCAATATTCCTCGTTTGTCAGCCTATACAGGGATCTGATCCTCGTTGCACGTTCCAACGCTTGCTGCGCTCGAGGGTGCGTAAGTGGACGCTCCGTCATTTCCTTAACAAGAAGATCGGTATCCTCAAAACGACGGGCAACATTTGCCATTCCTGAATCTGTTGACGTGTTTATATCATGCCTAGACGAAATGGCCTGGGCAATGGAAGGAATTGCATAGGCTCGAAGCATGCCGAAGTGGAAGGCCTGAGTGCGCAGCAAGTCAGATCGAATCAATATATATCAAACATTATAAAACATGTTCCTATGCAAGATCTCCAAGGAAGCACGTAGACTACACATCAACATACCATTCTTGATAGGAAGGGAAACTCGTATTCCCATGTCTTCTCATAGGTTTGAAACGCTGCCTCTGGTGACGACTGTGGATCTGGACCTTCGAGGATCTCAGTTAACGTGTCAAAGCGCTTGCCTCGAACCCAATACAGGTACGAAGACGCAGCCCATCCGAAGGGCACTAGGACAGGAAGCATGTTTCGTGTGCAGCGGTGACAGATATATACGAGAAGCGAGCAGATGACAGATCTTGTACGAGATCTTTGCCCCACAGTCTTTCGGCTAAGAGACAACTTTTGGAAGGAGATTCCACTGAAAGCGCTGTGTTTACGCAGCGTTGATGCGAGCGGCTAACGCTGTTTTGTGTGTCTTGGACGAGAGGAAGACCAGGGGAAGGTCCCTGGGGCGAGAGGGCAAGGGGTGTACAGGTAATCCAACGCGGAGATGGCTTAGTATATTACATAATTCGTGCAAGTCACAGCAGTCATTGGGTACTCCCAGCGATCTCTTGATTTATCCGGTCCTAGACCCAGCCATTCTGTGGAAATTGCTGCCATTGCAACCGCTACATTCTTGAGCGATCTTGAATTGGCAAACAGTGTTGCTTTAGATTATCGATCATAGGCCCTCTACTAAATCTCCAGATTTGAGAAAAACTACTAAAATATAACTGTACAACTAATGCTAATCTAGCTCATACAAATGCTAACGCTATTCGTCCATTTAGGAAGCAAACTTCACCTTCAGAGAGTGTAATCCCAAAATGTCTCAACCTATTCTATGGTATCTTCAATGAATCAGCCTCACTTTGCCAATTTCCCATTAACATCCCGAGGAGTTGGTTCCGGTAGCCGGAGTATCGATCTCGAAGCCCTCTTCCATCTGCTATCCAACATCAAGATGACTAAGGGGTCCACAGCAGCGTTTATAACAAGCATAATCACGCCAACGCTGTCAAGCCATGCAGGTGAAGGTCGGCCGCTAATCATTTCATAAAGGAAATACATGTGCTCAGGAGTCCAACAGATAGTGAACACCCCGACAAGGATGGCGGACTTGATAGCCAGACGAATTTGAAAGTCACGTTCATCGGTTGCCACGGTCGTGTCGGATAAGCCACCGTTGTCTAGAGCACTCTGCATGCGAGCGTGGACGAATTTGACGAAACGGTAAATGCTCCAGTAGACATAGACAAACCACATGTACGTTCCAACGATGGTGGTGAAGGTCAGCAAAGTGAAAATGAGCTGTTTTGCCTCGTGACCGTGCCATTGTCCGACACAATCTATGATCAAGAATAGAGTTATTCATAAAGCATTGAGCGTAAAAGAAACCAGGTTTTCGGATACATACAGGAAGCGGACGCTTGGAGCACGTAGTGTCCTCCGAAAGAGTATTGCAACCCACTCATGAAACCACCCCATAGCCAAACACCTGCCGCCAAAGATATAACCTGCCATTTCGACAGCGTTATGCCCTTGACGATTGTAAACCAGCGTTCGGTTGCGATTGCGGCCAAGCTCCCCAATGCCGAGGCATCAGTTGTCATTATCCACACGCCAATGAATTGACATTTGATGTTATCCCATCCTGTAACTCCTGGGGCAGCTCCGGCGGCAAAATTGAATATGTGAACCAGAAGGCATCCTGCACAGAAACAGAGATCGGCGACAATAAGAGAGGCCGTGAGGTAGTTTGGTCTGGTACGGAGTTCTCGGTAATTGCAGTAGAGGATGAGGGCAACTAACGAGAGATATCACATCATTAGCGGAAAACTCAAGTATAGAATCAAATGACGCTGCTTTTGGTCAGACAACATACAGCCATTAAAAATGACCCCGCAAATCTGGATTGCACTAAGTATCACCTCCACATAAAACGACCAGTTTGTGTACTCAAACCCCAGAGTATAATCCATAGTCATTGTTGAATGGTCTCAGCAGGGATGGTGCACAAAGCGAGGAAGGGTTGTCCAGGGCAAGAGCATTCCGTACAAGGCGGCAGGGTTGGGGTGAGCCTGTGAAATATTAAATAGCTCTCAAACAAAGGTTCGTCTAACTGTCACGGACGTGACACCGCGCCGCAAGTAAGCCACTTCCCATGCTCCCTTCAGGGGAACATCCCTTCCAAATCTCAAGCTGTTCGTATTGAAAAGACCAAAAACAAATACAAGATTTGTGATAAAAGATAGCCGGATGTCAACATGGCCGCGGTTTTGTTACCAATTTTATGTGGCAGGGCATTGGTATCCATGAGGGTACACGGCATTTGGCCATTCATTGCCCTGAAAAAGACCTGTTCTGGATGAATAGTCCTGTTCCGCGGAAAGCAAACTTTATAAACAATGTCTACACAATGTCTTCCCAAATACAACGACTCCTACCATTACGCATAAATCATGATGCCGTATGCATCAACAAAAACACACAGTTGCGGATGAAAAGCGATACTTGCAGTGTTCCGTCCATGTGATGAGAGGTCACGTGACGCTGAATTGTTTTTGACGTCAGCTTAACTTTGGTCGCATGGGTCAAGGTAGATCATTCAATTAGGTTGGGTTCACTGACAAGAATGAAACTCACCCCGGCCATTCTGGCCTCCCGCCACCCCGGGAGTGCCTTATCTGACTTGGTCAATGCAAATTGCTCTGATCTCGGCATATCGCACATTGAAGACATTTCCGCTGCTGTGAACCTGCACAAGCTGGATCTCAGCAAAAATGCTATAAAAAAGGCGGATGCCTTGAGTGGTATCAAGTATAACAAGGAAATAACGTGGTTGAACTTGTCCGGAAACTCTTTGGAAAGTATGGAGGGCGTCGAACATTTGCAAAGGCTGCTAGGTGAGTATTGTCCATGTTGTAGTCAACGCTGCAAACCCCGACTTATTCCAAGGTGGCAAATAGTGTTGAATATGAGCCATAACGAAGTCAACCGTATTTCGCACCATGTTGCAAACTGCAAATTGCTGAAAGCTCTCATTCTTAATCACAACAAAATCGCCCGCCTTGAGTACCTTGCCAACCTGACTCAGCTGAACACCCTCGGTTGGTTTCCTTGGCATTTTATTTTCAACTTTTCTCTTGACTAAATACCTCTATTTCTTCAGTCGTCTCCCATAATAAACTTACGAATTTGGATGGCCTTGGTTCCCTTCCCAACCTGACAAAACTCTCTGCGGCTCATAATGAGATTCGAACCTTTCCTGATCTGCGCATGGTTCCTTCCCTAAAGGAACTGCGGCTCACCGATAACAAAATTCTCTCAATCCCAGATCACATCAGATTCCTTCCTGCGTTAGAAATCCTGGATATGGGGAACAACCTTATGCGCTCCATTGCGGATGTTGCCAGTCTTGCATCGTTACATGCCATAATCAATTTGAATCTGAAGGGCAATCCGTTGGTGGAAAAGGAGAAAGGCGTGTCAGAGGCCGCGAGTGGCAAATATCGTAAAACACTGCTGACTCTCTGCCCAACGTTACGGGTGCTCGATACAGAGAGATTTGATGAAAAGTTTTTGGAAAGAAAAACCAAGCGGAAAGCTTTCATGGAGAAAAGGCAACGAAAATTGGAACGAGAGAAAGCGAATGAGAAGGAGGAGGATGGTACTGGACCAAGAGCGGAATTGCCACAGAGGACGCGAAGCAAAAATATCGGCGATACCCATATTCCTGCTAGTAGGCCAGAAAGGCAAGAGGGGCAGACAATGCTAGAAAATAATGTAAAGCGAAAACGGGAGGATCATGATGTAAAGCATCAGAAAGAGGAGCGGCCGACGAGCGGTAAGGTGAACAGCGCCAAGCGCGCTAGGCATTCAGAGGCAACGAATGATCAACTGCACGGCGGTGCAGCCAACGGGATGGGATCTTCGGGGAAGTCAAAGGGTTCAAAGCCGCGGGATAGACTGGGTAATCATACTCTTTCCGCAAGTGACCGACGAAAGGAAAAGGTCGCACCTACCCATAATGAACAAGTAAATGAAGTAGATCCATTCTTCCTCGTCGAGGAGGCTGAATCTGCGGTCTCCAGTAAAGCGTCAAGCAAGAACCCCCGACGCGGTACTGGTGGGAAGACTGATGGAAAATCAACCAGTAAGCCGATACTAAACGGCGCCACTGCTCCGAAGAAGGTATCGGCAGCTACTAAGGAACCGGCACATAAAAGCCAGCACCCTCCCGCAAAGAAGTCTTCCAGTACGCAACCCCCTTACAAGACTACAACAGTTGAACGAATATCTTCAGAATCGTCTTCGGAAAAGGTCGCACCATCAGCCGCACCGACTGCAGCATCAGCTGCATTGTTTGACGCGGCTACCCCTTTTACACCCCCAGCACCTGTTGTGGAGTCCACAAATGCACGATCAGGGGTTATTGCTGTTGTGGAGGTTAAAGGCCGGAAGCCAAAAGGTATCCTGGAACCTTCAGCGGCTGTTGAACATAGCAGAACGGGTGACAAAGTAGAGAGTGCTGGGCTTCTCGTAGGCGGGTGGGATTAATATCTTTATTTGTAGCACTGAAACCGTACATGTTGTATAGTTGACGCTCGTAATGTCTTGTACGTCGAGTATTTCAGTATTTGCATTGTATATTTTGCACACAAGGGTCTTTTAAATAATGAATCGAAATCCCTATGAACGCTTAATGAACGACTAGACTTATGCGGATGCTATCTACTTCTTTCTTGGTATTTCTCCATCCTTACTCAGCATCTTATAGTGTCGTAGATGCACCGCGAACGATAATGTCAACGTCCACAGGCTTGAATCCATCTCCCAGCGACACGGTAACCTTGTAAACACCAACGTCCTTGATTTTAGTTTCCAGCTGCACAGCGTCTCGATCTATGGATACTCCATGTTCAGCCAATAGCTTTTTGATGATATCCTCCTGTGACACAGAACCATAAATCTTTGTTGACTCTGGTCTGTGAAGGACACGTTCAAAGACAAGTTCTTTAATAGTGCCAAGAGCAGCAAGTTTCTCGACTTCCTGTTGGGCACGCTCTTCTCGGGTTGGTTTAGAAGTTTCAGCGTTGGTGGCGGTGACAGTGACAGTTTTGCGTTGTTCAACTTTTACAGTAGAATAGGCGGGTGTGATCTGGAATAGATACATGAGCGACGAAAAAGCTCAGGACAATCGCGAAAATATCCCTGAAATAATGTACCGTCTCTAACACGACATCATCTTCTCGAATCCGTGGTTCCCATCCATCAGGTAGGACGGCCTTCCCTTTTATTCTTGGGACGTAATATGCGAGACCGAATGGGACGAGGTAATTGCGTGCTGTTGATACTGTGTTCCACCAATCAGGATATTCCATTCTTTTCTTGGTTCCAGTTGACAAGAAACGTAGACTACTACTTACGATTGACAAGAGCAATTTCACCTGCAATTATAGAGCGCTGTTGTTAGCTAAAAAATAATACTCGTGCAGTAACTTTTGCGCTATCTTCGCACCTTTGTCACCTATTCCCGCAATATCTTCTCTCAGGAACACATGTATATCTGGCTTCTGGAATTTGGTTCTCTAGTTTCAACAAAGACCGGATTAACTCCGTGGCTCGAAATATCAAATTGCAGATCGCCTCGCGGTTCCGACTGCTTTTTATTCTTCTAACACTGAGTAGGAAAAAAGGAAAACCTACTTGTGCATATACAAGCCTAGTAGGCAGTGTTCGTAGAGCCAATGTTGCTCTTAGGGCCTGTCGAACTCCCAAAGCCATTTTGGTGTCGAATGGTCTCGTTGCAGAATCGTTGACGAGTTCCTGCTTCCTTGCGAGTCATGGCAACAAAGCAAGTGGCACGGTCCCGTGGGCTTAGCACCGCGACGCCAGTGAAGCGTACGAGCCCCCAGCCCAAAACGATATCCATTTCCCAACTCAAAAGAAAGAAGTTTTAGGTTATAGGAGTGAACGATTCGTGACCAAGGACGACCGAGGGGAAAGGTCACTCTGTGGTGTTTGGAAGCGGAGAGAGATCCTACCCGCTCTTGGCTCCTGCTTCCTCTTACATATGCCGCCGGACGACACTAGCCAGCATCAAACACTTGCCACGATGTCAGCCTCATACACGAGAGAAGAAGAGCAATTTGCTGCAGTCGACCTTTCGGAAACAGGATACGAGAGCGAGTCATGGTCTACCCCTGCTCTATTTGTTGATTATGATAATCTCGATGGAAAAAGGGGCGATCGGATTCCATTACGAGGGAGGTTTGATGACGACCGACCAAGACATGGTAGATTGGATGAGGAGCTGTCAGAGTATGACGACGCTTATATGGACGATGTGGAGCAGCCTGCTGCACAAGGACTATTGGGAGGGTTGGCTAGAGTTGCGAAGGTGAGGCTCTTATGTATGTCGCCGCATACACCCCTTGATTGTTTACAATGTCGATCCTGCAGCGCCATGCCAAGCGAACCGTACCAAAGCCAGCGTTCCTGATGTGTGGTTTGGCGGTGGTATTGGTTTTGATTGTACTGGCATCAATCGCAAGCAATGGCCCGTACCCAGGTATGCAGGTCATCTCCTCGGAGAGCGTTTGACTGTACTAACAACCTGTTCAATTTCCAAACCAGATGAGTCAGTAGAGAGATCCTCCCGTCCGAATATCACGCTAGGTCACGTATTTAATTACACGTTTGGTCCCCGCTTCCCATTGTATCAATGGGAGAATGGTATGTCATGTCCAGGAATGATATGGCATAACCGGTATTCTTATCATTACTTTAGGAAACGACGGGGACTTTTCATTTGCAAGTGAGGGAAGCATATATATTCAGCATGTGGAACAGGGGAACAAAAGTACACTTCTCCAGGCGGCAGATGCTGTAGACTCCAACGGGAATCGCATTAATTTCCGTAGCTACAAAATTTCGCGCGACTTGCAATACATCCTGTTGGAAACTGACCATGAGAAGGGGTGGAGGCACTCTTTCTTTGCAAATTACTGGGTGTGGAACGTCGCGGACAAAAAAGCAGAGCATTTAACCACCTCAAAGTCCGATAAATCAATACCCGGTGAGATTGGAAGCGGAAAAGTAGCTTTAGCCTTATGGAGTCCATCCGGTCATCATGTTGCCTGGGTCAGAGACAATGATCTTTACGTCACAATGGATGCGAAGACGGAAGTGCGGATTACGACAGATGGATCGAAAGACATCATAAACGGCATAGCGGACTGGGTGTATGAAGAGGAAGTGCTAGGGACTCACGACGCAATGTGGTTCTCACCTGGTGGAACACATCTGGCTTACCTAAAGTTCAACGAAACACTGGTACCAGAGTACCATCTGCAGTACTACGAAAAGAACCAGAAAGTGTCCTATCCTGAGGAGGTGTCCATCAAATATCCAAAGCCTGGAGCGCAGAATCCAGTTGTAAGCCTACATGTCGCGACACCTTCTTCTCCAAACGCAACGGGACTCGATGTTCCTGTGGAGTTTGACATGGCCCAATATTTCCCTGACGATGATCGTCTCATTGTCGAGGTCAACTGGGTCAGAGAAGATGCCATGCTGGTCCGGATGACAAATAGAATACAAAGCCACCAGAAGCTTTTTTTGACGGAACTGAAGACCAGTGCAACAGGGGCCACATGGAAGAGCAACCTTGTTAGACAGGATGTGGTGAGCGACAACGGGTGGATAAATCGGTTACAACCGATCGTATTTGTGCCGCCTTCCAAAGCTGTCGGAAGGCAAAATCCATCGTACCTTGAAGTTATGGAGGACGAAAACGGTTACGCGCATATTGCGTATTTTTCGACCGTGACCGAAGTGAAGCCGACTGCATGGCTTACCAGCGGACTTTGGGAAATAGCGGACATTGTCGGGATCGACGGCGAGAGAGGAATCGTCTATTTTACAAGCACCGAAAGAGGTCCATCGCAGCGACACTTGTACAGCGTGCATCTAGATGGTTCGAATAAACATGCTTTGACCCCTCCGATGAACTATTCTTCGAGTATCATTTTGCCTCCTCTGGAATTCCAACCTAACGGGACTACCGCCGTAGACCCAGATGCGAAAGACATTGGTTATTATACGGCCAATTTCTCTCCTCGCTGTGCTTACTATCTCCTTCAATACAGAGGGCCCGACATACCCTGGAGCAGAGTGGTGAAAGCCGACGGGAGCTGGTTTCAGGACGTCGCGGATAATCAGCGTCTTCGGGACATTTTGCCCCTCTACGCGGTACCAAAACGCAAATTCTTTCAAATCCCCAGCGGCGCAAAGTCGGACGGGAAGGGTGGCGTGCTGAATATGAACGTCCAAATGCAGGTTCCATACGATTTTGACCCTCATGCAAAGAAGAAATATCCTGTGCTGATGCGAGTCTACGGTGGGCCCAACTCGCAGCTGGTACAGCAATCGTATTCAGTGGATTTTATGACTGCTGTGACAAGTGCTGGCGGATTTATTTCTATCATCGTAGACGGGCGCGGTACAGGCTTCATGGGTCGAGCATACCGATCGACGGTGGCCAACCACCTTGGTTCAGTGGAAGTAGAAGACCAAATAGCAGCGGCGCAATGGTTGCGTCAGCAGCCGTACGTGGACGCGAGCCGGATAGCTATATGGGGTTGGTCATATGGGGGTTACATGGCCACTAAAGTGGTTGAAGCCAACTCGGGGTTATTTGCCGTTGGAATGGCTGTCGCACCTGTTACTGATTGGCGGTATTATGACTCGATATATACTGAAAGGTATATGAAGACGCCGCGCATGAATCCGGAAGGCTATGACAAGAGCATGGTAAGAGAAATGGAAGGATTTGAAAAGACCAAGTTCTTGCTTGTTCATGGAACAGCTGATGGTGAGTTCGCATGCAGTAGCGTGAATTTATGGTCCAGTAAACTAACTTGCTGGTATCCGCGCCGCTCACCGACGCTTCAAGATAATGGTGAGTATTTTACTCATTTCAGATGGTCATTATTTTTCGCTCTTAGTAACGTCCTTGTTTCGTCACTATTCTGCAGTACATTTTCAAAACACTGCGTCTTTGGTATGGCGCTTAACCGGAAATGGCATTCGCAACTATCGCGTGCAAGTATATACTGACTCCGATCATTCCATGTCCGCCGGGGGGGCTAATCGGGAGGTTTATGTGCTCTTGTGGGATTTCGTCATGGAAGCGTTTGGAGAGCGGCGTGCGCCTATAGGAATATAAGTAGGCAATTTTTATGTAGGTAAAGGTTTTTCTTCATTGTATAATTTTGTGAGTTATCTAGTATCGGCGGCGTAACAATGGCGTAGGAATTTCAAATAATTATCTTGAGCTGCCAATGACCTTCTTTAGACAGCAATTGTTTGTACAATGTCATTATATACACGTTTTCGTGACCTGAAGATGCCACTTGATATCGCGGAGCACTTCATTTGACACTTTCTGCCCGATATTTCCAATACTTTTGGCGAATTGGATCATTTTCCTCCAATATCGCGCAGATCTGGCGGATCCCATCAAACGGAGGTCAGACTCACATATCGAGTCCTAAAGACCCGTTATAATAAACTCACCCTGCGACATTCATCAACATCCTTTACCGCTACCTTCATATCCAAAAGCATGGCGAGGGCATGTGGTATGGATTGCCCTTTATCGGAAAGATCCTTGCAGGTCTCTTCCACAGAAGGGAAATCGTCAAGAGTCTTGCCACCGAGTGCCACTATTCTGCTAGATCGTCAATACTCATGATAACTATATCCAGATCACAGTCATTGTGGCACCTACCCACGAAGATAAGCCCATGGACTCTCATTACGCGGTGCCAAATAGATCATCTCTAAAGCATATCTGCATCCGGGACCATCTAAGTCATTGCTGCCAAGCGGCGTCAAGGACGCAGTCGATAAATATCATACTTCACTTCCGCCGCAATATCTTCATCCGTGAAACCACTTGGACGATTTTTCAACACCCAATATCGCTGGTTCCACGCAGAGTTATTACGCACATCCATGTCCAGAAAGCGATTGGTATCCGCCATTTCTCCATCCCATAAATCGAAGGTAGAGATGACCCATTGACTGGAGCAGGCCATAAAAGTTGATTGATGAGAAGTGGTATGCAATATCTGTGGAGGTATCGTAATCCTACCGATATGACCACGCGTGATAATTCTTCGAGTCAATATGGAGCATTCGATTGATGAATTCCACTTCCCGCGACGCATCGCCGAGCTTCCGTATTATGGCCTGTCGATAGTGCCTGTAATTTTCGACTTACCCTTAGTGCCCACTCGTCGCGTGGGCACAGATTACTGGGGGTTGAACGTGACCCACCATCCTTACCATGTTTGGTAGCTTTTTGGCTGGTCCTCTGCCATCTCTTCCACAAATTCCAACTCCTTCAGGAGATCTGCATCCCTCGCAATTACGGCATCTTGGCGGTATTTCCTGGAGTAATCATCCATAGGGTTGAGAGGATCGTTTTTGAGCAAAGCGGCCAGGCCCTTGCCGTAGCCCTTTGAGATCGGACTAGGGAGACTGACCACACACTGTAGTGACTGGGATTAAGGCGAATGATATGGGCAGTGAGATCCAGTACGCGAGGACTATATTCGTTGGTTTGCAAGATTGCTCGAAAGTAACTCATTGCATCCGAGTCTAAACAGTTGCACGTTGGTTAGGTGAGGACCGCGGTAGCGTTCAAAGTTCACCTACAAGCAGAAGAGTAGGCAATTGGAACAAGTGGGCTTGGACCATCATCTTGGGACACGGGCGTGACATCTGCCCACTCGGGGCGTGCACTAAATGGCTTTTCAGAATCGTTGCTCATCTTGAAAGTCCGTCCAGTAAATCGCAAATTCAAAAGCGCGTCCGAGAGCGTGGGTCGGTTAAATTAATATCTACAAATACTAAGCCAAGGTGGGACAGACTCACATGATCGCCGAGTCCTTCCGAGCTGCTGACAATTTCCATCTGCCTCGCTTGCTGCTCTTCCTCCACCAGACCAACCTCATCGTCATGTCCAAGATCGCCAAAGACGTTTTCATTGGTGAGCTTCGTACTGTACCCCTAGAGATTTCGTTCTTTGCATTATCGCTGACTTCTTTGCTTTTCGTCACATAAAGTTGCCGCCAAGCGCACAGTGGGTATCTCTACGGAATTTGGCTCACTTTGCAGCTATCACTAACCGCTGGTATCGACCTTTGCAGCCTTTTGGTGCGTTCGGAGGAAAGCTTGCGCAATTGAGCGCTACCGAGCTTGGTGGGTTAGCTTCTGTTGCCGCGATCAAGGACTTGCCTCAGGGTACCAAGGTTGACTCTGTTATTTACGGCAACGTGCTGCAGACCTCAGCAGGTAAGCCAGATACATCCAGTGTTATGGAAGGTTTAGCGATCAGGTTAAAAACAATGCGAAATCTTCCCTTTATATAGATGCGGCCTATCTTGCCCGCCATGTTGGACATCGGGCCAAAGTTCCCATTGAGTCTCCCGCGTTGACAATCAACCGTCTTTGTGGATCCGGTTTCCAGGCTGTCATTAACGGAGCACAAGAGATCATCTTGGGAGAAGCGGATGTTGTCCTGACCGGTGGTACAGAAAACATGACCCAAGCACCCTACGCGCTTCGGAACATTCGGTCTGGTACAAGATATGGTGTAGAGTAAGTGCTTTACTTCCATGGACGTACCCGTGTACGTGGTCTCATAAGGATGCAAAACACAGCCAAAAATTGGAAGACACCCTTGCCCATGCCTTGGTTGACAGTTTCCCTCAGCGTGTTCCCATGGGTATCACTGGCGAAAACCTTGGAAAGAAATATGGTATTACCCGTAAAGAGTGTGATGAATTTGCTCTTCAAAGTCAGCAGCGATGGGCCAAGGGTATGCTAGTTTTGGTTATGATTTCAAAGGATAATGTCTAAAAGTGTCTTTGTACGCATCAGCCAACGAAGCCGGCATCTTCAATGCTGAAATCTCACCAGTGGAGATCAAGACGAAGAAGGGAGTTCAGGCTGTTACCACCGATGAGCATCCACGCCCACAGACAACCCTCGAAAGTTTAGCAAAACTTCCATCAGTGTTCATCAAGGACACCGGTCTTGTGACGGCAGGGTAAGCAGATTGTAAAGGAGATCCTTGAGAATGGCACCAATGTCTAACTTGCAAACGCAGTAATGCATCTGGCATCTGCGACGGTGCCGCGAGTCTTGTCGTTGCCGGCGAAGATGCAGTGAAGAAGCACGGCTTGAAGCCCCTTGCTCGTCTTGTCAGCTGGTTCTACACAGGCGTTGACCCCAACATCATGGGAATTGGTCCCGTGCCTGCCATCCAAGGTGCTCTGAAGAGAGCTGGTCTGTCTTTGAAGGACATGGACTTGATCGAAGTCAATGAAGCTTTTGCCGCTCAATTCCTGGCCGTTGAGCGAGAGCTTGGTTTGGACCGCGCCAAGACAAACACCAGCGGTGGTGCGATCGCTTTGGGTCACCCTCTCGGGGCCAGTGGGGCACGAATCACGACGCACTTGGCTCACGCACTCCAGCGTACCAACGGTCGTTACGCCCTTGGTTCGGCATGCATCGGCGGTGGTCAGGGTATTGCTGTGATTCTGGAACGTGCTTAGGATATTGATAGAAATGGTTTTGATATAGGAATAGTCTTGGTAGACCACTTGCCCTTTAATGACATTACACATTGCATCGTAGAAATTCATGTGGATTTCATCGGCAAGCTCATTTGTGAAAATTCACGGGGCTGGCAGCACATGATGGCTTCTTTCCCACTCCTATTGCTCGTCAAACCGGTACTCAAGGAACGTCAAGGCAAGATTTAAGATCTGGCTAGGCGGACGGCAGTTCCAGGCCACGCAATACTCATATTTCTGAGGTTCTCAATCTACGAAATACATCCATTGATCCCCCCAAATCCTCCATTTTCCGTAGTTCCAACACTTGACATACCCTCTGTTCACCAATCCGGGCGCGAGCGTTAACGAGTGTATTTACCCACTGGTACACAAGGAACACTTTAGCAAAAGAGCCTTCTTGTCAAGAAAGGTACATGTATGTGCCTACCGATATGCAGAATGAAAACCGAAGCAATGAATGTTAAACTTCCGACCAGAACAACTACAGGGTCACTAAACACGGAATCACAAACACCCCGTCAACAACCACGTATCCAAAGCGCAAATGCACGAGTAAACATTACACTTTGATTCCCGGTGAGTCGTCAGTGTAGATTCTCATCATACCACCCGGTCCGCTAGTAGCCGGACGTGCTCCCGTTGACGATCTCGCCACGGTACCAGTCTGGCGTCGGCGCAGACCCGCTGCGGTACGTGGGGGGACGCTTGGAGAGGATGTGTCGGACTATGAAAGCGGGTCAGAGTCAGACCTACAACAAGAGTTACCATGCGAGGGCGAACGTACCATGTTGCACGGATCTGATGTCAGTATTTCAATGAAACCTCACAGTTGCTGGCGCAACGATCAAGTTTGTAGCTGGACGGCCTTGTTGTCGTGGCGGAACAGGGCGGCTCGAACCTGCATTTAATGAGTCCAACTGTGGAATTGCAACAGTGGCGATTAAGACTTTATCCGGTTTATCCGGCACATCAGCCCAATATAAAGTCTGTGGTGGCCGCTTCATCGTCTCGGCATCTTCAACACATCTCTTCATACTCTACTGCAATAACAATTTAAAAAATGGCAGACCCTGCAAGCACTGGAAACGTAAGTGTGCTTGGTTAGCCCTCAGTCTACGCGTGGATGTCATGATCTGGTTGACACCTTGTTTATTGTCGTAGCCTGAATTCATCCAAGCCGCCGAGGACGTCAAGAACCTTTCCTACAAACCCAGCAACGACGAACTTCTCCGCCTCTACGCTCTCTTCAAGCAGTCTATTGTTGGTGACAATGAAACTAGTGGGTGTTACTTCATCTGTAATCCAGTGGCCAAATAGCGGTCTTTTGACTGGTGTTTATTTTTACAGCCAAGCCTGGCATGTTTGACCTCCAAGGAAAGGCAAAGTGGGATGCCTGGACCAAGTTGAAGGGTGCGTAGGACGTTTCCCACATGCTAAGGAGACAGTGACATTAATATCCGTTCCATTTTGACATTTAGGTACGTCCAAGGAGGAGGCTCAGAAGCAGTACGTGGCGCTTGTGAAAGAGCTCCAAGGAAAGCAGTAGAGTCAGTATAGGCTGTGTAGAATAAGTACTGGGACGGCGTATGTAGCGGCTACTTGCAATTGTGCATATGAGTCAAATCAAATTGGTGGCTGTTCCACCCAAGAAACGAGTTATCCAGCCATCTGAATCATTGTCCTGTCACACCCTACCACCCCACTATTTACATGTACATCTCTCTCTACTCTACCTACGTGAGTTCTATAAGTTAGGTTACTTGACCAATGTAACAAAACCACCTGTAAGTTGTGCATTGTTTACATATCGAAAGGCCATCCCACCCACATCTTCTCCCCCTTCTGGGGAACTCGGAGCTCACTCCATCTGCTAATGTCTTCCTTGACATTTCCATCTACCTTCTGAACAGTAGGTACGTGTTGTGCCACCAAGGGACGCCGTTCATTCGCAATCTCTGCTTCCACTTTGGCTCCAATGATGAGCATGTTGCGAAGAACATCCTCCACATCGTCCCAGCTGGTCAGAGGATTGGCGATCACTACGCGGAACGCGTCCACATCACGGCCGTGGAATCTGACCCGTGTCCGCGAAACAAAGCCGGTGGGTGGCGATGGCTCCTGCGTTGCTTCTGATGGCTCTGTGCCAGCAGAGGCCAAAGCAACTTGAACCCGCCTGGTACAATCACTGACGGATGCATCTTCTTCCTCTGTTAGAGGTTCGCCAGTGTGAACTTTGACACGAAGTTCTTTGGGCAGGTATCTGAACAAGAAGATGTTTGTTTCCGGCAGATGGAGGCCTTGAAATGCGTAGCTGGGATGTGTATCTATTCTAACGCTCATTTGTCTCGCGAGTGTCGCACTTCGCGTGACCAGACATTCGAGCCCGTCCCGTCCCAGAAGATGCAAACTGGCATGAAGATGGAGAGATATGGCGGGTCGGGAGCCTTCAAGAGTAAACTTGCCGAGATCAGGAGAATCGTGTCGTATCACGTAGTTTGCAGTTTTTCGGATTGCGTGCGCGGTGGTGGGATGTTGGAAAAGAAGCAACCCAAGACCCATGGGTGTGTAGAGTTGTTTGTGACCATCAACAGTGATGGTATCGGCATGGTGAATGCCATGAAGCTTTGGGCGGTGTTCGGCGGAGAAAATGAGAGGCCCACCCCATGCAGCATCCACATGGAAGTGAATTCCCTGCCGTTGGCATTGTAGGGCAATGCGGTCTAAAGGGTCTATAGATCCTGTTTCTGTTGTGCCGGCAATCCCAACTACTGCAATGATCAGGTACTTCTTGGCTTGGAGTTCAGATAGTTTGGCTTCAAGCTCGTCCATCCTCATCCTGAACGCATCATCAGAATCGATCGTTACCAGCCCTTCATCACCAAGCCCCAGCAAATCCGCGGCCTTTTTGAAGGAGTAATGCATCAGTCTGCTACCGACGATGACTGCACCTTCATAGCCATAATGTTTCAATGCTTTGAATAATCCTTCCTTCTCCACCCCTTTGAAGCCATTTTGTGGATCTGAGGGAAGTGCTCGATTTCTCGCGGCCCACATGGCAGTGATATTCGCTATTGTGCCACCAGAACAAAATACACCGAGCGAATGTTCAGGGCTGTGCATGTAAGCCTCATAGAAGGATGACGGATTATTATAAAACTCGCGATGAAGCATCGCAACTGTCTGGCGCTCAAGGTACGTCATGGTTGACGCCGTTTCGAGCTTCACCACGTTCTGATTCATGGCGGCCAAAAGACGTGCAAGCGGCCGATGGAAATAAGGTAGCGCGGTTGTCATGTGCCCAATCATTTTGGGAGATGAGACTCGAGTCGCTCGGTCAATGACGTTGGACTTGACTGTCCGCAAATATTCTTCTGCGGATGCTACTCCAATCTGTCCGGCCGCCTTTGAACGCAGAGGTACCTCAGATTGAACGAAGCGAGCGCGCATAGATTCTGGGGTGTCAGGCTGAGTAGCGTATATCGGAGCTGGTTCGTTCAAAAAGGCTTCAATGATGTTGCTTAGGTAGCGATCGAGTTTATTTTCACTTTGACTAGTAGCAACAAAATAGTGGAGGACTGAATCATGATCGTGATATGAAGAGCGGCGTTCCCTTGGTTCTCCGTGCTCGTATTCACCACCATCATGCTCTTCCTCCCTTCCTTCATGTTCGTTTTCAGGGCACGGCGCCGCATCCACCGAGGCCTTGCGTGTGGCCCCTATCCGCTGCACTCCACTAGCTCCTCCATACCAGAAGGGGAAATCGTCGGGGAAGTCTTCATCATAACCCTCATCAATATCCTCGCTCTCAGGAGTTAAAGGACGAGGATCTGCTGCTGCTCCCGCCGGCAATACAGATTTGGGTGCTATTTTATGGTCATGTCAACTTGTGTCAAACTGATATGCTATTGGCTAGGAAGCCCAAAAAACTCACTCAGGCCTCCAAGACTATTGCAAGGATCGGGAAGCTTTGCAGCAGGCATTACGATCTGGTTGCAGTGACAGCACCAACTGTCAAAAGGGTGTCCGATGAGAGGCTTCAATTGATTCCCCTCTGCAACGCCGAGGTGTGTGTGGGGAATGAACTTGTGGGGTGTTTTGGCTAGGGAGACGTTATGGCCGTCACGCCATGCCTCAAAACTTTGGGCTGGGGTGATTAGTCACGTGTTGAGGGTGGGTAAACAAAGAAAGCGATCTCTACAAAGTTGTAACACCTCTAAATTACTTCTACTTTCATGATTATTGTGTTGGTTAAACATAGTTATTCCTTTCACCGCGCTGGCGCAACTGACATTATTTTCAAAATCTGTTGGTTAACTTCCTCCATCAGGGCGGACACCTGCTTTGCAACGGGCTTGTAATCACTTTCAGCGAGCTTTGAGCTTATATCTAAAAAGAAATGATTCGCCATGTCAATCCGCTGAACGTGCTTTGTAATGTCTCCCACATCTTGCCATAAAAACTTACACTCTTTCAAATGGAAATTGGTTCCCTCAATATGCCTTAAACGTTGCTCCATAGCTGCCAGGTGTGCAGCCGTCTCATTTTCGTGCAAGGACGTCTTTTTCGCCTCGTGCTTGGCAGAAAGCGTGTGTTGCACCTGATATCGGAGTGTATCTCGCAGTGTAAGCAGCTGCTCGCGCTCCGATGAATTGCGCTGATGCAAGTAAAGTTGTCAATTTGTGGGTCTGAAAAAGTTCGACGAGTTCCTGGACAAGGAAACATACAGCCTTTGTCTCCTCAACTTCTTTCTTCACACTTTCGATATCAGAGACTTTGATAAGGTCGTTCTTGAGCCCCTCCATTTTAACTCGAAGTTGCTCCAGCTCGGCCGCCATCTTGGTTTCAAGTTGGTTGACTTTTTCCAGGTCCTGAAGACGTCGATCCCGTTCTAATGTGCCCCATATCAACATCAGAGAAAGTACACTTGATGCTACAATAACTTCAGCAGCTCCAACCTTGGACCAAAGCCTCCATTGTGTTCTCGGAATTCCGCATTTCCTTCTCTTTAAACTTTAAATCGCCTTGCAAATCTTGAAATCCTTCTGGTGACGGCAATTGCTCGTGTTTAGAGAGCGACTGATTAAGAAAGAACGTCAAGCTGGAGTATGGCAAAACTGATGCAACCCTGCTGTCGTGCGATTTTACCCGAATATGGTCCAGCAACGTTACGATGTTCTTTTCAGTCTGGCTGTTGCGTTCCTCGGCGTCTTTTTTCCGATCCTCAAAGTTATCAATGAAGTTCTGCATGTCCCGGTCGCGCTTAAGAAGCTCCTCGTATTTAGCATTCTTCTCGGCTGTGTCAGAATCGAGCGCATATATAAGTGAACAAGGAGTGTCGGAAATGCACGCGGTGCTTCGCATACCCTGATTGGAATCTATTTCCATGTCCAATTCAGAGAGCTGTTCCTTCATCTTTTGAGCTTGTTCTTCGAACTCCAAAATTTTGCGCTCCATAGCAGATGTTTCCTGGTTATCTTCTTTGACCTGGTCAACCAAAAAGTGGGTTCGTTGCGCATAAAAAAGCCTTGGATCGCGCAAAATTAATTACCTGCTGCAGTAGTCTGCTCTTCTCCTGTGGTCCAGATTCTGATTCCAAAGCCTTAAGTGATTCCTCCATCTCTTGCTTCTTTGTGCGCAACTCGTTCACTTTCTCGTTCAGTGCTAGAGCTCGTTTCTTGATTGGATCTTGTCGCAAGTCCTATACGCAACGATCATGAGCCATCGGATGATTTGAGCCTTTATCGCCATCATTGTCGTTATCCAACTACGCTGAGATGGGGCGCTCACATACCTCTTGTAACGCCGTCGTCTGTTTGCTGAGCTCATCAAGCTCCAGCTGCCTTCGTGCAATCTCCTCTTGATATCTGAAGTTTTGTTCTTTAAGGTCGTAATATTGTGCTCGACGAGCATCATCCTTTGGAGAATCAGGATTCAATTTCAATATCAAGACTTTGACGGTTACGACTTCATGATTGACGAACCAGATCATTGATTTGTTCCTCTGTCCGGCGTCGTTCTTCTTCTATTTGGTTCTCCAGCTCCCTGGTTGCCGCTTCCCGTCTGATTACGGAAATGGGTGTGTTAACTTTTGTCTTTCTTCATGTGCCCACCGCCCAAACTCCATGACACTCACTGTTGTCTTTCCATGAAGACTTCATCTAACACCTGAGATTCCCGCTCGTTCTTTGCTTTGAGCTGGTTGTAATGTCGTTCAATGTCTTCCAGATCGGTGTCCGTGTGAAGCTTGTCGACAAGTGTGTTAAAGTCTCCTAATTGACCCTGCAGATCGCGTAATTCCTCCGCCAGCATGTCGGCTCTAGTAACGTTAGACCGTTGCTGGATCCAGCAAGTTGACCTATTCGGCAATTGCATACCTCTTCTCAAATGCGGCACTATTGGCATTCTCCTTGTTCAATGTATCGTATTCCGCACATAGCCGCTTGACCTCATTGTTCAGTAGAGTTATCTTTTGCCGAAGTTCGCTTTGGAAGAACGTAATGTCTTGCACCATACGACCAGGCCCTACACTTTAGTGCGTCAGCCAGGGAACTTTAGCGTGAAGCTGCTAGGAATAGTCTGGTCATGTAGTTATGTATGTACCTTGGACGCCGGTACGCATGCCTCCCAGGCCCTGTTGAGTCATTGGCCGGTCAACCACCTGGAAACCAAATGCTCCTCTCATCGCTGTCGTGGGTCGCGCGGTTCCAGGTACACCCGCCCTCGTCGCACCTTCAATTAATACGTGATGAGCTCCTGCCATCAAAATCAAAACATGCAGATCGTACCAGTTCGCGGAGGAGCTGGGGCTCCTCCCGCCGCAGCGCCGCCTCTTCCCCATGCTATTATCCAAAGGTTAATCATATACATATCTCCATGAGCAAGTCGCAGTCCTAATATGTTTTCACTTACATGTTGTTGACCCGGCGCGGCTACTTGGACGGTTTGCAAGCGATCCTGTTGGCGGTCGACCTGAACAAGTTCACATTGAATCGTTAGATGCCATTATGAAAAATGAGATTGGCGTTTTGCGTCACTGCCATCTGCAAAACATACCGTACATGGTGGTGACTGTTAAATATTCAGATGAGAATGATTTGGATCACTGCGTGAGGACGCGTCCAACACTGCTTACGCCATCCCAGCTGGATCCCTCGATCACATCCTGCGCGTAAAGCGTCTAAACGTTGGGAATAGCCCGATACGACAATCGCTATGTTCTTCAAAGATTCGAATGGACCCCGGAATATTAGCAATGCAACAGCTATAAGCACTTTCTTTGGCTTCAAAGTTGTTGGTAATGATCGTGGGCATCATGTTCAAAATAAGTCCTCCACTCCACAGCTTGTGGAAATTCTCAGCTAATGCAAAGTGCTGCGACCAAAACTTAAGTGACAAAAGACAAAAGTTTACAGTTTTCGTTCAAGGATCAACCAGCACAGCATCTTCCGCACGTGGTTATGATATAATCCTTTTGGGGCGGATCACCTTTGACAATGTATCTCATAGGCAAACCCAAAAAGGCTAAATGAGCAACGTGGCCACCTGGATAAGCAGCGCTGTCGGGGCGCATCCGCCGCGCTGTTGACAGTCAGCCTAAGCCAGTAAAAAGGAGAAAACCACATTCATCAACCCATCTAAAACGTTTCAACCAGTCACTACGTCCTTGAAATGACTGCACACGCGCCCATCATCCGTCTGGATTGCAAAAGTCAATCATATGATTGGGGAAAGCTAGGAAAGGACAGCAAAGTCGCGGAGCTTGCGGCTGCTTCGCCAGAGTTTGCCGCAAAGGAAAACACGCCGTATGCAGAGGTAGGCTTCGTTTGAGACAGCATGCGAATCATACAAATCGGGTTTACAGTCCAACAAAATATTGGTAAATAGCTTTGGATGGGAACCCACCCCAACGGGCCTTCAAAAGTCTTCGACACAGATACCCCTCTCAAGACGATATTGAACGCAACAAACTTGACTGAAAAGCTACACCAAGAATACAGCGGCGACCTTCCCTTCCTGTTCAAAGTCTTGTCCATCAGAAAGGCGTTGTCCATCCAAGCGCATCCGGATAAGAAATTGGCAGGCGACCTGCATGCAAGGTTCCCTGATATTTACAAGGACCCAAACCACAAGCCTGAAATGGTACAGAGACCATAGAGCAACGAATGCGACTTTGTTGACTGACGATGAATGCATTTTGTTAGGCCATTGCCCTCACCCCTTTTGAAGCATTCATCAACTTCCGCCCTTTGAAAGAAATCAAGGCCAATCTCACTCAATTTCCCGAATTCCGGGACCTGATCGGTGATGCCGTATCCAAACAATTCGAAGTGCAAGTGGATAAAGCGGGTGAATCAACTGATGCCAAAGATCTCGCGGCCAACAAGGATGTTTTGAAGCTCCTGTTCAAAACATTGATGGAGAGCGACGAAAAAGCGCTCCATGAACAACTGGACAAATTGATAACCAGAATACAAGCCGATGGACTAAACACCAAAGGAGGATTGTTTGAACTGGTTTACCGTCTGAATGAACAGTTTCCCAAAGACGTTGGTGTATTTTGCGCATTTTTACTAAATCATGTCAAGCTGAGCCCCGGCGAATCAATCTTTTTGGCCGCCAATGAGCCACATGCGTACCTTTCCGGGGGTAAGCTTAATTTTCAATGGTGATATCTGAACTTCTTTTTGATTTACCGCTCCGGTGCAGATTGCGTGGAGTGCATGGCTGCATCCGACAATGTGATTCGTTCGGGATTGACACCAAAGTTCAAGGATGTGGATACCCTCGTCAAATGCCTAACCTACAACTACGGTCCGGCTGATGCCCAGATTCTGCACGGAGACCCATACAAAGGCCTCAAGAACACAACTTTGTACGATCCCCCTATCCAAGAGTTTTCGATTCTGCGCACCCGGCTTGAGAAAGAACAAGAAACAGTAGAAGGTATCGCGGGACCGAGCGTGTTGATCGTCACGGAGGGAAACGGAAAGATTGAGTATAGCAACACTGGGACCAAGACTGTTTTGGATGCAAAAGCAGGCTACGTGTTTTTCATCAGTGCAGGCGTGGCTGTCACCTTGACGGGGCTGGGAGATGGTCCTTTCACTTCCTACCGGGCATTCTGCACTTAATTTATTAAACGAACGCAACTCCTTACGATGGGCTATGTTCTTTTTAGTTTGTTGTTGATGCTGGGTATACTACTGTCACTCAATGTAAACTGTCGATAATTGAAATATACTAGAAATACTAGAAAAAGTCCGGTGCTAATTCCGACACTGGCCATTGTGTAAATGTCTGGAAATTTTGCAGGGGGCGGGACCGTTGCCTCTAGCGTGTGGACCAAAAGTATCGGCATGTATGAAAGCTGTAATCAACAACAAATAGTGAGGACAAAAACGTTTTTAGCGTTATCAAGAAGCGGAGTGACATTACCAGCACTACGATCTTGGCATTCTTGGACGCCTGTCTAATACTGAAACTGGCAAACCAGTTCCAAAGAAGTAAAAGGAGGACATAGGGAAGCACGAGCTGATCCCTCTTTAGCAGAGGGAACATACTACAAAATGCACAGTAGCATTTAACAACCAAATTCAAATCGCATGTACCGCAACGATGGTTTACCTAAACATGGCCACGTTATTAAACCACACGCTCCATAGCGGCTCGTCCAGCAACAATAACGTAGCGGGTAACAGCGGCAATAAGATCGATTTCTCGTGGACTTGGAAGGCGAACAGGAAGAACCCTAATGAAGAGTTCAGCAGCGCGTATACGAGACGCTTAGGTGTTGGGCTGAGGAAAAGATTGATGCCGGAGGGTAAGACGGACAGGAGTGTGGCTAGGATACTACAATTCCAGTTCAACGAGAATCCGAAAAAGGTCCAACCTCCAGCACAAAACCTTACCTGACATACACCAATGTTTGGAGATCAAACATTTGTCGCAATTTGATCACCACACTGATTGCACACCAGACATTAGCCACTTTGTCTTCATAGAGTCCACGTTCAACGGGGAAAACTCTCTTAAAGACTTGAAGGACATCGGGTAGGGATGTAGAGTAGAGGGCAAAGATGATAGCAAATGTCGCGACAACTGTACATGCGATCTTGATCAATAACCGGAAGCCACTATCGCCAATGAATATCCCATGAGATCAACGTGCACGATTTGCAACAAATCCGCAAAAACCTACCCTTTCTCAATAAAGCAGCGACCAAGCAAAAACCAAAAAACAGGCAACGCATAAAACAGTGCCATCTGTTTATAATTCAGCGCCAAGCAAAACATTATACTTCCGAGGAGGTATTTGCCGCGAATCAGACACATGATGGTCCACACCGTGAAACCCAACATGGCTGAATTGTACTGAAAATGACCATGGTCGATGATAATAAGGGCGGGTTGAAGGAGTATCAGGAGGATGAGAACATTCTGCATATGAGAAACGTGAGCCAAGATCCGACGGACACTCGGCAAACGATTAGGTACAAACTTTGGGAACGAACTCTGCATACCCTATCCAACGATTAGCGAAAAAGACAACAGCGGGGACGTACAAGGCATACTCCGTTACGAGTGCCGTAGCCCTCATAAACACCGTGAGTCCATCGCTTTCGTATCCACGGGATGTGTCCAGCGCAACCCATTCGGGATTAATGCACCGTGCTCTGCAATAACACTACATGAGACCTCATCTCCACACTTAAAGCACACTTTATAAACTCACATAATGCCCATAACCCAACTATGATATGCCGTTATCAATGGATAGTCCAACCCCCAATACTGGAGGTCGTAACGATACCATTTTTCGCGCGGTAGAATAACGGTTAATTCTAGCCAATGCCTCTGCGCCTCAAAGTCGCCGTAGAGGGGTGGAACGCCCTGGCCAGAGTATCCGTTGAGAGATACGCACCATTTGATAAAGATGGTGAAGAGGTAGGTGGAGAAAAGCGCGAGGTGTCCGCCTTTGGATTCGAGTAAGAGGGTGTACCAATGAGAGGTGATGCCGAGGTCGGGTGGAGGAGAGGAGCGGGTGGACTTTGATGGGCTTTTCCCAGGAGACGAGATCATAGCAAGGATGGTTGGCTCTTGGGCATTCGGGAGGGATCTACCAGATTGCAAGCAACAAACGACTTGACTATCTCGCAAGACCAACTGTGAAGAATGGAGTGTCGTTTACCCCTTGAAATCCACATGGCGAGATGGCCGAGTTGGTCTAAGGCGTCAGGTTAAGGCCCTGATCTCTCCGGAGGCGTGGGTTCAAATCCCACTCTCGTCACTTCGTACAGCTCTTGGCAGTTTTTTTCTTCTTCATGATATGTATTGTATTAATCGTATCGACCTATTCAATGTTTAAGCATACCAGGGGTTTGAATTTGACGTATTTAAAATGACTAACATATTTAGCATGCGACCCATATCCTGCGTGCACCGCTGCACAGACAGGCACTGAGCATACACAGCTAACCCTCTGCTTTTGCTGAATATGGTAAAGTACAACTCATCACTGCCAGTGTCCAAGCTAACTTTTCCTGTCCATTGAATCCAAAGACGAGCTCTTCAGTTACCCACGGGTGGTTTGTAAGGTTTGCAAGGAGCGACATTACTCCGAAGACCGAGGCTATAGATAATAGCCAAGAGAGTCTGGTAATGGAATTTAATTCCATGTTTGGTCTCCAGCTCATGCTTGATGACTCGGAGAGGGGAGCACCGAAGAGCCAATACCGTGTTCTTAATGATGGCCAACTGTTCTGGTGTAGCAGCACGAGGGCGTCCGGGACGTTTAGGTGTGGTAACCGATCCAGTCGTCCGGTATCGTATGATAATATTTGATACAGTGGATTGTGGGATAACAAGAATGTGTGCCATCTGCCTGGTGGAGTGGCCTCCTTGGTGCAATCCAATTACTTTGCCTTTGACAAAATCCGAGTGTTCTGCGCGACGTTGCGGGAACTCTGGTTGTTCTGCGCGGACATGGGTGATGTTTTCCATTGTGGGTGGTTTTGCATTTCTTTCAACTCGCCCTATTTTTATAGATGGTGCTATGGCGGTATGGCTATGCCCATCAATCTGCACGCGCTGCTATGTTTCTGCTGTGTTCCCCGTTTATCTGTCCGATGCAATACTCGATATGAGTTGTAGTGGGGTTTGAGCAAAAGATGATGAGCAACGTGGACTTTTGAGGTTGTAAACTTTATACAAACTAAATTAGCAGATAGAAACTCATTTGAATGAGAACCCACTCATGTCGTTCTGCATCTACTGTACGTTTGCAGTATGCGACTCTACCCAGTCTGTTCCAGTTATGCACAACCAGGCTTTTAACGTCACGCATCAAATCCTTTTCTGATGAGTGTTAGCTGTGTATCGTTCAGTGCCCCACTCAGAGCCGGCTTGCTGGTCCTCACTCATCCTTGTTAAAACCTCATGAAAAGCCAAAAGTCACAACATATTCCAACTACTAACAATATACATCTCAAAATCTAAAACCTCTCCAAACAACCTCTCTCCAAAAAGCCCCCAAAAATCCTTCTATTCAAAAAGTATAAAAGAAAAGAATACAGGCCAGCTGTCAGATATAACGGTTACAGACATGAGGGCAAAGAGAATACATAAAATACGTACTCGATCTTTTTGTCCTTCTCCTTACCTGCTACGATCAATCATCACTCAGCGTGGTGGATATCTCGACCTACTTTGAGCAAGTAGGGAGAATAGAAATGCAGAAAAGAGGTTATATGTGATGGTGGGTTTAAATATTGCTTTGGTGGGACTGCCGCGCAGTCGCAGAGTGGAAATCAAATGGTTTTTGATTTTGATGGAATAGTCACGGTCGGTTGGCTGGTCAGTGGGGTACCACGTCAAACAGTTATTCAATCAAGCACACCGCCCTGCACAATAAAAAGAAAAACCATCAAAAGCCTTCATCTTCCGAAAAAAGTACAAGTTTTAAGACCAAAGTCCCTAACTTCTACACTTTTTTGCTAAGCCCCAAACGTTCATCTAGATACCCCAACCCTCTCTCCTTCCTATAATCCTAAATAAGTTTCAAACCCCTACTACAAAGTAATGGTAAAACCACTAAAGCCTCGGTCGTTCGATAAACTGATTCCGATCAAACGAATTCAAGTTCTTGTGGCAAACCAGTTGGTAGACAGTAGCACTGCCTTGTCTCGCAATAATAGTGGAATAGGCAAGGAAGTACTGGAAATCCAAACGGGTGTAACAAAGGTCAATGAAACCAGAACCAATAACTGGCTAAAAGGTCAACTGACATACCTCCCAAATCCTGTACCACCTCACACCATACTTGGCAATAATCTTGTCCTTGTTCTTCAACCAGTTCGAGTACCAGCGGTAAATCGTCGCCGAGTAGTGCACACCAAGAGTCTCGGAGCTCTGCACCTCAAAGCCAGCTCGTTCCAGCTGCTCAATGTACCAGTTGAGAGGGCAGGAAGCGTCCGCGCCAGGGAAGACATACTTGGCCATAAAGAGCTAAATAGACAGACGCTCAGCGCTCATACAGAGGGGCCAAGAAAGGGACAGTACAACACTTACACCCCACATCAGGTCCTCATATTGCCAAGTCCGACGCAACCCTGCAATTTGAAGGAAAAATACACCATCGTCCTCCAACATTTCCCGAACTTGCAACAAGAATGTTTGAAAGCGGAGCACACCAACATGCTCGGCCATCTCAAGACAAGTAATCTTGTCGTACTTTTGGAAGGGAATGTCACGGTAATCTTTGCAAAGGATTTGGACATTGGAGGACACGCCAGCTTCCTGCGCCTTGCGGGTTCCCCACGCAGCCTGGTTCTTTCCAAGGGTAACACCAGTGACTTTGGCTCCGGCCTTGGCGGCATGAACCGACAAGGTCCCCCAGCCGCAACCAATGTCGAGCATCCGGTCGCCGGGTTTCAGTTGAATCTTGTCACAGACCAAGTTGAGCTTGTTCTGTTGCAATTCTTCAAGGGTTTCGCGCTTGGTGGCGCTGGTCATGATACCAGAGGTGTAGATCATCATCGGGCCCACTAGAAAGCAAAATCACACGGTTAGATACGTGTGCTGACATGAGGGCAGTACCAAGCGGTTCACTCACAGAATGATTCATAAAAGTCATCTCCACGGTCGTAGTGGTCCCGCACTTGATCCTCATCCTGCTTCTTGGAATGCCAGAGCGTCTCAGGAATCCACTGAGTCAAGAAAAACTTTGCCTGAGCCGTGGTCCAAATGAAGGAAGCCCAATCATGTCTCGATTCCAAAAGCTCCAACATATCATCCTTGATATCAATCTTTTCATCAAAGTAATTCTCAAAGAAGGTCTCAATGGGAATCTTCTTTTTGCCAGAATAGATCTGAAGTTCCTTGTCCTTTATCACCATGTAATCCTCAATGTTCTTGCCCGGTAGGCCTTTCTGGGGGCGAATCGGAGGAGCATATTGAGCGTACAGGACATTGTACGCCGCAAACACGGGAAGAGCTAGCAGGACGGCCAGGAACGGGAACCATGCCAAGGGCCATCCCGTGAGCAGGACGATACCCAGAGGAACACCCAAAATGCTACCAACGAGTTGCAAGTTGGAAAAGTACATGTTGCCGGGCCCTTCGACACGGTAGCGTGTCGGCGCCACTTGATGGACATTGTGGTTGGGTGACATCTGTAGACAATGAGGTGCAAGACAGTTGTCAGAAAGTGTTGGTTGACAGTCTGGACTATCATGTCGTATGCAACTGGTGTGCATTCCGCCAAGATGGCGGTGACACATAGCGAGATCTCGGTGTAATCTAAACGTGCATATTTGCCCAGTCCCCACAGCAACCGTACCAGATGCTGAATGCAGTATGACCTCAGCAATACCGCTAACAGAGTCTGCGCACAGTAAAGGACATATTCCCATCGCGGGTGTATATACACGTAGATCACCCTCATGACCAGCGCCATCCCGCCATCCTAAACACGATGGGACATACCTTTCAAAATCCCCAGACAAGACGATCACTTAAAGTCCTGCAGTAAACAAAGGCAGGACTGTCAACCCAACACACCAAAAGGAAAAACAAAAGAATAATTAAAAAAAGATACCAGATAAAGTTCACCCTCCCCACTTGGCTAAAAGGGAAATTGCAAGCAAAGACCTCCCCCAACAAAAGCAGCGGCTTCGTGTGCGGACACTCGACAGGGCACTATACCGCGTTAGGATTTTGTTTACCAATTCGGACATCTCCACGCTTGCATTCCAATGTGGATGGAATATTCATGTGGAAGGTGAATGCCGTAAGCAACTCCGCCTAGAAAAATACGTGTTGGGAGTTGAACTTTTGCTGTTAACACACACGATACTTTTAAAAAAAAAAATGCACACAACAACCTCCAAAACCGTTCTAAGTCCGTTAGCAGAAGCAGTCAGCTCACTCATTGTCATTGTATCCGATGCCGAAACGGAAGGAACACCCATGCCAGACTTGTCGGCCTTGGCCAGCGGGGTCGAATCCCAAATCGCCAACCTCGTCTCAGTCGGTAAAAAAATCCAAGACCAACCTAGTGCTGATGAGATTATGAAGCGAGATATGCCATTAGCGTGCGAAGGAGTCACCAAAGCTGCTGCATTGCTCGTTGAATCTACTCAGGGGTTAGTTTCTGATCCGTATTCTCAGAGTGGACGACAGGGGCTTTTGGATGCTGTCAAGGGGATTTTATCGGGAACGACCCAAGTATTGAATGTGTTTGATGATGCCGAGGTTCGAAAGATTTTGTCAGCGTGTACGCTCCTCCGGAATCTACTTTACACCATCACCCTTGGGCCCCCTTCACCTACCGATGCTCAGAGCTACGTTCAAACCATTGCCCAAGCGTCGCAAACGATTGTGGTGTTGGCTCAGTTGACCAATAAGCGTGTCGCAGAGTTGTTGTACCCAGTCTTGCAAACGCGGCTCAAGACGGCTATTGTGGCGTTGACCAAGCAGAGTCCGGGGTTGATTGGGGTGTGCAAGTTGTGTTTGATGCATCCTGGAAAGGAGGGTACCAAGAACGCTCGGAAGGAGACGTGTGAGAGACTGGTGGACGTGGTTAAGGAGATTGAAGTGGTGGTGCAGTTTACAACGGAGGAGGAAGGGTTGGCCATGGAGGTATAGTTGTTTGTCTTATTTTGAGCTTGGTGGTTGAAAAGAGAGGGGTTTTGACACTGAATTTTGGTATGACCAGATTGGCGAGGTAGGCAAACTCCGAAAAGCGCTTGCCGAAGAATACGTTCCCAAAATCTTCCGAGGCCTTCAATCCGGGTCAACTCAAGATGTTCATGGAGCCATTACGGAGCAATCCGATGCCATCGGTGCCATCATCCAGCACGCTCAAGGTGCGTACTAGTAGTTTTAATCAAAATGGAGTGAAAAGGACAAGGAAAATGTATTGAATACACCCCCCTTTTTAGATCAAATCAAAGGCCTAAAAGACCCCCTCCAAAAAGCCGCCTGCGAGACCCTAGTAACCGAACTTACAAACTCTGAAACCCGTCTCCAAAAGGCTCTAAAAGACTATTCAGCAAAACCTACCCCAGAGACCGAACGTGCCCTCCGTACCGCACTGGATAATCTCACGGCACGCACGGAGGCCCTTCAAACCGGGTTGAACAAGAGTATCGTTTCCGAAGCTGGGAGCGTGATCGCCAATGTGGGGAGCACGACCCAACCCGGGACACTCTTGACACACATTCACGAATCCGCTAAAAAAGGGGACACAAAAGCCGTTCAAGAGGGGTTAGAACGCTTTGAAGGTGAATCAGCGAAATTGTATGCACTTGCTACGACGGCCATGGATACGGTGTGTCGGACCCATCCCCAACTTGCGCAGGAACTCAAAGTGGCTAGAGATCGGCTAAAGGGGTTAACATCTGGCTTAAAAGGTGCTACGGAATTGTTGGTGGCGAATCCTGCTGATGCTGCCACTCAGGAGCATTACAAGGCTGTTGTTGCGGCGTGGGAAGACGGTGTCAAGGATGTGCAGAGGTTAATGGTGGGACAGGAAGGGGTGTTTAAAGCTCATGAATTGGTATCGGGAGCCAGTGAGTATCATTTTGGTTTTTTTTTTTTTTTGCGTATCTAGGTATCTATATTTACACTTTTTGTGGTTAAAAGAGAATGGGTTTGAGCATCATGCCCGTGCTTTAGCAGCCGTGGCTTCAAAGGGTGACATCCGGTCCACACATCAGGAAGCTGCACTGCTTGTATCGGCTGCCCACCAGTTTGTAGCAGTCGCAAGAAAAGAGGCAGAGAATACAGAAGATGCTGGATATCGCAAGGAATTAGATGCCAAGATTAAGCAGGTTGAAACAAGTATGTCCTATCTTTTGGCATGTTATTCAAAAAGGTTTTTTTTCCATATGTTTATATTGAGAAACTCTATTTTGTTTTCTTCTAGTCCTCCCACAACTATTATCTGGCGCCGAACTGGTCCTCAACTCCCTGACCGCCTCCTCCCTCGACGCAGCCCTTGAACTCGGTTCCATCGTCCGGGACCTCGCATCCCACCTCACAGGCCTCGGCGACGTGATCCGAAACTACAAGGGCGGAAACGAGCTCATTGAGGATACAAATACACAAGAATCGGAGCCTCAAGAAGAAACGAATGTGAAAAGTGCTAAACATGCTTTGGATGAATTGGTGGAAACGTTGCAGGATGTTGTTATTGTTGAGGAGGAGAAACCGGTTTTGTTGTCTGAAGAGGAGGCTAAAGCGGAGCCCATCAAGGTAAGGGCATATTTGTAGTCATTGATCTCTTTGAAAAAAGGTTTTAAAGTCCCCTACGCATCAAAAGGCTGCAGGACAAGAACTCAAAGTCGAAGCCTCAAACTGGACATCAACCCAAAACCCCATTGTCCACGCCGTAACCATCATGTCCCAAAACCTCTTGGACCTCTCAGCCCTCCACACCCAACTCCGCACCTCAGCCCAACCGGCAACCAAAAAAGCATTTATAGCCTCCGCCCAACAAATCACATCACAAGCCATGACAGTTTCCCAAAGTGCTCGACCCATTATTGAGGCATGTACGGATCGGAGGTTACGTGCTCAACTCCTAGCATGTTCAGATAAGATTCAAACCCTGGGACAACAACTCAAGATTGTTGCGGCTGTTAAAGCGTCTGCACCTATGGATCGTGATCGGGATGCCCAACTGGTTGCTTGTGCGGCTAATTTGATGGGAGCTGTTAAAGGGTGTTTGAGGGATTGTGAGAGTGCGAGTTTGAGGATTTCGCCGAGTGTGCTTGAGAGGATTGGGGTGAGGTTTCGTAGGCAGCTTTATCGTGCGAAACAGTTTGGACAGTAGATTGGAGAGTAGGTTTTTGTTGTGTATTTTTCTTTAATGTTTGATGGTTTTTTTTTTTTTCGCTTTTGGTGGACAAGTTGCCGTTAAAAAAAAAGTTTTTGGTTACATGGACATGTCCCATTAGATATCTTCCTTGTTTGATTCGTATATTCAACAATGAATACACAACGGTAACTTTACGGGTGTTGGTCCATTTGCCGTGATAATCTGCACCTCCCACCCACAACACACATCACTCATCCTTCTCAACCTGTTTCTCAACTCGCATCTCCCCCTTCTCCAGATCCTGATACCAAAACCCTCCTACAAAAGAGACCGCCATATGAACACACACTCACGAATTCCGATAAGATATCCTCAATTGATTCGTATATTCAAAAAAAGTCGCACAATAGTCAATATCCGGTTTTGTTGGTCCATTTGCCGTGATATCCTTGCACCTCCCACGCACAACACACATCGCTCATCCTTCTCACCCTGTTTCTCAATCTCAACTCGCATCTCCCCCTTTAAATTCCCATACCAAAATCCCCCTACGAAACGCCGAAACCGCCATATGAACATACACTCAGCTCTACAAATTCCAACAAGATATCCTCATTTGATTCGTGTATTCAAATATATACATGGATCGATTTCCAGTGTTGCTGCTCCGTGGTATCCTTGCACCTCCCACCCACACTATTCCTCACTCTTTCTTCTCAACCGGTTTCTCAACCTTCTCAACCGGCTTCCCAACTCCCATCTCCCCCTTTTTCTTTAAATCCTGATACCAAATCCCCCCCACAAAAGCCGCAAAAGCCGCCATCTGAGCACCCACACGCAATCTCTGCGAATTCTGGAATCCAATCCGGTCATGTCGGAATAATGTTACGGACATGCGGTAGAGGCCGTAACATGTTAGTACCACCGCTAATAAAATAAAATGAGTGTGAGTTATGAAAAGAATGATTTTTTGGAAGGGGATTGGGCATGTACCCGGGGCTATAAAGGGGTTTTCGGCATTCTTTCGTTTGGTTCGGGCCCAGAATCCTTCTGTTGATATTATTGGTTTGTGAGTGTTTCTTATTTTGTGCATGTTGAATGCAAAGTGTGGGGGGTTTACCTTCGTAGGGTGTTATGGTGGTTGGCATCGTGCAAGTTGGGTTTTGTTGGATCCGAGAGTGGGAGGTGCTTTTTGAGAGGGTTGGCAAATGAGTCATAAATCAATAGCGACTGGACGTGGTAGGAGTTCAAGTGCAAAACGGTTCTTTATAAAATACTGTTAAAAGCACACACAAGTCCACCCAAAAGCAAAACAATTCCCCAACATCCCTTCACCCTTTCCCAATCTCCTCAACAATACTCTCCATCTCTCGCACAAACCACGCAGCAGGAAACGGGGGATCACTAGGACGTCGGGTGGAAGCCCAAACCGGCATATCCCCATCCTCCTTCTTACAAGGCAAATTCTTTAGGTGCTCCATCTCAGATCCAAAGACTTCCGCCCAGGCATCCCCACCATCAGAAACAACTTGTTGGCGCATACGTTGTAGGAGATCGTGAGCAGCAAGGACCGCAAACCCTGCACACCCCATCGCGATTGCTGAAAGGTATCGAACATGCCGTGGAGAGAATTTAACACCGCTAGCAAGGAAATCGTGTGTAGTGGGTCGGACATTCCCATCCGGATGCGAAAGGCGTAATAAAGCGTCGTCAAAGCAGTATTGCGTAAACCGGTGTGTGGGGCCATAGGTACGGAGGATCCACCGCCATGCGACACCGGGTTTGGGTTGTTTGAAACACCGGGTGATGGGTGTAAGAGGCAGACAGGTCTCGGAGGGATGGGGATCCACAAGAGCCTGCTCGACAATCGGGTCAGGGATACGGAAATGGCGTAAAAGGAACGCAACGAGGCCATTCGAGAATTGGAAATCGGGGGCAAGGTTGTCGATAAAGAGGTCGTGGACGGCGGATTCGAGTAGAGTGGGTTCCACGTGCGTTTTCAGGGATGTTAGCGTTCCTTCATCGCATTTTCGGAGGGCGGCTTTGATGGATTGGGGTGTTAGGGTGAAGCCTCGGGTAAGATAGCTTGTCAATACATCAGGCGTCACATCGTCGGTGACTACACGTCTCATGACGCCGTCGTTGAATGGGGTCGGATCCCATCCGGTGCCAAGGAGGTGGTCGAGGAGGGCCATGTCGAGTTTTGAGAGACGGTAGATGGATTCTTCAGGGTGGGTGATGAGGGGTTTCAGGGGATGGAAATGAAATGTGGTAATGAGACGATGGAGGTGTGGGAGGGAAACAGTCGTAAAGAGGGCCGTACTAAACGCCGCTGCATCGTCCCCGGTATAATCCACCTGTCCAGGCGTTTTGCAAGCAGGATTTTAGTAAAGATATAAACCATAACAAAACTTGACACAACACACACACACCTCAGTACCAAACTTCTTGAATCCCTCCCCCACCAAAAACGCATAAAACCCCGGCTCCACAGAGGCCTTTCCCATTTCTTTAACAACCATCTGCACAAAAAACCTTTGCAACATCGCACCCGCCTTGACCATCTGCAAAGCCACATCCCAATTCAACACCCTCCGTCGCTCCATCCACCCTCGATAAAACGCCAATGCCCGGCCATAAGCCGTGATGAGCCATTTTGAGACCGTGTAAGGGTCGTGTGTGAGCGTGTGTAGGGTTTTGCATGTTAGGCTGAGGGATGACGGATCAGGCACAAATGTGAATATCACGGTCCAGAGTTCCAGTGGGAGGGCCTGCCAGTGGGCCATGCCAAATGCAAAACGTTGTTATTCCCCAAAAGCAAGAAAAACAGAAATCAACTCGAATGAAAACAAAAACAACAAAAGCTGGAAGTTCCTTCCCTTGGCCCCTGGCGCGTGTGTCATCAAATCACGTGACGCGGATGAAAGGATTCCCATCTAGTGTTCGTTTGTTGTTTGACGAGTTTGTCAAAGTGGAATCTGGTCTTTTTTGTACGCGATATCCATTCGACATCTTTTTTAACATTGATTCGAATTGTTTCGTGCAAACTTGCAGTTACAAGGGCAGGACATGTCGAATCTCGTTAAGAAATACGAAGACTTTGTCTTGCATAATGCACCCCAGATTAGCGGGATCGAGAGTGGATTGCGGTCCTTGACGTACATTTTACCAGGTTAGGGTGTGAGCGAGAGGAAGAATTGTGATGGGATCGCAGTGTTGACAACCTTATTAGGGAGATTTAATGACGCTGATATGGCTTCTGAAGCGAGTAAGTTGTTCCCCTAAATTATATCATTTCTCAAAAGGGACTGCAAACAATTAACATTTGTATAGTTTTCGCTACGGTGAATTTAATGTCCCTCTACCACGACACCATCCTCTCTGCCGCAGCCCACCAACAAAACCCCGAGGCACCCACCTCGAATTTCAACCGATACACTCGGCATATGCTGCTATCGGGTGGTTGGTACAAAAAGGTTGCGTATACGTTAACGATGGTGCAAATGGTGGAAGTGTTGGTGGAGATGGGGGCACGGAAATTGGGGGGACGAAAAGGGAGGGGACGAGTTGTTTTGGGGATTGAGGTGATAAAGTGCGTAGTGTTGTGTTTTGTTGAAAATTATGGGATGGCGGTAAAAAACGGAATCATCTAACCGATTATTCACAGAGTGGTATGCCGTACAGCCCTCTTGAAACTCTCACAAAACCGTATGCTCCTCCACTCGGCCGTTCCTGAACGCGACTACGATCCAAGCACCATCCAACCCCCGACAACCTCTAAACCCGGTACATGGACCGGTAAACGTACCGGGAAACACCACGTCCACGTTGACGTGATTACCCAAAAGGGCGGGTACGACCAAGCAGTTCAGTTTTTGTTATCAAAGGCCTTGACGGAACGTGCGTCGAGTCCGGTGGATTTGTTGAATCGGTTGGGATGTCACAAGTGGGCGGAATGGGTGTTTATTTTTCGACCGTTGGTGTATGGTATGTTTCCTTCTCTTCTTAATATCACTTTGGTTATCGCTTTTGGGTTGTTTTACGTCCCTTTTAACGTTTTATTACAGTTTTGACATTACGCAGATACGGACCTAAATCATATAAACCCTACTTGATTTCCCTAACCCTCGAACTCGGATCCCTCCTCGCATCCCTCAACCGCCCACAAACCTCTCTCGAAAAAGACGAAACCAAACGCCGGTGCTGGCTTCTCTTGTACTACTTGTTGCGTAATCCCGTTTATGAGCGGTTTACAAAAGAACGGTTGGATGCTTTTGTGGAGGGTGCTAGGAAGAGGCCGTTGATATCCTTGTTTGCTGGTATGTTCATGTTGTTGGGTGGTTGTTGCGAGTTTTTTAATAAATGTTTTTTTTCGGTAGGTATTTTGAGGGATTATCAGCCCTTGTGGGAGAAATGGCATTTTTACACCTCTGGATATTAGTTTCTCTTTGGATGTATGTAATAGAACACTGTTTTTTTTTTTCGTGGATGTATGTCCATATCATGTGCTGTGTGTTTGTTTATACTGGCATGTGGAGGCCGTGGGTAGTCATGGTCGCAAATTACAACAACAGTAGCAAACTTGCAGGTGCTTATGCACTTGTATGACAAATGGCATTTTTACACAATTTGGATATTAGTTTGTATGCACGTAATAAAACAGGTTGTTTTGCGTGAATGAATGTCCATATCATGTGCTCTGCGTTTTGTTTGTCCTGGCCAGTTGGTCAGTGCTGGTCGTACCAATGGGTGCATAAGATCTTGATGGGGTTAAAGGTCAAAAAATGAGTGTTTGACATGTTCTTTTTTGATACGGAAACCCAGTGTACTGCAACACTACTACAATGCTACAAGTGTGTTACACAATACTCATGCAATGTGTGTGTGTGTGTGTTTGTAAAGGGAGGGGATCTACTGTAAATTGTACTCTAGTACACCTACGCTATGGACCCTAAAGCAAAACTGGTTTCCTGCAATCTTACTGAATCGTTAAACCCCGACAAGACTCTCACCCCGTCCCCGAGTCTGAACAAACAAGAAGCGCTGCGGGGGTGGTAGCACACTATCCGCCAAAGGCGATCTCGCCATCCTAACAGCATTTAACGAAATTTTCCGTTTAGATGGCGTACGACGTTGTGGGGGTGGAGACGGATCTATCGTGTCGTCTTTTGGTGTATCACTGTTTGTACTCTTTGTACTGGCTGCTGTCCAAGCATGTTTTGGAAGGGAATAGTGGGATCGAGGACTACTACTCGTCGGACGCACCACTGAACGTCTCGAACTAGGCGGACGAGATTTCAAAACTTTTTCCAACCCCCCACTCAACAATCTGGCCACATAATGATCCTCAGCGTCTTCAACGACTCCGACACTCTCCCCACAAAACAGCCCACCGCGGAACAAGCGATCCAAATCCTGTTCAATCATGGGTGTATGACTCGGGATGCTGAGGAGGGTTGGAATGATTTCTTTGGCGAGGGTGTAGACGAGTTCAAAGTGGAGGCGTTCTTTGGCGGGTGAGGAGGAGTGGGTGGAGATGAAGAGGAGGAGGAAGCAGTAGGAGAGGGAAAAGGCTTTTAGGGTTGTTGTGCGGGTTGCCTGGGCTTGGGGGAGGGTGAGGGTTTCGTCATTGAACAAGGGGTGTCTATGCGAAGAGGGGGCGTGAGAAGGCGGGTGTAAGCAAAGTCACAAAGGGAATTTCATTTCTCGCAAAGGGTTGCGTTGCAGCGCACGAGGGATCTCCTACTGTGACGCAACCCTCTGTGCATATTCATGCCGTTTTCTGCTCGCATTGTAGAGCACGGTCCCCCCCATGCATCAACCATCTGTTTATGTTTAGTTATCCAAGGGGATATACGCACCTTGCAATGGGACCTAATCCAACGGCCCGCGGGTTTTGTAGAGCCCCTAATCGGTGCGTTGTGCGAGATTTTTCTAAAATGAGTGTCCAGACGTTCCACCTAAATGTTTTGAGCGAACGAGTCTCAGTCCCCATCACACATGCCATCCATACGACACATGCCATGATTTGGCGGATGTCAACATACCTTGCGTAGAGAGCGCCATTGACGAGAAATTCGTCGAGGAGGGCCGAGGAGAGGATGCGGCGGACCGAGCGCGTGACAGTGGTCAGGGATGTCTTGTCGAGTGCTGCCTCTGTAAGAAGAAAACATTCATGACCAAGATGTGAGATTCGGGTTGCGCGCATAAACGATCGCGAGAGGTGTCCTCCTCTCGATGATCAATCAGTGATTAGCCCATCGCTGCTCCTCCTCCGTGAATCAAATCCCCCCTGATAACCTCTCACTCATCAACGCTCGGAATGGCTCGTGTTCAAATACTCACGTTTAAGTTCATCGAGATCCCACTCCTTGTCACCAAATTCAATCAAAACATGCTTTTTCTGAATGACATTTCTCTTTACAAGTTCCGGAGACTTTTGTTCCCAAGCGACCTTGCCAAAGATTGCTTCAAACTCCTTGTGCATTATTGTGCTCTGTCTCTTTTCTACGCGTGTGTCATGACGACTGTCGAGACGAGGGAATGCCTGGTCAGAGCCAGGCCTGGATTGTCCGAGTGTCATGAGAGAAATGTGTGAGATTGAAAAGAGTGCGTGAGAAAGAGAGTAGAGACAATAAGCGTGTATGTAAGCAAATAAATGTGAATAAATGACAATAAATGTGAATGTAATAATAAGAATAGACATGTGAAAATGTAGTAGATATAAATAGAATAAAAAATGAAAGATCAGATGATGATGAAATAATAAAGAGACAGCATGGCCATAATAAGAGAGAGAGAGAGAGAGAGAGAGAGGAATTTAGCCGTGTGTGAGAAAGTGAAAGAAATTTGACAAAGAACAAGAGAAAACTTGGCAAGAGAACGAGAGAGAGAGAGAGAGAGAGAGAGAGAGACAATTCCCATTTAAACACACACACACACACAGAGAGAGAAGAGAGAGAGAGAGAAGAGAGAGAGAAGAGAATAAGAAAAACAAACGGGCGATAGAAAGACTAGAGAGAGAGAGAGAACAAGTTGCTTTTTAACAACGACCAACAAGCGACTTTCAACTCTCTCATCATCACTCACTCACTCACTCATTCACACTCACACACACACGACAATAGAGAGAGAGTAGAGAGAGTTTCTTTCTTTTTGTGAGTATTACCTTCTCTTGTTTCTTTCTTATTCTCACTCACTCACACTCATTCTTCTTTTTAGATTATTATTATTATTATTATTATTACATACTCTCTCTCTCTCACACACACACATTCCCACGCTCATTTGCACTCGCACGCTCATTGGCATTCCCACACGCACTCTCACGCAATCGCACTGATTCGCACTCGCATTCTCTCACGATGGGAATGCCCGCGGTGCATAGCGTTGCTGCACGCTCTTTTACACAGTCTCGCTCTTCTCTTGCCTATCTCGCTTGTCAATTCATTATTCTCTTGTTACGGGCTATCACTCCCATTGCATATCTCTTCATTTCTTATCTATTGGCAAGTAGTGTCATTGGATTTTATGCTAAACTTTTGCTTTACACATGCTAATATCAACACAAACAGGTATGGGGTCCCTCGACGCTATGGATCGTTTCTCAAGAATCTCTCCCTCGCACGCTTATCTTTGCTAGTCTCATTGCTTGGATGGCCGCAGAAACTCTCTGGTTCCCATACTACTTGCTGACAGTCAAGCGCCTCCAGAGACGGAACCCAGCGTACCATGCAACATCGGACCCAGACACCCGTCGCGCTCTCCTCGTGCGCTGTCTCGATGCTCTCGAAGCAGCCTCTCCCATAAAAACACGCATCAACGACATGAAGCGTGTCATTGCCGGCTGGTTTCTGGGCAATATCTCCTTTGACCAGATTCAGAGAGACAATATCAATTCCTGGGTCGCTTGGGCCTTTCTCGATGAGGATGTCGATACCCTCGACAGTGACAAGCGGGCGCACGTGGATGACTTGGTGTCGCTCATTGAAAAGCGTTTAGACCATGTTTTTCCTCTTGGCAGCAACCCCGCCGCCAAATGCATCCGTCTCACCCTCGATCCCGTCCAAGCAACGCACCGTCCCCTCGTGTATTACCTTGCCACAAAATGCCTCAATGCGATCGGGACCCGCTTGCTCCACCAGCTGGGCTTTTACTACAGGACCCTCGATCCCATGGATGTGGCTGGAACGGGCACGCTGAGGTACTTGTATCGCCCTGCCACAGAACCCACGCCCCTCGGTGCTACCCCCATTGTCTTTGTCCACGGCATTGGCATTGGCTTTGCTGCGTACCTCCAGCTCCTGGCTCGCTTGCCCCGCAACGTCCCCATCTATCTCTTGGAGTGGCCCCACGTTTCCATGCAATTAAAAGAGCAAGTCCCAACCATCCCAGACACCCTGAGTTTTCTATCTGGCATGCTCCGTCGGGACAAGCACCCTCGCGCCACCTTTGTCGCCCACTCGCTCGGCACCGTTGCGGTTTCGTGGATCCTCAAATCGCCTCTCCATCGCAACCTGGTTTCGTCAGTGGTTCTTTTGGATCCCGTCACTTTTCTCTTGTGCGACCCCGCCATTGCCTACAACTTTTTGTACCGCCCGCCCACCTCGGTCCTCGAACTGCTCATGAGCTACTTTGTCTCGCGCGAAATGTACATTGCGCATTCCCTCTCTCGCCACTTTCACTGGTCCAAAAACATTTTATTTTACGACGAATTGCCACAACCGACTCTAGACGGGCGCGGCGGACGCAATGCGGTCCTCTTGGCCGGCCACGACGCCATTGTCCCTTCCCCCCGCGTCAAGGCCTACCTCGACGCCCAGCACTCGTATACCTCTGACACGCTTTTGGACGTTTTATACTATCCCACCCGCCACCACGGCGAACTCTTGCTCCGCAAATCCATGCTGGACCCCGTCATGTCCAAAATTTTGATTGCATGCGGATCAAACCCTCACGTTTCCTTTTCGCATCGTCGCATGTCGCGTCGTCCTGCACCCTTTTATCGGTATAAACCGGCTTGGAAGGTTGTCAAGCTGGGAGGTGAAAAGCCTCGGATTATGGTTGTTTCTGCGCGCAAAGGGTGGGGAACTCCCGTTTAATTTTCTCTTTTTTTTTTTCTTATTTTGGGGGCAAGGGAATTGGGGATACAGCCACGGTTTAGGTTTTATTTTCTGATACACACACGCACTTTTGATAGACTTTGGGACATTTTATTTGTATACTATCATTTTTCTGTGAACGTGGGATACCAAGTGGTGGGGATAAAATAATAATAATATATCACAGGTTAATAATGAGCGTTTTTGGGTGTGGGTGCCTGTTGGCATTGTTTGACTTTATAATCGTTTAGATGGGCGGTTTTGATTGAGCATACTGGATGTGTGTGTGAGTTTGTGTGTGGAGTATGACATTGGGGTTTTTGCAGGCGACCAACCTTTGGAGAACCCAGGTCAATATTCTTTGACTGGTGATTAATCAATATTCTTGAGCAACAATTGGGTATGCCATGGGATGCCCAAATGTTCAAATATTGGAGTTTTTTTTGCAGGTTGACCTCTATGAATGACACCATACAAACTCAACCCGCTAACTATAACCCCAAATGGCCCAAGCACGAGACCGCACATGGATATTCTTGGACTTGATCTTGAACGTAAGTAATGGGGATAGGTATATAAAGTAATGACTACCAGAATATCGCCATCGTCACATCTCAAAGAAAAATGTTTCGTCAATAAATGTCATTTTCATTTCATGGTCGTTGGGGACTCTGAGTTGATGGACATTTAATAAACGCAAAAAAAACAACGAGTGAAAAAGAAAGACAAGAAAACATGTATGATATTGAGAAAGGAAATATGATATGTAAATGTACTTTTTCCGAATCTATCTCATAAGTGTCCATCTATATTGTTTACTAATATCAATCTATCCAATGGGCCTTCCTAACATGAACGAGTGACGAGTTCCTCACACAATCTCACACACAAAAAACAAAAACACCTCCCAAAACACCCATAAATTTCAAACCATCTCACTAAAAACCTCTCTCAACTGGGCCAACTTCATCAAAACGACTTCAACACTCTCGACCAAATCCACCGCAGCCGTATTTCCCCACCCGGGAACACACCGTACGTAATCTCTTGTACGTCGTCCGAGGTCTTCTGTGGCTGTTCGGTATTCGTCTAGGGCTTTTCGACGGGCTTTTATGAGGGCTGCTAGGTGGGTGTTTTGGGGGGGTGGGGAGGGGGTGTTGAGGCGTGCGTGGAGACGAGTGGATTTTTGGAGGATTGAGATGGATTTTTGGAGGATTGCTGTTGCTGTCTTTGTTTGGGGTGGTTCTTGTTGCTGTACTTGTTGTTGGATGGGTGGTTGGATGGGTGGTTGGGTTGGGTGGGAGGCTGGGGTGGGAGGCTGAGGTTGTACGGTCAGTGGTGTGATTACAGGAAGGTTGTGGTAATTGGGAACAGGCGGGACATGTCCCACTGTAATGGTCGCCAAGGGGTCCACAGACGGGTCTACAGACGACACCTTTGGCGATACCTTTGGCGAAACTCTAGGCGACAC